AATCTATGCTAAGCCACGCTTCACTGCCGAAGAATGACATTTTCAAATGAAACGCACATAGAACTCATATGTTTACAGCTCAGGCAGCATGTAGTATTAGCAGCGAATCGTAATCTGGAGAGAATAACTTCGCAAACAACTTTTACACAGCAACAATACAAAAGAAGCTTCTATGAAAACGCTTATTGCGCCCGAATCAAACGGGTATCCCTCGTGCACAACCCATAACTCAAAATTAATCCAAAAGTGATTCAAATCATTTTAGATTTTACACATATCAATAAATGTGTTCTTCAGGTCCAAAATGGTTAGGCCTCTTTAATGCTTAGGGGTTGCATTCAATAGTATTATCGCCATGAGAGTAGGATCATGTGCGTGGCTACCATAGAACCAAAGACCTGACTGTTATAATCCAAACATTAAATTCAAGTCTTAATAAGAAAGACTGTTATGGAAGTTCTCTTTGTCGTTATTTATTTTTCTAGACACATAATGATTAAAAGAAGGACAAAAATATTCATGAAACCATAGCCTCCACAAAAGTTATAGCGCTTCTTTTGGGGAGCAAAATGCTTTTCTGAAAATTCAATTTTTGTTTAGTGCGATGAATAATATGAAAACACTTTGGACAGCGTGACCGTTAAAACCTTTCGTGTAGTAAAATTATATAGAATTTCCGGCATTTGAGTGGATACGAATTAGCCGGAAATGAAACATTTCTGCGGCACAGGAGCAGTAGGGACTGGGGCAGTTGAAGTGCAGCATGGGTAGAATGGAGTGCTACAAAGGGGATGTTTATTACGTGGGAAAGCATTTTAGGCCGACACCTCGTCTTGCTCACGTTATTTTTTAGTATATATTTGATTTACTAGTGACAGTTCGAGTTTCACAAGGGTTTCTTGGCTTGTTTGCGTGTTTCCCAAAATTATTTAGAGTTTTCCGTGCTTTGTCGGATTACATGTTTAGTAAATAAGGGCAAAGACCTTCCAGCCGTGTAGCCTTCGTAGGATGGGCTTTTCAGATCATGAACCATGGATCCTACCCAGATGTCCTGCCGAATTGTTTTTTTCCCTATCGGGGTATTTTTTCTGGCCTCTGTTCTGACAGTATACTGTGTTAACTGTCGCTCAGCTCTGTTCTAGTTTTTCCACCACATGTTTGAATGTAGTAGAGGTTGTTGTATAACGTATTGTTACATGCGCGGTGCTCGGCCGAAACAGCCTTAATGAACCTGATGGTTTCTCTTATTCATGTGTACTGCGTAGTGGAGCCGAAATCTTTTCTTTCCTCAAGTCATTTTTTATCAAATCCTATTGAAGCGGCCGTAAGTTGGCTTCTTGAAAGTTGGAAATATTCAATGTGCTTCGGTGTGGCAATTTTGGTTTGATTTCGCATCGCCGGATTATGTTAAATAATGCTTTCATTGTGTCCCAGCCGTAGTTAGGGGGAGCTTAAAGCTTAGAATTTAAAATTTAATCAAAAATGTTCACTTTCTTTTATTAAAAGATCGCACGTAATCGTTCATGCTACGTAGCATATTCAGCATGCGCACGTATAATTTTATTTTGAGCAAATTACAAAGTCAGTATTGTGTTTTAAGAGGCGAACTTTAGGTATTTTTAATGGCTGCGAGCTGTAGTTTTAAAGCAGGCACGAGAAAACTATTCGAAAAGCATTTGCAACATTGAATTGAAATCTCCCTATGATTTCATCAAACATATAAATTTCGCAATTTCTCAGACTTCGTCGTTTATGCAGTGACGACTCTGATTTTTCCGAAAAATCAGAGGCAATGTGCCAGTTTTTCGATAAACGTGGCTATCCTGTTTCTGTCCTCCAAGCGGGCGACCACCGTGCCCAACAAATTAATCGACAATCAGCACTAGAAACGGCTGTTAAGGAAAACACTGACCGCATTCCATTCACTCTTACATTTCACCCCCACAACCACGCGGTTGAATCTATTATTTTTAAAAACTTTAAATTACTCCAAAACTATTCAGAGATTGGCACTATCTTTTCGCAACTCCCACTTATTTCATTCAAACGTGACAAAAACATAAGCAACTTTTTGGTCAGAAGTTCATTCCAAACCAATGACCAATCTGGAACTTTCAAATGCGCTCGCTCACGTTGCAAAACTTGTCCTTTCATTTACAACGTAGAGAAATTATCGGTACCCAAGAGATCTATTAGGATCACTGATCACTTTACGTGTACCTCCCCCAATGTTATTTAATGCATAAAATGCACTTATTGTTAAAAGTTATACCTTGGCGAAACAGGAAGACGACTAGGTGACCGATTCCGAGAACACTTTCGCGACGTAAAAAGGAAATGACAAAGACGCATCCAAACCAGTCGCTTGACGCTTTAATCTCCCCAACCATTCAAAACAGCATATGGCAGTTTGCGGCCTTTCCTTACATCTAGGCAGTTCGGAAAGCCGCAAAACACTAGAACAAAAATTTATCTTCCAAATCGGCACCCTTAATCCCCACGGAATCAGCGAGCGCTTTTCATTCAACTAATTTATTCCTGTTTTCTCTTCACCATATTCCTACCAATAGCGTAGCTCCACTTTCAGCATATAAACTCACCCACAACTCACAATTCCTCCAATCGCTCTGACGAAGGGCTAACGCTCGAAACGTCAGCTTTTTTACCCTTTACGGTGGCCAATTTACGTTTTCAACTCAGTTGTTAACACTAAATTACCTGCTATACTCTTCCACCGACGCAGCACTACAGTTTCTTTAGAAACTTACCCCCTTTAATATTAAACGTTGTTCAATTACGTTCTTCGGGGTTTGTAACTAAACTTATCCGAGTTCAGATTGACTTGGGAAGTACGCATATGATCTGTGGTCGTATTCGGGATTTTGACTCTATAGAATTACCCCTCTTTTAGTCGATGCACTGCCTGGTTCTCATTCTCGATACAAGCTTCCTCGTCAGTTGTTTACTCCAGAAGTGAATCAATGGGTTAACAAGCGAGTTTAAAATTGCCGTTTTTTTCCACACTTCTTCCGTGTTTGGGAAATAGCATATGTCTTAAGCGCCCTGTTTTCTTTGTTTCATCTTTCCACTTCTTTTTGGTCGGTTCCTGTGCTTTTATCTTCCTTTGTTGCTGTTATGCGAAGTCGTCCATTGAACAAGAACAACTGGTTGTAGATGCTAAAAGTGTCATCAACCAAATTCATTTGGAACCTTTCAGCTCCGTTCAAATCTTGCGCGCGCTTTGTGTTCAGTCAATCGCTGAGAAAAAGTAAAACTGTAATGTAAAATGCCACAATGATTCTGGCTATGCATGCTTGAAATGGCATCTTGTGCGAAAGGGCAGGTTATAACGAAGTTATCTCGACATGAAGAGTTACCAGATCTGATAATTATGCGATCATGATTATATTGACACTATATTTCTTTTCTATACTTCATAATGTGTTTCAAGAGACAGATTGGAAGTTCCTGATGTGTTTTCAATCTTTGAAATAATGATAAACAAAAACCAACAACAAAAACCTCTGACAGGCTCTGTAAAAGGTAGTATATCAGTTTTTTGATGCAATAACAACCGTCCTCAAGCGCGCTCAATATGTATTCTTATTTTTGTTTTTTCAATCTCTTGTCCTGTTTTACGAAATGTATCGTGGAAGAAACAGGCGTTTGGTTCATGAACGTCATACAAAGAATAAAACCATGGCATCGAAGATGGGACGAGTGTCAAGTAAATTGATATTTTTGATGAAAATCTTCGTGAACGAACTAAAAGAAAAGAGCTTAAACTCACAAATGATATTTTTGACAATGAAAAACAGATATGCAAATAACTGACTTTAAATTAAGCCCAGAAAACCAAAGAAAGATGTCAAATAAATTAATTGCTAATATTTTTCTTTTAATATAGTTTTAAATTAGAATAAGAAGCCATGTAACCATAACTATCGATATGGTCGTGTAAGGCGAATCAATAACCTAAAGAGCAAGGTATGTGAGAGGTATTTCCTAAAGAGCAAGTTACAGAGACCACTTAAATGGGCTGAAACCATTTTTGACTCGGTGATTAATGAAAAGTCTAAAGTGATTTAAATTATTTTGGATTAAGAATGATAACTGGGCCGAGCTTTAGGGAGACTCATTTGATAAGGCGGCGAAGAAAGTTGCCACGTAAGCTTCTTTTGTGGTGTTGTCCTGTAAATGTGGACTGAGAAGTTATTCTTAGGAGGTGCTTAAACTACTTACCATTCAAAGCTTAGCTTTTCGCTGCCTTTTCCCTTTTCGTGCAATAATAATAATCTGTTGAAAACATTAATTTTAGCGATAGATCAGATACAAAACAGCAATAGAATTCAAGAGTTCATTATTGAAATATTGCTGATAAAATTTTCGAAAATGTATGATTGTTTATCAGGTATGCATGCCATTAATTGTAATACAGCAGACATGGGAGATCCGTGCGTCGGGTTTTGTGACGGCGAATTCAACTACATTCGATTTTGGCTGGGTTGATGCCATGAAACTGACTCATTACTGTTGGATTTATAGCCATTCCCAATAGATTTTGAATTTTCAAACGAAATTATTTTGACACATTGCATGGGGATGCAAAGCAAAATACTTTCAATAACTTAAAATTAGCAGAATGGAAATTCAGACTTCGAAACTGACCTTCAGAATGTATTTTATATTTCAACAACGGAAAAACTGAAATTCGTCTGTAAACTTAAATAAAAATAAGTTTTTAAATCTTACTGTGTAGATGTGTAGGCATACACATCTGAAACAAGAAACTGAGAGCTGAATTAATCATACAATTAGAAATTGAAATACGTGAGAAAATATCGAGTTAAGCCACATGCACACTAAAATGGGGCTAATGGATCAAAGCCTCCGAAAAACATTTAAAATTCTACCTGATACAAACTGAGCGGTCGATATCAATAACGTATCAAACTAATCACATCAAACTTCTTCGAGCTTCATTTGCGAACGCTATAACTATGACCAGCATAGAAGGCGACACAGTAATTGTGCCTCTGGAGGTTAACTTCATGATCAGTGTTATCATTAACAGCATCACCTGTCCTTTCACAGTTCTGCTTAACGTGCTCGTAATTATAGCCGTCAAAAAAAGACGACGACTCCGAACTAACAGCAACATCTTGCTGGCCTGTTTAGCGGTGACTGACGCATTAACTGGTCTCTTTGGTCAACCGTCATATGTCCTTTGGAGGATATTCCTAATATTTGGCCTCGGTGGCAGTGAAATACTTAAACAATTTAACGTCAGTGTTATGTCTACACTTTCATCTGCTTCAAACCTTCATCTGATGTTGGTTACTTTCGAGAGGCTCATAGCGATCAAATATGCGATGCACTATTCAAACGTTGTAACTAATAACAAACTGAAGATAGCTGTGTTAGCAATTTGGATCATTGGTTTCGTGTGCGGTACTTTAGTTGCGTTAAAAATGTACCTGGCTATGCTTTATATCGCAAGCCTCATCACGATTTCATGTATCGTGCTCGTTGCCTTCGCATATTTGATTTTGTATCATGAAACCTGCCGTCATCGAAGGAAGATAAAAGCACAGCAACTGCCCCAAGAAGAAGTGGAAAGATCTATCAAAGAGAACAAAGCACTTAAGACAACAGTGTTTGTAGTTGGTGCTATCATTGTGAGCCTTCTTCCGCTTGGTTTCTGTCTCATCGGTACAGCTATAGACCTCTTTGATACCTGCCCCATTGATGAACCAATTTGGAAAACTTGCAGCATGTTAAACTCGTTTGTTAATCCATTGATCTACTGCTGGAGACAAAACGAAATGAGAAAGTTCGTACTTAGAATAATGAAGTAGGGCAATATGACAGAAAAACTAGAAAAAAACCTGTTTATGTAAACTTTAAACTCACTCGATAAACAAACTCCTCAGTTATTGCTCTATATCATAATCGTATCAGTAACTTGTGACACGAAACCTCTGAAGGCTAAGAGTTTATTTTCAAACTCAGTTCTGAAGTCTTAAATTGAAGTTATAGCTTAAAGTTACCAGGGAAGTCACGTTATTTTCTTCGCATTCCTAAGAGGTATATTTAAACATCGCCTCAATACCTGAGAGGCGGAAACCCCATGTCAGCTGTACTTATTTATATCAGGCATTACCGCGAAATTATTAGCAATATATCAATAAATATATCAGTTAAGGGGAAAGTTATCTCAAGAGATGAGTTCAAAAGGAGTTAATGATTCTCTTTTCAATTTATTAATGATACTTTTTATGAACCCGAAAGCAGCCCTTGAACACGATAGTAGCCCTTAAAAAAGATATTAAGTTCGCCTCTAAGATCCGTATTCTGATAATTTTTCCGAAAAAAAGGGCAAATGAAATCAGAAATTGAAATGAGAGAAAACATATGTTAAATAAGACTTTGAAAATCAGTTCATCAGTCTCTCCAAGATATAGACATCTCTTATGCTTCGAGAATTGCCAACTTCTGCACACATAAAGTGAGGATTAGGCAATTTCCTGAAGCCAGAAAATGCTGATCAATGGTAACTAGTAAATTCCCTTTGATGTGATTCAAACAAACGAAACAGCGGAATAAAAAAGGGAGAATCCTCATGCAATGCAAACCCAGAACTGCAGAGAGTAAACTAAATAAATTCCACTCCTGGAGTGAATATTAGCTTCTCTTCAACTACGCTTTAAAAATCAGATTGTGTATGCAAACTTTCAAATCAAACTTTCCTGAACATAGCACGAAATATATACAATTGTAGTTAAAGAGAATTTCGTTGACTGAGTGCAAGGACACGGGTCAGCAGAGTGTACATGAATAATCATCGAGGCTTTCCACCTCTCCTCCTTATTTCTCTCTTTCACATGATGGCTGGATGCACGACTTGGGTTCTTATTCTAAATACAAGCTTCCTCGTTTCTTTTTGTCTCCAGCATTAAAACAGTGGATCAAAAAGCAGTTTAACATAGCAAATGTTTGCGTCAGTACTTCGTTGATAGGAAAAATATTAGAAAGGCCTGTAGTTAAAACGACCAGAAAGAAGCCAAGTGGGAGTAGGCAGACAAAAAAAAAACACCAACTACAAACACAGTTGCCTTAAGCGACTTGTTCTCTTCGGTTAATATTTCCATTTCCTCTTAGGGAAGTTGCTCCACTGTTATATTCCTTTGGTGTCGACGCGTTTCATGATACAAAATCAGAATAGTGAAGACAACGAAAACGACACATGAAACAGTGGCAAGGCCTGCCATCTATGGAAGCAGTACTAAATGCACTAAAACACGCTGTAAACCCGGCACAAGAGGGCAATGATCCAAACTACAAAAAGTGCTATCTTCATGTTATTATTAGTTACACGTCCTAGTGGCATAAAGTCAATTTGATCGCCATGAGACTCTCGAAAGCAACCAAAATCAAATAAAGGGATGAAGCCATAATTAATACTGCAATAAAAGTACAATGGACATTTTCAACTATGACACTGCTTCTGAGATCAAATAATAGGAACAGTCTCCACAGTATGTACGATGGCTGGTCAAGGAAACAGGCCAGCAAAGGGGTGGCTGTTGGTTGAGGGTCGTGGTCTTCTCTTTACGGCCATTATCATCAGTACGTTGAGTAGAGCTGTAAAGGGACAACTGACAGTGTAGATTATGGTAACAATGACATAATTCACCAGAACAGGATTATTTACTATGTTGCCCTCTGTACTGGTTATGTTTGAAGCGTTTGTTAACCTCGCCTAAGAGAAGTTTGCCGTGTCGAGTGGGAAGCTTATTACAAGTCAATGAGATCCCATTGATTTTTATCTAATATTTACTACTGATTTTGACTTTGATCAACCGCTAAAATAAAAGTGCTTATATTTTAAAACGAAGGGAGAAAAAGGCAGAGGAAATCTGTTTATTAAACAGTAAGCAGTTTCAGCATCAAATTAGAATGACCTCTTGGCCCATATTTTATATAATTATAACAGTTTATTAAACTCTCTTGCAGTAACTTACTGAATTAACGAGTTATAATGCAATGAAAAGTTAACAAAATCAACTATGTACATTTCTGTGTATATTAAGTATCAATTATGTGCACCACACCAGAACATGCATCACATTTGATAAAAATAATTAAAAGTGAAAAGGTCTTCGGTGCGCTTCGTTCTACAAGTAGTAACGTTTTTGTAAAAGTACAGCTGGCCTGATTTGTGCCTGAGGGTGTAGGGACAGATATCGTCTAGGCGTGTTGGTAGAACAGGATGAAGATGGTGGTTTAAGTTCTTCATCGAACTCACGATAGAGAATCTCTGAGTTCATATAGAAGAGTCCGTCATCAAGTTGCTCAAAAAAAAAACAAAAATTTGAAGAATCGATATATGAGATTGAGTTATCCTCATTATGCTTTAAATTCACCCTAACCAATCAAATTAACGTATCAATTGAAGAAATGGTAATTACTACAATTTATGCAGGAGAAATTCTCAAGTTGATCAGAGTATTCAAAAAATTCTTAAATCCAAACATATTGATCCATAAGGTTCAATTGATCTCTATAAGGAATCCAACTCAGCAAATTACGTTTCTGTGCTTTTCTTTTAAAAACTCTAAAGATGGTAAGCAACGAAGGTGACAGAGTAAATGTTCCACAAGAGGTTAGTTACTTTATCACTATTATCATTGACAGCAACACTTGCCCATTCACAGTTCTTCTTAAGGTGCTGGTGATAATGGCCGTGAAAACAAGACCAACAAATACATCTTGCTGGCCGGTTTAGTGGTGCCTGACACATTAACTGGTCTTCGTGGCCAGCCATCATACATCCTTTTGGGGATATTCCAACTGTTAGGTCTCAGTACCAGTGAAACAGCTGAAAATTTGCATTTCAATTTCATGAATTTCATTTCTCTACTTTGGACGCTTATGCCTTCATCCAATGTTGGTTACTTTTGAGAGGTTTATCGCCATCAAAATTACGTCGCACTACCCAAACAGTGCATGTCACTGATAAGAAAATAACGATAGCACTGATTGCAGTTTGGATCATTGCCTTCGTGTGTAGAATGTTTGAGGCCTTAGAGATGTATCTAATATTTTATTCTAAAGCAAGCCTTGTCGCTATTTTGTGAATCGTTTTCGTTGCCATCGCATATGTGATTTGATATCATTAAACGTGTCGACATCAAAGGAGGATAAAAGTACAACAACTGCCCCAAGAGGAGGTGGAAAGATTTACCAAAGAAGACGAGGCGATTATGACAACTTTGTTTGCAGTTGGTGCTGTTATTGTCGGCCTTCCTCAAGTTTCTTTGTGTCTCATCATTTTAGCTACAGGCCATTGTAGCTTTTGCCCCATCAACGGACCAATGTGGCAATTCTTTGCCATGCCACCCACACACACAACCCCGAATTCCTCCAATAGCTCTGACAAAGGGCTAACGCCCAAAAAGTCAGCTTTTGAACTCTTTTCGGTGGCTAACTCAGTTGATAATACTAAATTAGCATGCTAAACTCGTATGTAAATCCATTGATCTACCGCTGGAGGCAAAAAGAAAGGAGAAAGCACGTTCTTACACCTTGTACAGGAAGAACCCAGCTCGTGCATCCAGCCATCCAGCAAAGAAGGAGAATATGGCAGAAAGACTGAAAAAAAAGGTCCTTGTCGTTGGTTTATGTGACAATATATTTTTTGTTAGGAGTGTTGATTCGTATATTGCGCGCAAAATCTGATTCTTAAAAGGACTATTTGAACCCACGGAAAAAAATCTTTGCAAGAAGGGTACATCTGTAGTAATAAGCCTCAGCCTATTTTTTCTTTAGCAAAAAGAGCTACAGAGTAATGATTGCAATTGAGTTTTTCTTATATTTGTTTAAGATACGTAGAAATGTTTCGTTCTTGTCTCATGGTCGACATAGGAATTAGGTAATTGAATTGAAATCTCCTTATGATTTCATCAAACATATAAAGTACTGACAATGCTGGGAACTTGTATTGACATCATCATACTCCCGTCAATATTTAACGTTGTTCAATTATGTTCTTCGGGGCTGTAACTAAACTTATCCAATTTCAAATTGACTTGGGGAGTTACCCTCCTTTAGTCGATGCACGACCTGGTTCTCATTCTCGATACTAACTTCCTAAGCGCCCTATTTTCTTTGGTTCATCTTTTCTATTTCTTTTTAATCGGTTCCTGTGCTTTTATCTTCCTTTGTTGCTGTTATGCGAAGTCGTCCACTGAACAAGAATAACTGGTTGTAGATGCTAAAAGTGTCATCAACCAAATTCACTGGGAACTTTTCGGCTCCTTTCAAATCTTGCACACGCTTTGAGTTTAGTCAATCGCTGAGAAAAAGTAACGCTGTGATGTAAAATGCCGTAATAATTCTGGCCATGCATGCTTGAAATGGCACCTTGTGCTAAGGGGCAGGTGATAACAAAGTTATCTCGACATGAAGAGTTACTAGATCTGATAATTATGCGATCATGACTGACACTATATTTCTTCTCTATATATAATAATGTGTTTAAAGAGACAGATGAGAACTTCCTGATGTGTTTTCAATCTTTGAAATAATAATAATAAAAACAAAAACAAAAACAAAAACCTCTAACAGGCTCAGCAAAAGGTAGTGTATCAATGTTTTGATGCAATATTAACCGTCCTCAACCGCGCTCTACATATTTTCTTTTTTTTTTTTTTTAACCTCCTATCCTGTATTATGGAAAAAACATGCAAAGTATAAAACTGTGACATCGAAGAAGAGACGGGTGTCGAATAAATTGGTATTTTTTGATGAAAATCTTCGTGGACGAACCTAAAGAGGAATAATATTCTTGACAATAAAAACCTAAATGCAAATAACTGACTTTAAATTAAGCCCATAAAACCAAAGTAAGATGTCAAATAAACTAACAGCTAATACTTTTCTTCTAATATAGTTTTTTAATTAGGATAAGAAGCCATGTAACTATAAATATCTATATGGTTGTGTAGGGCGAATCAATTTCCTAAATAACAAGGTATATGAAGAAACGAGTAGGCTACTATAACTTACAGAGACCACTTCAATGGGCTGAAACCATTTTTGAACTAGTGATTAATAAAAAGTCGGCAGTGATTTTAATTATTTTGGATTAAGAATGATATCTGGGCCGAGCTTGAAGGAGATTCATTTGATAAGGCGGCGAAGAAAGTTCCCACGTAAGCTTCTTTTGTGGTGTTGTCCTTAAGCTACTTACTATTCAAAGCTTAGCTTTTCGCTGCCTTCTCCCTTCTCGTGCAAGAATAATAATAATAATCTGTTGAAAACATTAATTTTAGCGATAGATCAGATACAAAACAGCAATAGAAGTCATGAGTTCATCTCACAGACTTAGTAGACTTACAATAATCTACCAACTCGACATGGTGAATTTTTCAAAGCTTAGCTTTTGGCTGCCTTTTCCCTTTTAGCGCAAGAATGATAATCTGTTGGAAACATTTGCACATTTATTTTAGCGATAGATCAGATACAAAACAGCAATAGAAGTCAAGAGTTCATCCCAAAGACTCAGTTGACTTACAATAATCTACCAACTCGACATGGTGAATTTTTCTTTGGCTAGTTTTTAGAAACGCTTTCAGACTGATAAAAAATTTCTTATGCCCCATTTTATATTTACATATGTATCCGCTAACGTTCTGATAATTTTCCTAAACAGAATCAATATTTTGAATAATCAAAAATAAAAAAATCAGAATTAGGAGTTTATAGGAGAGCCTCATAAATTGTTGAATGCCTAATCAGTAGTGTTGTTAGCTTCATAAAGAGTTTCATTTATCATAGGGAAAGTACATCGTAAAGCATTTGCGCTATTGAACAAATCTCTCGAGATAATTTCCCCCTTCAATATTACCACGATAACGTAATTAAAATATTGCTGATAGCATTTTCGAAAGTGTATGATTGTTTATCAGATATGCATACCATCAATTGTAATACGGCAGACATGGGAGATCCGTGCGTCAGGTTTTGTGACGAATTGAACTACATTCGATTTTGGTTGGGTTGATATGTCATGAAACTCTCTCATTAATGTTAGTTTTATAGCCATTCCCAACAGATGTTGGAGTTCCAAACGCCATGAATGTAACACATTGCTTAAAAAACTTAAAACTGAATTAATCATACAATTAGAAATTGAAATACGTGAGAAAATATCAAGTTAAACCACATGCACACTAAAATGGAGCTAGTGGATAAAAGCCTCCCAAAAACATCTAAAATCCAGCGAAATGATACAAACTGTGCGGTTGGTATCAATAACGTATCCAACTCAACACATCAAACTTCTTCGAGTTTCATTTGCGAACGCTATAACGATGACCAGCATAGATGGCGACACAGTAATATTCCCACCGAATGTTAATTGCATTATCAGTATTAGCATTAACAGTATCGCCTGTCCTTTCACAGTTCTGCTTAACGTGCTGGTAATTATAGTCGTCAAAAAGAGACCACGACTCCGAACTAACAACAAAATCTTACTGGCCTGTTTAGTGGTGACTGACGCATTAACTGGTCTCTTTGGCCAACCGTTATATGTGTTGTGGAGCTAATATTTGGCCTCAGTAGCAGTGAAATACTTGAAACTGTTTGTGTCTGTGTTGTGACTACACTTTCGTCTGCTTCATACCTCCATTTGATGTTGGTTACTTTCGAGAGGCTCATAGCGATCAAATATGCGATGCGCTATTCAAACGTTGTAACTCATAACAAACTGAAGATAGCAGTGTTAGCAATTTGGATCATTGGTTTCGTATGTGGTACTTTATGTGTGTTAAAAATGTACCTAGCTTTGAATTGTATCAAAAGCCTCATCTCAATTTCATGTATCGTGCTCGTTGCCTTCGCATATGTGATTTTGTATCATGAAACCCGCCGCCATCGAAGGAAGATAAAAACACAGCAACTGCCCCAAGAAGAAGTGGAAAGATCTACCAAAGAGAGCAAGGCGCTTAAGACAACAGTGTTTGTAGTTAGTGCTGTTATTGTGAGCCTTCTTCCAGCTGGTTTCTGTTTCATCGGTTTAGCTACAGGTCTTTTTGATACTTGCCCAATCGATGAATCAATCTGGCAAACTTGCAGCATACTAAACTCGTTTGTTAATCCACTGATCTACTGCCGGAGACAAAACGAAATGAGAAAGTTCGTATTTAAAATAGTGAAGTAGGGTATTATGGCAGAAAACCAGAAAAAAAACTTGTTAATGTAAACTTTTCTGTCGCATTTTAAACTCACTCAATAAACAAACTCCTTAGTTATTGCTCTATCTTATAATCGTATTAGTCACTTATGACAAGACACCTCTGTAGGCTGAGAGTTGATTTCCAAACTCAGTTCTGAAGTCTTAAATTGAAGTTATAGCTTAAAGCCACCAGGGAAGTCACGTAATTTTCTTTATATTCCTGAGAAGTATATTTAAACATCGCCTCAATACCTGAGAGGCAGTTCGTACTTAGAATAATGAAGTAGGGCAATATGACAGAAAAACTAGAAAAAAACCTGTTTATGTAAACTTTAAACTCACTCGATAAACAAACTCCTCAGTTATTGCTCTATATCATAATCGTATCAGTAACTTGTGACACGAAACCTCTGAAGGCTAAGAGTTTATTTTCAAACTCAGTTCTGAAGTCTTAAATTGAAGTTATAGCTTAAAGCCACCAGGGAAGTCACGTAATTTTCTTTATATTCCTGAGAAGTATATTTAAACATCGCCTCAATACCTGAGAGGCAAAACCCCCATGTCAGCCGTACTAATTTATATCATGCATTACCGCGAAACCATTAGCAATATATCAATTAATGCCATTGTTATCAATATTAGGGTAAAGTTATGTCAAGAGATTACTTCAATTATTCAAAGGGCGAACGATGCTCTTTTCAGTTTCCTAATGACACTTTCTATGAACGTGATAGCAGCCCTTGAACAAGATAGTAGCCTTTGAACAAGATAGCAGCACTTGAACAAGATAGCAGCCCTCTTTTCAATTTACCAATGACACTTTTCATGAACGTGATAGCAGCCCTTGAACAAGGTAGTAACTCTTCAAAGACATTAAGTTCGCCTTTAAGATCCGTATTCTGATTATTTTTCCGAAAAAAGGTAAGTCAGAAATTGGAATGAGAGGAAACATACGTTAAATAAGACATTGAAAATCAGTTCATCAGTCTCTGCAAGAAATAAACATCTCTCATGCTTAGAGAATTGCCAACTTCTGCACATATACAGTGAGGATCAGGAAATTTCCCCATGCCACTGAATCAAAAAGCGGTTTAACATGGCAAATGTTTGCGTCAATACTTCGTTGATGGGACAAATATTAGAAAGGCCTGTAGCTAAAACGATCAGACAGAACCCACGTGGGAGAAGGCAGATAAAAAAAAATACCAACCACAAACACAGTTGTCTTAAGCGACGTGTTCTTTTTGGTTAATATTTATATTTAATTCCTCTCAGGGAAGTTGCTGTACTGTTATCTTCCTTTGGTGTCGATGCGTTTCATGATACAAAATCAGAATAGTGAAGACAACGAAAACGACACATGAAAAAGAGGCAAGGCCTGCCATCTGTGGAAGCAGTAATAAATCCACTTAAACACACTGTAAACCCGGCACAAGAGGGCAATGATCCAAACTACAAAAAGTGCTATCTTCAAGGTATTATTAGTTATACGTCCTAGTGGCGTATCGTAAATTTGAACGCTATGAGACTCTCGAAGGCAACCAAAATCAAATAAAGTGATGGAGCCATAATCAATACTGCAATAAAAGTATAATGGACATTTTCAACCGTAACACTACCTCTGAGATAAAATAATAGGAACAGTCTCCACAGTATGTACGATGGTTGATCAAGAAAACAGGTCAGCAAGAGGTTGCTGTTGGTTCAGAGTCGTGGTCTTCTCTTCACGGCCATTAACATCAGCACGTTGAGTAGAGCTGTAAAGGGACAAGTGACAGTGGAGATTATGGTACCAATGACATAACTAACCAGAACAGGATTATTTGCTGTGTTGCCCTCTCTACTGGCTATATTTGAAGCGTTTGTTAAACTCGCTCAAGAGAAGTTTGCCGTGTCGAGCTGGAAGCGTACTGCTAGTCAATTGATTTTTATCTAATATTTACTACTGATTTTGACTAAAAGTGCTTATATTCAAAAACGAAGGGAGAAAAAGGCGGAGGAAATCTGGTTATTTAAACAGTAAGCAGGTTAAGTTTTAACTAAGAGCGACCTCTTGGCCCATACTTTATATAATAATAACAGTTTATTAAACTCTCTTGCAGTAACTTTCTGAATTAACGATTATAATACAATGAAAACTTAATAAAGTCAACTATGTATACATTAAGTACAAATTATATACACCACACCAGAATATGCATCACATTTGTTAAAAATCAATCGAAATCAATTCTTCTCCAACAGTGATTAAAGTCACTTGGAATTTTTAGGTGGTGCCAAATTTGTGTTCATTACGGCCTTCGCGCCTCGCGAGCCCAATTTTAGTGATTGCGATAGCAAGGAGTAGCTTGCTTTTCACGACACAAAGCTAGCATGTTCTAGCTTCACAGCGCTAAATGAATATTCCGTAGTTGTAGAGCTTTTTATTTGTCGTCAGCCAACTAAAATTTGCTTTTGAAGAAAAAAAATCAATCTGTAGATTCATTTTAATCAGAGTAATTGCTCCGGTGATTATATAGATGCACAGGCTCTGATTGACCAAGGGTCGTGTCATATCATATCGCGCGAGGTGATGCTAGCAGGAGCGCAGAATTTCAAAATGGCTGCCTCGCGTATTGTCAGTGTTACCGAGTAACTGATGAACGTGATAAAGAAAGTTCAATTCCGAAGAGTGCAAGAGATTTGGGCTAACACTTTCAAAATAATTACATGACGTTTTTGCTGATTGGATTAGATGAATCTGTTAAATTCTTGTGGAAACTGGCTCTTTATCTCGCTACGAGTAATCGAAAAAATTGAAACAGAATGGCTTCAGCATCTGAAAACGAATATTTACAACACAATTCGAAAGCATCTAAGCAGTTATACTGAAAACAAAAATTTGCCTTAAGCTCAGCGAATATTGTCGAATAATCTATAATCCACTTGTTAATCCAATGATCTACTGCTGCAGACTAAAAGAAATTAACTGGTATAAGATGACAGGTCGCACATTCAGCCATCCAGTGATGAAAGACAATATGGCAGAAGGACTAAGAAGTTTGATAACTATTTACGCACACTTTTCTTCGCATTATACCATCACCAGATAAACGAAACTCCATTGTTAATGATTTATATGAAGATTGTTTGATTTAAAGTTAGTTTGATTACTGCATGCAAAATCTGATTCTCAAAAATATTACTAAAGATGATGGGAAAATCTTTGCTGGAAATGTTGTTGTTAGTGATTAGCCTCATTTTCTTTTTTTTCTTTTTTTTTTTGTTTCTTATTTTATTTATTTATTTTTTTTCAGAGCTACCTTAAATATTACCAGTCCCTCGCACTATTTTAGTATGCAAAGATTGCAACTGATTTCCTCTTGTATAAAACCAATTATGTGAAGGCTTCTAATGCAACGTGCGTTTATTGACGAATTGAAGATTATTGAAAGGAGCTTAAGGTTATCAGGGATAAGAGTTTTTTTTCCCGTGTGCACACCTGAATATGTTCAGTTATCGTAAAAGAAAGTACGTGATAACTTTTTGGGGCGGACACATTCTGGCTAACAAAATCATTGTTTATGGCAACGAGTTATTGAATTGAATCCAGTATGAAAAAATAGAAGATTCATGAATGATATTCTTATACTCTCGTAAGCTTCCTCTCTGATCGATTGGCCTTTTCGTCAGTGATCAGAATGACGAAAAAAACAGCTGTCACTTGGTTAATCACTGGATTTAGTTTCAAAATAATTTAAATCATAGATTATCGAATTGTGAGCTCAATACCTACCAGGCTAAAAATAGTGTAAGACATTTGAAAGGAATCAGACGATAGATGAAATTCGAACTCACAATAGAGAACTTCTGAGTTCATATAGAAGAGTCTGTTCTTCTTAGCCTTTTTAATATCGCCTTTGAGGTAAAATAAAGTTCAAATAGGTACAATAAATTGTACGATTTCTCTCAAACATTCATGCAGTTCATCACAGTTGGGATAATTTCAGCTCACTGTTCTAACCTACATTTAACTAAATGTGGGAGATTATCGTTCGCCATCAGCGCCATACTCCTTGAGAGCCCGCTCATTCCAACTCCTCTATTTGCTTTTTTTTTTTTTTTTCTCACTTAACCTCGTTCTTAGTCTAGCAACACTTACATTTTGTGATTTCAGGCAAAATTGGCGACTGTATTTAACAATTACTGTAATAAATGTCAGACAAAAACTAAAATGGAAGCATTTACATTCAAATGTGGTGTTGCATCAAGTTGCTCAAAAAAGGACAAATATTCAAAGAATCGATTTATGGGATTGAGTTATCCTCTTTAGGCTTTAAATTGACCTTAACCGATCAAGTTAACAAACGTATTAATTCAAGAAATGGTAATTACTACTATTCAAGCTGGAGAAAATCCAGAGTGGAGCCACATGCACTTTAGAGTGGAGCGGGTTGCTCAAAGTACTCAAAAAAAAAAATCTTAAGTCCAAACATACTGATCCATACGTTTCAATTGATCTCCGTAAGGAATCCAACTTAGCAAATCACGTTTCTGTGCTCTTTTTTTACAAACTCTAAAGATGGCAAGCAACGAAGGTGACAGAGTAAATGTCCCACAAGAGGTTAGTTACATTATCACTATTATCATTGGCAGCGACACTTACCCATTCACAGTTCTGCTTAACTTGCTAATGATAATGGCTGTGAAAACAGGACCACAGCTACATCTTGGTGGCCTGTTTAGTAGTGACTGACACATTAACTGGTCTTCTTGACAAGTCATCATACATCCTGTGGAGGATATTCCAATTGTTAGGTCTCAGTACCAGTGAAATAGCTGAAAATTTGCATTTCAATTTCATGTCTCTACCTTGGACGCTTCATGCCTTCATCCAATGTGGGTTACCTTTGAGAGATTTATCGCCATCAAATGTACGTCGCACTACCCAAACAGTGTCACAGGAAAATAACGATTGCTCTGATTGCAGTTTGGATCATTGCCTTCGTGTGAAGAATGTTTGAGGCCTTAGAGATGTATCTAATTTTTTATTCTGAAGGAATACTTGTGAATCCTTTTCGTTGCGTTTGCATATGTGACTTTACATCATGAAACGGGTCGACATCAAAGGAGGATAAAAGCACAAAAACTGCCCCAAGAGGAGGTGGAAAGATTTACCAAAGAAGACGAGGCGATTATGCCTTCTTCAAGTTTGTTTGTGTCTCATCATTTTAGCGACAAGCCTTTGTAGCTTTTGCCCCATAAACGGACCAATGTGGTAAATCTGTGCCATGCTACCCACACACAACCCAGAATTCCTCCAATGACACTGACGAGGGGCTAACGCTCGAAACGTCAGCTTTTGAACTCTACTCTACTAACTTAGCATGCTAAACTCGTTTGTAAATCCATTGATCTACTGCTGGAGGCAAAAAGAAACGAGAAAGCACGTTCCTACACCTTGTACAAGAAGAACCCAGGTTGTGCATCCTGTCATCCAGCAAAGAAGGAGACTAATTTATGGGAGAAAGACTGAAAAAAGGTCCTTGTCGTTAGTTTATGTGACAATGTATTTTTGTTAGGAGAGTTAATTCGTTTATTGCGCGCAAAATCTGATTCTTAAAAAGACTATTTGAACTCACAGAAAATCTTTGCAAGAAGGGTATATTTTTAGTAATAAGCCTCACTAAAAAGGCGATTTCTTTTTAGCAAAAAGAGCTACACTGAATGATTCTCAGTTCGAAGAAAGTAATGATTGCAATTTTTCGTCCCTGTCTAATGAACTACAAAGGAATTAGGCACAATTGAATTGAAATCTCTCAATGATTTCATCAAACATATAAAGCATTGACAATCCTGAAGGACTTGTATTGACATCGTCATATTAAACGTTGTTCAATTACGTTCTTCGGGGCTGAAACTAAACTCGGATAAGGCTTATCCGAGTTCAAATTGACTTAGGGAGTATACCTCCTTTAGTCAATGCACGACCTGGTCCTCATTCTCGATACAAACTTCCTCATCAATTGTTTACTCCAAAAGTAAATCATTGGGTTAACTAGCGCGTTTAAAATTTCCCTTTTTTCCACATTTGTTCCCTGATTGAGAAAATATCATGTCTTAAGCGCCCTGTTTTCTTCCTTCATCTTTCCACTTCTTTTTGGTCGGTTCCTGTGCTTTTATCTTCCTTTGTTTCTGTTATGCGAAGTCGTCCACCGAACAAGAACAACTGGTTGTAGATGCTAAAAGTGTCCTCAACCAAATTCATTGGGAACTTTTCGGCTCCGTTCAAATCTTGCGCACGCTTTGTGTTTAGTAGTCAATCGCTGAGAAAAAGTAACGCTGTGATGTAAAAAGGCCACAATAATTCTGGCCATGCATGCTTTAAATGGCATCTTGTGCGAAGGGGCAGGTGATAACAAAGTTATCTCGACATGAAGAGTTTTCAGATCTTATGCGATCATGATTGACGCTATATTTCTTTTCTATATATCATAATGTGTTTAAAGAGACAGATAAGAACTTCCTGATGTGTTTTCAATCTTTGAAATAATGATAAAAAAACCGACAACAAAAACCTCTGATAGGCTCAGTAAGGTAGTTTCTCTATTTTATGATGCAAAAATTTAACAACCGTCCTCAAGCGCGCTTAACATGTATTCTTATTTTTGTTTTTTTCAATCTCTTGTCCTGTTTTACGAGATGTGTTGTGGAAGAAACATGCGTTTGGCTCATGAACGTCATACAAAGTGTAAAGCTATGGCATCGAACATAAGATGGGTGTCAATTAAATTGATATATTTAATGAAAATCTTCGTGAACAAACTTAAAGAAGAGAGCTTAAACTCGCAAATAATCTTGACAATGATTACAATCTTAACCTTAAGATCTTAAAGCTTTACGCTGCCTTTTCCCTTTTCGTGCAAGAATAATAATCTGTTGAAAACATTAATTTTAGATATAGATCAGAAAAAAAAACAGCAATATAAGTCAAGAGTTCATCCCAAAGACTTAGTTGACTTACAATAATCTACCAACTCGACATGGTGAATTTTTCTTTGGCTAGTTTTAGAACCGCTTTCAGACTAATAAACAGATATCTCATGCCCCATTTTATATTTACAGATGTATCCGCTAATTTGCCGATAATTTTCTAAAACAGAATCAATATATTTGAATAATCAAAAATACAAAAATCAGAATCAGGAGGTGAGTCTCATAAATTGTTGAATGCCTCATTAGTAGTGCTGTTAGCTTCATGAAGAGTTTCATCTGTGGTAGGGAAAGTACATCGTAAAGCATTTGCGCTATTGAACAAATCTCTCGAGATAATTTCCCCCTTCAATATTGCCACGATAACATTATTAAAATATTGCTGATAGCATTTTCGAAAATGTATGATTGTTTATCAGATATGCATACCATTAATTATAATACGGCAGATATGGGAGATCCGTGCGTCGGGTTTTGTGACGAATTGATCATGAACTACATTCGATTTTGGTTGGGCTGATATGTCATGAAACTCTCTTATTACTATTAGTTTTATAGCCATTCCCAACAGATGTTGGAGTTTCAAACGACATGAATCTAACACTTTGCATAGGGATGCAAAGCAAAGTACTTAGTGCGACAACGACCAAATTTTCAATAATTTGAAATTAGCAGACTGGAATTCAGACTTCGGAACTGACCTTCAGAATGCATTTTGTATTTCAACTATGGAGAAACTGAAATTGGTCCGTAAACTTAAATAAAAATAATTGGGCAGTAAAATTAAATAAAAATAAGTCGTTAAATCTTTAAACCACGATAAACAAACGGCTGTGGTCATACACAATTGAAACAAGAAACTTAGAACTGAATTGATCCTACAATTAGAAATTGAAATACGTGAGAAAATATCAAGTTAAACCACAAGCACACTAAAATGGAGCTAGTGGATCAAACGTCCGGAAAACATTTAAAATGCAGCGAAATGATACAAACTGTGCGGTCGATATCAATAACGTATCCAACTCAACACAACAAACTTTTTCGAGTTTCATTTGCGAACGTTATAACGATGACCAGCATAGAAAGCGACACAGTAATTTCTCCACCAGAGGTTAATTACATTATCAGTATTAGCATTAACAGCATCGTCTGTCCTTTTACAGTTCTGCTCAACGTTCTGGTAATTTTAGTCATCAAAAAAAGAACACGACTTCGAACTAACAGCAACATCTTGCTGGCCTGTTTAGCAGTTACTGACGCATTGACTGGTCTCTTTGGCCAACCGTTATATGTCTTGTGGAGGATATTCCTATTATTTGGCCTCAGTAACAGTGAAATACTTGAAAATGTTTGTGTCTGTGTTATGACTACACTTTCGTCTGCTTCATACCTTCATCTGATGTTGGTTACTTTCGAGAGGCTCGTAGCGATCAAATATGCGATGCGCTATTCAAACGTTGTAACTAATAACAACCTGAAGATAGCGGTGTTAGCAATTTGGATCATTAGTTTCGTATGTGGTACTTTATGTGTGTTAAAAATGTACCTAGCTTTGAATTATATCGGAAGCCTCATCTCAATTTCATGTATCGTGCTCGTTGGCTTCGCATATGTGACTTTGTATCATGAAACCCGCCGCCATCGAATGAAGATAAAAACACAGCAACTGCCCCAAGAAGAAGTGGAAAGATCTACTAAAGAAAACAAAGCGCTGAAGACAACAGTGTTTGTAGTTAGTGCTGTTATTGTGAGCCTTCTTCCAGCTGGTTTCTGTCTCATCGGTTCAGCTACAGACCTTTTTGATACTTGCCCAATCGATGAATCAATCTGGCAAACTTGCAGCGTGTTAAACTCGTTTGTTAATCCACTGATCTACTGCTGGAGACAAAACGAAATGAGGAAGCTCGTATTTAGAAAAGTGAAATAGGCCAATATGGCAGAAAAAAAAAAACTTGTTTATGTAAACGTTTCTGTCGCATTTTAAAATCACTCAATAAACAAACTCCTTAGTTATTGCTCTATATTATAATCGTATTAGTCACTGGTAACACGACACCTCTATAGGCTATGAGTTGATTTTCAAACTCAGTTCTGAAGTCTTAAGTTCAAGTTATAGCTTAAAGTTACCAGGGAAGTCATGTAATTTTCTTAGCATTCCTAAGAAGTACTTTTAACCATTGCCTCAATACCGGGGAACCCCCATGTCAGCCGTACTGATTAATATCATGCATTACCGCGAAACCATTGGCAATACATCAGTTAATGCTATTGTTATCAATATTAGGGGAAAGTAATGTCAAGAGACTAGTTCAATTGTTCAAAGATTTAACGATCCTCTTTTCAATTTACTAATTACGCTTTATATGAACCTGATCGCAGCCCTTGTACAAGATAGCAGCCCTTCAAAAAGACATTAAGTTCGCTTCTGAGATCTGTATTCTGATTATTTTTCCAAAAAAAAGCAAATTAGAGATTGATATGAGAGGAAAATAAAATGAGTAATTGAGTCTCTGCAGGATATAGACATCTCTCATGCATAGAGAATTGCCAACTTCTGCACACATACAGCGAGGATCAGGCAATCTCCTCAGGCCAGAAAATTCCAATCAATGGTAACTAGCGAATTTTAATATGATTCAAGCACACGAAACAGCAGAATAAAAAAGGAAAAGTTCTCATGCAGTGCAAACCCAGAACTGCAGAGAGTGAACTAAATAAATTAAACTCCTAGAGTGGATATTAGCTTCTTTTTAAGTATGTTTTAAAAATCGGATTGTATATGCAATAAATCAAACTTTCCTGAACAAAAGTACGTTGTCCAAAATATATACAACTGTAGTTAATGAGAAATTTCTTTGACTGAGTGCTGGGACATGCGTCAGCAGAGTGTATGTGAATAATCATCGAGGCTTTCCGTTTCTCCGCCTTCACTAGATGGCTGGATGCACGACCTGGGTTTTTATGCTGAGTATAAGCCTCCTCGTTTCTTTTTGTCTCCATGATTAAATCAGTTGATCAAAAAGCGGTTTAACATCGCAAATGCTTGCGTCAATACTTCGTTGATGGGACAAATATTAGAAAGGCCAGTGATTAAAACGACCAGAAAGAAGCCAAGTGTGAGAAGACAGAAAAAACAAATCCAACCATAAACACGGTTGTCTTAATCGACTTTTCCTCCTTGGTAAATCTTCCCACTTCGTTTTGGGGATTTTGTTGTACTGGTATCTTCCTTTGGTGTCGACGGGTTTCATGATACAAAATGAAGACAAAGAAAACGACACATGAAATAGGTCTGCCATCTAAGGAAGTAGTACTAGATGCACTTTCAACACGCTGTTAACCTCGAACAAGAGTGCAATGATCCAAACTACAAGAAGTGCTATCTGCATGTTATTGTTAGTTACTCGTTAGAGTGGTGTATCGTGCATTTGATCGTTATAAGACTCTCGAAATCAAACGAATATCAAATAAAGGAATGAGGCCATTACCAATACTGCAATAAAAGTACAATGGACATTTTTAACTGTGACACTGCTTCTCAGATCAAATAATAGGAATAGTCTCCACAGTATGTACGATGAGAGGTAGCAACTGTTGGTTCAGGGTCGTGGTCTTCTCTTTACGGCCATTATCATCAGCACGTTGGATTGAACTGTAAAGGGAGAGGTGACAGTGTAGATTACTATGACACTAATGACATAACTAACTTGAAAAGTTTTCCCTGCTGTGTCGCCTTCTGTACTTGTCATGTTTGAAGCGTTTGTTAAACTCGCTCAAGAGAAGTACAGGTCAATGAGATCTTACTGGTTTTTATCTAATATTTATTACTGATTTTGACTTTGATCAATCGCTAAAAGAAAAGTTCTTATATTCAAAAACGAAGGGAAGAAAAGACAGACGATATCTGATTATTTAAACAGTAAGCAGTTGAAGCTTTGAAATTTTGCTTGTGAATCAGTCCTAGATGGTACCAAATGTGTGTTCGTCACGGTTCTCGCGCCTCTTGATTGCAATAACAAGGAATGGCTTGCAATTCACCACGCCAAGCTGGTATGTCCTAACTTCACAGCGCTAAACGAATATTCCGTAGTTGTATAGCTTTTTACTTGTCGTTCGCCAGCAAAAATTTGCTTTTAAACAACAACAAAAAAAAGAAATCTGTGATTAATTTTAATTAGAGTGATTTACCTTTTAGGCTTTAGATATCGCGTATAGTGTCACGTGACTTTTGATGTAAACAAACCGTGAAAGGTCGGACATTGAGTCGACCACCCACTACCTGTGTACGAACTTCGGCTTAGGCTAAAATCGCAAAAATCGGCAATTTCTTGTTGATTATTTCCACTGTCGTGAAGGGTTCTAATGCCGAAGCCGAAGTTCGTACACGGGTAGTAGGTGGTCGACTCAATGTCCGAACTTTCACGGTTTGTTTACATCAGAAGTCACATGACACTACACGTGATATCTAAAGCCTTGAAAAAGTGAAATGTTCCGGTGATTACAGAGATGCACAGGCTCTGATTCGCCAGGGGTCGCGTCATATCTCGCTATAATCACCTCGCACAAGGTGATGCTATTAGGAGGACTAAATTTCATTTCGACTCAGGCTCAATGAATATTGTCGAATAATCTATAATCCACTTGTCAATCCAATGATCTACTGCTGCAGACTAAACGAAATGAATTAGTATAAGATGACAGGTCGCACATTCAGCCATCCAGTGATGAAAGACAATATGGCAGAAAGACTAAGAAGTTTGATAACTATTTACGCACACTTTTCCTCGCATTATACTATCACCAGATAAACGAAACTCCTTTGCTAGTGATTTATATGACAATTGCATTTTTCACTTAGAGGGTTGATTCGATCACCGCACCGCTGGGCGGTCAGCGGTGGTCAGCCATGGCGGTTGGACGTTTTTCTTGGAGTTCCGTCACTTTATATGCTTTTCTGGTTCAGTTTCGCTTTTACTGTTGCTTCTTCGATGTCGAAGCCTTCGGAAAAGCCAATGAAATGCGTAGTGATGCTTCGGAGTGTGCCATGGATTGGCGAAAGGATTTTTTCTACCCGACTCTGGCTACATTTCCTCCACGTGGTACGTATCATCGCTCCCACGGTAGAAGGTTCTTCTCAACTCGGGTTTCTCTGTATCCCAACTCAGTCAGCACCTTTAATTTGATAAGGCTCTCAACTAGTGGTGACATTAATCCTAATCCTGGTCCCCCACTTAACAGCCCTAAGTGCCCAATTTGCGAGAGAGCTGTCGCCAAAACTCACCGTGCAATAGAATGCGATATCTGTCTCCGTTGGTGCCACATAAAGTGTGGAAGAGTTAACCCAAGTGAATACAACAAACTTCAACTCCTCGATCATTTCTTCTGAACTGCCCTTTCTGTGAACTGAGGGCTCTTCCCTTTGCCGATGCCAGTTCTTTTGACTTAAACCTTGACGATGACGTGGTGTCTGAACCTGACGAAGATGTTTTCACTACGTTAAAGACTACGATGGGCAACAACAAGAACTTAAAGATTGGACACATAAATATCAATGGTCTTATTTAATAAATTGTCTGAAATTCAATTCCTATTAAAAGAGGTTGAATTCGACATCCTGGGCGTTACTGAGACCCACCTGACCGTAGACCTATCAAATGAATTAATAAGAATATATGGTTATAACACGGTGAGAAGAGATAGATCAAATGGCTTGAAAGGTGGCGGCGTGGTAATATATTATCGCGATAATTTGAACATTTCTGAAAACCTAAAGTGGGACATTCATCAGGACTTGGAGGCTGTATGGATTAACATTACCATAAGATCACAGTCTACTTTACTTGGCTGCCTATACCGACCACCTAAATCAATCACGTTTTATGATGACTTACATGACCTGCTTAATAAAATATGGATCAAGAGGAAGAATGTCATATTATTAGGTGATTTTAACTGTAATCTCTTAGCTAATACGGCAGATACAGATCAAGATGCGCCATATGACTGTAATAGAATGAAAAGAATTCTTAGGCGTTTTGGTTACGTTAACGTCATTGAATCACCAACGCGCATCACAGCTAACTCTAAGTCACTTATCGACCTCATTATTGTTAGTCCTAATTTGCATGGATCAAATGTCTTAGCTGGTTCTATTGACCTGGGCATTTCAGACCATCATCTTATATTTGCTGCCTTTTCTACAAGGAGGAGTAATTCAAAGCCTAAGCTTATTACAGTAAGGAACTATAAGGATATGGATAATGAAAAATTCCAGAGGTCCTTAGAGGAAGCTCCATGGCATATTGTGTCTGCTGTAGAGGATGTTGAGGACAGTGTTTACTTATGGGAAACCATGTTTAAAGACATTATAGAGTCCAACATCAAACGAAGGAATGTGAAGGTCAGACACAAGTCACTTCCCTGGATCAATACCGAAATCAGAAAGGCTATGAATCAAAGGTATAAGTGTTTAAAAGCTGCTCAAGGTAAACCCCATGATAATCCTCAGTGGGACATCTATAGAGCTAAAAGAAACGCTGTTAGAAGTATGCTCAGAAAAGCTGAGGCCTCTTACTGGATTGGGCTATTTAAAGAATCTTCTTCACCTAAAGATTTCTGGAGAATATCTAATCGTATACTTGGTAAGACCAAAAGTGATAAAATTGGTCCCCTACAAGATTCTAATAACACTATTATTTCAGATGATAGGCAGAAAGCGAATTTGATTAATAACTATTTTATTGATATTGCACATGATCTTACTAAGAACTTGGATCCAGTACATTTAGATACTACTTTTTATATTAATAGAATTACTCCCACTATAGAGAATTTTTCTTTGAATTGGGATATAGTTAGAGATGTTTTGAAGTCTATTAATCCAAACAAAGCAGTAGGCCCTGATAATATTTTTCCTAAAGATCTTAAATTGGCACAGGACTCTGCTATTCAGGGTCTGCTAGAGGTGTTCAAAAAAAGCATGGACTGTTGTAAGTTCCCTCAACAATGGAAGGAGTCATTAGTTACACCTGTTTTTAAGAAAGGGAACAGGCTGGATCCTAACAATTACCGACCTATATCCTTGCTTAGTACACCAGGAAAGCTTCTTGAGAAGGTAGTGTGTGACTCACTTGATGATCACATGTTATCCAATGGCATTCTCACAGATAGACAATGGGGATTTAGGAGGGGCTATTCAACGGAGAGCCTCCTCCTTCATCTCACTGAGTCCTGGGGAGTGCCCTGGATAGAGGCCATAAGGTTGGAGTCTTATTCATTGATTTCCGCAAAGCTTTTGATTGTGTCAACCACAGTATTCTTACTGAGAAACTCAAGGCTGTTGGCTTGGCAGGTGATATGTGGAAATGGATCAATGACTATCTCTCCAACCGTGTACAAGGGACTAGTGTAAGTGGGTCTAGATCTGATAGAATCCCCATTAGAGCTGGGGTCCCTCAGGGATCCTTACTAGGACCAAGATTGTTTGCATCTTATGTTAATGACCTCCCTGAATCTATTACCAGTGGAGAAGTCTATATGTATGCTGATGACACAACAATATATGTAGTAGGGAATACTGCTGATGAAATAACAACAGGGTTACAGGCTGTTTTGGACCAGGTTAATTCCTGGTGTCTTAGTAACAGATTGATTCTACATGAAGGTAAATCCGAGGCAATGGTCTTAAGTACTACCCCTTCATAGGTCCTTTGAAACAGCTGAAGTGGGGGTATGGACACCATTCGGTATGTGTCCTCCACCAATTGCCTTGGGGTTACAATTGATGATAAACTCTCTTGGTCTCAGCATGTTGCATTGGCTAGATCTGCATTTAATGCCAAAGTTAAAATGTTGAGACGTATAAATTTCCTATGTACATCTATCTTGGAGACTTTTTACTATAGGATAGTTATACCAAGTGTTCTATATGGAATTGCAATTTGGGGGTCTGGATCCAAGCTTAAAGATCTAGAAATGATTCACATCAGGGCTGCCAGGCTAATTCATAAGATACCAAATAGTTTTGGGGATAATGATGTACTTTCTAAGGTTGGCTGGATGCCTTTAGAGTATTTTTATAAGCTACGTATCTTAACTATTACATATAATGCTTATTATAATTTAGGGTTGCGGGAAATTAATTGTTTGGTGACCAAGAACTCTAACAGTTATAACCTAAGGAAATCCCTGAATGTTGTACTTAATAGGCCCAAAACCGAATTGGGTCGTAGGTCCTTTGCTCATAGATCTGCAGTAGCATGGAATGCACTTCCCGATAATGTTAAAGATTCTCCAAATTTATCTATTTTTAAATATAACTTAAAACAATCCAAGCAAACTGTTATGAATATTAATTTTGAAAAGGGAGGTAATGTTATACAAAACATGAAACCAAATTTTCACTATTACTAAAACTTTATGGTTTACTTGATTTATTCAACTTATAAATTTTATCATATCTGTATTTTATATAATTATAGACTAATTAGTTTAGGCAGGTCCACATCAGCTGTAAAGTTGCGCAAATTTTAACCTGCGTTATCAAATAAAGTTATGTATGTATGTATGTATGTATGCATGCAAAATCTGATTCTCAAAAGTACTACTTAAGGTGATGAAAAAATCTTTACTAGAAATGTTATTCATTTACTAATTAGCCTTTATGTTTTTGTTTTTGCTTTTTATTTATTTTTCTGTTTTGCAGAGCTACCTTAAATGTTGCTAACCCTTCGCACTATTTTAGTTTGCAAAGATTGCAACTGAGTTCTTCTTGTATTAAAACCAATTTTGTGAGGGCTTCTAATACAATGTGCGTTTATTGAGAAAACGAAGGTTATTTAAAGGAGCTTAAGGTTATCAGGGTAAGAGGATTTTTCCAGTGTGCAGACACGAATATATTCAGTTTTCGTAAAAGAAAGTATGCTATAACTTTTGGGGCGGACACATTATAGCTTCAGAATGGGAATCTGGGTGGCGAAATCATTGCTTGATGGCAGCGAGTTTTGAATTGAACTTAGTATGGGAAAAATAGAAGATTCGCAAAAGATATCCTTATACTCTCGTAAGCTTCCTCTCTGATCGATTGGCCCTTTTTTCAGTGATGATAACGACGAAAAAAACAGTTTTAACAGTTCATCACTGAATGTAGTTTTAAAATAATTTGAATCATAGATTATCGAATTCTTAGCTCAATGCCTAGTTGGCTAAAACTAGTGTAAGTCATTTGAAAGGAATCAGGTGATGGATGAAATTCACAGTTCTGCTTAACGTGCTTAACGAGCTGGTGATAATGGCCGTGTAAACAAGACCTCGACTCCGAACCAACAGCAACATCTTGTTGGCCTGTTTAGGGGTGACTGATGCATTGACTGGTCTTCTTGGCCGACCATCATATATCCTGTGGAGGATATTCCAATTATTAGTTCATAATACCAGTGAAACAGCTGAAAATTTCATTTCAATTTCATATCTCTACTTTGGACAGCTTCATGCTTTCACCAAAAATTGGTTACTTTTGAGAAGTTTATTGCGATCGAATTTGCGTTGTGCCACCTAAACATTGTTACTGATAGGAAAATGACGATAGCATTGATAGAAATTTGGATCATTTCCTCCATATGTAGAATTCTTGAAAGACGTAACTAATATTTTGTTCTATAGCTAGCCTTGTCGCCATTTCGTTTACCGTTTTCGCTGCCTTCGCATATGTGATTTCATATCATGAAGCACGTCGACATCAAAGGAGTATAAAAGCACAACAATTGCCCCCAAGAGAAGGTGGAGAGATTTACCAAGAAAACGAGGTGATTAGGACAACTGTGTTTGTAATTGGTGCTATTATTTTCTGCCTTCTTCCAGTTTGCTCGTGTCTCATCATTTTAGCTACAGTTTTTCCTGAAGCTTTAGGCCATGTTATGGTGATACGTGCCAATGATTATGCAAGCGATTACTTCACTTTATCGGCTTTAAACCTTAGAAGCACGTTGCCTGTAAACTCACTCTTTCTTATGTTTCCGTTGAAAGACAAATATTGCAAAATAAAAAATGAGATATTGACAATATTTATTTCTGTCCTCATAGCTGTTAAGACCATTGAAGGGAGATGTCACTTTTAAAGACAAGCCTTTTTTTACCAGCCAATCAGCTTCTACTTATGATGTCAAACCATTAGCCATTAGCTATTGTTTATTGGATGCAGTTTTTTTAATTACAGCCTAATATGAGAGACCTAATTGAAAAAAAATTAGCAGTCGAATTGAATTGAGTCTTCCTAAAGATTTGTGTGAGTTGTCATAGTTGCCGATTTTCTCCACACTTTTCCATTCCAAACGCAACCCTTTTCATTTATTTTTTTTATTTAATATGTCTTTCTTCTAATCTACCCACGCATATATTTAATTGATTTAGGAGTTTCACGCAATTCTTCTCCATATTCCCCCACTCCAACTCTTTTTAGTTTATTTTGATGAAAATCTACCCAAAGTTATATCTTGTGATTTCCAACCAAATAAACAACTTCATCAATTAAACAATTGATATATCCGCGTGAAAAGTCAAGCGGGAGCACATGAATAAGTATGGAAGTAACGTTCAATAAAATTGAACTATTTACGCTTCGCCGCTAATATTTCAGATATAAATATAATATTTTCGCCACTGCAATTAAACGTCGCGAGAACAAGAGGCATTCTCCCAATGAAAATATAGTAAGATTCAAAGAGTCGCTCCATGAGGTTGACTTGATCCTCATCGGGCTTTGAACTCACCGCAGCAAACAAAATTTCGTAACCTCTTTAACAGTATAATCAGGAATTGCTGTAATTGATATGCGAGAAAAAGACAAGTGGAAACACATGCACACTAGAGTAGAGTGTGTCTATAAAAGCTTCTGAAAAACAGCAACAGATCGAACGCATTGATCAGAAAGTTCGTCTGGTCTTCACTAGGCAACCAACTCAACCTATATATAGCAGATTTTTTTCTGTGCTGAGTTTAAAAATGCTAAAAAGATGACTAGTGCAGCAAGTGTCCCACTAGAGGTTAGTTACATTATCACTATAATCATCAACAGCGTTTCTTGTCCCTTCACAGTTTTGCTGAATGTGCTGATCATAAAGGCCGTGCTGACGAGTCCTCGTCTCCGAACCAACAGTAATTTATTGCTGGCCTGTTTAGCGGTGACTGACGCATTGACCGGTCTCTTTGGCCAACCTTCGTATGTTCTATGGAGGATATTCCTGATATTCGGTTTCAGTAGCAGTGAAACAGCTAAACATTTCCATGCCAATGTTATGCATATTTTAGCAACTGCTTCGTACCTTCATCTGATGTTGATTACTTTCGAGAGGCTCATAGCGATCAAATTTACAATGCAATACTCAAACGTTATGACAAATAACAACCTGAAGATAGCAGTGTCAGCAATTTGGATCATTGGTTTCATGAATGGTATTTTTACAGCGTTAAGAATGAACCTAGCTCTGTATTATTTCGGAAGCCTCATCACAATTTCATGTGTCGTGCTTGTTGCCTTCGCATATGTGATTTTGTATCATGAAACCCGCCGCCATCGAAGGAAGATAAAAGCACAACAACTGCCCCAAGAGGAAGTGGAAAGATCTACCAAAGAGAACAAAGCGCTTAAGACAACAGTGTTTGTAGTTGGTGCTGTTATTGTGAGCCTTCTTCCAGCTGGTTTCTGTTTCATCGGTTTAGCTAAAGATCTTTTTGTTACCTGCCCCATCAATGAACCACTCTGGCAAACCTGTGTGATGTTGAACTCACTTGTTAATCCACTGATCTACTGCTTTAGACAAAAAGAAATGAGAAAGGTTGTATTTAGAAAAAGAACACAGGTCATATATCCAGCCATGCAGTGTTGAAGAGTAATGAGTAAAAAGATTTCAGAAAGTGCTAATGATAATAATAATTAGAATTGTTTATGTGCACTTTGCTAACCTTTACTTGCATTTTTCATTCACCTATGGACGAAATTCCTTAGTCATTGCTTTATATGACGATTGCCTTTTTCAACTGGATATCTGAATCGATCATCGTCTGCAAAGGCTGATTCTCAAAGGACTGCTAAATGTTTGTGACCATGGTTTGTGTTTTCTGGTGATAAGATTAAGTTCTTAACCCTTTGGAAAAGTAGCAGATTTGATATCAGAATAAACCCTTTATAGACAAAAATTATCGTTTTCCCGATTGATCGCTCTCCTAACGCCAATCCTTATTCTGTTAAGATGCTGGAATACTCCGTTCAAAGTTTGTTGACTAGTTGTCAAAATGATCGATATTCTAGATGGCTCAAATTTGGCGATACTTTCACTCAACCGTCGGCTACATGCCATTTCCTTGCTGGTGACTGCCAATTCACTTAGTGGACGTATTGTCTTTGCAGAGCGCAAATCCAAACAATAGCGTAGGGTTTTATTTCGTCCAACGTGACCCATGCTATAAGTGCTGGCTCCAGTCCTAAGGCTACTGTAAAGGCCAACCGATAGTAAACATACCGCTCGTTTCTTAATCATTATCTCCACGAAGCAGCAAAAAGTTTTTCCTTGTTAAGCAAAGGGTACTAAAATAGATTTTTTTGGCCAAATTTAAACAATTTTGTAGCAGTGATTTTGCCAGTGACAATGTATCGCTACTTCCGGCCAAACAGTCAAATAGCCGCTCACCAGCGCCATTCAACACACTTACGAGTCAGCAGGACTCAGTGTTGCCTAACAGAGAACTTCGACCAGAATCATTGAAGTCCCAGCCAGGATAATCTTATGGTTATAATTCTGGCAGAAACAGAGATTTGCTATACATTACCAACCAGCAAGGCATTATAACAGTCAATTTCCCATGAAAACGTCAATTAGTTCTGCGGCTCCGTCGCTAGTTATACAAAGCAGCTATGCTAGGTTTGGTATCCCATGTGTTGTGCCGAATACCGTTAGTTTTGACTTTGCCACTTCAATAGTACCATGCCTGTGAAGTCACCCTCAATCACGCCTACTTAGCGAAAAAAGAGAATGACAGCATTTACTTTTATCTACCAAAACTGGAAATACGAAATCGTTGCTCGTCAAATGATTAAGTGCACTTGAGCTTTTAGGCCAACCCCAGTTCAAGAGAGATGAAGAAACAAAGTAACAGAAAAAGAAACAGTAGGCATTTAGGGCCTTAAAATTCTAATAAATTGAGCTACAGCTGATGAAGTCAAGCGAGCTTAAAAGCTACTAGAATGACGTTTTCAGGTTACTAAGTTATAAGTTTTCTTATTTCCAGTGTACACACACACATTTTCATTTAAAATATTTTTCCTAACCTTGGTAGAAACAAATAATATTTTGCTGTGTGAACAGGTCTCGAAAATAGTATGGAGATTTATCAGAGGATGTGGACGTTGTTTAACGGTAGCAAGTTATTAACTGAAACATGCCATGGAAAAACTACTAGAAAAGCATTTTTATCTGCATGATTTTCCCAAATACCAAAAACCCTGACAATAATAGTAAACTCCTAAATGCCATCGTTATTCTCGGGTAAGCCTCCAGTCTAATTTAGTAGCTACCTTTCAATCACTACAATGATAAATAGAGAATAATATATGGGCGCGCGTAGATATGGAATTTCTCTTCGCGTACTTAACTCGATAGCCGACTTCATTAATGAATGAAAATAAATGTAGGACAATCCCCGAATAACAATCGTAGAATGTTGACTGTTACAAAATCAAAACAATGGTCGTAATTTTCAATTTACAAAATTCTCATTTATTGACTTTGTCCTTACCGACAGAAGAAGTTTTTCAGGTAAACGGCCAAATTGGCCAGTGGCAAATCCTCCAGTTGTCGATTTTCATTCTTAGCCGAGAGAAATGCCAACATCAAAGCCACTGAATACGTAACTTTCGGTTTTTCTTTTAGAATATTGGTTTTCTTCCCCTTCTAGGAAAGTTTGAACCTCGTTGTCTGTTAGCGATACGGATTTTTTAGTGTTTTAGCCGCCATAATTTGAGAAAGCTCCGACAAACAACTTTTATTGAGAATCGTGAAGGCTTTGCTGTTTACTCATCAACCTAACCGAGTGGCGCCAAAGGCGAGTTACGTGTCAGCGGCTGATTGGCTATATCAACACACGTTAAAAAATACTCTTTTTTCACTTGTGCTGTTACGGCTTTTCTCAGGGCCGGAAATCCCTGTATAACACCGCAGTTTATGTGATAATATCTTTTAACTGGAGTTCATTTGGAGAGAGTGTGCAAAAGCCCAAGCCAAATTAAGTAACCACGGTGGCCAATCAGAGCAAAGAAAAAGGAAACCGAGGAGCTCGAAAGAGTAAGCTGAAATAAAAAGGCGCACAGTTTACCGCTGGATAAAGTTTCAAAATAGCTACCCACTTAACATGTTGATTTTCAGGTTTAATGCTTACTTGAATGAAACTAAAGATCAAATCATTGGGGAGGGAAATATTTGATGAATAAAATTCAAACCCATAACGGAAAACTGGAAGGTTATTCTATGCAATGTTAAGCCTTTTAAAGTTGATTGGCCGCCGTAAAGAGTATAAAAGCTGACGATTCGAGCGTTAGCCCTTCGTCAGGGCGATTGGAGAGGTTTATATGCAAAACATGGGACTACGCAATTGGTGGGAATATGGTGACGAGATAACAAAAATAAATTAGTTGAATGAAAAGCGCTCGTTAATACCGTGGAGATTAAGTGTGCCGACGTCAAAGATAAATTTTTTTCTAGGGTTTTGCGGCTCTCCGAACTGCCTAGATGTAGGGAAAAGCCGCAAACTGCAAGCTAACTATAATAAGCTGCTTAGAATTGTTAGGGAGATTAAAGTGTCAAGCAGCCGACAAAGGCGGCGCAGTCGTTCTTTGGCGGGCCGACCTCTACCAAAAAGAAGCTTTGCGGCAACTTTCTGACACCTATTATTATGCAAAAGTCGATAGAGATCCCACTTTTATTAATCAAAACATTGTCAAAAACACGATTAACGATCTTTTAGCTAAATAAGAATTGCCCGCCACGGCAAAAAATCTCACCATCACCACTCCTAGAACTTCGTGTATATACTATTCACCTAAAATCCACAAGCCAATCAACCCAGGTCGACTTATTGACCTATCTATTTAGACAAAATTATGCCGGGACCTATCGTCAAAACGTTATCATCATACATAAAGAACAGCAAACAGGCACTTGAAATTTTTCGCGACTTCAATTTCCTTAGCCAAAACAAACTTCTTTTCACTATGGATACAATATCTCTCTATACTGTCATTCCCAATGATGAAGGTTTCCAAGCCCTCAATCATTTTTTCGATCAATGAACTGTTAAGGAACCTAGCTCTGAAACACTACTCTGTTAAGTCAAACTAGTACTATCACTCAATTGTAATTCATTCGGTGGCAACTACTACAAATGGGACCCAGTTACGCCAATCTCTTCGTGGGTTTTATCGAACACTCATTTTTCAGTCAACACAACGGCCCCAAAGCTGAACTCTACTGTCGCTAAATTGACAATTGCGTCTCTCCTAGAAAGGAGCACACTCAATTTATAACCCCTGTCAATTCCTTTCAAACGGCTCAGAAATATACCTCGGAAATTTCTTTCGTCACCATGTTCAAATCAATAGCATAGCACCTTTTTCTGTATATAAACAAACAACACACAATTCCTCCATTCGCTATAACGAAGGGCTAACGCTCAAACGTCAGCTTTTAAACCTTCACGGTTGCCAATCTACGTTATCAACTCAGTTGATAATACTAAATTACCCTGTTACACTCTCCCACCGACGTAGCACCACAGTTTCTTTAGAAACTTACCCCCTATATTCTTTTAAAGGAAGATCTTAGATTCGTTATTTTGCCGGAAAATAGACATCTGCTATAAATTGCCAGTTAGCGTGACTTTATAACATTCAAATTCCCAGGAAAACGTAGATTTTCCCTTATAACTAGTAAGTAAGTAAGCAAGTAAGTAAAGTAAAAGCTTTATTAATATGTCAATGCATTTAGTTTTCACAACTAATTGGGGACACAAAAAAATACATAAATAAATAAATAAAAAATAGATAAGATAAAATAGAATTATTCACAAATAGGAAATTACAAAGGATGTTTATATAATTCATATGAATAACATGTATAAATTGCGCAATAAACAGTAGGTATATATAAAAGGTGGTCTCTAAGAGTTACACAGGTTACAATAGCTATTGTTGTTGTTTAAGAGTGACGATAGGTCTTTTTTCCTAATGTTCTTTTTTAAGGATTCAATATTCAAGGAGCCTTTAAATTTATTATCCAGTTTTGACCATATATGGGGTCCTTGTTATCTCAGAGAAACTAATTATGATGATCAGATAAATTTGATATTAGGGCCCCATGCTGTGCTAGTTATAGTTCCTTCACTATGTAGACACTGATATTTCTTATAGCTTATGTGTATATCTGTGCGATAGCATTCCATGAACCACTTTATTTACATAGTACATTTTGGAGGAAAGCTGGAAGAGGGGCAATATAGAACGCCGCGCATGATCAGAGTAAAGTAATGGAAATTGAACAAACAAGGATTTCATGGCAATTTAGACTCCCTCATATACAGAAATAAGGAATCAACAAAGGGAAATGTATATTTGTTTCACTGTTATAGGTATCATATTGATATCGTTTCTTTTTATGTTTTTTGAAATTCTGATTGGTACCACCTGCAATTACACATGGGGATCCTGCCAATCCCACCTACAAACTTTAGCGGAATTCTTACAATCCCCGGTGGGACCTTGCCTGTCCTACACGGGATGCTCTCTGGGGTGTTCTTTGCTTAAACACAACACTCTCCACAGTCCCAGGTAAGATCCCGGCTGGGGATACTAAACATACTCTACAAAATTCCAGTTAGCATCCCACGTGGTACTCTTCTGAAAGTTGTGAATTTATCCTCGTGAGGACTCTTCCTCTAATGAGTCCTAGGTGAACTGCACTTTACTCTATGTGTTTCCTTGTGAAAAACATTCAACGAGATTACAACATTCTGAACATAGAATTCTCATATAGAATAAGCCACATGCCATTAACTCTGATCGGTGACAAAACTGTTGACACAATGACCTTTTCAACCCCCTGTCACTTCAATTGGATCTCTTTTGCCCTTGTTAAGTAAACCTATTCGCCCTCTTCTCTCCCAAAACAAAGTTGTACTGTGATTCCATGAACTTTTAGCTACATGCAGACAACATTGAATGGGGGAGGGGAGGGGGGTTTTGTCAATGGAGTGTGGTAAAGACAGGAGTGTTATTCTACATATATAGATAGGGCTCTTTTAACTGATTTTGACGCTGATCGTAGCTTGTACTCCAAAATAGCCTATCAGCCTTTTAGAAAATTTCTTAACAGAAAGGTAAATTTTGAAACGATTACAAAGCACATGTTGGAGTACAGTTATAGACAAGGTAAAAATTGATTTTTCGCTGGCTAAAATGCACTTAGGCACGTACGATCGAACTTTGATCTGTGATCCGAAAGATCCTAATTTCATTTTGAAGTTCAACAGCGAGAAGGTTTCAGAGAATTACACGCTGTACTCACCAAATACTTCCAAGTTTGAAGCCACTGCTTTGCAAACAATAACGTTTACTCATTCAATAATCTGTTTCAAGTTTCAACCATAACAAAAGTAAAGAGTAATTACAAATAACTTTGGTTCTGGTAAACATTCTTAAAAATGAATCGCCGGAAACTTTTGTCATCGACGATCATAATAAGAATGCATATCATTAAATACAACAAATATTATAAAAGGAAACTCCAGCGAAAAATATATTTACAAGAGCAAAAAAGTTGAGGATCTCAGTTTCTGCATTACATATTCACATTGATTAAGGATTGTATTTCTGTAGCCATACATAGATTTTCGGCCCTCCTCAGTTAGAGTTTTTTCATCAAGTTTGGACCTGATTTATTCTTTTTTCGCATTTTTTTTACTTTGGATGTTATAAGTGGGAACTTTCATTACTGACACTAAAAGGATTATAGGTAGAATGGTCAAGAATTTACTTGTCTTCAAACCTGAAACTGATATCCTATGCTTTCTATGACGCTTTCGACATCGCTAATCCTGCATTATGCAGACGCTTCCACCAAAAGTCGAAATGAAGGCTGTTAGAACCTATTTCGTGTTTTTTTGAAAGATTTTCAACTGTTCTATTTGAGTAATGGAGTCTGGGTACTCATTCAGAAGGTTTGCTCGAACTTCGACTGAAGTAAAGTTAGCGAAAAGAACATTTGAGAGAAGAAAATAGCAGCGAGAAAGTTGAAGGGGGAAACTTTCATTTTCTCGCTCGACGGACCATCGAATCATGACTTCCCCGCTCTGAGATTTATCTTTCATAGTATGAGAGCAGTTCAAATCTCGCGCGCGCTACGCAGTGTGACTGAGACTTAATTCTTTGTGTGCATAATAAGTAATGGTAATAGGACTGAGTGGAGTCCAATTCGGTCTGTAATCATACGAGTGATAACAAAATCGGACGACCGCGCAGTGGAAGTCCGATTTGTTTATCACGAGTATGATAACAAACTTTCCGATAAAAAAAAGTACACATAAAGAGGTTGAAGATACACCGAAATTTTTTTTCCGATTACTGGCGAACTTTTTCGCGTCGCTTCGGCCAAAGTCCCTCAGCGCTACAAAGAACAAAAGGACTATTGTTTAATACTTAACGTGAAAAGTTGAGCTTGAACAATAGACCATTTCATGATACGCGGCCTAAATGTGCTCTCCCTTTCCCCACCTCTTTTTCATATTCGAACCTTGCACGACACAATGCATATGTCTATTTATAATTTAAAAACCTATGACACGTTAAGAAACAAAATACCCTACGGCTAGTCGTTTAAAAGAAAAAGAAAAATCATGGCCGTTTTTTTTTTTCACGAGAAGATGAACGCCTATATTTATGTAGAGTGTGTACAAATGACGCCGGTGCAAACTGTCATGTTTCAATGCTCAATGAAACACGACGCGTAAAGAAAAAGATAAAAACTCAACAGATGCCTCAAGAACAAGTGAAACAAATAGTCAGCGATGGCAAGGCACTTAAGACAACAATGTTCTTAGTTGCCATTATATTTTGCCTGTTTCCAGGTTCTGTTTATGGTCTCCTACGCTTTATTGTGGGTACTATACAGTAAGATACAATGCAATACAATACTTTATTTACCCACGCTACATCTAGGAGTGATAAAAACTCGTTAAAATAAGTGCGTGAAACGAAAAACGTTAAAGAGAAAAGAAATAATGTACATACGTCGATCTAATGCCTTTGATGCCCAAAATTTTCATGAAAACGTACTAACGTGCGTCACATCTGTCATTTACACTATGCACGCAGTTATCAGTGAATATGAAATAATTTTAACCAATCAATTAATTACGAAATCCATACGTGGAATAGTAGATCTGACTTCAGATATAAATATACTTGAATTCATATAACACCAAGACGTTATTATTAGACTTTAATTTGACTCTGGCAAGCTTCAGTTAAGAGCTGATGTATGTCTCTCAATAAAAAGTTCATATTGCAGTACTACGGCAAGATTCAATGACTGATTCATCATAGTTTAGCTGTTCCTTGATAGATACTATGTGAACAATGGAAAAAGGATGTTATGCTGTAGCAAGGAGCCCTCCTTATTAATTCATGGTGAAAAATACTCCTAAATTCGACTGAAATTTGTTTGAGTTTCACTCAGTATGCTTCGCAGACCTGGGATTCAAATGTACGCTGAGCCCGTATGTAGTCATGTCTTTTGAGTAAGAAAATTGCGCATGCGTTCTCATCATAACAACATGGTGGACGTGACGGAACTCTGCGAAGATGGCTACAGATTGGCAATACAGGCTGTAGATTTAGACAAAATGGGCAGTGGAGGTGCAGCTGCTTTTTTCTACATTGAAGCTGCCGAAGCTCTCATCAAAGCATTGTCATATGATCCCAGTTTAGAGGTGAGAGATAAAGCTTCGCAGTATGTCAGGCGAGCCGAGGAGCTCCGAGCGCTGGAAGAAGGTAAACTTCACATAACTTAGCTTCGATCTTATGTCGTTGGAATATTTATATACGTCTTCATTGTGGGTGGGACGTTGCTGGTAGATATAATGAAATTAGGTCAAAATGTCAATTTATCTGTATTCTTGAAGAACAAAATTATTTGTTGTTACTTTTTTAAATACTCTAAATGTACTTCCGGGATTTCCTAGGAACTTTTTAGCCAAAATTGTCAAAAGCATATCAAGAAAGTATTATAGTGATTACGATATTTCTATATTCCGGTTAATACCGTATACGCTCTAAATTAGAGAATCGTAGAGACATTTTAAATATGGTTGAATGAAGATCAGCTTTACGAACCATCAATTTTACAACAATCTACAACTTATTAGTTATCATACATGTACAACGCACATGTAGTTCACGAGATTAGTTAGTTTGTAACAGATATCAGACAGAATATCAAAAACTATATGTAGTGAATGTTTTATTAAATTTAGTCTTTTTCAACTATGTTTCCTCAGGTTCATCTCACGCACCTACTTCTTTCAAGACTTCACAACAGGCAATGAAATAATTTTTGATCAACTGATTTATCATTTCATTGTTCAAGTAGCCTTTCCATGTCTTCTAATAACCTTAAGGAAGATGAGAGGTATTTGAAATAATATTCATTCATTATGTGTGTAGAATGGTGTGGAGAGAGCAGAATTTCTGCTGAAGCAAGCACTACATGAAGATGAAAGAGGCAGACAAATTGATGCTTTACCTCTCTACACTGATGCAGCCGATCTTTGCATCAAAACTGTGAGTTGGTATTCTGTTAAGACTGAATTAGCTTTTTATTGCTAGCACTTACTGTTTTCACTGTTGCCACAAGTATTATAATTTCTATTAGCTTATTTACAATGTAATTAAGCTAATTGGTGATGACCTTTTTTTCTGAAGACATTAAGCTTTTTTCCATAGCCTTTTTGGCAGGGGTGCTTTGCAAAATCTTTGCTTTACTTAATAAGCTTTTCTGTCTTGCAGTGATTCCTGTAACTTCTGTCTTCCTGTCCGATATATACAAATGAATACCCATTGTTCTTCAATCATGGCCTGGATCTTTTGAACTTTCACTATGTGTTAAATACTGATTTCGTTCTTCATGTATCTTCTGTTCTTTTTACGCCACTCATGTAACAAACAGACAGGGCTTCCTTCTTCTTCTTCATCCTGTTGAGTGATGAGGAGATATATACATGTATCTCTGTCATATGAAAAAAAAATTGGTTACAGACCTAAGGTTGTTCAAATGAAGGTTCAGATCAACTGTCAGTTGATTATCTGACATTATCTGATCATTTAACCCTTAAACTCCAGCGAGTGACCAAGACAGAATTTCTCCTTTCTACATCTATACAATATCATGCAGACAAGTGATGAGAATAAAGAAAAATATCAATTATGGGAGTGATAATTGATCCAATACCAAATTCTCCAAACTAACATAATGAGAATCATTTGACAGACATTAAGGAGAATTACTAATGAGATCTTGGGAGTTAAAGGGTTAAGCACAATGCCCATCATGTAGTACATCCTTTAAATTCTTGTTTTATGTACAATATAATTTGCATTATGTATTATTGCCTTTTCATTTGTAGAGCAGCAGTCTACCAGATAGTGATAATTTAAAGAAAAAACTCCATGGTCTTGCCAAGCAAGCAATAGAGAGGTAAATGGTTTCAGATTTGGCAAATTACAAGCAAGATAAAGATATTGATATCTAGTGACTAGCATCTAATTTCTCCTTACAATATCACCACTGAATCATGCATTAATGTCATGAGAACAAAGGAAATGATCAACAACTAAAGAAAATTCTTGATTGTTAAACAAATTCTCTTTTTCAGCACCTTGTAAATGTAAAGAGATCAGTATGGAGAATATGAATGCTGATGTTAGGGTGTGAAGGGTTAATTTTCATTGAACTTTAAAATCTCTCCTACATTACATGTATATATTGTACTTGCACATAAAATAGTTTTTGATATTTTTATGTGGTAATGGCCAACCAATGTACAACCCTCATTCTTTAGTCTTTCAATCCGGATGGTGAAGTTTGACAAGGGATGAATTGTGCAGATTCTCCAGAATACGTTGGGTATATAAAGTATACTAAAGAAATTGCACAGACTTTTAATCCTCTATTCTCAGAGCTGAGGCAATTAAGGCAACATTAAGTACTAAGCCAGGAGGCACTGGGTCAGATTCAACAACAATCACTAGGGGTGTGAAGGACCTTTCCTTAATGTCGTCTGGAGAATCAACCCCTGGGACAAGCACTGGGGACAAGAGACCTCATCTCACAGTCAAGGAATTGGAAGTTTTAAAGTAAGACATCTTTGTTGCATCTTTATTTTTCACCCTTTTTTATTGCTATTTTGAGTGAAGATGAGATGCAACAATATTACCTGCATTTGTATATGTTGTGGTGCAACATTTTCATGGTTTGATGTCTTTCGTATGAGTTTCCTTTTTCTTTTTCTAACCTTACAGAACATAAAAAAAATAGAAAATCAAAATAAACTGGCTTGCAATGTTCAAAAAGAGGAATTTTGTTACAGAATTTTTAACTGGACAGATACATTTGTCTATAACTTTTACTATGAAAATTCAAGGAGTTTGTTTCCTTGGTTCAAGCTTAATGCATGAATAAAATGTTCTTCTGAAATTGAGAAGCATTGAGAGATATTACATGTAACTAGAGTTTATTTCTACAATCTACCTGAAGTTAAAAATGTTCAAATGATCTTACTTGAGGATTTAATATTTGAATATAATATTTATATTAAGAACTTTATGCCTTTAATTTTTCTTTTACCAATATATACTGTATGCATTCATTTGGAGTACAGGTATGCCCGTATCGCAAACTGGAAAACTTTGACTGTCAGCATCATACACAGTGTAGCAATGTAAATTTTGAGTGAGAATGTGTTTATACTTTTCTCAGGAGAACTTCTTATATAAATGGTAAGCTGTACCCTCCCTGGCTGGATATTGACCTGAAAGAAAGATTTGCTTATCCTGACTGTTATAGGTAATGTGTACACATTGTCAATTTTGATACAGTAAATAATATGACAAGAGGTTTTTAGTTGTATACTATTAGCTATGGAAGATGTGGTAACCTAATGTTTAGACCTTTAATCCAAATTAAAACATTGTCTCTTGTCTTGGAGATCACAGTGATGGCCTAACAGTTGATCTACTGGTGCCAGTTGTTCAAAGGCTGATTAGTGCTGACCGAGGTTAAATTTGAATCCAGGTTTTACTACTGTTCAAAAGCCTCTATTGAGACAAACTTTCCTTTCCTTTTTAAAGCATGCCATTATCAGATTGAAGACAGAAAGAATTACACTGGATTTTCTTCAAAAACTTTCAAATTTGAAATCAGGTCTAACACAAACCCTTGGTTAGTCCAGGCCCAGCTTTGAACAACCTGGCCCTGGACTCTGGGTTTACAACTAGACTGGGTCATTGTCTTGCATTCTTGGGCAAGGTGCTTAACTCTCATGCTGGTGGGAGGGGCTGTGATCTCATCCATGCGGGGAGAAGTAAGACACTGATTAGCTCCAGCTGGATGGGCTACTTGCCTAGAGTGGAGACATTTCTCAATTGAGAGGTGCAAGTGTAAGCTTTGGCTTTGGTTATGTGTTCATCTTGAGCAAGACGCTTTGCTCTTAGAAGTAGTCTCTTTTCTCAGAAGTATGAACAGGTACTGGCAAACCGTTAGAGAAAGTTGGCAAATTTCAGGGCTGGAGGAGACTTATAATGGCTAAGCATGCTGTCAGGGAGGGGGTGGGGGGGTAAAAGTGTTCCTTGTCCTTTTGTACTTCAGAGATTCAAGAAAGCTCCAGCAGTAGGAGCCTTCAACATTTCTTCCACCAATGGTCATTTTACCGTTGTCCATGCAGGGGGGGGGGGGGTTTAAACCTTGCCTCTCTAGGGGGAGAAATTTGAATAAGAAGTGCTAAGTCTTTCTAGCAGAATGTAGGTGTGTTATTTCTTAATATGGAGGTATTTAAAGATAAAAGGTTCACTTTTGTGAGTGAATAGCTCAGAAGAAAAGGTATAAATAAGGTGTAGGTTTTAAAGCTCGGAGTAGAAAGTTATGGTTGCTAATTTTGATGTTGGCCCTAGGGGTGGGAATTTGAACAAACAATCTTTTAAAGTTCAAGTGTGGGATGGGAAGGGGGGTTGCCCATGGGTGGTGTTGAAGCTTTGAATCAATGAACACATATCTACTCACATTCTCACATTTTAATAATGTATCTTAACATTTGTTACTGTAGTGATAAAGATGGTCAGCTTGCCCTGTCACAGAAACAGAAAGCTCGCTTTACTAAATGGTTAAGGTATGTCCAATATATCAACATTACATATCACTTAAATTCATATCTTCTGAATAGATACTTGTCCGAAGTAGAGCTAAATTTCCAAACATGAAATCAGCATTAACATGCTTAACATTTCCCATATCACTTCGTTATCGTGACTGTAACTTTAAATTCTTTGTCAGGCCAACAGAGTTGTGTGAAAACCCAGAAATGATTTATGCTATATCAAGCTTCAGTATCAAACAGGTAAATTATTATGAATACTGAGAAAAAAAAACGCTGTAAAATCATCTGAAACGCAAATCTTAATCTTAGATTTTAAAAGGTCATACATTCCCAACAATTTAACGCCAAATTACGTCAAACAACAGTTCAAGCTCGAATATTTTCAAAGTCGCCATTTGACCACCTAAAATCATGAAGTGGTCGCCAGAAATAAAACTTAAGACTGATTACACACAGAAATGGACGACACATAGTCTTCCCACCAATGAATGGAAACTATGACGAATTAAAGAAAACAAACAAAAAAAATAAAACAAAACATTTGTCCAACGTTTGAACATGGTCTTTACTAAATTGAAAAAAAAAAAAAAAATATTTATCTTCCACCACAAAAATTATTGAACGCAATAATCTATACCACAGCGAGAGGAAATGATGCTTACTGTCCGCTTGGAGAGCATGGATGCCGTGGTAGTGAGAGTGTTCGCCTCCCACCACTGTGGCCCGGGGTGGATTCCCGGACCTGACGTCACATGGGGGGTCCTCCGGGTTTGCTCCTTCCGCATCAATAAACATTCTAAATTTCATTTTTACGTGGAAACAGTGGACAAGAAGAGCCACCTCGTGTAATGTCCACCACTAAAAAATTCCCATTCTCATTCTCAATCCCAGAATTCCCATTACGCCGCTGGTGACTAACGCTAATCGAGAATTTTGTTATGTTTTTGATTAACCCTCAAAGTCTCAATAATTATTCAAACGTATTGTAAGCAAAAAGTTCTTTCCTTCTCTTTTCTCAGACCATTGTGTCAGATTGCTCTTTTCTGGCCTCGCTGGCGATCAGTGCTGCTTACGAGAGAAACTTTAAAAAGACTCTTATTACAAGGTAGTACTGTAATTTTAGAGTATCATAGTCTGTAATACAGGTTACTTTTTAGCCCTTTATCTCATTTTTAGCCCTTTATCCTTACAATATCAATACAACATTAAGCAGACAAAAGATGAGAATGAAGACAAATATTACTTGGGGTATTATCAGTTGATCCAATACCAAATTCTCCGAACTAACATCATAAAAATTTTCTGGCAGACAGTAAGGAGATTTTCCAGTAAGTTCTTGGGAATGAAAAGATTACGGAAGGCGAGATAGCGTTACAAACTTGTTATATATGGTTTAGGTTCATAGAACAGACCATAGTGGACGGAGAGAAGATGAGACGAGATAATTCCATTTTTTTTTAGATAAAATTCAATTCTCTCTCAAGCTTTTCTTTCTTGCTCGCCATAAGTATTGCTCCATAACATAAAATCGTAAAGACAAAGCAGTCTTAAGTGCGTCTTCCATTTTGTTTTTGGCACGTTTGGGCGATATATGATTTAAATCAGTAAGGCGGCCTCAATGAATCACTACTTAGTGAATTGAAATTAATGATACGCCCATTTTTAAAATAGTGCAGCCCGATGAGAAGGCTCAAGAAAGAACTTAACTCGATTGACTGGAGAGCCGGCGCTTATGCTACGAAATTTCTTACTAGAACCGTGTGCTAGTGATTTTTAGTCTCCTTGCGGGTCTCAGACTGGTTTTTTTTCATTTTGAGTTCACTTTACAAACCACGGGACAAGGGCATATCTCTTATGCTTATATACAGCAATTTTATGAAGAGCAACCGAGGTATTCTTATTTTCTCTCTGTCCAAAATTCTCGCGCCTCCCTCTCAACCAATCAGATACGAAAGTAAATCACATAACCAGGTGAAGACTCTCGTTTCCCGCGCTTGAAGCATGTCTAGTGTACTTTACTACGTTCTCCTTGGCTCCCTGTGTGATCTACCTTCGTTTTGATTGGCTGTTATGATAGCTTTTGTTTTACTTTCACGATGTTCAATCGAAAAGCATTTGAGTGGAAACATTATTTAATATACTGAGGTTACAATTACAAGGAAAATTATGATAGAATTTTTGCAGGTGTCTTGCGTTTTCTCACGTTAATTGAACTGGGTGTCTGTATTCTTGTTCCAAATAGTATCATTTACCCACAAAATCGCGCGGGAAAACCAGTTATTAATCCATCTGGAAAATACATGATTAAGCTGCGAATCAATGGAGTTTCAAGAAAGGTAAACTTACGGTGTATGTATTTAGCCATCTTTGACAATCCACGCATTATTTTTTCATTTTTAATTACTTGCAAAAATTCAGTGTTCTGTTCACTGTTTGAAGGCCATTGGCTTTCGTTAACGTATTGTTGCAGATCATGGTATAAGATTTGTACCTTAAAAAAAGTTGTTACTTTTCTCGTCTCTACCGTGAGAAAAATAGAAAAGTCTGATTGCCACACTAGGAATCGAACCCCACACTGTCCTTTTCCCCGGTCTGATGCTATACCATTGAAAGTTGTTCGCAAGGTTCATAGGTGACAACATTCCTACATACCACTGGATGAGTATAGACGAAAGCAATGTGTTCATAGATAGAATATAACAGATGATGAATTTTAAATTCTGAGGTCTCTTTAGCTCAATAGTAGAGTATGGAACCCTAAAATCCAACGGTGTGTGGTTGGTTTTCCGTGGGTATGACATATTTTTCCGTTTTACGCTCGTGACAAAACAAATAACGCCCTTCCTCATTCAATGACTAAGTTCGTAAACTTTTCATCTTTAATTTTTAAGTTTTAATTTCTTAACTTCTTTTCCCAGGTGATTATTGATGATACCCTTCCTGTTGGAAGAGATGGAGAACTGCTCTGCTCCTACTCCAACAATCGCAATGAAATGTGGGTCAGTCTTATTGAAAAGGCTTATTTAAAGGTAGGTCACTTCCCGTTCAAAAGTTAACTTCTACTGTGTAGTTGACGTTTTCTTTGTTTACTTCACATTTTCTTATCTCTACGGGAAAATCTCAGCTTCCCACCCATCCTGTGGTAACACATCTTTTATTGGACTTTTGATAACCGGACTCGCACATGTATGTCCTCATGGAGGGGGTAAGGGGGGAGACTTTGCCTGTTGAAGATGATTTGCATGATCCGTGAGTTTGATGATTTGTTTGTATTTAATGTTTTGTTTTGGACAGGTGATGGGAGGATACGATTTCCCCGGGTCCAACTCCGTAAGTAAATTCGCAGTAATATACAAAGTGCTCAGTGGTCAATACGCTGGACTCCAAGTCGAGAGGTCCTGGCTCGATTCTCGACCGGTCATTCTGTTGTGTTGTTAGACAAGTCACTCCACTCTTGCAGTGTCCTCCTGGAATATAATTATTCAATAGTTCCGAGTTTAGAAAGCTAAGTGGTCAAATGTACCGCGGGCATGCCAGCGTCACGGCTTTGTCCAGTAGTCCAGTGGTCAGTGTAAAGGGCTCCGAGTCGGACGACCCGGGTTCTAGTCCCGGCCGAGGAAAGGCGTTGTGCCCTTGAGACGTGCGGGAAAAAAATGCGAGCTCCGCTTTTAGGCTTGGCTAAATCTCTATATTATGTCTTATGTGTGTTAGCAGACTCACAGTGTGATTCGCTTGTGGTCTAAAGCGTCTCGTAAGGAAGTAGACTCAGAGTAGGAATGTAGACTTTGAGTTTGATCTTCCAATGAAGTACAGAGAGAGGAATTTTTTGCTGAAGTTTTGATAAGTTTTCTATTTTGTTTCAGAGCATTGACCTACACGCTCTTACAGGCTGGATTCCCGAGAGAATGTCGATAAAACGAAACAATCCAACGTTTAATGAGAGTATGCATTTCGATCGTCTCTTGAATGGAGTGAGAAGTGGTAAGACTTTTCCTTATATTTGTTTGTACAAACCCTTGTATGGGTAAAATGCAGGAAACAGTGACCGCTTTTTTTCTGATTTTTAGTGTCAAATGTCCATTACATTGTAGTGCTGGCACAGAATTGGAGAGGACTTGGAATGAATGACAGAAAAGACAATTGCAAAAAAAGGCATTTTAGGCTACATCTGACTGATCAATTGTTATCAATCAAGTTTAAAATTTTCGACCCGAATCGACTCAATTAATTTTTATCTCAATTTTCGAAAGTGTCGTTTGCGCAGATGGGAAATCGTCTTCTTTAAGCCCGTCTGCTTGTGGCCACGAGTCTCCCATCTGGAGATCATCGCACTTTAAATCGTGAAACCGTGAGAAAAAACCCTAAATTATTACCTCAAATCCTCAAAGAAGATATCTTCGTCAAAACTGTGTCATGCTGACTCAAACTCGTCCTAACTGTCACCAGATTAGTGTTTCAATGTTAAATACTGGAAAGATGTAAAAGATTGAACATGGCTGCGGGTTTTTACATCTGACGCAATGGAAAAAATGTAACCAACCATATCATTCATTTGTGTCCCAGGGGACTGTCTCGTCACGGTCGCAACAGGCCCAATGAGCGAAAGCGAGGCTGACCGAGCGGGACTTGTGCCCACTCATGCCTATGCATTGTTAGACATCAGGAAAGTCAAGGTATGCCTGCACTCCCTTTTTTTTGTTGTTACCTCGGAATTCCCACGCGTTGTAGGATGTACAGCATGTTGGTCTCTCTTTAAACTTCTCATGCAATACACTGAAAAGCATTGTCATGAAAAATTGCAAGGGACGAAGTTTGGTTTTGGAGAACTTGAGGAGGAAATTAAGCGAGAAAATTGTAAAAATTTGAACGGGAATTCTACTTTAGTGCTGGCGTGTCCTTTAGTGGGGCCTTGTTAGCAAGGTCTGTTGGATAAGTATGCATTTACAGCGAATGATTTATTTGTAAAGTGACTTACTTTTTCTTGAGCAGTGCTTGAATATCAAGTTTTAATTTTTTCTTTTTTTATATGCAGGGACATCGTCTTCTTCAACTCAAAAATCCTTGGAGTCATTTGAGATGGAAAGTATGCACCTCACCTTATCAATCTCAGTTATTTGTTGAGTGTTTTTGTAAACAGAATGTCGGGAAAATTTCCACACCTGATTGGCTGAGACAACGACATCCCAACTTTGACTGTTGAGATCAGACTTCGATCGCTTTTTCTCCACTCAATGCGCTTTGCAGGAAAAGGCTAGTGTATCCTTTATTTAAACAGTCTCAACATTTCTTGATTGTGATTTTACAGGGAAAATTCTCCGAAATGGACTCGACTAGTTGGACGCCGGAACTTCAGAGAGCCTTGAACTACGACAGGAAAAGTGCTATACAGATTGACAATGGTAAAAATGTGGTGCATTGTATGTCATGAAGCGTTCCTTTATCCCCCCCCTTAAGAGCGTCAGGTTCGTCTCCCTACCCTTCCCTTCTCTGACTAAAACTCACAAACAAATATTATTGTTATTCGGTGTGGTTAGGTAGCAATATGGCTCAAGTAAACATGTATTTGGATAGCCAGGGTTGGTAGCCGTTTTAGAACCACAAAAAAAATGCATACTATAGACTGTATTCAATAAATAGGGACGGCAATCCAGGAGAGTTACCTTTGCTCTTAGTAGGTTTTACATATCCCCCCCGTGTGTCTTCCCACCCCTCGGGGGCTTATTAGAGCACCCCTGTGTGTCTTTGTGTGCTTACCGGTTACAAGTGTTTTCCTCTAGATATAGAATCAAGGGATTTTTCTGTACACGATTATTCCAAATTTCGAACAACCCCACCCAGATCAGATGTATGTTGTAGTATTTTTTCCCTTTCCTTAAATGCTTCTCTGTTTCTCTCTCATCAGGAGTATTTTGGATCAGCTGGGAATGCGTTATGCAGTTTTTCGACGTGATCTACATGAACTGGAACCCCAAACTCTTCAAATATCGCTTCTCTCTGCACTCGTAAGTGTCATTGAGGCCTTTTGACTTCCTCCCTCAAGCTGCTACACATTTCTTTGTAAATTAGTTATGATAATTTATATGTTATATCAAATGCCCAAATCCTAACAAAAACGTTTATAAATGCCTAATCGTAAGATTGAGCTATACATATTCGTAATCTATGTGATTGAAATGTAATGGCAGAAAACCAATTATGGTATTTTAAAGTAACCAAGGAAAAACCAAAATGATACTACTAAAAATAAGTAATTTAGTAATAATAAATGTGTGACAAAATAAGACTTAAAAAAAAAAGTTAAAAAGGAAAAGATAGATTTAAGTGTTTTAATTGTTGGTTTTGAGTCGGATTTTTCCATTTGATAAACATGACCTCGTTTACATTCATTTGAAAAACTAAGACGACAGAATCAATTCGTTTAAGACTCTACCGAGCATGAGTTATGACAAGCCTTGGAAGATTGTAAGTACTTGTCAACACGTGAAGCCTTGTCCGACAGATGGTGCTCATTATTGCGTGTACAAATGTAGCGAGTGGTTTCACTAATGTAACAGGCCTTACTGCCAGCACATGCTGAAATTATATGAAAAGGAATTCTAGCTCGTGTTCTAATCTTCATGTAAAATTTTTTAGAAATGCTACTGACCCCATCATGAATATCGAGCGTCTGTGCTAACTGCTAGTTAACTCGTGTGAAATATAAGTATGCGTGCATGCGGCATCTTTTATTTGCTTTGATTAGCAACAAAAATAATAACAATACTTGTAAAGTGATTTTAAGCGTAAAAAGTTGGACCAACAAGAAAGGTATTGCTGAGAGGGAAAACTCTTAATTTCCCTGAGAAAATCTCTCAACGCCGAGATAATCATAGGAACTGAGTATCAACAAGAGACAGAATTTATCGTTCTGGCGGCTATACATGCTCTGGGCCAAATTAATCCTTGATAATGTAAATGTGATTTTTCTTTTTTCTCAGAATTTTCACCATAATCTGACACACAATGAACCAAAAATCTATATAACTTGAACATTTTTCAACCAGAAACAAATTTGAACGTCGACGTACTTAAGTGAAAGGTTTCTCGATATCTTTTTATTAGTATTTTACTGCATGCTTTTCATTTAGGTACAGTTTCTTGAGCTGACGTTTCGAGCGTCAACCCTTCTTCAGAGCGAAACAGAAGGTAATATGCTATGGTCGCCATTGACACGGTTTGGTTAATAAATGTAAGAAAGGCTTAATTAATGGTATTGTTTCGTCTCCTAGGACCTGGACATCTGCTGAAGGACCCAAGAAAGACGTTTATAATATCGGTAAGTTCTTTGACCTTCGATCTCCGTGATATCAAGCTTTACGCCAATTTAGCTTTCACCCACTTTGAGAGGCGTACGACTGAGCACAGACAAATGTATCAAAGAAGACTTTATTTTATTCAGAAAACTTCCATTAAACAATAGGTGGGCTTGCACCTTTTTTAAATCCTTTATGCTTGCCATCCTCTTGACAGCATTATAACAAACTCCACGAATTTTTTTTTCTTGTTTCGAGCCAAATTGTCCATTTGGCCTTTTTACTTTTGAGAGTGCCGGATCGTCTGTTCGAAGTTTGAGAATTTTCAACATTTTTCTGTATTGTCAGGGGTCGCCACTTTAGTTATGTTTATGTTTCAATTTCTGAACGACTGTGTATAAAAGAATATCATATATTTGAACTGCGGATTAATAATATTTTCATTACTGTTTAAGTAGTTTTTATTAAGTAGTTTTTATTACTGCGAAGATCTTTTTCATCTTCAATAAGTTTTTTTCCCTGTTTGCGATCTATTGAAAAAAGTGTATATCAGTGTGGTATTTGTACCTATTTCAAATGGACAGGATGACCATTTAATTCAAAGTGGATGTAATTAAGTTGAACAAATAGAAACAGATGATTGAAAGAGATGTATAATATATTCGTCTCATATTAGTCGTCTGTGAAGCGGAAATGAAGAGATTTTCCTGTGCGAACAAAACACTGTTTCTTTATTTTTTTTGGTCATTGAAATTCGCTTGAATGCTTCATTATTGACTTTAACAGTCGCCTGATGTTTCCGTGAGATAATGAAAATACTGCGCGTTTAAAAGTCTTTCGGTAGGAGGTGAAATATAATCATCAATGATGCGTAGTTCTGTTTTGGAGGCAATCTGTGTCCTGGCTTAGACCAAATGATCGTTATTAAGTAATATTCTGCTGGCATTTTTGACTTAACGATTTCATTGATTGTACGTACAAATATAAATAGATAGCCCATGATGTCAGATGTAACGCGAAAAGAGCGTGCTTGACCTCGGCCTTCGTCTAACTCTTATTTTTACTTCGTTTATTTATACGAGAAAGGCCATGACAGGACGTTAGCTTTGCGTACCGAACGCTTAAAAGCCGCGTTTGGCATTCTCACGATAATACTGATCTCGAACGTTAGAAAGGCATACTTGATACAAACAGTTACTTTATTGCGGTTCTTTTTCCCAGTCGGCGGTTTTTAAACCGTGGATTGTGATAACGGCCATTTGGGCCCATGCCGCCAGGTTACTGAGTAGCTTCAAAGTGGCAGCGTCCATGGTCAACATTATTAGCACATTTTTAAAGATAGTTTTCGAACGGTCAGGTCGTATTTTGGCCGCCCAACCCGCGGTTACTGGTAACTTATTTACTTTTTTAATGGCGGGGATAAAGTGACTTGGTTTTCCGGTGCATGTCATCAGTTATCCTCAGTAACATTGTGGCAAAAATATGGATTCCTGTATGGAGCGACTACAAGGCCAGCAGTGTAACTACATCATAGAGTGCCTTTCGTTCAAGTTTTGTTAAACCCAAATTAAAGTAATCACAACAGCCAATCGGGAAAGGAAAATTTTCATAAGGAGCCGATCAGAACTAAAAGAAAAAACAAGTGAACTGCGCTTAGCGCGGGGAAACCCTGGTGACAAAGTTGCGATTGGTTTTAGTGCTGGGGAGAGAAAATGGCGCGAGTTTTATTGGCCAATCGGAGCGAAGTTACGCAAAACCACAGCAATCCCAATTTACTCTCGATACTCAATGGAAAATTGCTTATAAACTCTTTCAACGTGTGCTACAATGAATGTAAGGATATCGGTGTGGAGATGTTATTGGTGCTATCAGTGCTTTTGTTTAACAGGAGACAATCCGCAGTACAAACTGGAGTTACTTTCCTCTGACAGAGATACTGTGGTCTGGATCCTTCTTACTCGGCACATCACACAAAAGGTACACTTGCGATAGATAATAGTGACTTTTTGCCCTTTTGTGAACACTTCGAGAGAAGATTACCGGTTTCGCCATATCACGGTTTGATGTAAAAAACGCGTAGCTTAGAGTGATTCGATCTTCTATCACTCACACGTTATGCCACGTTTCAACACCTTTAAAAATTCATTAGCTAACCTTCAAAAAAGGAACACACATTGTCTACCAGGGTCGTGGAGGACATGTTGGTTTTGTTAGCGCGCTGGATTCTGATTCGAAAGGTCTGAGTTCGAGCCATGACCGGTTCATGGTCTTACATCTCTGGTTAGGTATCTTACTTTCACATTGCCCCGCGTCATGTCCCCTAGGAAGTAAAGATAGGTTTAAGTGAATTGTCACGGAAACTTGAAGAAATGCGAGAGGATGCTGGCAATTGACTTTCACCCCCAGCCAGTAGGAATATCTTCAAGGGTTTATGGATTTTTCGCCCCATTGCAATTTCGCCCCTTACCAGTTCGCCCACTAAGACGAGGTCGCCTGTTCAAATACGACGAGGTCGCCTGTTTAAATACGACGAGGTCGCCTGTTCAAATACGACGAGTTCGCCTCCAAATCGTTAACTCATTTCCTTACGTACTCGGCGAGGTAGGACGAACTAGTAAGGGGCGAACTTGCTATGGGCGAAACCTCCAGTCAACGCTCTCAGTAACTTCATACCTCAAAAGTCTGACAGCTATGCCAGTCAACCAGGTGTATGAACCCTTCATGTATTATCTGTCTATAACAAAGAAGAACATTTTGCGGACGAGTGTGGTTTCTGGTTTCTCTCTCGAGAAGCAAGCGAATTGATGTTAATCTGCTATATTTTAGGATGATTTTGCAGAAAACAAGGAGTTCATAACCGTTCATGTGTATAAGTCAGATGGTGGAAGGGTGTTTTATCCAGGTTAGTGAATAATGTGAGAATATAAAATACTACTTAAATTAGGAGAGAAGGGGTTGTTGACGCGGAAACCGAGCATGTGTTAAAAATTTTTCTTCGTTTTTTGTTCGGCGTTTTTATTTATCTAGTCTTTTTTCCTTTGTTTTGTTTTCAAAACCTTTTTTCCTAGTTTGGGCTTCGGCTATCCCCGCAATAACCGAAAATTTTTCAGAGATGTCATAATTGTTAACAGTACTGAGAATTCTTTGACTAGTTTTATTTTGTTTTTAACAATAGAGAAAGGATACATACTTTTTTTTTCTTGCTTCAGACAACCCACTCTTGGAAGGCACCAAAATAAACAGTCCATTTTACCTCGCTAAACTAAATGCCCCGAAAGGAACAAACCGCTTCACACTTGTTGTCTCTCAGTATGAAAAAACAAATACAATCCACTACACGCTGAAGGTATGGGTATCGTGTATCGTTCTTCTTTCTTAAATGCCCTTTCCACAACCATCTCTTTACCTATAACTCTGACTGGCTTCTTGAAGGCTTGTCTTTGGCGCGTTGAACGCGTAACACCCTAAAATCCTGCTGCGAAGAAAACCAGTGGTTAAATTGCCAGTGTAAGATTTCAAATAGATTTCATGTTGTCGTGCGTCTGTTTAGTTTGAAATCCTGTGTTGACCACCGTGCATTATTTCTGTATTTATCGTAGGTTTTTTCTTCAACTGAATTCCGTTTATCTCCAGTTCCTGTCCCCTACACAGTTGAAAAACAGGTAAGTTCCTGCAGACGCCATAACCTGATCTTGATTCTCGTCGCACACTGATTCTTAAAATTCAGTGTTCGAAGTTAAGTCGTCGCATCTACTAACCTTTGGATTAGACAAACACCCTCTCTTTTTCGTTTCTTTACAGGTGAACGGTGAATGGAGGGGAAAATTAGCCGGTGGCTGCCCCAACTTCTCTTCACATTCCAATAATCCCGTGTATCGCCTGCAAATCAAGACAACTTCACCCTCAGAAACTGCTGAAGTTCTACTAAAACTGCGAGGGCCCAAGTAAGTTCATGTCGTTGACCGGCTCTAAAATTGTTTTGATCTACTGTTTGAGTTTTGAAATTTCTCATCGCCATTTCAAGTGAATGTAATACCAAGGTTTTTTTTGTATTTGTATTTTCCTTCAATATTTAGGCAGTTTTCAGTTGGAGCCATATTTCGTTCTGTAGAGCTCGCCTCGGATGGGAGACCCATTTTCGAGGCGTACTCTGAAACCTACAGGTAAGTAAATGTAGATTCCCGTACTCAGAGTCTACCTGAAACATTTAATGAACTCGAAAATCTACCGGCTGTCTCTGATTATGTGGGAAAATTAGCGGAAGCTTTTAAATCTGTTCCTCAAAGGTGTATATGCTACTTCTTACTTCGCAAGGCCTTTTGGAGTTTTATGAAATGAGGAATAACGAGGCCTTTGCACGGGAGGCTAATTTTTATGGATTTGAGTTTTTTTTCTTACTTTCGTAGGCCTGGCTTTTACGTTCAGCAGCTGAACAGAGTGCCCACGGGCACATATGACGTGATTCCTTCGACTTTTCACCCAGGACAAGAGGGGCCTTTCATATTGACGATATCAGCAAGCTGTAAAATGGCACTGGGAAAAAAGTAGACAGTCCCACGGTTCACTTTTCTTAGAGCGGTAAAATGAGCCTGCGGTCTTGTCACTGGTGAGAAAAGATTGGCTCTTCCTCACTCTCTCACTGGCATTGCTTTCTTTCCAGCGAGTTAAGTCTGGATTTGGAGAAAAGCAAATTCAATGGATTTAGAGGAAAACTGTTGATTGAGAATCTGAAATAAGGACAGAATGCAACTAAAGGCTGAAAGCCGCCAAATAAGGAAATTCACAATTCCTAAAAAGTCAGATCTTGAAAAGTAAGAGAATTTTGATAGAAGGCGATAATGCCTAGTATGAATGCACAGCTGTTGCAGTCGTTTTTTAATTCAATTGATAATTTGATAAAAATACTGAAAGCGGAAAATATGATAGTAAAATATTGAAATTTCTCGAAATGAATTTTGAAATTTCATACCTTTCTCAAGGATACAGATTGAAGTCATCTTTAAAAAGATGATTAACTTAACTCTGTGAAGTCCTGGTATAGTTAATGCTTTTTATCTCTGTAGAAATGTGTGGAAGTAAATTGGTGAATAAACGCTCTATCTTACAGTGAACTTTTCTGAGTAATACTGGTAGGTTTGAAAAGGAGATCAAACTAAACATGTATTAAGTAGAAAGTATTCTGAGGTGACACTAACATATTGTTGCAGCCAATAACCTCGTATAAATATGCGCATCAACCTTTGCATCTTTTCTGCGAAACAGGATGTAGTATTCATTTTGAGTATACACCCAATTGCAAAAACGTGACACCTTAAAGCGTCAGTAATAAACGATGAGACCCAACGGCTTGATGGGTAGACATGTACACGATGATTAAAGATTATTCGCCGAAGGCAAAGTGAATATTGTTGAGTAATCCCCCACACGAAGTCGACGGGATTATTCAACAATATTCTCTGGGCCTGGGACGAATAATTGGTGTAGTATAATTGCTCAGGTGTTTTCAAATTCTGTTGTAAATTCGTGTTATGTAAATAGGCGGCAAGTCTCCACTAGAATTTAACTTCTTTTTTTTTAATTGAACCAGCAAAAACTTCATATCTTTCTTTTGAATAGTGTTACGCCAAACTTAATAACATCTTTTGGATTCTTCGGAATTGAATTTTCTTCTATCGCGTTTGTCACTTCCTCGGTAACATTGACAAAACGCAGGGCCGATATTTTGAAATTTAGCGCTGCTGCTATAGTCACCTCGCGCGAGGTGACTATAACGAGATATGACGCAATCCTCGACCAATCGTGCGCATCTTCATAATCATCGGAGCAATCATACCAACAACAATTAGTTGCACATAGTAAATGATAGAAGCCATCCACACTTTCCCGAATGAAAAGAATTGTCATAGACAAATAATCCATGAATAATGGATAAAAATAAGGCCGTTTTGCCATAACGCCGTTGTCTCATTGCTCGTGAATCATGCTTTTCAGGTGTCAACCTTTTTAGCAATAGCATAAATTTCCAGTCTACTTATATCGATATATATATCGGTATAGCTGTAACAAAGCAGTATAAATATGATTTTGAACTCTTCCCTACGTGAGTGATGAAAATAACTGACGCGGTGAACTTTGTTTAATTGTTGTATTTTGGAGGCTATCTTTGATCTTTGATCTTTGCAGACAGAACTAACAGGAAAATATGAAATTCTATTTCCTTTTTTCCTTTTAATTACTAAAAGAAATTGTACACATTAAAATGTCGCCGTTTCGTTAAATGTTACATGTGAATTATTTTTCTGTAACAATGTATGAAACATTTAACTAGACGACGCCATTAATAAAAATTCAATGTCTACATGATGTAAATATTAATTTTAAATGGATGGAATACGACCTGTTTAGCCATATTACACACTGAGCCCAGAAAAAGCATTTGAAGTTTAAGAGGTTATTATGTTTGTATTTCATTATGTTTCTTTACAAATATATTTGTGTAATCATGTTCTTAAGTTTGGGTAAAGTAAAGAGTAAAGAAAACCACCATTTGCTGAAAGCCAAGAGTTGAACCGTTCTCAGTGAAATAGCCATGGGCTTCTTCGAATAAATTATAACAAAATCAAACAAAAACAGAAAAGAAAGAAGTAGGCAGCAGGCTAGTTTCCCTCGTCCATTTATTGACTTATTTTGGTGTGCGTGGGAGTTCAACACATGAACAAATCCTTTTAAATATCGCCAGTTCAATTGATTTGAATTTGTTTGCTTGTAAATTTCTATACTTTGAATATAAAATTAGCATGTGTGGAATTTTCCTTTCAAAATTTACCGACTCAGTGGCCAATTATCAATCAGTAGAAGTGATTAGAATTTGCAAGTGGCTTAGTAAACATATTGATTACCATTTCATTTTATTTCCTGTGAAAGTTGACATTTGTTCCAAGCACGCAAACAGTACATTTGATTTCTCGTCGTAGTCTCGTCTACTTTTCCATCAAGCGATAGCTTTTGAAATATAATTCACAAACTGGACCTATTTAAAGGTAAGTTTGTGAGATATTTATAATTTTCTATTCAGTTGTGATCAGTTTGGTATTCGTACCTGGATTTGATTTGTGAATGAGCGAGATGCCAGTTCGTCGCTGGAAAGAAGTTAGAAAAAAAGAATATTCCGCAAATGTAAAACGACAAAGTAAGTTTAAATCCAGGTTCCTTATCGTACAGTTTTTTATGGGTTTATTTGATATTCAATTATTTTGGAAAACCGATTGTGTGCAACGTTTTACGGAAGTCCGGCCTGAAAATTTGTGTCGCATTATAAAGCTGCCAAAATTTTATTTTAGGATGTGTTCGACACAACTGTTTAGATTGCCGTAACGATAAACTGAATTTTTGCACTAAGGTTTTATTAGTGCGATAAAATTCAATATATCTGGCGCTAATACCAATCGTCTCTTAAGTTATTCTCGCAAAATTCTCTCAAAAACGATAATCGTACGTCCAATTCACCCGTTGAAAATAATCATTATTGAGATTAGCAGAGTTTACTGCTGGTTAAAAAATTAGCTAAAACTTGAAGTGTGCCCATGATTTGGGCACACATTGTGCATATGACGCGCTTAGTTCGAGGGTGATTAGCCGTCTTACATTTTAGTATTTGTAGACCCTCTGTGTAAACCTTGTTGGCCCAACTGGTATCAACATATATTGGAAGTGTATTTTTTTTCGCTCGTTTTCTAGAATCTGTCGGCTGCGAAATGAACACTGTAATACTCTTTGTTTGCATATTACTGGCGGAACTCAATTTTGGTAAGTGAGTTATGTGTTCGCTTAACTTCCAAATCCTAAGATTGGTCAACATGTATCCTCTCCTTATAATTTCCATTTGTTGTCCAGCTAAAAAGTGATGAGAATACAAAAACCTGAATGCTAAAGTCGTCACCTTGTCAAAACACTAGCATTTCTCTGTGGTAAGGCCGGGTGATGAGGGCGAGGGGTCAACCGGTGGAATCGAATAGTGGGGAGGAGAGGGGAGGGTTGAGAATTAGTAGAGAAGTTAAGTATGACTTTTGCAGCAAACGGGAAACAGCTACTTGACATTGGCGTTTGCTGTCTTTACTTCGTGCACTTAAGAGCGTATTTCTACCGAGAAAAACGAGAATCGATAGACTGTCCCAAAAAACCGATTTTTTTTTTAGTCTTGCCGTAACACTCCCTTGGATGAACATATTTGAGAAAAAATAGTTAAAGGTTTCATCGACTTATGTTACGAAAGAAATTTTCAAAAAGTTTTAAAAACTCGACACGTGCGGTTTATATCTAATCAAAGCAGTATGCTGCTACTTAAGTAAAAGACTTTGCTACTTCTTCAGATTTTCCCACTTTAACAGCCACCATGGCACAGAACTTCTTTATTTTTTGAAACTTGGCAGAGCACTTTAAGAGAGAACAGTACGTTTTTTTTCTGATAATTTATGGATAAATTCAATAAAAAAGAAGGAATAGAGAAGCTTCTCCTCGAAGCACACGATTGCTTATGTTTTAACACAGCATAGAAAAGTACACTTTTTACTCGAGTTTTTTACACAAGTGAAACCTCCACCCTTCTCCTTGAAAACGGTAGAGAGCAAACGGCAAATGTCAAAAATGGCGGGAAAAAATTGGTCAGGTGGTCATCTCTGTCGTTTACCTTTTGCCGGAAACGTCATGGTTTACCTTTATAATAAATAAATCTTCCCTCAAATACCCGAGCGGCCCCTCCTAAGAGAAGAGAGGGTGGACCTCATAGTTTCTTTTTTTTTTTGTCAAAACTCCTGTCCAGGGTTCCCGTGGGGTTTGATCAAGATTATAAAACTGTCGGCGTCACGATTATTTTTCTGCTGTTGTTTTTACTTTTACTTTTACTGTCGTTGCAAGACATTTGTGGTCAGTCACGTCTTCCTCAGGTCCGCTGGGAGGTATTACTTTTCAACTGTGAGGGCTTTAACACACAAAATACCAAAACTAATGCAACATAAAGAGGAAATGGTTTTCTTCCTCTCACGAGCGTGGGACATAGAAAACTTCGAAATCCTCGTGAGGAATCAAATCTCAGACCCTTAGATTTTGTGTTCCTTTGCTCTAACACTGAGCCACACAAAAACTCGTTGAGCTAGTGTAGGCCATTACAATGCATTTGATTGAAAGTCGCAAAACCAAAACCAAAGTAATCACATCAGCCAATCAGAGGGCAGGAAAATATCACAAGGAGCCAATGAGGCCGCAAAGTAAAAGAAACTGAATTGTCTAAGCGCGAGAAAAGGCGAGTGGCCAAGTCACGATTGCTTTTTTGTTTTCAATCTGATTGGTTGAGAGGAAGGCGCGAGTTTCTGAACCAATCACGTAGCGAAGTAAAGCAAAATCAAGGCAGTCTGGGATTACTTTCGAGACTCAATTGAAAATCACTCTATTAGGATCATGTATAAAACGTGTCACGCACACATTGTCTGGATCGGCAAAGTCGAAAGCCCCCTGTTGGTCAAAAAAAATAAGATGGATGGTAAATATCAAGCTCGATAATGAATTGAAAAACTTAGGGATGTCTTTTCGTCTGTTGTCTTTACAGTTCTACACTTTTTCTAATACCGGTGTGTCACTTTTCCTTTTTCATAGCGTTTTTGTCATTATCGAAGGAGTGCCCTGAAAAATGTGGCATTGCCTATGACCCCGTATGCGCCAGTAATGGCAAAACGTACAAGAACATGTGTAGGTTAGAGCGGGAAAACTGCTTTGCCGAAACTAAGATTGTAGAGCTCTACAAAGGAGAATGTTTGAAAAGCGAAGAGGACGAAATAGAAGAGGAAAGGAGGTGAGTGATAGATTACTTAATGAAAGTTTTGAATAACAAATGAAAAAAAAAAAATGAGAACATTACCTGACATTAGGGATTTGATAAAGGTGGTCAGAAGCCACAAAAAATTAAACTTTCTAAAAGACAGGTTGGAATAAGAAAACGTCTCAAATTGTCTTACTAACGATCGAAATACTTGGTTTAGTATCGCGTACTTAATGATTGAGTGGGAGGGCCGGACGGGAAAATATTTGACCGAGATCGTGACGTACGAACCGAGCACAAAGAAATTGAATATTTCGAAATGTTTGTTTTAAACGAAATAGCACGCAATGACAATAGATGGGCGCACACAGGACAACCACAAAGAATGATTCTACAGTAAAAACATAAATTTTTTTTTTTTCTAGTCACAGCGTTATACTCACAAATCATCAAAAAATGCGGTTTTTTAAAATAAGATCTTGGTTTTTGCTTTAAGTATTTGCAACAAATCCGTGTAAGTGCAATGCTGGGCAGGTTTTTCCGGACTGGCTCACGTCAATCCGTCCGGCCTTACACGACTCAAATTTCGTTATGGTTTTTTGTGGGACTACGCGCGCGGGGCCATATGGGACATATGATAAATTCTGTTACTTTCTTTACTAATTAAAAAATCTCTGTCGATATTTTTGTTTCGCTTGCCTTTATATTACACACCATATGATGTAACAATGGTTATATTTCCTTCCAAAATTGATCTCCCGAAGAGGGTCTCGAAGGGACCAAATATGGCGAGTTTAAGTGCCATATATATATATATATATTCCATGCATATCCAATGTTTAAGAAACACCTTCTGCAGAAAACATGATACCGTATTTTTGGCGCTCCAATATTGATCTAACTCGAACACAGCCTCTAGTCTGACCTCCCAGTCAGTGAATAACTTACATATTACTTGCTTCACGAGTTTTTTGCAGCCCTGCCAAAAAGCGTGCCATCGCGTTTTGAATGATTTCCTCACACTTATGGTTGCAGGTATACGTAATTCTCTAGTCATATCTCGATATAGTCTACTCAATTCCACGTCACTTGCAGCAACCGTGAGCATAAGGGATGAAATTTAGAGCAAGTGATATTAAGTTGCAGCGCAAAGTATTTCAGAAATAATTGGGTATACTTCGTGCAATATTGCTGATTAATCCGTGGAATTATTATCGAAAATTTTTCCAACTGAGTTAATTTCTAAAATACAGATAATGACTGTCTGAGTATTTTTTAATTACTTATGTCATTGCTTTGTTCAACAGGGCTTACGGCTGTTTGAGGGTTGGACGAGGTAAATATCTCACCTGCTGAATATCGAATCGGGTCATCAAAGACTTGTATATAGCACTAACACCGACTCGCCGGCATGTCCTGATATATATCATTCTACTCTGAAGATATTACTAATGTGGACAAGTAATGACGCAATTTAAACCGGAGTTTGTGGAATTTGAGTTATAGTGGCAATGTAATATAATTTAATTGCGCATGCACCTGGCAGTGGTGAGGACAGACTGACTGACAGATAGGCTGACTCATAGACAGACAAACAAACAGACAGACAGGCGGACATGTATGTTAATACCATCACTTCCTTTGGCCATGAAAAGCGCATTTCCCTATCTTGGCTTTAAGCTAATCAATTCTTCTCAGTGAAATAAAAGCTTGTAATGTAAGCCACACTTAAAGAAGGACTGTGTGTGATACATATGAATAACGATTTGTTGTGAATTCTAAGAGGATATCATGCAAATGAAGCCACTTGTCCTGGAATTACTTTTACATTTTCCTTTTTCAGTTCTATTTAATTCGTCTCAAAAATGACGCAGATCTAAGATCCATGGTCTAGAAAACATAGATGGCAATTTCACTTCAATCTAAGAAAGAACTTGCTTTCCTTCAGAAATTGCAATATGGACACACAAATTTGTTCTGAATCATACACTGAGCCATTTCAAAGATATTGCACATGCTGTCCAGTTTCGTGAGGTCTGCACCTGACATTTCGTGGGAAGTCCGCCTAATGTTTCGTGACAAATCAAAAGTGCTTTGGTAGGGGTTGCGTTTGCAAACTCACGTTTTTCCATCGTTGCGTTTTCAAGGAAAAACTATATTGTTCTTCGGTCCTAAGGTCTTGCGTCTTTTACCTGATTTAGAAAGGTTTGTGGTTTTTCTTGAATTACGTAAAAAAAGGCATTTTCTTATAATTTTCCCCCATAGTCCGTTTGCGTGAGGCTCTATTAATTTACGCGCACGAAATGTGGGCGATTTTACTTAATTTTCTATGTTCTAAGTCCTCGAAAAAACTTCATGGATGACATCAATTTCGAGTGTTGGAGAATAAAATAGAAATTCATGTGGGAAAATTCAAATCAAATTCACAGTTCTTGTAGGCATAAATTGACGCTTAGGAATTCGAGAAATTTAGAAAATGAAGAAGTTTTTTATCGCAAAAATCTGACACGAGTAAACGCTTATCGAGGATCTCAGTGAACCAGAATTATCATCATTTTGCAAAATATTTTGTGAATAAATTTTACTTCTTTGTCTTCGACAAGATTTTAGCTTTATACCCTAGACAATTAGAACGGAAGTCGACGATTTACATTAAGGGTGTGTCTTTATCATTGCACGTGTCTGATGCCCTCATGGCGTGACACAGTTGCAAATGTTCGTAAAATCTTGTAACGAACTGTTTTAAAACTAACAAAAAGTTTACAAACTTTTCGGTGCCCTTTGCCTGTGTGCGTGAAAATATGTAGAACGTCTGTGAGCGGTCTAAAAAAGACATTGTCCGAAATCAATCTTTGAAATTAGTATGTAAATGACAAAAGGTTTATTTTTTCATGAGAGATTTCTCTTTAGAACACACCGTACATGTCACGGTCAAGCAAACTACTTCGATTTTTAAATTTGCCTGAGCTAAATTCAAATGAGTCTTCTACTTGATTTATCCGAAATGGCAATTTCTAGTCAAACGAAACAAGAGAGAGAAGAGACAGATAAAATGTGAACTATGCGAGATTCAATTGAAGCGTAGTGATATTCGCTTATTGTATGATACCGGAAAAAGTTTTTAGTACAGATCAAATGTTTATATTCGTTTTAACTGCAGCCGTACCGACAATCGGTTTCGTCTTTTGTCGGTTTTGTTATCAGCATTTGACGGACACACCATGAATTCCTAGCCACAATTCTTGAACGATATTTTTCGTTTTAAGGAAACCGCGATTTCCATAGGAAGGATTAAAGTACGTATAAATTACTTAGCCTAGGTGTAGGTGAGAAACGGAACTATGCCTATATATTACAATGTTTTAGAGCTGAAATTATACGACAAGTTTGAAACCCATTTATGGGTTGGCTTAAGCGAAGCTGAAAATTTTTCGTAAACGAGCACGTCAGAGTTATTAATCATTTTGAGGGGCTGTTCGGTGTTTTATTGCAATGGGCTTTATTATGTGCATATTTTTCGACAACGAAGTGAATCGTCAGAAATTGCGCGCAAGACTTAAGACGCCTTTAGCTCGTGAAGAACAAAAGCAGCTTGTTCCGCTCTAGATGAGTTCAAGAGACACAAGTCTATTCTTGCCTAGAACGCGCGCGGAAATCCAGCAATGATGTGAATTCAAAGCTCGTTTTTACGTGCAGTGAATTCATTCCCAGTTCAAGGAAATTTCTCACCAGGCAGAATGAACCCTTGTCGCGTTTCGCGCCGAGGAAGAAACAAAAACTCACGCAAAAACCGCGACAGTGGGCGATTAATTTTAAGAGCTTTAAGGACTTCGTTTAACAAGAATTTTTGTCGTTCACTTAGTTGTAATTGCTAATTGCGCGTTTAATTTCTGACAACCAATATTCCTTTTCAGGAAGCTAGAACTCCTAATATCATCTCGGCTCAAACGCCGTAAATACTTCTTACTATGTAAGGGATCCCAAACAAGATATTTCCGAATCTTGCTGACGTGAGAAAAGCCAAATGGGTTTGTGTATTAAGAGGCGGGATCAGTACAATTTGGAGCAAATGTGTACAAAATACTTGAATATTTGTTTGCATGTAAATACCTCCAAACCTCAAAAACTAACTGTGCTCAATTGACTCGTGGGCGCATTCCATTCAAAACCAGTGACCCTTTACATCTGATTTGATATTGTCAGAGAAAATACGAAGCTCTTGTCTACTTTTAGCAACCTAATCGTGCAACGTAAAACCAACACTCGCTCGCCTTCAAAACCGGTTAAGTTATTGTGAAGCGACAAAACACTGTGATTGATATGTTCAAGGAAATTTCCCAAGGGACTGGTAGTTTTTGTCCATTTTGTATAAACTTGAGATCGGTTGGGATAAAGAGCTGGCGCTTTCTAGCAGAAATGCGTGGGAAGTGAAGCAGGAGTGTACGGCGGGTGTTTACATTTCGACATCTCTTTGTGTTTTTGGGTGGTTTTTCCTTGGCAGAAAGTTAAAAAATCTAAGATCACCACGGACATTCCATATCCATTACAACATGGCGGAAAATTTCCATGATCGTTGAACATTACGTCACCCTCTGTCTTTTGTTACATCGGGTTGCCCGGAAACCCTCAAAAAAAATATAAGGGGCATTGAAGCAGCTTAGAATATTATTAATAACGACATCTCAACACGTGAAGAGCGATTCCGTGGGCAGCTGAAAGCGGTGGAAAATCGTTTAGCAGTTTGAACAAACTACGTCGATTGCCTCTCTAAAATCCAACTTATCATCAGTTCTGACGAAGACTTAAAAGATTTTGAATGGATCTAGTACAGGTAAGAATTTATAGATTTTTCCGAGAGCGTAGATTTTAGCGATCAACTTCTCTCAAAGACGTGTAGGTCAAGAAGACTTAATTTTACATCAATTTGCTTATTTTATTTTTTGTTTTCAAATCAATGTGTTTCAGCGCTTATATCTGTTTGCAGCGATAAAAACTACGCAGATTTGAGGAGATTTTGTTGAGTTGACAAATTTTCACTTAAGTTGAGAATCAGCAACTTTTCGCTGAAAACTGAAAGTGATAACACTTCGCTCAGTGTTTAAGTAGGGTTGTTATTTGTGGTATACAAGCAATATTAGATTCATAAGACACACTCTGACTGAAGGGGTTCTGGTTTGGGGGCATGGCAATATTTCATGTCGAAGAATACTACAAGTGATTTTCTCGCCTGACCTAATAAGGTTGGAGTTGTTGAGTAAAAATCTGGGATTTCCCTTACTAGTGTTCAAGCCAATTAAAACGCTTTGTCTTGTCTTCCTTAAAATTGCTCCAATGGCTATTTTTGGATTCAGTTGTGATGTAAGGGAGCACTGAGCTGTAAAAAATAACAGGAATGAATCTGGAATAAGTTAAACAGGAAATTTTATGGGCGCATCAAGTGAAAAGTGAAAATAGTTCATAGCTATTTTTGCCTAGAAGAATCTGGAAACTTTCTGATTAAAGGCAGAATTTATCCACTTAACTTTTCTAATCGCAATATCAAAGTAGGGTTCCTATCTACTCACCTTATCTTACTTCTTGATTTTAATTTTGAGAATCTTCTGATAGCGCAGCGAAACGATCTGGTGGCTGCTGAAGGGGAAAATGATACAAGAATAGATAGCTACAAAAAAAGCTTACCTGAGTTGTGATCCGTAAAATGTTTCAAGTAGTTGTCTTTATTTTGTTTTATTGTTTGGAAGATTAGCTCGAAAAATATTGCTAGTGAGACAAGGGGAGAAATCACGAAACGTCGCTCGAGGCAGTGTATATTAACGCGGCACTAAAGATAATTGGGACTTTTTTTCAACTGAATATCCTTGATGTTTCAGGCTATTTTTGTCCTGTTTGCTTTCTGCTTGTTGAGTATCACACAAGCTCTTCCCTTGCAAAAAGGATTCGAAGGAATTAGTCTACGACGGGAAAGGAGAGCTTTGAGGCCGTTCCAAGTGTGCAATCAAACCGCAATTCCATCCGGACATACATCTGTTTCAGACGTGTCTCTTTGGTACAAAAATGGCTGGTTCTTAGCTGTTTACAAAGATGGTAATATAAACGGGACTTCAGATGCGCGCAGCCGCGACAGTAAGTACAGATACAGACCTTTGTATTAGCGATAATTGAATATTGCTTTGTCAGTAGTTTTGTATGTCTCTCTTTCGAGTTGCATAACAATATTCCAAAGTTAGTGAGATATTTATGATTCAAGTATGTCTTTTGTGAATGTTAATACGCTGTGGCTGGACAATTAGCCTCCAAAGATAATCGAAAAGCAATACAGTCCAAAGACCCGTGCCGAAATGTTTTCAATTTTACTTAAATTAGTTTCATTTTTCTTCCTAGCTAGCTCTCCAACGAAAGAAAACCAGCTGAATTGTTTATTTGCTACTTAACACGCCCATTACTTATTTTTGCAGTTGAGCTTCAACTTCAGTCTGTTGGAAGCAGCTTGGTTCGGATCTTTAGCAAGCAAACTTGTCTGTATGTCGCTATGCAGTCATCGGGAAAAGTTTACACAATGGTGAGTTAACACGACTATTTACGATTCATTTGTCTCACTTGGGAAAAAGGATAAACTGTGTCACATTGAAATAAGTTACACGCTTACAACTGGACACTTTCCTTCGGCCGTCAAGTGATTTTCTGGCAAAATTTTATAAGAAATTAAGGTGTTCTTTTGCTGGATTCGGCAGTTACCGGGCACTTGAAATCAGACTTAGGGGATAGTGTTTTAAGTGGCAACAATGCTTAAGTGAAAAAGTCGATTGTTTTGAAGGAGTGACTAAATTAGCCCAGTCCAAGGTCTCTCTGTTATTGCCACCTCTAATATGTGGAAGCATTTCTAATGATGTGTGATCATACACCACTTTGTTACAAGAATATTAAATCGAATGTTCACCGACAAAGCGAAGAATATGGCTTCTTTATGTCCATGCTTTTCAAATGCATCTTCATAAAAACTTTCAGTAAGCTATATCTTTCCTAGTTGTCTCGGTCTACTGGATTTGTGCATTTCGCGGCCAAAGATTTTTGATCGTCCTGTGATTTATTGTATTCAGCAATTCGTGTGTATGTGACGGTATTCTTTCTCGGGCGAATATTTGCTTTGGAGATTTGACAGTTCCCACGTTTAATATTCTCCTGCGGTCATCAAAAGAACAATCGATCTGGCTTGATTGAAATAAGTGTTCAGTGCAGCGAGACCTAAAATTAATGAAAACTCGTGTCAAAACAAAATTAATAGACTTTGCGCAATTTTCACCAAGCCGCATTACAAATTACTGCTTAAAATCTAAGTTATATTAACACACAGCAATTCCTTTAAGTGAACTTCGAAGTGAAGGCTCAAGAGTTATTTGGTTGCTGTTTACCAATATCTTCATTCCTAATAAAGTGTTGTTTGTTTATATCTACAGAAGGAACCCACAAGGGAAACGGTATTTCGACAAACGCATGAAGCAAATGGCTTCCAAACGTTTGCCTCTCACCATCACTTCCATGCGAATGATAAGACAAGAAAATACCTGTTTTTGTCCATGAGAAAGAACGGTCATATGAAAAATGGCAAAAAGACTACGAGACACAACAAGACTACGCTTATTTCAGTGATTGAAAGCAGGGAAATAAGCTAAATACTGCTGACAGTCAAAATATCTTCAAAATATTTATTTCGTCTGAAAGCAGGTCTTCAGAACGAGTACCATGTGAAGATTTATGTTGAAAATTTAAATATTTAGATATTTATTTTTTACGAAAGTAAGTAAGATAAGCTATCTATTTATATATTGTCGCAACAGCGAATTTAAGAATTAAATGAGAAAAAGAGGTTATTTATAAATAAAGTTGTTCGATCATAGAGTACCGCTTGGCGAATATTGTGGCCTTTAGTGGCTCGGCGTAACTGTTAAACAGTACGGGTTCTTTACGAATAACGAGTTCTTTCCAACAAACATGTTATGGTTGTCATTCTATAAATCCCTAGATCTCTTTGATACAACATAAAAATAAAACGTTTCGAGGTAAAACTGATCATATTTTCCTGCCTCGGGGACTTTTTAAAAATTCCAGAGAAAAAATTCAAAGGTAGTTATGAACAAGGATTGTTTGCAAGGAAAGACCCTGGTTACCTTCTTTGAAATTCGACTTACTTTTTCATTCCCCCTAACTTGTTGAAAACGTGGATGGTATATATATATATGATTCTTCTGACGACCACTGTAGCATGATAATTCACCACAGCTCGGAGAGGGCCCGTCATAACCCCATCTGTCTGTTCTTCACTATTTAAGAACCTCTCATTAAACAGTATTCCAGAATGGAAGCAATATCTTTGATTCCCAGGGAATGGCACTGTGACTACAAAAAAACTCTAGCACAAACTTCAAGCTCTTATGTTTTTGTAACAGATTAAATGTAAATTCATTAATTTCTCCTTATCTTGTCCAACGTAACGCTAATAGCTCTATTTGGGTTACAATAAAGTTTTTTAAAGTTCAGATAAAAATCCATAACAGCCTAATGAATGTTTATAGAATTAATATTGTTATATGTATCTTTGTAATGCTAGTTAGGATTTTCCAATAGAAATAAACTTAGTGTATGAAAGCTGAAACATGTTGTTATAGACTTACTGTGTATTTTAACGATTTGAAAAGGGCACTTCTGGCCGGTAATGAATGCCCAGGTACCTAAATAATCGATAACTTCGATTTTCCTGACTCTCATCAATGTCTTAAGGGACCTTAATGACATACTGTGTCAGCGACGGAAGCAAAAACGTGATGACGTCAGCATAATGTCCTTCTAAAAGTTTTTTTTTTTTCGTTGTTATAAATTGAAACTCTTATGCTCTCTTCCTTTACATAATTTTATGATCTTAATCCGACGACTTTTTTTCACTCCCAATGTGAAACTTAAATACGCGCAAAATGCAGATAACCACTTGATGTCAAAAATAAAAACATTAATCTTCTGCTCATACAAACAATGTACGAGTGCAAACTATTCACGGCCAGTTTTTGTTCTTCATAAACAAAAACTAAGAATAAAAGCTTAGTTGCATTAACATGCAGGAAAATGTTTATTTATCGCTTACAGAAAATTCTTAACTTAGTACGATTTTGCCTCCAGTCTACTGACGAGATACAAGTTAAAATATTCTTTCATTAACGCTCTGCTTTGCTCAACAAATTAACGTTTTGAATGAACGTTTTGCATACAAGAAAATTTAACGAGAAGGAAACTTAGTTTGGTACTGAAGTAACTGTGTTTAGAAATTTCTACGCTGATGGGATGCACGCGGAAATTCACAAAGCAAGTTCGTGGATGTAGTCAGTTACGATGTGGATGGTGCCGTTTCGACTGCACCCCCAACAGTCTTCCTCAGGTCATGAACACGAAACGGTCATCGTAATTGTGCTCACCAAGATCCAAAACCACAAATCTTTCAAGATATAAGTGCCCAGATTTATGCAAAAGAATCGCGTGAGATTTAGCATGAGTAAAAAAAGCAAATCTCGAAGAGGAACTCGTTAACTTGAACAAGTGTCTCTTAAAGAAAGACATTAAAGAATGCTCTGTCATGTTCGCCTTAAGTAAAGAATGAAGAAAGTGTTTAAAATCCATTAGACGCGGAAGAGGTACTCTTAAACTATTTAGTTTAGCACTCTTCTCACTCATTAGGAGACAAACATTAGTTTAATGGTGAAGTAAAAGAAATTTTTTTATCAGCTGTGATGATGATAGTAAAATGCAATGATATGAATATGAGGTAACTATTACCCATTAAAAATTTGGACATTCAATACAATTGTGAACCTGTTTTCATAAGTTGAACGTGTAAATTACATTCTGCGCCGGTAGGGTGCTACATGCTCATTGCGATGAAAAAATGAAATGAAGAAATGCTGTTTAAAAAAGTAAAGATTGAACCGTTTTGTTTAGAAACACTTGGACGCTACGGGAGGCACTAGCCTTGAGTGGTTTTCTTAGGAATACCGTTATATGTAAACTTTTCATAATTGCTATACTAAAAAATCTGGGTAATGGCACGCAAGCGCCAGAAAAAATTACGTGCATGTAATCACATTAGGTTTTGCTTTGTATCTTTCTAGCGCGATAGAAAACACACTTATTGAACTGTTAAACTTTTGCAATATTTTGTTAAAATATCCTCAAAGTAGGTTCTGTTAACTTAGTAAAACCTAAGAGAAGTTACGTGATGAGTTAAGATAACATGCAAACGAAATTGAAAATTGATAGGTAGATTGTAATTAGTGAATCTGAGTGTCTTAAATTTCGTCGGCATCATCGTCATTATCATAAGAGCTAGGCAATGTTAATGGATGGAAAACAAAGCACACTTAGGCTTCGGTTTATTCATTGCAAATTTCTGATATTGTTCCAGTTTAAACGTTAAAACCCAGACGATATATGTTAAAACATATTTCTCCGAGCTAGCTTTCGTATCCTGACGAAGTCTAAGATCAATTTGGAGTCGAAACAAGGCGCACAGAGTGTTATGGGCATTCGAAAAGGCTGTAGCAGTCTCACATTCTGTCCGTGAAGTACTGCGTTCCCTTTTTTCTCGCTCTTTCTTAGACAACACGTACTAGTAGAAAAAGAAGAGCGACGAAAGGCTTATGACTTCTTGCTATCAAATTACGTTTTTCAGCTTTTCAAGTCATAAATATTTGGAGTTTCTCAGATAAATTTCAGATTAAGACAGCTTGAAGACTTAAGCGAGACAAACTGCGTCTTCTTGGTGAGTATTTCAACAGAGTATAGCCAATAAATTTTTGCCTAAAAGTTAATTCATTTCGAAAATTAATTGCAAGAAATAGTTCGCCGAAAGCGAACGCTTGGAACTTCTTTGGATGAAATACTAGAGGTCAGTCCAAGTTTTGCTCAGACTTATAGCTTGTAGTTGTTATACAGCCAAACCTTATACCAAAAGAGTTAATCAAAACTGAGATTGAAAAACATTTTTTAACTTAAAATTTGCAAAAGCTACTCGTGCCTGAAAATCTGTATTTAAATCCCTAGCCCGGAAAATCATACGTATCGAAAGTAAATTCACCCGATGAGGCACGACTCTTTGGCTTCAGCAAATTCTATGCCAATGCAATTCCTAACCTTTTTGTTTTAGGCTGAAAATGGATCAAGTTTGTTAGCGGTGTTAAATGTAATTTCTAGAAATGCTGTCAGTACTGAAGCCTATATCAATGTGGTCTGTTCGGGGCAGTCAGTATTTGGCGACGAGTGTAAAGTTTGGTGGGGGCTAATTTCTCTAAATATCTCTCAAGATCTCTCAATGACGACAACTAGATACCATTTATTTTCAAGCATTTGTTAAGTTCACAATATGATAAGGTTTATTTCAAATGAGAGGAACTCTAAAATTAGTAAATAATTCATTAAATTTTTCTTTTTCTGCAATTTCGCTGTGAACACATCTTAGTTCCTCACTCATAAATTCAAACTGGATTTAAAATAAGTATTCTTGTTTTCTCTCTGTTCGTCTTAACTTGAATATGGTTTTCTTTGATAACAATAAATAACTGAGTGTAAAATCGTCATCTCACTCAGTATTAATGTCAGCAAGTATTTATCTCATTTTGCCTCAGGAGACTCCGTGGAGTTTTTTTGTGTGTCATGTAGAACTGTAGGCTGTTTGTTTATGTCTTGGAATATCCATAATAACTATTATTCAACATTTGTTTTAAATAAGTGCCAAGATGTACAGGGTATCAATGGTTCAGATTATCAGGAATTGAGAACCTTTATGAAGTGAACAAGCCTTGTTTCCTTTCCTTGGAAGACCATCCTTCCTCAAGGCTATGTACATGTCATGAGCTGTGTCTCTGTAGTACTTGTGCGAGGAGAACGTGTGAAAACCGTTGATTCCTTGAACGTGTTTGAAAATTGTGCTGTCTGTCTTGCTTTTCTGTGAGTAAAGAAACTTGTATAAGTGCAAATCACTATTTTATTGGACAGGGATAGTGTTTTCGTTGACAAAGCTGGATTGGAATAGCCCAATTTTGATATTTTAAAACTTCAGATTTTAATGATAGACACCATGGCAAGGCTTTGAAGAATAAAACCCCAAACTTTATAATAATTCCTCGAAGCCTTATTTAATTAAAAATCGAAACTGGGCTTCTCAACAGCAAAGAAACTAACCGAGGCGTCATGCAAGAAAATCTGTCTATTTATTAGCTTTGCATTACAACCAAATTTTGGCCTTTGGACTTCTGGATCCGTTTCCAAACCCTGCAAAGGACTCCCCCCTCCCTTCCTATGTTCAATCCCAAAACTAAAAAATATGGGAATAAAACCTGATATGTTGATATGATACACATATATATATATATATATGTATATATTTAAAATATATATATTTATAATATATCTAACCCTATATTTACTAACTCTGACTTTATCTATTTCAATCCCTATAACTAACATCGGCTAAATAATACCAGTCATCGTCTCACTTGTTTTCTATTATTGTTTTTTCTCGCAGAGGGATCATTTGAAGCATTACAATAATAGTGTATGGCATAGTATACAAAATTAGGGTCGACTTTGAAAAATTTGAAGAAAATCTTACTCAGTTCTGTTTATGTGATGTGCTTAGATTGATCTCAATTCCAATTCAAGAGCATTCTTCATTTAACATTCCGTCGTGTGTTACCAGAAGCGAAACAGAGGAAGGAAAATAACACGAAATTGAATAATTTAAATATTTTGAACATGTTTTGAGCCTGAATAAGGTCATATTGGTCCAGTAACAAACTAAAATAGTCATTCGATAAAAATAGGGCTCAGATGCCATGAAAAGAAATTCGTTTGGTTTATTCATCAAAATGGCATCCATTCTAACAAAGTTGTTTCCTTTTTATTGAAGCAGTAGGAAGACTTTATAAACTATCTATCTCAGTGATATGATATGATTCGGCAAGCCGTATCAGTTTCAATTCTGAACGGAATAAAACATAAGTTAAACATAGCAAATAAACATAGTACGAAAATTGCAAACTGACGTTAATTATCGTTAAGTTACTCTTGGAATAGCAATTTAATTTATATCTCATTTCATTTAAATAGATTTAATTGTAAAATTGGTGAAATATTTTCAAAGGAATTTGACACGGAATTCGCTGAAATCTAAGGATTTTTCGAGAATTTAATTGTGACTTCCACGTGAAACTTGATGTTATGAAAGACGGACAGGATTTGAAACTCGCGTCAAACTCAAATGCACATCATTGCCTGAAAGTATGTAATGCATTTTGTTGCTTTCGGATTGAGTCATTTTGAAAAGGCGACTCTCCGACCGCGCAAGATAATATATTTTTGGCAGATCATAAGTGTACCATGTTATTCTGTTTTTTTTGCGCTATAAAATTTACAGTAATCATCTGAAGCAGTTCGAGTCCTTGACCCTGACGTATTTTGTCAGTTATATTGGAAAATTACTTGCATGAGCACACAGGTCTCGCTTGTCAGTTCGGTTAACTTTAGTTAATATATTGTTCGCTATAAATATATACATATGCTTGATGTCAAAAACAAAATCATGATATAAAGTTCATTGCGTTGAAAGAAGAGTTAATATCGCGGCTTTTGTCTACCGGCATACCAATATTAATCATCATGAAGGAAAATGTGATAATTTACATATCATTAAGGTTTTATTCGACCATAAAAACTTGCTCTGCAAAGTAACTATTTAGAAATGATTTTTGATTATCATTTCACGACGTCGCTTTTTAGTGACGGTGAGCATCATCGCAGCAGTTAAGAATTATATTTTCTTAGTTATTACTTAAAATGGTCACAGTGAGAAAATGATTTAAACATTTTTTTTTTGTCAAATCTTAATCGAAAATCAAATATCGTAGAGCTCTAAAATAGGTGTAATATGCTGTTTGTGAACTTAGGCAATATCTAAACAGAAAAATGTCCAGTTAATCTTCTCCAGAAAGTCAACACCCAGTGCGTCTCGTGTCTTACTGCGCTGAGTCCCACTCGATTCAGTGATGTTACGTGCAGTTTCAGTAGCCAGAAATTGTACCCAACATAGGAGAAATTTGGCAATCTTTCTGTGGATATTAAATGATCCTTGTGTATTTATTATGAAAAGATAATGAAACATAATAACCATGCCATACTCAATCCGGTGTTAGACGAATCAAACGCCATATTCCTCTGCTTTTTTAAGATTTTAGACAGTTACATATTTGGTTTTAAAGAGGGAATTGTCATTATTTTCGTCTTCCTTCATTATTACTTTCCACATTATTTAGGTCCTTAGTTGTTTAAGTCGAAAGAAGCAGTAGGAAAGAAAAAGACACGTGGATGTCAGATCTCAGATGTGCATTCCTAAAGGTTATAGATGAATTGTTTATCTGAGTTTGCTGTGACGGTGACAAAATACTTCAATCACAAAAATTATTCAGCAAAAACCAACATTAGACCAAAGCTATCTCCTAGTAGAGGAAACTTGGACAACTTTAGCCATCTTATTTCTGAATTTTATTCCATCACGTTTCACAACAACAAACAATCAACCGAGAATTAACGAAATGCCTCAACCGAAGAGTCGAAGACATTCTAAAATGCTAAATGATTATACTGATATCATATGAGTTAAAAGGTTATTTTATGGAAAAAAATGTAGAATCTATCTATTGTGCAAGTAACGGAATCCGATAAGTTGTTATTTAAGGATCACATCGCGCCAATTTCCAACCCAACGATCGCTCATAAACTGATACTTTGGTTTCTTTAAGATTCAAAACTACTTCCCTCTCTAAAATGGTCCTGTTGTGTGCTGTAAAAGTATATTTGCTTTGTCAGGAGAATTTCTATAGCGATTAGAGAGGGTCATTGACCGATTGGTACCAAGTAGTCTTCTTGTAACGTTGATATACCCCGATAGAAATTGTGACTTTTTCAAGTCAACGCTGTTAATCAGCAATATCGAAATTTTCTTTGGAACAATCATCGACAGTTATTATAATTATTATATGAAGAAACTTCATCTTTGGTCTTTTATAATTATGGTAAAGATCAGGTATTCGAAGAAGAGGTGCATTGTTTTCTTTTTCTTTCGGAGCCTGGCATACAGCAATCAGACCAGTAAAAAAATATGGCCTTAGTTCAATAATTCCTGATACTCTGTTTCTTGTCAGGGCTGGCCTGTAATGGGCCGTGCTATGTAGTCAGTTTGTGGTAGAGTTCGTGCGGCACTATTGTACATTCGTCAAAGTATACGAGCAAGTTTAAAATGTACACGGCTGTCAATAAGATTTGTTCCATACAAATGTGTTGGGGGACCTTAATGTCTGCACGCAATAAATTTGACCAAGTCGTGGCATAAACATCATAAAATTGTCTCCAAGAAGTAAGTAGTTACTGGGAAAGTTGAACAGCCTCCAGTGAAAACGCTTAGTAGGAGGTACAAGGTCTGATACTTCTACCAAAATTCAGTAATGAGTTGGAGAATGGTTACTAAATTGAAAAATGTATTAAGCTTACCATTGAAAACAGTCGTCCATTGCTATCCATTGCCAGATATCGTCCTACAGCAGGGCTGTAAATCTGAATCAATCCTTTCCCAATCGACTGCAACTGCAGATTGACTGTAAACGATGAAAGAATATAAATTACAAGACTCATTCGACAGTTAACACATATAACAAAGGGTTTGCGAAAACGCAGTCGTGTATCTTTAATTTAGGCTGGTATCAAGGCAGAAGCGGCTGTGGTACATATTAGTTGTATATTTGAACACACGGCGCTTTTGAGTTAAATGAAATCACAGCTCAACCAAACGAAATTGAGCTGCCTAAGAAGCTTTCAAAGCTATGCAGTGTTTCCTAGTCAGCAACATTAAACATATTGCCTTGGATTTCTTCAGTCGAGATGTTCAAGTTAGGGGCATATCTTCTCCCTAACGAAGTTAAATCCCTAACGAAGCAGTACCTATAATATTATTGGAACTCTCTGGTTCCGGCCTATAGCTTTAAATCGTTCAATTTGGAACAGTGCATCGCATATTAACGAAAAATTCCCGCAAATTTTGAGTTCTTTTGCTACCAGCTGATTCAGTGATCAAAAGTAGTCAGTCAAGAAGTGTCAGGTTTCGGACTTGAGGAAAGCGGGCCGCCGCCATCTTTATTTTGTGAGCAGTACAGTTAGACGCTTTTGTAACGGTATTAACACTAAATTTCTCCTTTCTAGCGGTGGCATTTTCATTATCTACATTTACTTCATCTGAAGTCAGAAAATTTTCTCCTTAGTTACTAAAATTTTTGTGGCTTCATTATTGTCAGACGAAATGCACTGGAATCGTCACGTAAGGCTTCATAACAACTCAGTAGGTAAACCTTCGATCATTTACCTGCTTTAGACAGAAGATGCTTCGAAACAAATGTAGCTGTGGAGCAGCGTGAATAACTTTTCCTTCGAAATATTTCATGTAAGATGCAACAAATTCTTCAGAATACTGGGCTAGAATATATACTTCTGGAACTTTCTAATTTGCGTGAATTTTAAGTTTTATTGTGGCAACTGACTTTCATAAACACAAAAAGCCTTTGTTCTCTGAAAACCTAACGAACCATTTTTAAAATGAAATGGACTTTCTTTAAGTAACGCCTTTCCAACTTCCGCTGATTCACTATGTCTAAGCTCAAAATGTATCCCCATTCGACTGATTGTCTGCTAAAGATCGCTCGACAACAAATAACATCGCACCGATGCCCATAAGTTAAGCTGAAATGATATTAAACTATTTGAGGCTCGGACATTATTTATTACGATTTGATGCGACTAGCTACTATAAAAAAGTAAAGAATAAAGACAAATAATAAAATAAAACAGGCCATATGAAAGATCTGTAAAGGAGTCATTGACCCCTTTCAGAAACAGACTACCAAAAAGGCAATTAAGTGAAATTAATAACATTAACACACCTCCTCATTCCCACACTTAAATAAGACTATAACAATAGAAATTTTCTGACTTTTCTACCTAAATGTTCTTTTATAAGTTTCAAAGCGAGATTCCATAAGTTGTTCATTCCATCTATTTACAATTCTATAAATGAATATTTTAGTACGTTAGTTTTAGCGTATTTCTTTTTCAGAGTTAAGTTATCGCTATGCCTAAGGGGTAACGGTCATGTACTGAATTAAAATCAATATAAGGTTGAATATCACCATTAATCATGCCATTCAGCGCTTCGTAAAGGAAAGTGTCATCAACTAAAACTCTTCTTTGTTCAAATGATAGTGAGCACAGTTTCTTTAATCGGGCTTCATACTTTAAGATGAAGTTGGTGCCTCTTTTCAATGCTTTTTCAACTTTTTCCATGTATTCACGTTGCGGTGATTAAACAAGTTCGTTTTCTGTGATAGATTTTGAATAAATCTCAATCAAATGAACAGTGATTAATAAGGGATACAATGAAACTCGTACCTAATGGTTATCAATTCTTTGGTTTTCTAACTCAGAGACCGACTGGGTACGAGTCTGCAGTAAAGTAGCATTGCACGTGCGATATCAAACTCGTTCTCAAGCTTTTTACTAAGGAAGACAGACATCTCCACAAAACGAGTAACCGAAATAGCCGAATTCTACTTCTCTGGAAAACGCTTGCCCGGACTGAGAGCAAATTTTACATTTTTCTGCGATAACGAATTTTCATGATAGCTTTCAGAAGAAGTAAGAGATTCAACTTTGATGAAGCTTGACTGAGTGTGTACTGCATGTGCTCGAATTTGAGGTTCCGAAATATAAGTGGAAAATTGTCTAAAAGGGGCGTCGGTCTTAATGCGTAATACATGTGCATTCCTTAGGGAATGTTGGCGAGCTATTTTCATTCGAATAACAACCATGAGTATTTTGGTCAAAGGTTCCTCGTCTTCCCTCCTGGCCTCTTTTAGAGAAATATCCTCTTTCACTTTTTTTGTGATGATCTGAGGAAGTTGATGAACTCAAAGCGGACATAGGAAGATTAGTTGAGGGTTTTTTTAAACAGGAAACTGTAACGGTAAATACGTGAGTATGAATAACTTAGCTGTATATAGGAGTTCTCTTATTCAGGAATTTGAAATATAATTCTTGTTAATCTTTCCAGTTTCCTTTCATCTTAAAAGGCCAAGGAATCATTTTGAATCTCCATTAACAAGATTGTTTTTTTTTCTGTTAAATTTTCTACTGAAATGATATTCTAGATGGTCTTTATAATAACTAGACAATAGTTGACGCTCATGTTGTCTACTGGAGCGTACATTTATTAATTTCTGGCTTCCCGAACAGACACAGAATAAGTCCTCTCTGAAGCAGATATTTCATTTTTCATTTTTCAATGCTTGCTTGATAATAAACAAAGTCGCCTTGAGCTGTCATAACAATGATCCAACAATTTAGATTCTGATATTCAGTCTATATCTCTTCTTTTGAAGCGTCAAATTACTGAATCAATCATTTTCATCCGCCACACAAGCTTGAAATAATTACAACTTTGTGTGTATAGCTTATGCTCGGCATTAAGAAATAAAAATCTTGATACGATGATTGTTTTCCATTCTTTGATTCATAATGGAAAGTCTTTCATTTTTTTTCTCTCCGTTGTATCGAAGATTTGATATGACACATTTGTTCGGTTTTATCGTCTACAGTTTATTTCGTATTATTAAGTTGGGTTCCATGCATCTTTTCGTTTCTTATTTAACTAAGTATGGCTATTTCGATAGAATTTATTCCGATAAATTCGAAAACTACGCTGAAATTTATCCATAATACTCGAATTTAAAACTTTCTTTAGATTTAAATGCAGTTCGATAATGCACATGCTGTGATATGCCACGTGCGCGCGAAAATACACAAATCCATTTGACTATACCTTCATCATTGTTCTGCTCTCTTGTTCCACTGACGTTACCGTCATCTTGTAGTCGAAGAAACCAATTATTTTTACTAAATAACTTGACTTGTGTAATACTGCTTTCCTCGTCTGTGACACCGAAATCTCTCAAGGAAAATATATTCAGGTTTATCTTAGCCGCAGACCATTGCACGGCTTTTAACTGTAGGAGTGCTGACTTCGTTCGGACCCACTCTTTCGCTCGACAGGCCGTGATTTCGTTTATCTGTGCTTTAAGTAGCTTTGCATCCATGGAAAATACTTCTTGTTCCAGTAAAAGCGCCATTTTAGTCGTTTATCTAGCAAGAATAAGCATTGCATCACTTAAACTTTCATGATCAGTTCAGGTTGGGTACATTTGCGTTCGACCGGAAGGCCCCTTGACGTAAAGTGATGCGACAGTTAATGCATGACGTTCATGAAGATACGGGTGAGTGGTGGCTACTTTAAAACACAATTGACTGTCTGCAATTTTGACTGCACTTTCATTAATCTGCATTTCAATGATTGCATTTATAAGTGAGTTGAAAACCTCTTCGCGATGTCATTAAGTCCAAATGTCAAAGAAAAGTGAGCCCTCGTTTGTTCCTCATTTAATGCTGAAAAGCACTTTTGTACCATTTGATTTATGTTTCAAATCCATTATGTACTTATTTCTTCAGAACCATTAACAAGATTTATTTTATAAATGTGAAATACAGTTTGTTTGGCGAAGAATCTTATCCATGCAATGGTATATGAGGTTGATAATTTCGATTGAAATAATAGGAGATCTTTTTGAGCAGCTTAAGTTTTAATTGCCGACGAATTCTTTACTCAAATTTAGAAAGTGAACAATTAAGTTGTGGCAGTCTTTTAGAGCTGTCGACTTCTTTTATTTCAATCTATTTTATATCCGTTCTCATCTACAATATATCAATAACCACGAAATGCACTTAAGTAAAACTCTTACCATTGTAGGGCGATATGGAGCAATTACCCCGCTATACCTTAACCAGACGCTTTTAAGAAAATTAATCTCTTCTACCAGAATTGCCTGACCCAACACTCCTAGAGGACAAATAATTAATTGCTGGGAAATAAATTGTGGACGTGAGTCTGAACATGTAAGTTGTGGTGACGTTTGTAAGTGGTTGAAGCTGAACACGTTATTCCGGAGAGAGCTATTGATTAAAAGTCAATCCTCTCTCACTCATCACGTACTGTTTTAGTGAGAGCAAATGCACGCTTCTCTACTTAAAAAGAAAAAGAAAAAGGATACCGAAAATAGAACAATAAAAAGTATCTTTTAACCGCTTTATGTTAGATTCCAACCATGAACTGAAAATTTCTTGGTAGGAATACGGTTCTCTTTTCACAATAACCCGAAACAGCTGCATACCTGTTATGGATTTTTTTTTTCTTTTGCTGAGAAAGGTGAAAAGCTTACATCCATCAATTATTGTGAATTTGTTCAGTCGAAGGAAAAGCGATATGGATTGGTTTCAGTGTGTGATTTTGATAAACACGGTCTGATAAATCTGACCGTGAGGCTTAGGGTGTCTAAATCAGTCATGAACACTTTGAATCAAAAATGATATTTAAACGACTTTTATTTGGTTAGTATTGCTTGAAGAAATACAATGACGCGGAATTTTTCATTATTTTCTAGGCGAACATCTAAATGACCATTTGTTCCAAAACGTTTAAGTTAGCGCGCAACTTTGCGAAACGGCGTCCAACTTATCATTCTAAATGTTGATCTTGAATAAATTAAAAAGCTTGAAATGACCCATAATTCACTGAAGGATTTTAGAATGTTGGCATTTTTTTGGACGTCACCTACGATTAGATTTTTTCATTAGCAGTGAGACCTTAGAACATAAACTGGCCCTTGAAATTAGACATTCTATAAGACATCACTTGACAGAAGAAATGACGAATAGCTTACCTCAGTAAGAGCAGCTCTTTTTTAACATCAACCACGCGAGTTCATGTTGCGTTTCAGCAAATCATCCTAACTTTCATGTTTCAAAATTTTTCTTATCCGTAAAAATTTAAAATCAGAGTTGAACTGGATTTGAACAGTACATTTAATACGTTGACATGAACAAATATAGACAATGTTTCTCTGGTAAATGTAAATTTTTTTGGTCCGCGGAATCCGACCGATCAAGTTTGAAATTTGCCGTTCGGGGTGAAAAAACCTGCATACAGTCGTTCTGTTATTTGGGAGCAACAGAGCTCTGAAGTCTACCCCGTAGATTGCCCAATTTCTGACCGGATTTCTCGATGCCCTTAGTCTCGATCGCGGAAAATCTCAGTTAGTTTTAAATCTGCAAAATTTCGTAGACAATGATAAATATCTCACTGAGTGCGATGGTAAACCGTCTAGGGTGAACTCGTGAAGGCAAAAGCATTCAATATTTCTTCATTTCTTCTTTCACATAATTATTCTCTCTCCAGTTCTTCCTTTTTTCGTTTTTAATTTTTCTTTTCTCTCCATTTTCCTTCTTGCAATAAAGGTAGAGATGAGATTAATTGACCGCAGGGATGAAGCTAACCAAGAATTAGACTTCAAAAGAATTCGCCGGCTACAAACGTCCTCACCAAGATGACATGTGATTATTGTCGGAGTTATAGAAAAACTTATTGCGCGGTATGTTTTTGCATCAGAAAGGAATTATATCTTATTGTCAGAAGAAGCTGTTGTTGTCGCTGCTGTTGCTTTTTTTTATCAACTGGATCAGATAAGATGTCGCAAAACAACTCCAATCTCCAATTGAGAGATCGAATGCTGCGCTTCTCAGACTTGCATAGGATTTTAAACTTATTAATATGGGGTTTCTCGTTAACTTAAAAACGTAAATCTTTAATTGAAGTGCGATTGATTTTTTGCCTTTAATTCTTGGTTGAATCGATGGTGACAAAACGAAAACTGGGCGCTTTAATTTTCTATAATTTTTTATCATTATTTTTCCTTTTGTTGTGAATTTTTCTTTATGAAGTACGAAAAAAAATTCTTCCATGCTAATCAGCTTCAGAATTTTTAATCTATTCTGTTTGACAATAAACATTAAACACCAATTTTCTTCAGATCTCGAGAGTTCTGGTTCACCATTTTTACTTTGAAAAGACAGAATTACACAAAAGCTAAAACTGTTGAACTAGTCTGGAGAAAAATCAAATAGTTCACGCCGCTTGCATTAAAACAGGGCAGTGGGCTCCAAATTCGAATCCTTGTAAAAAGTAAAAAAAAAAAATAGAATCAAATAGATTTAAACTAAAGAAATGTATTTTATCCAAAAAATTTTAGCTTAGTTCAAATTTGCTCACCTTTTGTTCGGAGTTAATAACAGCTCCCGCAGTTACGAAGCTCTCCTCGTTGAACGCTGATGCGCGAGCAACTGAAGGCGTTGCTTTTCATGCGAAGATTAAATATAGCATCTTATATTTTTCTGCCGGGAAGATAACAACTTAGTTCTTATTTCAATGAGATGCCACCACCCCCGAAGCCTAGAAAATCAGCAGACGGCAGTATAAAAACATCACGAATGTGTTTTGACTCGATATGTTCCTTAATTGAAGGAGAAAACCCACACTACACTTAACACGATTGGCTGCCTCTAATAGCTCTACTGCACTCGGTCATTTGATTTGACTTTTGCGCCAAAACAATTAATATCTCATAGCTATGGCCAAAATTGGGCAGGATTGCTGCCTTGTTTATGATATTTTTTTTTGACTTTAGCCAAAGGGAAGAAAAAACTGCTCTAATGAGAAAATTCCTTCGTGGGCTAAATTAGAATCATAATACTTCGATTTGAAGTTGTCAGTGTCTGAATTTGAAATTTATGTCATCGTTATTGAAATCCATACATGCTGAAAATTTCGGGAACACCAAACACTGCTAGGATTCAAACAGTAAACATCTTCATTGCAATTTGATGCATTTTCCACACGATAACTAGGAAAAAAAGCATTTGTTTTGTGTTGTTGCTAGTAACCAAAATGTAATTAACAATCTATGCAGGAGACTTAAATCGCATTAAAAAAGAATCACTTCAGGTTTAAAATGTCTGTTTTTTCCTGTATTCTGTAATCTCTATTTCGGTGTTTGCAGCAGGTAACTGCATGGTTCCGTACAAAACAATAATTTTCAGATATTTTAGGAGATGATGTTTTCAACATTGATTATAGCTAGTGATAGTTTTGGCAAAACGAAGCTGCTGATGTCGAAAATAGAAGGCAGAAAAGAAAACATGGGCGATTATCGATAATTAGAAAGTTTTTACTGTTGTTACTGACACAGAACCGCTATGCACGCAAGAGGATCTCAAGATCCAAAATGTTACCATTTCAACTTTGCTCGAAATTGAAAGATAAAGATGATAGGGACTTTATAGGAAAGCTGATTGTTTATTAATTATTAAAAAAAAGGGATGAACATAACACATAACTGCTTTTCTAGACCGACTACAATCTGATTGGCATGCCTAAATGCAGCATCCAACTGAACAATCAGAAATCTCGATACTAGCAGTACTAGATGAACACAATGGCAAAGAGGGGAAAAAGATATGTGACAAGGCCGCTAAAGATACGCAAAAACTGAGGTATTCCCTCCCCTGGGAAGGGGTACATAGGTTTACTAATAGGCCGCGGAATGTGCCTTAAAAAGACTTACAGGTATCGCATTTTTTGCGAGTAGATAATCTAACCTATTCGGTATGTCTAAAAATAACGTGGATAGCGTGAGTCGGCTGAATATTTTTTCCTGTTTCCGGAATCTGTTTATTTTGAACCTGGGGCTAAGAATCCCATCCCATGGATTCTCAATGACAAACAAAGGCAGAATATGTTTTGTAGAATTCATACAATGTTTAATGGCAAACATACAATCATATGCAGTAAATATTACCCAGGAGGGCTTTAAATTTTTCGAATATGGCTTTAAACATATTTCCTGCTTAATTCCTAAAGCGAAGTTCAAGTTAATGGAGTAGGGTCTCGTTCCACAGGGAATTCTCTTAAGTTGATTATAGGGTCAATGTTTCTTTTTTCCTGAAAATAATTTTAAAATATTTCTTTTGTCGTTCATGGATGTTTTATGAGGTGAATAAATGAAGTTTCTTTCTACGAGCTTTTTTTTTCATTTGACTGGCACTCTGCGATCTTTTTCCCCGTTCTGATTGGTCATTGTGGTTGCTTTGACTTTGGTTATGCAACGCGCATTCGAAAGACGCTCTTGTAAACGCCAAACTATTCGCAAAAAAAGGTGTATGTTGTGGCTGTTTGAAATCGAATTGTCAACCTTGAGATGGACTGGCATCCTATCCAGGGGGGAGGGGTGATATTCCTAGTCGCTTCATGCTTTGGAAACCGGGAAAAGCTCGGGCTCATGAGCCACTTCGCTCGAGCACAAACTTTATCCCCTTTTACAAAGCGTTTGCAGAAAAAATACGTTTAGTTTTCATAGAAACGACATTTTCTTGTAAAATTAAGAAAGCTTTTATTTCTTGTTTGTTTTGCCTCGTTGCTTTACATTGCATAAATAAAATGTAGACGTAATGATTATATTAATGAATTTTACATCAATATATAAAACACTGATTTCACACTTCGTAAATCTGATAAAAAATAATTAGTGGTGTACATAAATAATACTGATAAATGGATCCTTAAAAATGTCCTTATTGTAAGGAATAATATCAGAAACCACTTTTAAAATGGCTTGAGAGTTATTCCGTAGAATTGTATTACTCTTCCAACAATTTTGCATTGCTTCAAGGTTCATGCTGAAAGCTACTTTCAGCCTGCGGGGCATTAAACTCTAAAAATTTACCAACTTTACCTCCCATTTGATGGGATTTAAATTCGAGAATTGAGAATATTTTTAAAAATTCCGAGTCGCTAAGCAACATCTAAAGCTCAAAATAGGGTGATCAACAGCTGTCTCCCGTGTAGATAATAAATTTTACTTTATTTTGACTGACTTTGGTGTCTTTTCCTTTGCGGATTTTCCCATTGCGTCCAAGGGATATGAATGTGTCGTATAATGATTTTTTGTAGTACTTCGCAGACGCAAATGTATGATAGGAAGTGCTCTCCATTGTTAGCTTAAACACTGTTTCATCATTGGTTGAATTCTGTTAAACAGAAAAATGTCGAATTAGAACACAAAACTTTACATATTATCACGTCACGTAACGTAACACAACGTTACTCCATAGCAAGTCACTTCACCTTTCTTACATCACGACATATCACATAACGCCTTGATCACTCCGCATCCCACAAAAACAGCTTACAGTCCGTTATAATTTATTGTACATTTCATTTGCTTGTCAAATATTGTTTTATCAAAATTTTTAAATCTCTTCCTTTGAGATTTTTTCCCTTTTAGATATCACGGTAAGAAAAGGTAATGAAAAAAATGTAGCATCATCGATTTTGCGATCATTGACTTATGAATTTCGTGAAAAAGTGCCCTTACCCCTTCCCTCGTGGGAGATTGGTGGAAAGTCTTGTTCTGAAAGGGACTTTATCAAAATAAAAATTTTTTTTTAAAGCTTAAGGTCTTTTGATAATCTCACTCAATTTTATTTCGAAAAATCTCAAACGAATGTGCCTGATAACATAGTCCGTTATAAGTTGAACCCCCTTACTTACCGTTGAATAAACAATGCCCCCACTGTTCATTGCAACGTAACGACCGGTTTCGATTCCTTTAATACGCTGAAATCCACTTCCCATTGGCTCAAGCTCAAGATTGGCTTAAAAATGAAAGATTATAAAAATTAAATAACGGCCAGGGAGCAAAGAGCAAATACTTGACATGAGAGTGTTTGCGTGTTGTACGCTGGGAAATTCTTCACTTCTAAATGTACGTTTTAGAAATGCCATTAAACATTGAACAAAATTTGGTATTAGAAACAAATGAACTGAAGAAAAATCACTTTTTAACAGCTACTCTTAGATTGGTTGTGTTTTTCTCTATTTTTAATTTCTTTGCAAACAAAAGTACAATCGTTTTTCTAAACCTTGGAAAATTTGAACGAAGTCTTTGAATTTTTCCTTTTATTTAATTTCTAAAGCCATCATTCACAGTACAAGTATAATTCCCAAAAACCAGAAAATTAAGTTTCGAATAGTATTGTGTAAATAAATGGGAATTAGAATGTAGATGAGTAAGCGTTAGGAAAAACAGATTCATAATTGAGCCACGGTTATGAAAACAACTCGAAGATGTTGCGTGTCTTACCATATTTACTTGAACAAAACGCGGTACCATTCACTACGCCATCGTCACTGATTTGCAGAAATTTCTGCGTTTTCCAGAACAAACGAACAGCCATCGGAATGGAAGGGATATTCGCCGCAATAGTTCTTATATCTGGATTGATTTTAAGAAGAGAATCTCGTCGCTGTCGGGACAGGGGAACTTGGTTAAGACTCCATGTTCCCTTTTGGTTAACTGATGATGATGACTGTCCAGTTGACTTTATGACTGCCGAACGACAGAGGTTTAAAATGAAGACTACCAAAAGAATTGTGTACTGCAGGGAGAAAACATAAATGGTGAATAAATAAGTTAATAATTATTATTAAGTAATTAATGACGGAAGCTTTCGAGTGGTCAGGGAGTAATAAGATTAGTGAAAAAATGGAAGTCATTAGTTATGAATGAGATTCTGAGCTAAATAATTTAGCAAGGAAGGAACGAGACAAAAGAATGAAAATAAGGGAAGAAAAAATTATTTACTTATAAAATCTTAAAATTCAAACTATATGCGGATTTCTTTACCTACTGCATTGAGGAACTGAGTCAGGCTGTTACCCAGTTAGTCATTCACTAAGATAGCCAGGTGTATACGAACAGAGGACAAAAAAACTGACGAAGGCAATAGGTTAGGGTTTGATAATTCATTTACATGCTAACTAAGTTTTTTGCCGTCAGTTACTACAACTGTTACTTTGAAACTAAAGTCATTTGTATAACTGATCTTTAAATGAATTCAATCGCAATTTTTCTTCATTTGATAAACTTCAGAGTGTGAGAAGTAAATCGTTTGTTTTTGGTTCTAGAACAAACAAATCCTTTAACGGATTCGTTATAACATGACTGCGGGTCAAAATTTTTTAAAAAATGCAAAAAGTATTATCGAAGACTTACTTAGGAATGTTTGCAGCTAAAGTTGGTACAAGACTTACCAAAGATGCCCTGATCATTATGAAAAGAGAGTGGTTAATTCAATTCAGTTAAGAAGCTTGTATTTTTTTTCGTCACTGTTTGCTGTTCGATACACTGCACCAAACTGCAAGCCTTTTTATACTCACCTACCCTTACACATTTCTCGCAGCCAGCCATTTTTGGCGTGGATGTTGTAATCAACAAAAAATTCGTGTAGTGGGTGTAGTGATTTAATTTAAGTCGGAAAATCGAGTTCCCTCAATCATAAAAAATTTTGCATTAAAATAAAGTTGGCATTGGACCATGTAATTTATTAAGGTATCAAACTCGAATATAACTAACTCGACCAAGTTTACTTTGCTTGAATTCAGTTCTCCTATTAAGCAAAACTAACAAAGGCCTGACGGAATCTTGTTTCAAAGCTTAGAAAACGATCCATTTTTCTTTCGCATTTGCGGACTCGTGACAATTTCGTGACTTTCAATTAACACATTGATTTATATTAGTAGCAGGAAAAAAATTTTAAAAATAGCATTTTACGTTAGAGTTAAAGAATATCTTGACTATTACCTCCGGAAAAAGTTAAAGTTTAATTTGCAAACAAGCCAGTGAAATTATCCGTCAATATCCCTAAATGTTTTCATAACACCCAAAGATTTAGAAGCACAAATTAAATTTGTGATCGTGATGTTATGATAAAATTAAACTCGTACAAAAATTTAACACCTGCCAAGAAAACTATTTTCGCACTAAGAAGAGGTGGACTGAAATAGAGTTTAAATATTGAAATAGCTGTTAATTTTTTTTTTAATCAAGAGGAAGTAACTCCATATTTTTAGCCGGGAAGAGAAAACACGACTTCTATGGAAACTGAAGCCAGTCTTTAAAATTTCGAAAGTGCACCGGAAGTGGCTAACCACAATCAATACAGAGGTGGAACTCTTCAGGTAACTTCCGCTTCCGGTCACGTCCTCACCCACCTGTTTTCAACGAGCAGATGGGGAAAATTCTTTTCTCGTTAACTCTATGTTTGCTTAAAAAGAATGACTACCTTTATGCCGTCAGTTTCATTTTTTAGCAAAACCAGCTTAGACGAGTCAGCATATTAGCGGTGAACCGACAAAATATTCCACAGCATACAGGTGCAAATGGAACGGACATATATTCACTTATGTAAGTACCACGTTGCTTCCGTGTGATTCAGGTAGCGGAAGGGATCAATATTTGCCACTACGTATCAAACACTAGCTTTTTTGCAAATGGATTCTTCTTAGAAGTAAATTATTTACTGGTGGCGTTTGATATTGATTTGACGTGGGAAAAAACCGCACATCATATATTGATGATTTTTTGTTTTTTTTCTCGAAGTATCTTGCAAAGAAGTACAGCTATAAAAAAGACCAATTTGAACAACTAACGGGATCGTGGCTTCTCTCAATGACTGAACCAACGGGATCCTGCGGGATGATAATTACATACGTCATAAAATTTCGTCAATAAAATTGAATGCCTGCTTCCTGTCGTTTTTCTCATTATAGACCGTTTAACCTGTGGTGGCGTTTTACCGTGGGACCAAACTTTGAGGTTTCCTTTGGTTTTTAAGTTGATATTAAGTGTTGCTGTACTACGTATGAATAAGCTGAAACTTTGGGTTAGGGTTAGGGTTTTATTAATAACTTGATCATATAAAAAAAGTTAGAAAATATTTGTTTTATCATTATCGTCGTAATATTTTACTAAAAAGCTGCTCCAGCAGGAGTTTCAGAATTTCTCTCCAAGTAGACTGTCGATGGTGTGATAGACGGCTGTGCTGTAGGGGCAAAACCCAAACACCAAACACTAAAGCTTAGTCGGAGAGATCGTATTGGCAGCGACTGACCGCCGGTTATGACTTTTACCAAAACCCCTGCTTTAGATGTTTCAAAATCCTCACGCCAGTAGTATTTTTTTGTTTTTCGAAAATAAATTTTCTCTCGTTTATTTTCTACCCAGCAAATCTTAAGCAATTTAGAGTTAAAAACCTATTTTTTCTAAAATTTATAAGAATGTAAAGAGAATTGTGTCAGCGGTTTTGCTCGCCTAACCCTTCAGTTGTTTTCATAACTTTCCAGCTATTTATCTTTTTTAACCTTAAATTCTTCAATTTACATTTTACAAAAGGGCAAATCTAAGCATGCGCAACCCTTACGGTTGTTAATACGAATGGTAGGCGGCGTTGAAACCTTCGCCAGCGGTCTGCCTTACAGCAATGAGTACTCTATTAAGACTCTCCTTTGCATTTTTGTTCTCAGTTATCATGATTGCAGCAAAAAAAAAAAAAAAAAAAAATGAAATCACATTGAAATAAACTTTCAAGATCAACAAAGTGTTTTGGTTTCGTTAAATATGATATCAAACTACTACTCAGTACATTTCATTCCATGTCAAGAGCACACTGCTTAAAGAAAAAATGATTTGCCTAGCCCTTTACACACTAACAACACTATGAGTATTCTCCAAACTACTTTATATACATTCCTAGGGAAATAACAATGAGAATTTGTCTTGCAATCAGGCGCTTTTTTAATTGGTGATCATTTCCCTTATTGTCTTGACCTGATTGTTTGGTTCAGGGCGATATTATAAGGAGAAATTCGATGCTAATCACTCTCAGAGGTTAAAGGGTCAAACACGTCGTTGTCATTCTTAATTTTTCAGCCATGAAGAATATCAAAAGGTAACATTTTCCTTGAGCTTTTACAAACTATTCACTCTGCAAGCACAACAACAGAATGTTGGCCGCTTTTCTATCCAAAATACCTTCTTAATCCATTTTTTTTCTGAATTCTTTTTAATATTTTATGTTTGCCTGGCTTATTTATTTTCTGTTTCCAGACTGTTGCTCTGTTACGCAGTGTACCTGATCCACCCCCTCCTTCGGTTCAAAATTCCCATTTGTGATATAAACTGAGGGCTGTTTTGCAAGGATTTTCAGCCCTGAGAGGAAGTGTATAGTTACCATAATTTTCACGTGCGTTTGACTTTGTCAATCAACCGGTAAACGTCACTCGCCTTTCGCGCCACTCTGTCGGGTTCATTCATTAATAAAGTTAACTTCTTTCCATGTCAGCAAAGGCTAATGGCATTTCTTTAATAAACAAAATATTACATGGCTACTTGTAGATATGGTATTATCTACTCATGTTCAATTCAATGACTCACTCTTTCCTTATGCTCACTCGTGAGATATGGAGTTCAACGGTCGAAGAAAAACTCCATATCTACGCGCGCCATGACTATTCCCTACATGAAAAACTGCATTAATAGAGAGTTTTTATTAAAATTATTCGCTAGTTAAGTATTGAAAATTACTTCTGAAAATAAAACTGCATGGCTCGATCAGTTCAGCCAAATAGTTAAATTATAAAGCTTTAATTACTTAAACCTTTTGCTATGTCTTTTAGCCTTTTTTGTCAAATTAGTCTGGAGCTTTTAAGTGACGACTTAATGCTCTTTGTAAGGAATTTTTAAACCATGTACTTTTACGATCTTGAGGAAAATTTTCAAACTTACGAAAACAAAAGAAAATTCACGGTTTGCTGCCCAAGCGAACAGATAACATCCCACACAACACTCTTTATTGGTGTTTTGACGCGAGTTTAACTAACCTCGAACTTGAATTTTAACATCTCACGCAACACTCTTTATTGGTGTTTTAACGCTAGTTTAACTAACCTCGAACATGAATTTTAAGCAGTCCAGAAATTACGAAGCGGTTAAGTGTAGGACCCACATATTTTTCGCAGTTTCAGTTCATTTCACCTGCACTTGTAACACCTCTAGGTGAGTTTTTGAAGTCAGTGGGACGTGAAATATTTTGAAATATTTTTCAAAGGGTGATTGCGAGAGTGAAACTGTATTAAAAAACAGGTTGACGACCATTGGGAGTGAAGAAACATTAAAGGAAGCATAAGTCTTCTTGCTTTTTTTTTTGTTTTTTTTCGCGGAGCTTTGAAAGTATCGCGAAAGAAATGTTCCTCGCAGGTTTTCGACAGGATTTAAACCTTTACCTTCCAGATACTAACTGAGAATTTACTGTCATCTAAGCTGCGGAGCCACGAAGTGTTAGGAGCGAGGTACATTGCGTATGATTCTTCTCATTCATTTAATTTCAAACATAAGGAGTGTCTAATTTCGATTTTAAAAATGACAAAATAAATGCTATTTACAAGTGTACCTTGCTTAAAAATTTAGCACTGTAGCTCAATTGGCAGTAACGTCTACTTTTAGGAAGGAGGCACGGTTGGAATCTCGTCGTAGCCTGAATTTCGGGCTTTTTTTCGGCAATTTGTTTAACCCATTAACTTCCAGATCAAATTTGTAACTTTCCTTATTGTCAAACATACAATTTTGATAATGTTAGTTCAGAGAATTTAGTATTGGATCAACTTATTATCCCCAAATTGATACTTTTCTTTATTCTCATCACTTATCTGGTTGATATTGTATTGATATTGTAAGGAGAAATTCTGTTTTGGTCACTCATGGGAGTTAAAGGGTTAACTGCAACTCACCTGCAAGGGTCATTCTTTTCTTTAATATCATCAGTACGTAAATATGATTTATTTCATTCATTTAGTAGAGAGCTTTGAAAATTAACGGCCTTCCATTAGCAGCAGAGCTGTCCCTCTGAGCAAAATTTCTCATTAACAGAAGCATTCTATCTTCTGCTGTTAATTAAAGTACTTGAGTTAAGACGCACGCAATCTGACTGAAAGTTATTTACTATAATGGATAGAGAAAATTATCAGAGAAGAGAGAGCTAAAAATCACAAACTATGAAAATCGGATAGGTATAATTGAATAACCTCCATAAATAGTTATCTAAGTGTAATCTGGTATCTTCTGTTCGCAAATTTGCCTTCATTATTTTAAACAAATATTATCGTTCTCACTAGAGTTTCACATTACACCAAAAAATAGTAAAGATAATGATTCTAAATATATGAAAATTAAATATGTGCACTGCGGTGAAGAAACGAATATAAGCGATCCTCGCAGCTATGAACATTACTACATTAGTAGTTGAAATAAGACCTGAAAAAAGTACCTCCGCGATACCGGTGCAGCGCTCTGATCATTACGTTGGATCCAAATAAATCATCTAAGTGATGAATAACGATTGTAGATATATGAAAATTATAAATGTGTACTGGGGTCAAGAAACGAATATAAGCGATCCTCACAGCTATGAACGCTACTGAACTAGAAGTTGAAATAAGACCTGAAAGAAAAAAAATCCAGGCCCGTACGGGATTTGAACCCACGACCTCTGCGATATCGGTGCAGATATTTAATTGCCAAAAAATCTTGTTCAATTAATTCTGTAAAACAGTGATCACTTTCAAGCTACGTTAAAAGAAAAGTAGTGAGGAAAATGCCATCAATACAAGACATTTTTATTCTAAAGTTTCCGTTTGAATTTCAAAAAGTTTGCGTCGTGACATATGGCGTGACTACTTAGTCCCGTGACTAGGGATGACGTCATACTTGCGTTCAGTAGTGTCACGGAAGGTTTGCAAACGGCGTAAACGAAATGGCCGTGATGAGAACTTTTCTCTACTTTTTGGCATTTGTTTCCCTTGGATCAGGCTTTGAATGTAAATTTAAAGATTCTGAAAGGTCAGATTCAGATGGAGATAAACTGCAGGTCCATCTCGTTCCTCACACGCACGACGATGTTGGTTGGTTGAAAACGGTAGACGAGTATTATTACGGAGCTAATAATTCCATTCAACACGCTGGTGTTCAGTACATTTTGGACTCAGTCATTCCCCAGTTAACTTCAGATAGTACCAAGCGATTTATCTACGTAGAAATCGCGTTTTTCGAGCGCTGGTGGAACGAACAAAATGAAGCTATGAAAACGGAAGTCAAGAGGCTTGTCGCAAACAAACAGTTGGAGTTTATAAACGCTGGTTGGTGTATGAACGACGAAGCAGCCACACATTACAATGCGATCATTGATCAAATGACTTATGGACTTAATTTCGTGCAGGAGACATTTGGATCGGAAGCAAGACCCCGGATAGCTTGGCATATCGATCCATTCGGTCACTCAAACGAACAAGCTTCAATCTTTGCTCAGATGTCATTTGATGGATTTTTTTTGGGCCGCATCGATTACGCCGACAAGGAACTTCGTCTGAAACAGCAGCGAATGGAGCTGGTTTGGAGAGGAAGCGCCAAAAACCTTGAAACGGACTCTGATATTTTTACAGGGGTGCTATACAACAATTATGCTGCACCCCCCGGATTTTGTTACGACCAATCGTGTAAAGATGCTCGGCCGGTACAAGACGACCCAAGCCTCTTCGGCTTCAATGTCGATGAAACCGTGGAACGATTTGTGCAAGAAACTTGTGCACAGGCATCACATTACAAAACAAATCACATCATTTTAACTATGGGGGAGGATTTCCAGTACGAAAACGCAAACACTTGGTACAAGAATTTGGATAAACTGATCAAATATGTAAAGCAGGTAAGCGGAAACACGATAAGCATTAGGTCTAATCATTGAGCTTACAATAGTAATTGAACTTCCGGTAGCTTCCCTTACGTTCCATACCTAAGAAATCCTAAGAAATGGGGGGGGGGGAGGGATGGTACGTTTCTCATTTGGGTGAGGGGTGGTACTGTTCAAAATTTTGTTATAATGCTCTTTACAGACACTTTATTATTAAATTTTTCAATCCATAAAAACAGAGTCGCAAACCCCGTTCCATAAAATGTCCTTTGCATGCCACAGGTGAATCAACATACATTAATGTAAACGCATTATATAAAAGGTAGAACATGACAGAACATGTAAGTTCCGTAATTAACAACATCATTAACAACAACAATAACAACAACATCCATAACAATAACAACCACGGCCATAGCTTCGTCTTCAATTTGATAGCAAAAATGTACAGTATTTCTACGTTTCTGAGTCACTGAAATGGTTACATATTTTCTTTGAGATATTTATTTGGAATTTCATTTCGAAACTTCATATGAGGTAAAAAAGTATTTCTCTTGAAAATCTAGGTCGAAATTAAATGATTTTGATGACTCGCTTGGACGTGAAAATATTGTAATTCGTTGTATTTGAAAGACCTTTAAATTTTAGAAAAATGAAGTGAAAATTTGTGCAAGAGACATGTACGCAGGCATCGCATTTAATTCGAACTACACCATATTAACTATGGCAGTAATTTTCAGTGCGATACCACAAATACTTGCTACAAAAATGTGAATAAACTGTATAGAGATGTAAACTAGATCAGCGAAGTAGGAATAATGCATAAGTATTGAATGTATCGCTATTTCACGTTCCCAAGACGCTGGGGGGGTGGGGGTACCTCCCTACGCGGGTGGGTAGTACTCTCTGCAAATATGTCTCTCCGGCCTGTGAAGACGTTTTGTTTAGAAATCCTTGTTTCCCTATTCCATCTGAGTAGAGGCTTTATGTAACGAGAGGATTAACAGTTATTTAGTTTATCTTGCTATCGCTGATGAAAATATAAAATGTACGTACTACCTGACTTTATTGGGCCAGCTCGGCGTGAACAGTTGTTGTTTTATCATAACTGTGATAAGCGTCAAACTGTAACCTTCACTGACCTGTCCTGTTCCTCTGTTTGATCATTATCTACCTGCAATGTTTTGAAACTGATTACTGTTGTAAAAGCGAAATTTCCTCGTAGCCAATCGTTCTTAATGAAAAATGTATTATATCATTAATAACATTACCTAATCTTTAGCGTTGTAGTTCAGGCCTGAATAGAACTGCTTTGAAAAGCTTTCTATGGACACTTTAAGGTCTCGCCAGCACGTACCAGGATGCACGTTAAACTCTACGTTGAGGCTAAGTTTTAGTGGAAATTAATGTCTTAAAGATATTCAGCAGCCGTAATAGTCTGACTTTCGCGTAGCCCGTGAGTGTTCTCTCAGGAAGAACCCTTCCGAGAGAAGTAATTTTATAGTTTTTCCCCTGTCCATTCATTTGTATTTGAAGGTAAAACCTGTTTTCAAAGTTATTCCCCTTCCGCCGACATAAATACTGAATGCTTATGGTGACTTAAGAAATTTTACCAGTTTTATCTTAAGTTTAAAGATTTGGGAGAAACAAAAGTTCCATAATCATGACAAAAAGGGTTTAGTGGTTTTTCTAAGTCCATATCATTGTAATAGTTATTTGATTTCCTTTAGAAGTATATTTGCAATTTACTGTCACACCCACATTCATTGTTAGAAAAAAACAAAACAAACACAACAACAATAACAAATTAGTTTTCGTGAAAATAACGCGCTCCGTCAGTTGAACCTTGAATGAATTAGGGCCGCAAAATTTCACTTGAGAGATCTTCTGTTGAAATAAAGACGTGTTGTATGAACTGTAGCAGGACACAAGGAGGAACGCGGCTGCTGGCTGCAGCATTGAATGTGATGCGTAATACGTAGTCTATGAAAACCAAAGTCATGCGTGCACACTGGAAACTACTAGTTTCAGTCTTCCTCATCCTCTTAGACAATTTCACGGAAATATCTCGTGACTTGGTTTGTCGAACGTAAACTCTTGGTCAAACATTTACTTGGAGATTAGAGTTTTTTGGCTCCTGTATCTTCCAAAGAAAGAAGAGAATGGTGATTTTCTTCTTCACTGTAAGTCTTTTTTGCCTTGGAGCAGCCTTCGAGTGTAAATCTGACCGTGCCCTGAACGACGATGAGAAACTGCAAGTCCATCTCGTTCCCCACACGCACGATGACGTTGGCTGGCTGAAAACAGTGGACGAGTATTATTACGGAGCTAATAATTCTATTCAACATGCTGGTGTTCAATACATTTTGGACTCTGTCATTCCCCAGTTAACTGCAGATAGTACCAAGCGATTTATCTACGTAGAAATCGCATTTTTTGAGCGCTGGTGGAACGAACAAAATGAAGCTATGAAAACGGAAGTCAAGAGGCTTGTCGCAAACAAACAGTTGGAGTTTATAAACGCTGGTTGGTGTATGAACGACGAAGCAGCCACACATTACAATGCGATCATTGATCAAATGACTTATGGACTTAATTTCGTGCAGGAGACATTTGGATCAGAAGCAAGACCCCGTATAGCTTGGCATATTGATCCATTCGGTCACTCAAACGAACAAGCTTCAATCTTTGCTCAAATGTCATTCGATGGATTTTTTTTCGGTCGGATCGATTACGCTGACAAGGAATTACGTTTGAAACAGCAGCGAATGGAGCTTGTGTGGAGAGGAAGCCGAAATCTTGGAAAAGACTCCGACATTTTTACCGGAGTTCTCTACAACGGGTACAACCCACCCCCTGGATTTTGCTACGATCAGTTTTGTGTTGACAATCCTGTACAAGATGACCCGAGGCTATTTGATATGAATGTAAAAGAATCTGTCGATAAATTTGTACAAGTAACCTGCAAGCAAGCATCGCAGTACAAAACTAAAAACATAATTTTAACTATGGGTTCAGATTTCATGTACGAGAATGCCAACCTTTGGTACAAGAATTTGGACAAACTTATCAGATATGTACATGAAGTGAGTGCTTGTTTGTCTATGGGTAACTTTTAGTCTAGTGTTGTTGTTGATATTGTTTGTTTGTTTGTTTGTTTTTCAATTAATGTATTTGTTTTAAATGTCACAGCTTTGTAGAAAACATGGTCATGAGATCATCGTAGTCATGATTTACAGGTGTAAACCCTGACTATGTAATTCTGATGTGATTTATTCTGGTGCATAATGCTTTTCTCTTAAAGTATCTTCACTAAAGAGCACCAATGGGTACCAGTGAACTGCATATATCAAGGAATATAGCCATTATGTTTAGGGGTGTGTGAGGATCAGGGTGAGGGGGTTACCAGCAACATCAGTACTCTAAACTGATCTCTATACATTTCCTAAGGTGCTGGGAAGGGGAATTTGTTTAACAATCAAGAGCTGCCATAGTTAATGATCATTTTCTCCATTCTCGTGACCTTATGTTTGATCCAGGGGTGATATTGTAAAGAGAAATTGTATGCTTTTCACCCTTAGTGGTAAAGGATTAATGTAAGGGAAACTCAGATAAGCTCTCTTGATGTGTGCTACTATGCTTGAGAGCAGACCCATTCTTACTTTACAGGAAAAATCTCTCTGTAGGTTATGTTACAAAGGTTTTTAGACAAAAAAAATGTTTAGTTATATGGGTTGATGTGTAATCTTTTTTCCTTCCTTTGTGTCTCCAGGATGGCCGTGTTAATGCATTTTACTCCACTCCTACCACCTACTTGGACGCTTTGTATAAAGCCAATCAAACTTGGGAATTAAAAACAGATGACTTCTTTCCGTACGCAGACTGTCCACATTGTTACTGGACTGGCTATTTTACCAGCCGTCCTGCACTCAAGCAATATGTCAGATACAACAACAACTTACTTCAGGTTAGAATTACCTTGAATTTGTTAGGCAGTTGAGCTTCTATTATTATTGCACTTTCTGTTCTCTTGAATTAGGTCCAGTGGAAGCGTGATGATATACTAAAAAAACATACAAGATTTTAACTATTGAGGGTTTACAAATTTCACACAAACTTTTGAGACAACCTGAAATGCAACATGTAACTTGTTTTCAATACCTTTTTTTACTTATTCTTTTCATGCTCATTTCAATGCTTTTCCTGCGCCTGTCCTTGTTTTAGTGTTGTTTTCAGGGTTAGTTTCCTTGCAAAGTATATTTTACAAAATACAGCAACATTGACAATGGAATAAAAAGGGTTGTTTTCAGTGTGAGGTGTGTGTAAATTCTTCTTTTAAGTAAAGTTTTCATGCACTTGAAAACAAGTTGTCTTTACCTCTTTTGTCTGAGTCAAGTATCAGTTCAGATACGAGAACTTCACCCCTGGGGATGGTATGAAATATTTGTTTTGTTCCTGGAACCCATATATCTAGAAAATTGCAGTTCCAAGCTTTGTCCAAGGGTTCCAAACTTGGGGATTTTCTCATCAGAAAACATTTGTAAAGGTTTATATGAAAAGAAAATACTCATGGCCAAATGATTCTTAAATACTAGGTATCTTCATTTTTTTTTTCTGTTGATGATAACTTTGAAATAATGTTTTGATCAGTATCTTGAAGAGTATTGTATCCCTGAATTTTGACAAATCAGCCCTTCAAGCTGTCACCATTTCAGTCTCCATGACAGGTAGAAACAATTTCAGCATTTAACTTTGCACCAAAAGTCGCCAATTTAGTTCCCTGATTTAGTGGTAATGCACAAAGCTTTGATGCTTTTTACTTGCTTGTTGTTTATGATCTGGATTTAAACCTAGAATGCTTGCATGGAAAATTGTAATCAGAGAAATGCTCCATCTTTTTTTTTTGACAAAAATTTGTCTCTTTGGTTGCAGGGAATTAGACTTTGAGATGTTGCATTGACTTCCAAAATGATTGCTACAATACCTTTGTTTTAAATTTTCCTTTTACTTCCGGTGACCATTTGTCTCCACTTGTCTCCTTCAAAGAATTTAAGCTTAGACTCAACAGGTCCATTGTGTCAACATTACCCAAACTTTTATTTTATTTTTGTAGGTTTGTAAACAGCTGGAAGTGATGAATGGTCCTGCAAAGAAAAATGGCCCAAGTTCAGATACACTGCGCAGAGCCATGGGTGTGGCTCAGCACCACGATGCTGTCAGTGGTACATCAAAACAGCATGTGGCTGATGACTATGCCAAACGCCTTGCTATTGGTGCAGCAGAATGTCAGGTATGTTAAAAACATTGCTTTTGTCTATGTCGTCAGCTCCTTTCTTTTTCATTTTTTTATTTTTTTCTATTTTGCAAAATAATTTGGAATGCAGCTCCTTCTTATTTGTTGTTTCTCCTACCTTCTAGCCATATGGGATATATGATGTTATTAGAATCATGAATGTGGTGTTAGCATTACAGGCTGGCCTATTTGTCTTAATACTCATACTTTTGTCTTACCAAAAGGCTTTTTAAATTTGAATTTATCAATAACCTATACAATTCTGAACTCATGCACATCAGAAAGTTTATGAAGAATTCAGAGTCCAATCTTTCTGTCATATCACAGGCACATAATTTATCTTAGTACATGCATTTGTTTCAATTTTTTTGAAAACTTTGAATGATCATGCAATCAACTGTTGTGTGTGGGAACATTTTATAAGATTCATTTTTATTGGTTATGACTGTAATTCAAATTGATACAGAGTATGTTTCATTGAACATTCTTACAATTGAGTTTGATCAAAAGATTTAGATGAATAAGATCAGGGAAGTCCTTGAGAAGTAATTTGTGGTCACATGAATGGATCAATTTAGATGGATCAGATCTTGTTTATTTTTAATAGGATGTTCATTGCTTGAAAAATATTTTTTATTAGAACATTCTGGTTTGCTTCTAACTTTCAATGAGACTCTAACATTTGGCCCCATGTTTGGCATCCTGCCTATATCCCTGATAATGTCCTGCGGGATGTAAAGAGGTTTGAGTGACAGGTAGTAAAGGAGGAAATCCTTAAAATGAAGAACTTACCCCATTAATAAATGATAAAAGAGAAAAAAAAAAGAAACAAAAGCTAACGCTTTTGTTTGTTTTTCTCTTTTATACAATTAACATTTGAACTCCTCTTTCAACGATAAGCATATGGCAGGACAAAAACAAAAAAAAAACTATTGGGAGAGAGGAGGGGGGGGGGGAACGGGAGGGTATAAGTCCCTGCACACCCAGAACCACATAGCACCCAGAAATGATAACTTTCAGTTCACAACCTGAAATCCCTACAGAAATCATCCAAAGTCTGAAGTCATTTAAAGGGGTTACTGTAGGGTCTCTGGAGAAAAAAAAAGGAGAGGAGTACTAAGACATAATTCTTTATCATACTTAGGAGCTGGTTGGTGATGTTCTTAACAAACTTAAAGTTAAAAACCCTGAAATCAAGCCTCCTACTTTGACTTTCTGTGACCACCTCAACATAAGCGTATGTCCTCTGACTGAAAAGACTAAGTCCTTCACAGTAACTGTGTACAACCCTCTTGCTCGAGCTGTAGACGCTGTTGTTCGCCTTCCAGTAGCGCTGGCCTCGATGAATGTTTTTAGCCCACAAGGTAAACTTATCGAAAGTCAAATGTTACCAGTTTCTAACGAAACGAGACTGCTTCGTCAAGCTCAGAACCTGATACAAGGTGACTCATCTTTTGAGCTTATTTTCTTTGCCAAAGTTCCTGCTCTTGGCTTTGCAACTTACTTCGTGAACTCTACTAAGTCAACAGTGAAGAGTAAAATTTTCAAAGACGTCCCCAAGCGTGTTTACGAAGACGCAGACGAAGTCTCCATCGAGAATGAGTTTATCAAACTGTCGTTTACGGAAGATACTGGTCATTTGACGAGTATGACTGACAAAAGTTCCAAGACTACAACTGTGTTAAGCCAAGGGTTCTATTGGTACAACGGCAGCTTGGGAGAAGATGCCAGTAAACAGCCTTCCGGTGCTTACATCTTTAGACCCAACAGCAGCCAACCGATACCGATCCCCCAGAGCAGCAAAGTAGAGGTCTTTAAGGGTACCGTTGTGCAAGAGGTACGCCAGGTGATATCACCGTTCATCAGCCAAGTGGTCAGGCTGTATGCCGGGCAAAGACACGCTGAGTTTGAGTACACAGTCGGACCAATCCCAGTTGGGGATAAATGGGGTAAAGAAATCATCACCCGGTTTGACACGGATATCCACTCCAGTGAGCTGTTCTACACGGATGCTAATGGAAGGGAGATGCAGGAACGTAAGAGGGACTACCGACCAACATGGAAGCTGAACAATACTGAACCAGTGGCTGAGAACTACTACCCAGTCAACAGTCGAATGTACATCAGAGACAGTGAGAAACAACTGACGATTCTGACTGACCGGTCTCTGGGCGGGTCCAGCATGAAAGATGGCTCCATGGAGATCATGCTTCACCGGCGGCTTCTCAAAGATGACAAGAGAGGCGTGGGTGAGCCGCTGAATGAGACGGGGATCAGTGGTAAAGGTTTGATCGTGCGCGGAAAGCTGTGTCTGATTTTAGCACCGCCTAAGGAATCTGCAGCTTTGCATCGCGAGCATGGCGAGAAGCTTTTGTTGGGGCCTGTGCTCGGCTTCGCACCCAACAGCCTTACGTTCAAGAAGTGGACGAGTCAGTACAACGCACTGCACAAAGGTCTCACTCGTGAGCTGCCTGCCAATGTTCACTTGTTGACGCTGGAGACCATGAAGGACCTCGCTTTGATTCGCGTTGAGCATCAATTCGAGGGTGGTGAGGATCCGAAGCTCTCGCAACCCGTCAACATTTCCTTGGCAGAGCTCTTCACCGATTTTACCGTCGAGTCCATGACTGAAATGAATTTGGCCGCCAACCAGTTGCTAAAAGACAAGCAGCCTCTCCACTGGAATATAAAAAACAAGAAGAACAACGAAGAACAAAGAGAAAAGAAGAAAATGGTAGCGCGAAAGGAAACGGATTTGAACTTGCATCTCACCCCGATGCAGATTCGCACCTTCAAAGCTGTCATTAAGCGTCATGGAGTGTTCCAGCAGAAAAGTGCCTAAGTGGTACGACATCTAAAGCGTTCTGTTAACACAGCGATCAAACGTCTGCGCATGTGCAATTGTTGTAGAGGCTAGCTGACATGCTTTCAGGCTTTCAGAACTATGTAACCTCACTAGACTTAGAACAACCTCACAAGTCCGTCAATCACTGTATTTTACACGGGTATAAATTGTTTGATAAAGCTCCAAACAAAATGATAAATTGACAAGGTACCATTAGAGAATGAGCTTTATGTTCGAGAATTCTCAAGGTTTCCTTTCCCCAACCCTTTTTTCTCGTTTACAGATCTCTTTGAAAGATTCCATTTTTGTTTCCAAATGTTGCGTTTTTGTTGCAATTTTTTGTTTTCCTTTTAGATTTTGCGCGGGAAATTGGCGCGCAGCCGGCGAAATTGTTATGAACCATTTGCGCATGCCTAACGTTTGACCGCTGTATTTTTTTCGGTCCCAATTTGACAGCTGTTTTTTCTCTCCCTGATTTTCATACATTAACTACGAGAATTTGCTGCTTTGTCCTGAATTCAAAATTTTGTTTAGGAAAGAACTCTGCGTTAACACGAAAGTTTCCTGTTACAAGTGTTGATGGTAAATTTGAGTACCAAGTCAGGTTCTGTAGAAGAGGTTTTAAATTAAATTTTGTGTAATTAAATTATGTCGACACAAATCAGATTTCTTAATAAATTCTTTAATCAAAGGAAAATTCTCGTTTATCCATCTTTACAGGATAGGAAAGAACTCTGCGTTAACACGAAAGTTTCCTGTTACAAGTGTTGGTGGTAAATTTGAGTACCAAGTCAGGTTCTGTAGAAGAGGTTTTAAATTAAATTTTGTGTAATTAAATCATGTCGACACGAATCAGATTTCTTAATAAATTCTTTAATCAAAGGAAAATTCTCGTCCATCCATCTTTACAGGATTGTGGTGACATCCAGAGGATGAAAAACAAACCAAGGAACTATCAAACGAGTGTTAAACGTAAATCAATCATTCCTTTCCTCAAACCAAGTACATCGTGAAACTTGTTTACTCAAACTAAAAAATGGAACCAATCTAATGGCGAAAGTATGTATTCCCAATACCTTTCGCTCGAAAGCTCTGTGGTTGTTCTATTGATAGGGTGCAAAACCTTATGAGTATTTTACCATGACATAACAACCATTACCATAACAACCTTTTTTCCTGATCATTGATGGCATTTAGTCAAAATGTAACTATAGTGGGATACACTTAGATTTAGGTAAGGCCACGTGTTCACTTAATGTTTAAAGGCCTACTTAACAATTGAATTTTTTTTTTTTCGTGAGATAAATCTTCACATGAAGCAAGTTACCATGCGAAATTGAAATCAGTTCCTCCAACCGATGAGGAAGTACGGCTGAGCGAAATTTTTCATATTTCATGGACGCTAATTCGTCGAAGTTAAGTCCGCTGGTTTATCTCGGAAATGGCTGCATATAATCCTTCAGAACTTTTCACCAATGTATACCGTTTAACCTCAGCAATTTTGACTTCAAGACATTGTGAGGCGAGCTATACGAGGCTGAGAAATATTAGTACCATTTACATGTCTCAATTTTTTGTTGCTTTCAAAGTTGAAGTTGACTACTGCTGTCTATTCTCTTCGATCTTCTAACGATACCGTCGTCATTTAATTAAATAATAACAAATATCACCATTACTATTCGTCTAACTTACGCTATTCGTCACGCACGCTATTCACACTGACATTGGCGGCATTAGTACGACTATGTACTGTAAAAACTAATCTCCGTTCCTTTTTTGAAGAATGAACCACGCTGACGACAGTGAGAAGAAAATGATAACGGTTTTATTTTTATATTTTTATACGCGTACTTATCATGGCCCTCATAATCCGTCGATTACTTGGCTAAGTGAATGTCTGGGTTGCTATTCCATATCACTGCTCCTCGTTCTCCGGCCTCCCCCAGAGATATCATAAATTATCAACTGGTTATCAGCACCACCGCTTAAAATACTCTGTGAACGTAAAAAAAAAAACCCAGAATGACAGATGTTATCAATTGCGTCAAAGGAAATAGCGCGGCACCAGAAAATCATGAAAAGAACCATTTCTTATTTAATTTTGACAGAATAGGGTGGGGATGGGGGTGGGGGTGTTAACCTTATCAGTTCTCCAAGTTTATTGTCAATGTATTCATCGGCAAGAACTATTTTCTTTCTTCTATGAATTCTTCTCTTGGGATGCGATATGTTTAAAACTACATTTTCTTTGTAGGAGAATTGTAGACACAGTGGTATCTCTTCTTGACAAGTGTCCAGCCCTTTAGCCCAACCACCCCGCACCCCTTCCACTCAAAAACTGAATGGTCCGGCCCTCGTTTTACAAGACTTTTCATGGGGGAATACTCACAGAGTGTAGCGTCCAATTCACGCTCATCACTTTGTCCTGATGTTCAGTCATTGTGAACAGCGGAGTATTCAGGCTGGTGGTAAAAGAAGAAAAACATTTCATTGCTGACTAAAGCACACGAACAGATACACCTTGGAGCAAACGCGAAAGTCACATATTAAAGTACCTGCGTGTATCCCACAAATTGACAGTCGTATCGTATGACCCAGAAATAATTTCGAACTCGCTGCTTTGTGACCAAGCCACCGACGACACCCAGCCTTGATGTGACTTCAGAGTTTTCTTTACCACAGCTCCGTCTAAAAAAAAACAAAAACAGTTTTCGTAACTTACTAGGGTTGAACATCCGCAATTTGTGTTTATCTCTTCCATCGTTAACAATTCTCACTGTTTTATTTTTTTTTCCTCACCAATGTCGCGTTTGTCCATCCAAAATTGCGATTATTTCATGATGTACTTGTTTTTAATGGCAATATTCTCTATAATCCAATCAAATGATTCAAAATGTTCTGACAAAACTGTGTGCCTCCAGTAACAGAACATATTTATGATTATAATAATAATAATAATAATAATCGCACAATCTCCCCTAGAGTGCAAGGGCCCGCTTCAGTTTTACTATTTTGAAGCATCGGTTCTAAAAGGATAAGCAATGTCTGAGCCAAACTCAAGATATAAAAGAGTTTGCTCTTCTTGAGTTCTGCCTTTCCTTATTCCATTGAAAGGCTAAAAAACCAAATTTACAGGACAGAAGTTTATATCGATCATTGAAGAGGGAATGGGGGCAAAGATCCTACCCAGTGAGTTTAAGTTTCAGGTCAAAGGGTTCTATGACTACGGAATAGTCAGCACCATACAAAATTTCCAATGACTTGTGAGATGGTCGAAATGCATGAGTTTCACCAGCCCCCTTCTCCCTTTCCCCCGTCCCACTCTTGACTCACCGGTTGTTCTGGGATCCCAAAGGCGAACATGTCTGTCGGCGCTACCAGAAACGAGAAGTCTTGCTAAAGGAGAGTAGGAGATGTCACAGAATACTTTGGAGCCATTCTAAAAGAGAAGAGAAGTAAAAAAATGCCTTTTTTCGAAGTGTGACCTTGTTCATCGCGGAAACGTCTAGAAACTTACCAGGGTATGTTTGTTAACTCCAGCGGAGATGTCCCAAACTCGAATGGTGTGATCCCAGCCTGCACTACAAACCGTGCTTTGGTCGATCCACAACACGCTAGACACAGCCTCGGTGTGCCCCGATAGGGTCATGAGTGGGGTCTGGGAAAAAACATAAGTTAACCTCACGTGACCAGTCACTGCGTTTCACTGAAATACTCGTGGGACTGCTACCGCACCCTAGGTCTCGTTGTAGACAGCGATGACCTTCTACTGTCGAAATGTCACCTGAATATTTTAAGTTTAGTAGGTTTCTGTTATCAGTTTTGGGTCAAAAGTCTACAAGTATGTGCCTTTCCACCGACGCTGCAAATTACTATCAAACTGCTCATTAAAATTCCTTCTACGAGCAAAACGGCTTAACAGGCGAGACCTTGTCCCTGTTTTGATAGCGTTAAGGGAATTTACTCAGGAGCATCACTACTCCTACTGGACTGGAAACTACTCCATCATGGGATTACCCCCTGCGTACCAGCAGTGAAACCGCCCTTGTCGCTTACCGTTACAATAAAGGCTACCTGAAATATGGCGAAAAAAACGGCCTTTTAACGCCGGTATATTTACCCGCGTGGTTTCTTTTCTTTTGTTTGACATTGTCTTTTGCTTCTTCTTTACTTTTTCTTCATCGCCTGTTTCATCGGATGCTGAAGGGTCTGGAACTAAAATTAAGACCCTGGTTAGGCTTAGTTTTGACTTAAACGACTGCTGATCGTCCGTCCTCTTCGGATCTCAGTTCTTCGCAATTTTCGTTCGCAGGTCACTAAGCTTCTCATCTCACATCGCAACAGGCCGCGTTTAGATGATAAAATAACAAAAGTAACGATTACAATACACAAAACAACAAATAAAGTAACAGAAACTTACCAGCAGACCATACTTTTAGTGTTTTATCCCACGAGCCGCTGCAAAACTACAAAAAAGAAATGTCAAAATAACTCAACTGCGCAGAACATTGTTATGAAATTCGAGCTATTACAACACTTTTCAATTGTGCAATCCCAACAGCCAAGGAAAGAAGAAATTAAAACACTCTTCATTAGGGTGTCGAAAGCAGTTCGGGATTATAATTGTTTTTCTTTGCTACTCCTCTCTATGACTGCCCTCGAAAACTCGCGATACCTTGTCAGACAATCAACCACAAAACCAATCGCGACTTGGTCTCTCACGTCTTCCGCGCGTTTCACAGTTTATTTGTTTTTCGGAGGTACGTTTCTACACAAACTATGGTGCTACGTCAGTGGAGTAGTATAACAAAATAATTCGGTTTTATTAACTGAGTTGATAATGTAAATTAGTAACCGTAAAGAGTTTCAAAGCTCACACTTTGAGCGTTATCTTTTCGTCAACTTGATGCCAGTGACGAAGAGCTAACGCTCGAAACGTCGGCTTTGAAACTCTTAACGTTGGTAAATTTTCATCATCAACTAAGTTGATAAAACAAAATTTATTTGTATTTGCTCTGGTTTCTTACGGCTCCTTGTAACCTTTTCCTGAATTTTAATTGGCCATTGTGATCAAGTTGTGATTGGTTGTATGAAAAAGTTGATTGGCTGAGAGGCAATCGCGAAATTTATAGACTGAACAACATAAAGCAAAACCAGTAGGATACCACAATTTTTTTCGTTAAGTGCAACCTGTTTACCTTTGTTTGTGAAGAATCAACTGCTAGTGTGTCCACACTTTGGGTGTGACCTTTACAGATATGAATGCATTGGGCTGTGTCCTTATCACGTGACCACTGGCGGATTAAAAAGAAGAATACGCTGTTGGAGCTGTCAGAGCCACCTTCAACATGTGGCTGAAGATAATTAAGAAAATTGGCCATGTCCAAGTCGAAACAACAGCCAATGTCCTTTTAAGAAGAAGGCATCACCTTGAAAGATCTTACTTCATTTAGCTCTAACGATATCTCATTCTGAGGATACAATTTCTTTCACCAATGACCCTGTACTGTGTTTTCTTTCATTACTATTGGCAGTTCTCCGTTTTGGAGATAATAGAACAACGTACTTCAAGTAGTAGTTGTTGCTCTGTCAAAAATATTAGCCTCATTTGTTCAAGATCGCCATCTCAAAAGTCTACATCCCTCAACTTCAGCATTCCTTCTTGGTTTGGCATTGCCCCTCACGAGCTTTTCTACCTCATCTAACTAATATTTAGCTGCCTCTATTAAACTGAATGCACATTTTCATGGCACAATTTTTAACTGGGTCATGCTTTGCGCGCGTGTATCGTCGTTTAAACTCACGCTGGAAGTTTGGAGAGTACTAGAGGGGCGTAAAAGTTTCTCAGGGCGAGGCAACTTCCAAGGAGCATCCATCTTGCTATACGCACGCGAAGCATGAACCAATTGTTAAAAGTGACATGAATCATTATACAGCGATTATACAAATACCTCACTGAGGCGAATGGACTGGTCGTGTGAAGCGCTTAAAAAGACGCCCACGTCGTTATCTTCAAAAAAAAAAATAAATAGAAACACTTATTCTTTCCCCTATGTTATCACTTCACAAAGCAAATATTCGAATATTGCTTTCTCAATGTTCTGATTGGTTCCTTAAGCAAAGGGAGAGCTTACTCCAACCTCTTGCTTTTGCGCGTGATGAACTGTGGTTTGCAAGCAGGTAAAAAACAGATGTTAGTGTGCCGCTGAATTTGTTCCTTTTTTTGACTCTCGCAAGGGACTTCGCGAGGTACTGCTCGTAGTTTAGCTATTGCAGCATCAGCCCTAAAACCTCAAAAGACGAGTCAGCGGCTAAAGGAGTTTGGAAGAAGGAAGTCCTTAAAATTCTTTCTTTGTTCACGCATTTGCGTACCCAGTCGGTTGGATGCTAGTCAGAACATGGGCTACCTACCTACACTGATCCAGCTGACACTTTTCACAGGTGCTGTATGTCCATCAAACGTCAAAATACAGGTTCCTATCATAGTAAGTATCACAATAAGTGCAGTATTTATGCAAGCAAAATTGAGGAAGTGAATGGAAACAAGCGCGACCTTTGACAGACCGCAAGATTGTCTTCCGATTTGTCTCTTATTCCCTTGTGAAACAGGAGGAGAAGTAGCTATTACATCAAAAGTCACTTGGAGCTTTATTCCAAACACCTCTTTGAATCTTAGTAACCCTGGGTGGAAGTCTGACGAGCCTATTTGTCCCTGACTGCTGCTAGGCAGTATCATCAGCATAGAAAAACAAACAAACAAACCGTACTGTTCCTTCCTGGATAACAAGCTAATCCATTGCAAGTAACCACCCACCCCCCTCCCCCTCCTTGCAATTCGTTAACATTCCCTCACAGTTTAATAGTACCCATTTAAACTCAAAGGTGAAGAGAGGCTGTGTGAAAGCAAACAAAGACTCCTCTTGGCCCCAAACTTGCACCCTTTCCTCCGAAGTCCACTTGGCCAATAAACCTGAACTACTTGGCTTGGGCATTTTCCAAGAGGTAACAAAGCCAATCTTTCATTTTTCTAAGAACCCTAGCAGGGTTGGAGTTTCAAATTTGCAGAGTGGTTTAACTTTATAATCAGCATTTACCTTTAAAATCCCACACATATGCATTTCCATCATAGCTACCACTTAGAATACTGGAAAATAATATGAACAGTGCAGAATGTAAAGTGTCAGATTTCAAGCAATCTTAATGCTTGAGGGGCTGTAAACTTCTCCCCCATCCTTCACCTACAATATATTGCCTTAGTTTGAACATGGTGCAGCTAGAGCTGCACAATCCAGGGATCAAGAGAGCAATCTGCAGAGAACAAATAGTATCCTTGCTATGCTTCCCACAAGTGTACACCTTCCAGGTTCTTCATCAGAAATGATCTATTCTCAAGAGTGAAAGCCAAATAATTTCACTTCAGAAAATGGGAAATGGTCACAGTCTGAAGAATTTTGTCACCCATTATGAGCATTTATATCTCAACATAATAACTGCTAAACCATGAAAATCTGTTTTATTTAAACGGCAATACAAAGTTTTGCATAGATAAGTTTGAGTTTAAATATTTTGACTGGAATTTCAATTCTCATGAGGGAACAAAGCTAGTTTACAAATTCCAGCCAGATTCCCTAACACTTAACATCTGATTTGCAAATCTCCATTCTATCCTCTATGCAGTTTCATCTAAGGACTTTGAGAGAATATAGGGTTTAATTAAAATAATGCCCCCAGATGATAAGTTTTCATCAAAAGTTGGTTGTAAATTGTATTATTACTATAAGGAGAAGTTACATATACACTTCAAAGTTCATGACTTCTGGGGGTTATAGAATTAACAAAGGATTGTGTGACATGATCAACCTGCTAACACTGCATTTTCAATGAAAGAATGAGTCATAACTTACCACTTCTTACAAACAGCTATGGAACTGACCCAGTCGTCATGAAGAAGACAATTATCTGGTCGTGGTGCTGGATGTTTTTCAAGGTATTCTATTTCAACTACACTTTCCTACAACAAAGCCATGTAACAGAAGTTATATGTTATTAATGGTATAGCTGTTCCACTAAATTTGTAAAACAACACTTCTAATGGGACCAAAAATACAAAGGGACACTTCTGCCCCTGACCCTTAAGAACATTAGGGCATTTACAAAGTGACCAAAGAATCAAAAGGACATTTCTGCCCCTGAGCTTTTTAGTTGTTACATCACACTGTGCTGGAGGAAGCACAATGATGCTTGGTTACTTAGGCACATGCATACACAAAACCTAAATGATAATAGTCACTGAATTGTAGAATGCACTCACTGTTGAGATGTTGTAGAGCCTCATGTGTTTGTCAAGTGTTTCTTGCAAGTAAATTCCATCAATAAGAAAATCAAACTGAAAATTCCTTTCATTTTCAGAATCAGACTCAGATGTTCCAACATCTATAATAAAAGGTTAAATTTTCTTTACTCAACAACACTGAAAATTTATCAACTTAAGCAGGAGCTAGAGCAATGTATATATATATATATATATATATATATATATATATATATATATATATATTTATTCAATTTCAATTACTTTCAAACAAAAATACCTCCTATAATCTACCTCAACTGCTGAGTACCCTGCCACATGAATCCTTTCATTCCCAAGATCTCATTAAGTAATTCTTCCTACTGTCTGCCATACAGTTCTTATGGTGTGAGTTGAGGGAATTTGGTGTTGGATCAACTAACAATCCCCTAAGTGATATTTTTCTTTCTTCTCACTCATCTGCTTGACGCAATGAGAAATTTTTTCTTGCTCACCCAAGGCAGTGTAAGGGTTTAATGCAATCTTCACTGCTGGTTGATAAAACACAACTAATATGCACATTACAAATATCCTTACAAATTTCAAATCTAAGGCTAAGATGGGTGAGGTACTTATTTCAATTCTCAACACTGTGGTTTTTTTCGTCATTTTTCTGACATTAAATATGTGCAGGAACATCAAAACAAAAAGTGATTTAGTGGCACAATGAATGAGTTGCCAGTAATTGGACCCTTGTGTTTGTACACAGATTTCTGGAATTGCCATGGAGCAAACATTGCAACTCGCTGGAAAGAATGTATGGCAAAAGGTTGTTTCCGTTAACAGCATAGCTGTTACTCTCTGAAAGAATGAAATAAGCCATGAAAAAACATGAGGATATCCATCGGTCAAGTGATAGTTTGTTGGAGAAAAATCCAAAGGTCATTGAGTAGCAACTTTTCTCCTTGAAATCCTTGGAGGATCTTGTCAGAAAAGCACCGTGGATATATCATCAGTTGTGCATCACTCCTTAGGTGACCTATTTGTACCTACTCATCCTCAGGGTTCAGTTTTGAGCTGATTATAAACACTGGTTCATTCTCATTGATCACAACAGATAGTATTTAATGCCCAAGCACACCATGTCAATATCCCACTGCCTCGAGGTAGCTCTTATGTGCTCTTTTGTATTACCAAGCCAAGGAAAAAGCTAGAAGTAGACTTAACACACATACAAAAAACTTAAAAGGCTTTTTTTAAAGGTATTTCTTAGCAATTTAAAGTAAGTTTTTCTAAATTTCAAGACCATTACACAATATCAAATTCAAAATAAACCTTGCACATGAAGACCAGTTAATCCGTAGATTTTACTACATACATGAATTTCATGGTTGTTCAAACAAAAACTTGCGCTTCCCATGTTGCAGCATTACCCAAATCCATTTCTGATAAAACAGTGCCAAAAAAGCAATAATCTCTTCCAAATAGTAAATTTGGATGTCAGAACAACCTTTGGCCATACTTTTCCCTCTAGCCAAGTTGCAATGTTTTCCCCCATGGCAATCCCAGAAATCTATGCCCAAACACAAGGATTCAATTACTGGCAACTCATTCATTGGCACTTGAAGTTACATGTTTATTCCAAATCCATCATATTTTGAAATGAAAAAGTAAGTAGGGTCTAAATGTTTAATTTCAATACTGCCATAAATCTTTGCACATAGTTTGATAAATCTGAGCAGCTCTCTATAACAACAAAGAGAGAAGGGGTGATTTTTCACAGTACAGGTGGGCCACAAGATCATATTATTCTCATTTAAAAAAAGGCACTATTTTGATGATTTACCAGATGATATATTCATTACTGTCATTATGTATGCTGCCTACAGAACTGAGTAATTCATACCATATATTCAACACTTATAAAGGCATGGTAGGCCTTCAAGGGACAGTTTTTCAATTTTGCTTTCAAGTCAAACTAAACATGATTGTTTTACCTATAATTTCTATAGAAAATGTTTGTAAAATGTGGAAACCCACAAGTTATTTATAAAAATGTATTTTCGAACTGCATTCTTTTGTCTGCCAAAGTGTGAATAACCAATTATGATGTGTCAACAGAAATGATTCCTTAGATGTTTATGTTGGCAAAACATCATGGTTCTTGAATTTCACAAACATCTACTGATTTCAGTTGCGTGTTAAACAAGACTGTGATTGGGAGAAGATAGAAACGAGAAGAACGCTTCAATGAAAGCCAAACCAAAGCCTTGGGGTTAAAGCAAGAAATTAAAGAAATTTAATGACGAACGGCAAAACGGATATGAGTGGGCGGTTTGCGCACCTTCCCTGCTCGCACTCAATCAGCAACCATCAATTTTCTGGAGAGCTCAAGCTCCTTAAACCTTGAGATTGAAATTGCCGGCAAGCGGAATTAATCAAAGATCTGCCACACACAACCTCTTAATACTTTTCCTACAACATATATTTTTGCTGCGAGTCTCCTGAGACTCTCCAGGAGACCTCTGTGTTTCTATTGAGGGTTGAATTTTCTAGTAATCAGAGTGCTGACATAACTTGACATGTGGTTACCCAGTAGCCTGAAAGGTTTGCAAAACTTTTAAAGCCAAAAAAAACCTACTTTTATTTGATGCAAGTACATCTTCTTTCAACAAATTAATGGATATGAAAACTGAAGAGATTGCCTTGAAGACTCCCACGATATCGACAAAACAAACTGTGTGAGGGATATCTGTTTTTCCTAATTTATCTCCCACAATGACGTTTGAGAGAAATGTAAAGCATACTGCTGAAATTTTGGTAAGCAAACTTCACAGAAAAATTGCAAAGCAACCAAGAGGAATATCGAAAAATCCCCGCTCAGTCTTGAAGACTGACCCCTCAGGATTAAACTGTACAGATATTTGATGTGTGTGATGACATTTAATGCCCGATTAATTCGTTCAAAGAAACACCGTCTGTTTCGAATTGTCGCACCCCAGTCAGCTCACGATTAGATTAAGCTGAGAAGGAAAAAGATTTGCCGGATGGTGCATTTCATAACCTCTCCATAGATGTATAGCTTTTTCTGGATATCCTTCAAATAGCGCGTTAACGATTTTTTCGCGAAGGACACCCGGCCGCGAAGGTATACTGTATCCCTCAGAAAGTGTTATAAACACATGTGGAAACAAAACACATAGCCGCATAGCCTTTTTTTTAGCAATTTAAAAGGCTATATCTTTAAGAACCACTTAACCTTTGCAACTAATTGAAATAAATACAGTCCAGTAATTGGGCATTCTGTATAATTGTACTTTTGGATACACATATGATAAAACGAAGTATCCGTGAAACTAAGCGAACATTACACACTTATCTTTATTTACCATGAGATGAAAGTAAACTATTGATAAGTTCATTGAGCTCTTGTGATCCAACTTTCACCGGCACAGAAAACGGTGATTCTGGGACAGCATATCTGTGTATGGGAAATAAGACATTTACCACAGACCATCTTGACAAATAACATTGGACATCTCATGAAATCAAACCGTATTCTTAAGTATAGCCCAAAGAAATACATCTTAAAATGCTCATTTTGCTCAAATTAATAAAAACGATAATGAATCACAAATCCATACAAAAAATCGGAAGTAGTTGGTGAAGTGTGCATTCGATCTCAATCCCGCACGTGGATCGCAGAATTGTTGACAGTGCGTACTGCTGTGCAGTTTTGAACAGTGAGGTACAATCATGCTCATATTCCTTGCTTTAAAACATGCGTTCCTATATATAACATATCCACGAGCCATAGTCTCCCAAAAATCTACAGATGATTGCTCTTACTTGGTTTGTTTCGTTACAAAACGTGCTTGTACATATCCACTCTCGTCCGCCATTTTGATTTGCCTCTAGACTTAGTTCCAGATCTCTTCGAGCTTCCCACGTAACACGCGTGGAAAGACGTGCGTGAGTCCCCCTCCCTTTTATCCTGAATGTTTTTGAATGGCAAGGCTAAAGTTATTTTTATAAGTTCACAATGAAACAAAACTGAACTATCTAATGGTTACAGCATTTTTTTCAACCTCCCTACCCCCACTTAAATATCATGTGAATGTGGTACCGATTCCTATTTGTTTTCAGCGTAAATCGGTTTAGAAAAATATATATGAAATTGATACGCATAAAATTATTTACAATTTTTTTAAATCGAGGATCAATGGGAAAAGTAGAGGCATATCAAAGGGCTGCAAATAAATATCAGATTACTAAGAAAATTTTTATATTTCATATTTATTTTAGAAATAACTTGCAATCAATCCTCATAACATTTTAGCAGGATAACATAATAACTATGCTCTTAATGTTAATTACAATGACTAACGTCAAGTTTCCTGTCTAATTTATAGACATGATCTTGCGCAATCGAGAAATACAACCATACACCATTTCAATGAAGACAGAAAGGTTTCGGTGTCATTAGAAATTGGCAAATTGCACTCTTGTCGGTTTGTTTACGCAGAAAGAAAGAGAGTGTGCTCGTGTCACGAAACAGCGTGATTGCACCTACTTTGTAATAGCCATTTCTTCGAGTTAAGAATAGATTTCAATCTATTCATGAAACTATATACATTTGACTGTGAATATTTTTTTCTCGACACCATGGATAGACAGTCTGCTTCTTGTAATGCAAGCCAAATAATAAGCGAGATAATTACTTTGCCTCGGAAAATGACCGCTTGTAATTATTTTAAAACACATTTTTATGTATACCGGCCAAACTTCTTAGGAGAAAACAATGATTCCGACACTTGACACAAGAAAGGGCCCCGCTTATTACCATAATCCGTTCGAAACGTTTCAAGCTCCGTTATATGCTTTTAGATATTTTTTTCCTATTTAAATGAAAACGTAATTAAAAAATGTTCAGAAACTTCCAGTGGGACTCGACGTGATAATCACGAGAGAAATATGAAATGCTCGTTTTGCTAATGTTTACACAATATTTGACGGCAGCCAATCAGATGCGAGTATTTGGAGAGTCGTTCATGTGTAAAACACATTTGCCTCCGAGCTACGATGAATGTTCGTTTGTAAGGGATCTCTCTTTCCTCGTAATGCCGGTGAAAAAAGGCCTCGTGGCCCCTCAGAACATCTTTATTCAAACAATTATCAAGAAATTCGACGGGTCGCGTAAGTTTATTGTTAGAAAATATACAGGCGTTTCGTTTACATGTATTCATACAAAACTTCACTTCTCAACAATAGTGAGCTGTTATTTTTAATTCATATTGCTTTTAATTCGTGTAGCGGACCGAAACTTTGTCCTGGGTAACGCTCAAGTGGCCGATCTTCCTATTATTTATTGCAACGACGGGTTTTGTGAGCTGACAGGGTATAGTCGAGCGGAATTGGTTCAAAAACATTGCAGTTGTGACTTCCTTTGCGGCGAGAAGACGAACGAGTACTCTGCTCGAGAGGTGAAAGCTGCTCTCAGGGGACATGAAGAGAAACACGTGGAGATCCTCTATTACAGAAAAGATGGTAAGGTCAGAAAGGTGCATCGACGTTTCTAACAGAGCAAAGAGTTATCGGGAAACAAAAGCAAAAAAGTGGTTGAAAAGCCGCGGCATGTGCTAATGGTAGCGCTAGCTGAAACTTGTCAAATTTTTTCTGATCGTCTGTTAATTAGGGTGAGAAAGAACGTTGGCGAAAAAAAGTCAACACAACGTTGGTTTGGATAGCGTTGAATACAATAAATATTTTATAACTTGGATATGATCGCCGCTAAAAGTGACATACACCCGCAGAGTAAATGATAAATTTTCAATTTCACTGCACTAAGCTCTGTTGGCGGTAACTCGTTGTTTGTAAGCTTGAATTAAATTAAGAATCACTCGTGTGCCGTCTATATTGGACCATTCGTCGAAAAGCAGCTGTACCTGGGTCGTTTAGGGATCGATTATTACGCCTTTTTCATTCTTTATCGCGTTTAATAAAGATTTCACCAATAATCGTAACGCTCATCAAAATTCTCGATGTATTATCCTCTGCCTGAGTTTGGCGCGCCAGGGTTAAATTACAGTCAATGTTTTTCTATTTATTTTAGAAGTAGCGTACAGTAAAATTAACTGTGTTTACTGGCTTGACATTCCTTAATTTACGATAGTAAAGAAGACAGATTTGGTTCACTTAAGGATCGATCCATTTGGCCTCATAATACTTTTTGAGGTAATCAAATCTTGCAGATACACGTAAGTAAGATCTCGTTAGGAAGGCAGATGTCATAAACATGTGTTATTTTAAATTGCTAAATTGTCTTCCTCAAATGTGTGTTCTCTTAATTGCGACGCTTTTGTCATGTTTTCTAATTCCATAGATTCTCAGATGTTCCATGCTGCGTGTTTACAAATAATTCTAGATTCATGTCTTATCATTAAGAGTGATGCCTTCTAATTGATCACTTGAAGTTTGCTATGCTTCGTTTAGGGTGCAATTTGCAAAACGATGTTCTTGAATAGGTGAATTTCCGGTCTCAATTAAAGTTGTTTTGCTGATAAATTCTCGCCGCTTTCGTTTTTTGTAAAGTTCGTACTAGCTTGGAATCCCCTTTTGCAGTAACAGAGTGATTTTGCTGCTTTGTAATATTGCTTTTCATATTTGATCGTGTTTTAAATTTCCGAAATGTCTTAGACCGACGGTTCTGTTTATTCAGGCACCTGGCTACAACCTCTGAGGAGCCGTTTAGAGAATTTAGTAGTTCAACTTGATGTACAATTTCAGTTTTTGACCATGATATTTTGTATATTGCCAAGAGAGATTTGCATTTAAAAAAGGCAAAAAGCTTTAGAAGTATCTTTTTAATTTTTTTTATTTAGTGGTGTGACGGAGTTTGGTTATCTGATTAAAGAGAAAAACAGCTGTAAGTGATTGTTGTTTTATTTTTTTCAATTACTTCAATTTTTTAGCAAGCTTAGAGGCGAGAATTTGGCTTCCTGCAAAGTTATAACAGGAAAGAAAGTGAAATTTTGTAAATTAATGATCTAGTGTTAATCCTACAGAAGAAATTATTAATATTCATACTTTTTCATTTTAAAGGTGAAAAATCCCTAAATGTTTTCCAAGAACTGTACAAATAGAATTTAGTTTGATGACACTGAATTGAATTTCTGGAAAGAGGGCTTGAGAGACCTCAACAGTTCATATTTGTAGAAAAGTGTCAGTCAGTCTGGCACCAAATTTTGAATTGGATTAGTAATAAAATCTTTCAAGTTTGAAATATGTTTAAAGTTTATAATTTTTGAAATATCTCTTAACTTGTGCATTTAGCTCTAAGAAAAAATGTCTATGTGTAATGGATTAGCAAGTAATACCAAAAAAATTTATTATTAATGATAATTAAAAAAGGATAAAGAGGTGTTCGCTTGAACAAATGGTTTTGAACCTGGTGATGCATGTTTTTGTAGCTTACTTAAATCTGACATTTGATCCAATTTGAAATTTTTAATACCATATGATAGAATTATCAATTCTATATAAAGCCCTCCTTTTAAAGCAATTTAAGTTCCTTTCACTCAAAATGAGGCCATGTTTTCTTGAGATTCTGCATGTTCAAGTACATGTAGGTTATTCTGGTGTTACTCAAACCTTCAAAGGAAAATTAGTCATTTAGAGTTTAAGTTATTAAAAACTGGGATCTGATGAACAGAAAAAAAGAAAAAAGGTTTTGTTTAAGTAAACATGTACTGCATAATCAAATTCTATTTCCACAATCAAATTATTTTGCGGTATAGTGGCACTGAGTGAAAATTGAACTTTTTATAGAAGGTCAAGAGCAGTTACAAATGTAGCAATGCATTGTATTGGAAAACAGCAAAAGCAGATCTAGACCCACATTTGTTTTGTGTTATGAACTGTTTTTGATATAAATTTACATTTTGATATACAGGCCAGTTTTAGTTTGACTTGAACTCATTTGCACTAGCACTCAATTGAAAAATTTTTAACATGTTAAAAGACAATTAGTGTTCTTTGATATTTCAAATTTTGTTTTATCCCTTTTTTTCCAAAAAAAGAGCATGGGAACTGGCATAAGGCTGAAGAACAAGAAATCGAAGGACCATTATTTAAATAATGTTTACAATAGGGTAGATTAGAAAACATTTTGGTAGGAAATGTCATAGGAAAACTTTAACATAACAGAAGTTGTCTTTTTATAAGAGTAGAATTCTTGTCAGTGAACTCTGGAATTGCATGAATCAATGATTTGTGGACCTGAGGTAGAGCTGTTATTTGAATACAGGATAAATTCTAAACAATGGCTTCTGAAGGTCTTTGTTGGTGATATGTCATAGAATTTGTTCTTGGCAGTTGATAAATAGAAGTGCATTTATCCTTCACCAGAAAGAAAATAGGTAGGATTTTCATATTCCGGCGTACATTTTTCAAAGTCGGACATCTTTTCATTTTATATTTAACAATTACATTTTTGTTAGTCAAGTCTCAGTTTAGGAATATTTTTGTGCCTACTGTGCTGTCCTTCTAGGAAAGCTGTAGACACTATGTTATGGTGTTAGCAAGTCAGCAAACCTCCCCCAAAACCCCTTGCAGTTTTCAAAATGGCAGACTATTGGAGACACTCATAACAACTCTTATGAATTTTCCTTGTTCAGTTCCAACACTGGCCATCTTTTTTAACAAATCTGATCAGGTTTTTTTGTATTCATAATGGTTTTTTTGGGTTTAGCTAATTTTTTTTGCAGGGTCTCACCTCTGCATTTCAACATTGTTATTGATTTGATGCAAGAGCTGCATTGTCGAAGTGTTCATAAAAGTGTGTTTATTCCAAACATACCTAAGAAATCCTTTGAAGAAGAATTTAAATTGAAATGAAAAAAAAAGAGAAAGAAAAGAAAATAGAAATAGAAGAGAAAAGATTTGGCACAGCTAGGGCTCAAATCCTATAACTTCGGACTAGAGAGGAATATGTATACACAGAGTGTAAAGAGGTGAAGTTTCTTATTGAAATAGATTTGATTCATATTTAATACATGTATCCATTCTATCAATTTCCTGCCCTGTCCCAGGCCTGTTAATTGACCAGTGTACAAACTTTACTCTAATCAAGTACTCCTCTTGTTACAAGTTTGGCATCAACAATGGCTGTTCATTGCTTTTTTTTATCTCAATACTCTATTACTATGCACATTACTGGTCATCACCATGTAACATGTGAACTTAAATGGAGGCTTTATTTTCTTTTTCCTGCAGGAAGCTCATTCCTGTGTTCTGTTCTGATTGCACCAGTGAAGAATGAAGAAGGAACAGCTGTTATGTACATAGTCAATCACGAGGATGTAACATGGTCACCAAACAAAGAAGATATCACCTCTACAAGTATGATTTGTTTTTGTTCAATATAAATATATTCTATTAGATGTTTTGTTGCAATGTAGTAACACTGAGTATTTTGTTTGAGTTGTGTGGTATTTTAATAAAAAATAACCAGTAAACATACTCAGCAATACTACCCTCCAAAAGGTCGAAGAGGTTATTTATTATTTTATATTTATTATTTTATATGCATTCCTTTGAAACGACACCCAAGCTTAGCCAATCTACAGCGCAAAATAATCAATTGTCCAAATAACCATACATTACTGCCAGATATTTGTACTTGATTTGTGTGCTAATTTTACTCTACTCTGTGCAGCTTGAAAATAAGCATTGCCACTACTGTCAATGTCCCAATTTCAATACTTTAAAAATTCAACTCAAAGTAAAAGAGGCTTGGGAGGAGGGATAGGGAAGATGCTGTACTCCCTCCCCACTTCCAAAAAAAGGGGGGTGTAACCCCATGTTTTGCTTGTGCAGTATGAGATTGGTTGGGGAAAATATACAGTATTGTAATTTTTTAACAAGGTATTTAATCAGGATTGGCAAAAGAACATGTTGCCAGGCTAGTCTTTGAGCACAGCCTGGTCAAGTAGTCTCATAAATCAATTATGTACACATTGAACACTTTTGGAACTGCAGAAGTTTGCTAGGACCAACAAACTTTGTAAAGGACACTAATTTTGGGAAATCTGAACAAGAGACAAAGTTATGCATTTATTTTATTTACAATAAGATAGCCCTGGCCCCCCCCCCACCCCTCCCACACCCCCCAAGTTCCAAATTGCTCTTTGGCTTACGAAACAAAAGACCCCTATCTGAGGCTCTACTCTCTTCTTTATTCTTTAGAGCGTTGGGCTAAGATTTGTTTTGTTACACTGAATTTCAAAATATTGAAATTGGGTAACTTTTCTAAGGGTTTGCGTAGATCTTTATCTAAGGAGAGCGAAACAAACTCGAGACAAGAAAACACGTGTAGCGTGCAGAGGAAGTGTGATTTTGGCAAACGAGTGCTCAAAATTGCTTTTAGGGAAAATTAGAGCTGGTCGCAATCTTTGATTTTTTTCAGCGAAGGAAGGTTAGGAAGAGAAAGAAGTTTATATTAAGGGGCAAGCGACAGTCAGAAGGAAGGAGAGGGGAGGGGCGGGGGAAAAGATTGACAACACTACCATTAATTGTCCTCATTTATTAGGTTAACCTTGGCTCTTGACTTAACGTAGTGTTTCAAGGCAGTGAAAAGTCATTGGTCTGTCTTTTTATTCTCACAATTCTGTGAAAAATTCCATGTGATATGATAAACATTTCTTTTCCCAGCATATTATTTCTCCTTACAATATCGCCTCTGAATCACACACGAAGGTCTCGAGAATAAAGGAAATGAAACAGCCGAAAGCTAAGTGTATACGTCATGTGTTCATTTTTTTCATTGCACTTTTTCGGTTTCGTTTCCAGAATAGGCTCAGAGGGAATTTTTTCATTTTTATTTTTGATAATTTCCCACGTGTCTCGCTTGCGCATGAGTTACCTTTCACTTGATGTTTATCATGTTAGTAAGAATTTAGAAATTTTTTCAGATAAATCAAAGAGAATAGATCTGTTTAAACAAGTAACTGCGAAAGATTTGTCGTAGTTCCTGCACTAAAGAGCTTTCCTGATAATTTTGATTGAATTTCCGTGAGCGGTCTGTTTTTACCCAGTACTTCTCCTTATTTTCCTAAGTGTTTGATTGTTGTGGTTTCTTTCCTTCCTTGGTGATCTATAGGTTTTCTTACGTATTTCACGTTTCCCCTCGCATCATAGTAGATATAAACTTTTGGCTGAGAAAAAACGAAAATATCTTACATAATTGTTACCGTCCCCTCAGATGTTGACGGTTCTGCCTTTTTCAGAAATCCTGCTGGGGAAGCTCCGATTTTATAGCTGCAACCTTTTTTAATATAAGATGAAACTACATTTTTATTTTCACCGCCATTTTTTATTTTATTTTATTTTTAATGAAAAGGAAGGTGGCGAGCTCGTCGTTTTCGTGGATTCTCTTCTTTTGGGGAGTGGGAGAGGGCTGAGATCAGTTGTTTGAAAGGAAGATAGAGCAATGTATAAATCGCTATCCAGCGGATACGTGTCAACAAACCGTTCAGCAGTTGAAAGCGTAATCCATCCCTCGAACAACCGGGTGCGGATCGCTTTTGTCGCGAATTTTTCGCGCTTCTTTCAATGCGAGAGGAAGGTGCTTGTTTTTCTGTAGACTGCAAGTTTAGGAGAACGAAAAAGCTAGGGGTGAAATGCCAAACAGAAAAGTTTTCGTAAAGGAGAAGACTGACGACGATTGAACTCAAGTAATTTTGATTTGAATCTCTTCGATTTCATTTCTTCAATTCTGCGGCTAACAGCATGTGAACTTAATGTTCTTTCTTTTATCGTTCTATTCTTTATCCTGTTCTTTTGACATATTGTTTACCTTTCAACGTTATTGTTATTATTGTTTTGGCTACGTTGATTCATGAAATTTATTTCTGACCGTAGTGAAAAAGAGCCTCGCACGATATACCATGAAACCAAAAGTTTGACGACTGTCGCTGAGAAGGGCTGACGATTTTGAAATCAATCCGTTCAATTTTTCAAGTCGAGTGTCAGTTTTATCTCTGAGAAAATTAATTTTGTGAGGCGAACTGGCTTAGATTGATTGCCACATGATAATTTAAAAGCAGCTATAGCCAAACATTTATTTAATAATTTGCATACAAACTGTCAAGGATATATACTGCTTTTAACAGAGGATTTTTGCCCATTTATCTCGGTGCTTACGTCCTTAAAAAGGTAAGAATTTATTTACATGCCAGTTGTAAATCTGCCATTCAGAGTCAGACCGGGATCGAGAATTTCTGAAAACACTTCTTTGCATTGCTGCGAACACTGAGCGCAAACGAGATCAGACAACGATGTGGTATGCTATGTAGATGAAACGGAAAGGTTTTTCTTTCAATAATTTAATTTCCCGATATAGAAAGCTTTTCGCTTCAAATGGAACTTAAGAGAGTGTTATTTTTTATTATTTCATCGTCAGCATTTGATTCTTCCATCTCAGCGTTTCATTTCTTCGTGATAAGATAATTTAGAAGTGTATTTAGATTGCACTGGTTTAGCTTTAAAAGTCACTTTAATTAGGGCTAGCAGAAAATAATCTAAGGCTCCCTATATGTGAGAAAAATGTTTTATTATCTTTACATTGGAATCCATGATCCCATTTTGTCGAAAGGTGACGGAAATTTCGAAGGTTTGAATAAAAAACTGCCGCAAAATTCGATGGATTCTTACGTGCTTAACTGACTAAATCTAACCGAGCGAACAGATTAATATACCCACAGTTTTATTTGAAAATGTGCTCGTGACGAAACGGACCGAGCTTTGAAATTGCAATCAATTTGGTTCGTCGTCCAGTTTTGTTTATTTTTGTGAAACCAATGTCATCTGTGTTTTTTTTAATGATCTTCGCATTGTGTTCGAGGGCCAATTTTTTACTGGAAGGACCATGTAACAAGATTAAGTCGGCATAGGTTAATATTTCGCCCTCATGAACAATAATTCTTTAAGAAGATAAAAATCCTCTAAAATATATCTTAATTCTGTATGTTTATTCAGCTGTTCTCGTCCGGATCTCCGTAGAGCGGCACTGAAGTAGAATTGAAGTGTTGTATCTGAATGCGGATATTTACTAATAACTTTTAAAATCTTTAAACTTAATACTTATTGGACTTTAAAGTACAAATTTTTGGTTCCACGGAAGCTTGCGATCTGAACTTCTTGTACTCTAGGCTAATTCTCTGAAATGAAATTCAGAAGCTAGAAGAGAAGTTAACATTTACTTTTCATGAAGGACCTTTAAAAAGGGGCTCGGGATAAATTTGAAATAATTCAATCTCGTGGTAACAAAAGCGACCGATTCTAACGAATGATTGATAGGTCTCAGCAACGGGCCAAAGAGTGGTGGGAAGTTTCAAAATTATTTCGTTTTCTCGCAGTGGGAATTCATTATATAACTTTCGATGTATCCTCAGTGTTGAGAAAACTTCAAACCATGAGGTTATTTTTTTGACCTTCAAATTTAGGTGCTTTTGTTAGTGGCGAAACATCTGGCTCTTTCTCACACATCGACTCAAAACCAACTAGCGTGAAATATACTTTATCGGTAGTGCCTTACAGATTTTAATGGGAAATAAAAACATTGGATTAATGAAATAGGCCCTTCAGTCCAAAGCTTCCTCGATAACAACAAATCAGAGGCCGTGCTTGCAATTTGATTGGCTTGCTTTGAAGATAGAGTTTACGTTTCCACTCATGTTTTGGTTTGCCTTGCATCGTTTAATCAAAATACGACTTACTAAAGAAGTATATTGTGATCGTTTCGCGTTTAGAAATTCCCAACGATACGTCTTCCTCTCTTTCTTGTGCTTTTAGTGGTTTGATTAAATAAACATTTATTCGATTTCTCAGGAAGGCTTTTAGCAGCAGGTGAATTTTGCTATGATGAGCCCAACCAGTTTTTGACGAGTCGGGCTGAACGTTTTTCGCTGGTATTGAGATTTGGTTTGTTATGCGACCTTTCTCAGTCGTTCTCCGTTAAGAAACTGCTAGAAACACGACGCATGAAAAAGTCTACTGCTAATTCTTTTTTCTCAAAATACACCATGTTGTGTTCAAATGATATTTCAGCTGTCAGCCTCAAGAAAAAGTGGCCTTTGAACGACCAGCCAATACAAATTTGAGAAATTTACTTATTGTTAGAAAAAATAAATTCAATTTGGACTATTAAAGGTGCCACGCCGCATTTGGGTTTTACCGTGAAAGCTATCTTCCGACGAAGTCGCTCGTATAGACAAAAATTCCAAATCAAAACGGAACATATAAGCACTTGGACTTAGCGGTATGAGATGTATCTTATTTTCTTAATTCTCCGTTAAATGTTTGTTGTATTTTAGTGGCGTGCAGTATTGAAGGGGATGGTTGTGGTTCGAACTTAACCAAAATTTGGCGATCAGTTATTTACACAGTTGCTCTTCACGGCGACAGGCCATGAACGTTCAGACGCTCTATTTAAGTGTTTTCTATCCTTGCTTTCGCCTCTTTTGATTTATTTTGAGAAAAGCAAGGCTATTTATCGAATATTTTAACTTATATTGTAAAAGAATTTAGCAAAAGTTACTGTCATGAAATTTAGAGAACAGTCAAGTGTACATTTTACGCTACAGATTTTGCAGCTTCGATCAAGTGATTTAAATGCTGCATGGTCATGGCTACATTTGTTAAAGCGATGGTTGTCGTTTTTCGCGAGTAATTCCGTTAAAAAATAGAAAGGGGGTGATTTTTTCCGTCCCCAAACGTGTCAATTGTTTATTTGTGTCACAATTTCTTCTTTTCTCGACCATGCCCGTTGGCTACCGTCTTGTCAGAATATATGTTTTGCAAAAGGTAGTGTTTAGACCAACGCGGCTTTCACCTGTTTCAGTATTGTTACGATCTATGAAAGGCGTTCTATACTTTAATTGTTTATACACTGCACGACTCGCAGGGTCTTGAAGTAATGACCTTGGAAGGAAATTTCAGCCTGTGGCATAAACACTGAAACGCTGTTTTGCTTTTGCATTCTTGACGACAAGATTTCATGCAAGAGAGCGGAAATTTTCTGTTTGAATTAGACTCAGTCAACACCACGGCGGATAATTTAGAACGACGGCATTTCTCTCTGAAAATTCAAACCAAGGGTAAATTGTGTAACTTTCACTCTGGTTAATTTAAAGATATTGCAATCACCAACAGCATTAATAACGCTCGACTACATCCTTGCGCCCGTGCACCACATGTCTTCGACTTGAAATAGGCTTTTGATATACAATCATTCACTCTGGTGTAGACTCGCGTAGGAGGTCCCCAACATTATTCATGGTGGTAATTCTCTCCTTTGCTTTGTTTGCAGAATCGTGCTTCCAAATTCCGCTACAAGTGAACAGAATTCCCGCCGCCATTCGGCGAAAGAAGAAAGATTACGATACAGCAGCTACGGATGATGATGACGACCAGAGCCGTGATCCCGAAACACACTTCACCTTCACGTCAAGTGGGGCCGCAAGTGAAATAGAATCCCCCTCGTTCATCCCAATCATGAGTGTGGATCCGCCTACCCCGACCGGGTCCACCGTCACCAGTCCAGTGAGAGAATATTCATCCCCTCCCTCCACCCCTGAGAGACAAACTTTCCGCAAGTCGCCCAGTTTGAGGTCATGTTCGTTGAACGACATGTCGAAAATTTCAGCCAATGTTAAAAGCAGCGAGTCAGAATCGCTTATAAAACCGCTGGCTTCGGTTTCGCCGGTTTCTAAACCAGGGAACATGTTGTATATTCCCGAGATGAAGGGTCGACTCTCTGCGGCCGTTTCCGAGTCTTCGTTGTGGAATTCTCGCAACAAGCCGTGGTTAGATGGTACAAACATGGATTTCAGAGGTTCAACACTCATCAGCTCTCAGGGTCTTGTTCATCCGAGAAAAACAGAGAAAGTCGCTCAGGTATGTGTTTTTACGTGGATTTATCAACTTACATTTTTATGCTTAGAGATAGTTCCTAGCTTACAACAATTTTCAGTTGAATGAGAAGGTAGTCCAGTATGTCTTTGTTTCCGCTTCGCGTCGCTTTGTTGTTGGCGTGAAAAACGCAAGCGCGCCATCCTTACGACCAATCAGACGCAAAACTGAAGAAGTCGAGTCCAGACTACACAAGTTTTCCCGCCCTTCGGATCGTCTACGTGTCTGCACTCTTAGCTCTCATTGGCTGCATGTGATTTCGACTTTTCCTTTCGATTGGTTCCGGTATATTGTTTGGTTTTTGTTTTACGACACTCAACCGAATTGCCAAATGTCAAATGCTTCAACTTTCATTTGCAATCGAATTCAAAATTGGATTGGAATAGATCATTTCCGAGTTTTATAAACCTTCACTTTCAGAATGGGGCTAAGTGCAAATCCTTTCTTACGAAAATGAGTTGTATTCGCACGAGAACGAAAGAAACTTTTTACTATCAAAAGCTTTGCTCTTACCGTCGGTCAAAACAAAGGCTTTGTGCGTTGCAAAAATGGCCTTTTGGGTTCATCGCCTTTATATGCCTAACTCAAACACAATCATGATACCCGGTTACTGTAACTGTGGTCCCAAAGAGGTCATTTTCACACAGGTACCCAACAACTTAGGGCCCTTCTTGTGTTTGCAGGTCATGTCCCTGGGTGCTGATGTCCTCCCAGAGTACAAGCTCCAAGCTCCTAAAATCCACCCCTGGACAATTCTTCACTATTCGCCTTTCAAGGCATTCTGGGACTGGCTGATTTTGTTTCTTGTCATTTATACGGCGATTGTGACGCCATATGTGGCCTCGTTTATTTTGACCCGGGACAAGCAACAGGAGGAACGTAATAAGAACCCGGAGACCCGGGATAATACGAGTACCGTCGATATCTACTCCGACCCCCTGGTCATCGTTGATTACATAGTGGATGTCATGTTCATTATCGACATTTTTATCAACTTCCGAACGACTTTTGTGGATATTAATGATGAGGTTGTTAGTCATCCATGCCGTATTGCTGTACATTATTGTAAAACGTGGTTTCTTATAGACTTAGTGGCTGCGATTCCTTTCGAGTTGCTAATCATGATTGGTGATACAGACCAGGTGAGGTTTATTGGTTGTAATACACAGCTTACGCTTGCATACGACACTGACTCGCCTACAGTCGAACCTGAATTAAGTAGCACCGTATTAAGCGGTCACTCGGTATTAGTAAAATTTAGTACTCACGGTAATTTTCCTTTCTGTTAAATGGTTACCTCTACTTAGCGCCCGTGTTCACCCTTTACTGAGTCATTACGGACTGATTGTATCATGTTTCACCTGTATTGAACGGTCACCACTCACGGTCACCGGCCATTTCCCGTGGGTGACCGCTTGATACAAGTTCAACCGAGTACTTGAGGCTAATCGCACCCTGTATAAGCTATATAAAGCAAAGAAGAGATCCCGCATTGGAATAAAATTTGAGTATCTGCAGAAAATAAGCCTAGAAGAATTTCAGGTGTCGAACAAGTGGACCCAGGTCTAAATTCATTTGAGAGTCCAAGTTGAAAATAGTTGTGGAGAATGGTCTGATATAGGGTCAGCATTTGGTAAGCTTGACGGATCATCCTTAGCACAATTCCGGGAAGTACTCGCAAGGGAGTAGTTAACGCCCCCTCCCACTCTTCCCCTCCAGAAGTTTGTCAGGTTTTCATGATACTCCAAAGTGAGAGAGGCACTGGGCTCGAACTAGTACTTTTCCATCCATAGTGTACCACGCCCTCCACTTGGACAACACTTATTAACAATTACAATGATAACTGCATCTTAAAAGACTGCATGTACTCAGGGTTGTCTGAAAGCTATAGATCTAACTTATCAGTTTCTATGCATTGTTTTCCACAGACAACGACACTCATCGGTCTTCTCAAGACAGCTCGCCTCCTACGACTCGTCCGCGTCGCTCGCAAGTTAGATCATTATTCAGAATACGGAATGGCAGTGCTCTTACTCCTTATGTGTTCGTTCGCTTTACTCGCGCACTGGCTGGCCTGTATATGGTATTTTATTGGCAACTTGGAACTTGAGGCCGGTGGAAGCACGATAGGCTGGTTGGATTCATTGGGTAAACAGCTTGGAAAGCCATACAACAAGTCTGATATGTCAGCAACAGGACCTGATTTGCAGTCCAAATATGTGACGGCGCTTTACTTTACTCTAAGTAGTTTGACGAGTGTAGGGTTTGGTAACGTGTCACCGAACACAAACTCCGAGAAAATTTTCTCCATTTGTGTCATGTTGATTGGATGTAAGTTAAATCTCATTATTCCTTTTTTTGTTTGTTTGTTTTTCCTAGAGGAGTCATGATGTGCGTCATTTTTTGTTGCCCTCAAAGCTACAATTAACAACAAAAGTAGTTAATACATAACATCCAATTAGGCACGTTTGTGGAAGTATTTAGAAATGGAGTTGAATTTGAACTGCACTTCTGTGCTATACCCCCCTATCCTGATCTAATGTTGTACAGGAAAAACTTTTAAAAACCAAAAACAATATTGCACAGGATATGAAGTAAGGTTATTGGGGATGAAAAGAGTATTTTATTCCACTGAGGATATTGCGATCTCTATGGGAAAGTGTCAACAACTTTGTCGCTGATTGAAGGAGACTTCGAAAAATTACGTGGAATGGAAAGTACTACAACGGATTGTTGATTGAAGAGCCTAAAAACATTTAGCCCAAGTTTTTGAAGATAAAGAAACCAAACCAAACCAAAGTCAACAACTCAGGTGTAGACCCAGCGGATATTGTTACCAAAACAAAGCAAGTGCTAACTCGGAAGAGTTGCATTAACTCAATGGTCTACAAATTTGAAAACGGATTTTTGCCAAATGTTTCTTTTTCTCAGATTCATCGTTATTTTAGGAGTTAAAGAATAGCATCTGAAGAAAACATTTATTACATTAATCTCTTTATCCCTGCAGCGTTATTTTACGCCGCCATATTTGGAAATGTAGCTGCCATCATAGCGAGGCTGTACTCGACTACCTCCCGATATCACGCGCAGATGCAGAAAGTGCGCGAGTTCATCCGGTTTTACCAGATTCCCAATCCTCTTCGACAGAGAGTCGAGGACTACGCTCATCACATGTGGTCTTATACTAACGGTATTGATATGGAATTGGTGAGCATCGATAACAATAAGAATATGGAGTTGATTACCCTATAGGTCATGATACCGGATCGCATTAGCACCGCTGCAGGCGATCACGATGACCTTTGCCGCAAATTCATGATATACTCAATAACTATTTTTGTTAAGAATTGAAAGGAAGAAAAACTTTTATTGGAGAAGAGTTCAATCCTAACGGCTTGATTTGTTCCACCAACATGGCGTCTTTTCATTGTATTGTGACACCAGTATGGCGAGCGTGAAGACACACATACCTAGACTCGTGCCCAGTCGCTAGTTGTGTTGTCGACGCGAGAGTAGCCTGGTACGGGCGAGGTGTAGCCTAGAAGTACTGAATTCTTTATCTATTCTGCTTAGTACAATCTCAGTGCGCCAATTCATTTTTAAGCATTCAAATAGCGACTGGGCACAAGTCTGGTACGTACTCTCTTTAGCAGAAGGAGAGGCAAATTACAGTTAGCTGTTTTCAAAGTAAGTTTTCGTGAACTGTTACATTTATGAACAAAAAATAGTGAACCGGAATCAGGGTCACTACGAAAAATTGCAGAACGGACATTTTGAAAGAATAGCTTCAGGACCATAATTACCTTGTGCGGGATGATTACAGCAAAATTTGATGTTTTTCTGGACGAATCATAGCTCGTGTATCTCTCTAAGCACCTGAATTGTTGCAGTAACACTGAACGTTATGTTACATAACCTCTGTTTTTACGCCTCACAGGTCCTTAAACATTTTCCCGAGTGTCTTCAGGCTGATATTTGTCTTCATCTCAATTCAAGCCTTCTGCATACTTACCCAGCATTCACCTCAGCACCGATGGGATGTTTACGCGCCCTCGCCCTGCGCATTAAGACCACTCACCTCCCCCCGGGGGATTACATTATCTACCAGGGAGATGAGGTGAATCATTTGTACTTTGTGATACGAGGAACAGTCGAAGTACTCAGTGGTGATATAATCATGGCCATTTTGGGTAGGTCATATCTATTTTCTCCCATGCCTTAAAATTAATGCAAACGTTCAGCCGGAGAGGAAAATTTTTGACTCAAGATCCCGATTTACAGAGCGATCCCAGCTAGGTCCATTCTTCATGATTGAGAGTCCAATATTTTCCTCTTCGGCCAGACCTGACACAGTCAGTAAGACTTTGATCATATGACCGTCGATCTTTCTTTGTCTTCCCTTCTTCTTCAAGCTCGCCTCTCGCGGGGCTGTTCGTGCACCATTGCTTAAGGCTTTTATACGGGGATTTCTTTCGTAATGCTTTCAATAAAAGTGCGCGGGGCCTCTCGGGTCATATGTTAGTAAAAACTACCAACCAGCCGTCCTGTAACTGACCACCCCATTAAGGTTTGATCAATTGTTAGAAACTACCTTGGTCTGAAAATTTGTCTTGGGGATTGTTCGTTACCCATTTAAGTAAATTTCCTAGGTTTCATGGTTACTAGAATTCAGGGAAATTTCTCTCAGGAAAAGAGTGTGCTTCGTTGTTAGTAATCAGTGATTTACGTTTCCTTCTTTGACAGTGTTCCTCTGGTGGTGAAGGAAATTGCAAAATTAATTCCGGTCAGAAATTCAATCATTTAAAACCCCAAACTTCATACCTTCAAAACGCCAGAATTCACAAGTCACAAAGTAAAAGTCCCACAAAATTTTAAAACTACACGGTAATTTTTAGCGTGATATTTTTCCCAGAACATTTTCATCGGTAGAACTTCGGTTTACTCCCTATCTATCTATCTCCACTCATTCAGGCAAAGGCGACTCTTTCGGCGAAAATTTTGCCATTGATCCTGACAGGCCTGTGGTGAATTCCAACGCCAGCATCCGGGCTCTAACTTATTGCGAACTGCGGCTTGTTTCACGTGAGGATGTACTGCACATCCTTAGGCAGTACCCGTTGTTCAGAGAAAACTTCATTAAAGATCTGGAAATTACTTACAACCTTCGTGGAGACGAATCAGAGGTGTGATTCCTTTTTTTTTATATACTAGTAGATGCTTGTGAAATGTTGCGCTCTGTATTTGCATCAGGTGTTGAGAGAGAGAATAGGCCGGGATCGTCAAATTAGGTCCTAACCCGTGTTGTTAACATCTTCATTTAATTTAATCTATTGCAAATTGGTTTTCAAAAATCCTGTTAAACGTAGATAAAATTGTATGCAGAAGATTAAGAGTAAGCCTCGATTACATGTACTCGACCCTGTCACTATCGTTCGTGAGCCATGAAAAATTTAAAGTGGTTACCTTTCCAAGTACATCTACCGAAATATTAACGTATATTTTCTTCAATCCTGGCCTAGCATTTCCTAGATGTCCAAGAGGACAAAAATTGCTTTGTTACCATGGAAACACACATTGATCACAAACCAATAGCCTCAAATGGTTCAAGCGCGGGCGCCGTTCCCCAAGGAACCACTAATGTTTACAATTCAATGAATGGACCTGTGGATTTGGGGAGAGGCGAAATGCAACCTAGACCCAATAACTTAGATCTTCCATCAAACAGTGTGAATAGCAAAAAGGAAGGCGCTCAATCGACGTCTGAAAAATCCGCTCTTGGATGCTTTTTATTACCTCAACTGGTCGGAAAGTTGGAAAATTCGGATAGCAAATCAGAAGCTGGAAACTACACCGCATCTCAGTGTGATCAAGCTGTACACAGAGAAGAAGCAGTGCCGAGTAATTCTTGTGCGGCTGAGACACAGAAAGGGGACACGAATGTGTGCAAAGACTGTTATAAATCGTTCAGCTCGATGGAAAATAAACTTGACAATCTCTCCACTAGATTGGAGAAACTCGAAACAAAACTTTCTTCCGACGTGAAAGCGATATTTGAACTTCTACGCACTCACAATGAAAATGTAAGACAACGACAGCGGGACTATCACACTCAGGTGTAAATAATTTGAAACATGGCTGGACCTAGATTTAAACCCATGTTTCTAAGTTCTCAACTGTTTATCAACAGCTAATGATAATGAATTGAGCTACAGTAGTTGGGTTTTTCAAAAGAACCTATTGGTTTTCAAGGTGTCTCTAATTTCGTTCCCAGAGATCATGCTCCCATTGATCCCTTGCGGGCGAGAAACGAGGACTTCGAGGTCTTCGTTTCCCGCCCTCAAGGGACCAGTGGTGTGCGACCTTTGGGAACGAGATCGAGGTGTTCCCTTTTAAGTTGACATGGGACCATTGCGTTTGCACATAAAAATGTTAATATAAACTCAGTCAATATTCCTTCATCTCGTTTTGTAAATAGGAAAAATGCGATGAAGTGTATAGTTCTTTTTTTTTTTTTTAAGTAAAATCTTTTGATACTGCCTGGATAGCGTATGTGGTAGAAATCATAAGATGAATAATACTTGAAAATTATTTATCCCTTAAGTTGTGGTTTTCTTCTGGATGTACTCGCCGACTTCTCGTGGACAAACAGATCTGCAATTTCGATCCATCGCATGGGCTCCACTGGTCGAAACGCGCCATTTGATCGACATTTCTTGACTAAAATTGAACAGTATCGGCGATATATCTAAATTTTCAAACTTGCGTCCACTACCATTGAGGTCTTCGTAAGAATTTTGAATCAAGGTGGGAGAGCGATTTTCAATTGTTTGCAAAAGACAAAGAGATATCCTAAAATTCATTGGTGGAGGAGGGGTTTACTATCCATACTTATACAGTTCATTAGATTAAAATGTACCGAGCTTTTCTCCCAGAAGGGGTTACATAGAGGAGTGGCAATCTTTTCTCTTCCTTTTTTTTTTTATCAAAAAGTGGCCGTTAAATTCAAGAAAGTCGCATTAGACACGTGGTGACGGCTAGGAATTTTTAAATGCGTTAGTTATCAGCGAAAGATTTTTCTCTCTTCAATCCACTGTGGGAACTACAAAGCAGCCAAGTTAAGCAAAAAGTGGAAAGAAAGTTAAAGGGAAAGGAAGTAGATTCAACCTGAGCTACTGAGAGTCAATAGAGAGAATTATCCAAAGTGAAGTGAACAAAAAACGTAGTGTGGCAGAGTGGTTGTGGCGCTAGGCTTGTAATCTGGTGGTCCCGGGTTCAAGCCCTCCATCCTGTCACTCACTGAATTTGTTCTCGATTGTTCAGAGTTCCCCTCCTTTGCTGCACCATCATAGCCAACCGATCTGTCTCCTGCCGATTGGGATTTTTTTTTAAATAACACTAGGTTTATTTGTATTGTTTCCAATTTTTTCGTCTTGGTCCCCATTGGAGGAGTGGCCAAATTAGTGTATATTCATACTTATACAAACGATCGATAGAGTTTGATTGCTTTGGGATTAGAAAAAAATCTTCGATTTCACACAATCATATTTCTAATTACAGAAAAGGGGGAAAAAAGAAGAAAAAAATTGTGGCGCTTCAGTTTTGGTAAATAAATTTAACTTTCAGACTTTAGTAATAGGCCATTTTTCAGTTGTGTACTTAGTTGCCAAGTCTTTGATTTGGAGTGAGGCTGAAGGTGACCTTGTTTTGATAGAGACCAGTATCTAGTTAGCACTATAACAAAGTAATATGCATTTGAAAAGTAACAATGTTTGTATCATAGCAAGGTCAACCTTAGCTTTGCTTCTGTTCAAAGGTTTGGCAACCAAGCACACAACTATAAAATGGACTATTTTAGAACTTACTGCTGATCGCAAGCAGCCTTTGCATGTAAGAACACTCGAAACTCACGAGCGAGGCACGCGTGTGATAGTGGTCAGGACAAGATCACGTGAAGCGAGCGTTGAGACGTAACGGACACGAGAAAGTTCACATACGCTTAAAATGTTTGTTCCCTTTTCAGTTTCTGAGTCATTCTTTACAAAGTGAGAGCATGAAAATACGAAATTACGGAGTGTTTTGGGAATGCAAGACCTATTTCAGCGTGTAAACTAATTTTCAAAAATGGGCTCATTTGGAATTTTGACCCTCTCTGTAGTTTCATCCAGGTGAACGCATTAGACAGTCTGAAAACTTTTCGGACGAATATCCTTGCGATTTTTACGTAACTTCCGGTCCTGCTTTCTTAAATGCAACAAAAGGTAGAAATACCCAAAATAATTTACCGGCAGTTTATTGGCATGTTAACTCATTAAAAAGGGTAAAATATAAAACAAAAATGAATTGGTTTAGGAGTTTTTTTCCTTCTTCTTTCTCCTATCAGGGCGGAGGGGAGTTTTGTTGCACGTGTTGCACACATGATGGTATAAAAGTGACCCTAAGACCATCTGAAAACATATTTTTCTGTGGTGACCCAAATTAGCTAATTGATCCTTTGATTAATTAAATGAGAAGCAAAAAATGCTGAGTATAAATAGACTGGTGGCTAAGTTGTAACTTTTGCTGTAAGGTTCACGGACGTGTGAATGCACATAAATTGTACTCGATGATCACCTAAACAATGACCACGATAAACAAATTCAACCTACAAAAAAATTTTTGATTAGATCATTTATTTGTTCTCGATAACTTACAGGAATATTTCTGGTAGTCAGACAGAGGTTCAGTCACACAATTCACGTTTCTGTCACGCTTGTCACGCTTTTCACGTGGCCGTCACGCCTATGTCACGCGACCTGTTTTGCCACATGGCTTGTCAGGCACATGCAAATGAGGCGACATGACCGCGCATTGATTTCGATATGGTGGAGTCGTGGCACTGAGATAGTACAAAAATAAATCACTTATTTTAACTTTGATTACATCATTATACTTTCTTCCATACACTTTCAACCATCTCTTCGCGATCTAAACTCGAAGATCTGTCAAAATGTCGGCTAAAGCCATCTACGAAACCGACGGAAAGTCACTCGTTGCGAAGTGCCTTCAAAACAATTGCTACGTCAAGAACAAATTTGCTGTTGTTGTACAAGAAACAAACTGGGACGATCTTGTCAAAGACAATCCATGGATTTTAAGCCAGGTAAGACATTGTTTTATCAACAAATTTGTCGTTCTATTCAACTGCATTCATTCAGCCTCCAGGGGCGAAAATAATTTGATCCCTCGACTCCTGAATTTTATTATGTATTTACGAATTTTATATTTTCAATCTTGAATTTTGAGCTTTGACATATTTGGAAGACCATTGTGTAAAGTATAAAGAAGATTTCTGTAAAATATTAAGTTGTTTATATTCTTTATTTCCTCGAAACAATGTTATCCGTTTTGCTTTTCCTTTCACCGCTCGCAGCAAGGAAATTGACAGAATAGGATTATACTTGTAGCGATGAAGGTCATTCAAGGTTACGCAAAATGCTTTATCATATGCAGAATAAAATTTTTTTAATTCCTTTTGTCTCATCAATTTGCCCCTACTGACGTTTTATCTTTGTTCTGATTTTAACACGTACTAAACTACCTCAAGTTTACCAATTTCTTGACGCCTGTTATAATTTTTTACCAAAACTGAATAAATGGGTTAATTTTTCTTTTCTAGATTTTAGTGTATCAGTTGTACTTTTAAATTATTTTAGCTTCACATGAGTTCAAACTGGCTTGATATTAGCTTTTCTTTGTTTGGAAATGACATATCTGGATCAAAGGGAAATTCAACTCAAACAGTTGTATCCTAAAACCATCCTGACTTGGAATTGGTGGCAAACTTAGCATAGCCACAATTTTTTTCCATTGATTGTTTAGTAATGATGGACCAATACAGTTTTTCTGAAACTATACGATACCAAAGATGATGCTGATATTGATACTGTGATTTATGTGTTAACTCAACATTTCTTTAAAAAACAATCTTTAGTTTCTACTCATAAGAGATTAAGTCAATCATCTGACAAGTAGTCACCTATACAACGTTAAAAACAATTTAAAATTGTAAGCAAGCATCTCTAAAAGTGGTTACTTTTGAGATGTGGTAGCTAATGAGAGGTGGTTGCTTACAAGAGGTTCAATTTATAGTGATTTGACTTGATAACTTTTGGTATACTGAAAAAGTGGTTGCTTACCAGAGGTCGTCGCTAAGGGAGGAGGTTCTACTGTACATACAAAAATGTGTCATAAGATACTTAATATATTTGTTTGTATTTTCATTTTCAGAAACTTGTTGTAAAGCCAGATCAGCTTATAAAGCGTAGAGGCAAGCTGGGTCTTATAAAGGTTAATGTCAACTCACAAGAAGCCAAGAAATGGATTGATGAGAGAATGGGCAAAGATATCCAGGTCTGTGATTGATCTATTAAGTATTTTAGCCTTCTCGATTATACAGCATGAAACAAGAATGGGATGATAAGCTGGAGTGTTTTCTAAAGGCAAGCCTTAAAAAAAAATACAGCAGTTGTCAGGAAACAAGCCAGTACCTATAAAAAGGGTACAAGTATGTACAGTATGTTGCTAGCATCTGTTCCTGCTGCTTTTGTCTCTTGTTTTCTTTCTGGTTTTAATCACTTTTTTTGAGGATATGGAAATAAAGCAAAGATTAAAATTTTCTTAAGAAGAGGACAGTTGTTTTATTATTTTTTCAATATTTAAGAAAGCAATGATTAAAAAACATATGTGTTTGTGGAAACTTGCTGGTGGAAACAGCAGCTGCTGGTGCCTCTGGACAATACTGAATAAGAAAAGAGTGGGAGACAAGACATGTTCACCTAGAGCTTAAGGTTACAGTGCTGGACTATAAGTTGATGTCAGACGTTAGGGGGAAGGGGGGGGGAGGAAGGTTCGAGCTCTGATGGGGTGATAAAGTGGTGTACTTGGGAAAACTTTTACTCTCAATATACCTGTCTCCAACAAGGAGTATAAATGAGTACAAGCAAATTGTCAGGGGAGGTGTGACAAAATTCTTGGTGGTAACCTGCAATTGAGTTGTATATTATCCAGAGAGAATTATATGAACCCTTGTATTCTGGAACCCATTACCCATTCTAGTTACATTTGCCTTTACAAGATTTGCTGTCTCCCTTTCCCTGAGATTCTGAAATCTTCCTCATCCATTTCTGTCCCTGATCTTCTACTCTTCAACCATTCTGTGTATTACCTGTCCTTCCTCCCTTTTATCTTGTTAACTTCTACTCTATAGTTATCCTCTCCCCTGTCCCCCTGACCTTACCCCTGTCTTTCCTCAGCCCCCCTCCCTTCTCCCACAATCTGTTCCCACCCAACTCATGCACATTAATCTGTGTTTCCAACTAATCAGGTTGGAATGAATGCTATGATTATTTACTTGGCAGGTGGGAGCTGCAAGTGGTCCGCTGAAAAGATTAATCATAGAGCCATTTGTACCACATAAACAGGTAGATCCAGTTACACATACATCTTTTGTAATGATCTCAATATTGGTATTTCGTTTTACCTTATGCTTTAGAAGGTCAGATGAACTCTGATTGGATAGGTCACTTAGCTTAAGTATTGACTTTTAATAACTTTACTTTTATGTATGTGCTGTTAGGAATTGAGTGAGCTTTTCAATAACCTGCAAACACTGAGATTTAGAGTAAAACTGGCAATTTCAATTCACGCCGTCTTCAGATGTTTGCATAACAGTCATCTTAAAAGCAGAGGAACTCAAAATGGATCATTAATGCCTCCCATTACAATTCAGTGACTTGATCTTTTCAACAATGTAAGATGACTGTGGTTCACCATGGTTCATATGTTTGAAAATGCAGTGAATCTGAATCAGGAAGTGTTAGATTCTGAAACTAATAAACCATGATAAGGCTCCAAAGAATGACTCACACAATCTTCTATGACTTTCTTTTAGAATGAAGAATTTTATGTGTGCATCTATGCCCAGAGGAAGTGCGACACAATTTTATTTCATCATGAGGGTGGTGTGGAAATAGGAGATGTTGACAGCAAGGTAAAGTACTTTTTTTTCTTATGATTCCAGTCTGAGTTTTTACCCTTTAACTCCCAAAAGTGATTTACATGTAAGTTCTTTCTATGATATCCATACATTATCCAGCAAACAGGTTATGAGAATACTCAAACTTATAAGGTAGAGGTTGATAATTCTTGATCTAAGACCAAATTGCCATAACTAATTAACCAGGAAATGTGTAGCAGCTAGAAGGGAGAATTAACAGTCAGTTTTTGGGAATTAAATGGTTAAATTTTTGCATTAAAAACTCAAGGGAAATACCATATCTGTGCTTGCTTATGTATTACTCTCAATGAATAAAGAAAAAATGATTAGATTTACTGCTAGTTAAAGGTTATACGTAAGTAGCCAGAATAATATTTGTCTCTTTTACTTTCTGGACCTTGAAAAAATTACGTGTATGTTTGAAAAAAATTTGAATTCCAAGCAGTTTTGTTTCCAGTGTATGCTTTCTTGTTTTTTGGCACCAAATAGAAACATTTTGCTTCTCTGATCAATGAAAGAATGCCAGATATTTAATAAAATAAGCACAAACCATTCAAAAATCTTTAGGAATATATACTTAAAACTATTATTAGTTTTTAAGCTAGCTGTGATCAAGAAGTTTGATTTAAAATTTTGTTGTTTTCTGGTGTACTTGTGTTTTTTTACGTATGTTTGTTTACTCATGTTTGTTTACCTATGTTGTGCTTAGGCTGTTAAACTTGAAGTTGGCCTTGGAGACAAAATCACAGTTGATCTAGTGGAGAAAAAACTTATGCAGAATGTTCCAAAACAAAAGAAAAAGTGAGTGAAGGTTTTCAGTACTCTTACAATACATGGTTTGAACTCATCCAAGTTTTGGGGCTGTCAGCCCTTTGAATACATGACTCTGGTGATGCTCAGGTTGTGAGAGGATTCCAAGGATCCTTTCAGGACTTTGCAGTATTATTGTTGCATCATTTTATTGTCACTTATACCCTGTTAAGGTAAGTGAACCAATCAGAAAATGCAATCTGTAGAGTTAAAATGTAATTATAATGTTTATTGCTCTTTGTTTTTTTCCTGGACAGATTACTTGCTACATTTATCCACGACTTATTTAAACTTTACACTGACTTGTTCTTCACCTACCTGGAAATAAATCCCTTAGGTGAGGTAATCTTTAAACATTTTGACAGTGTCAGACTATTTGGATACTCTCTATAACTATTATTTTTTAATTCCACACAATCATTGAAAATGAAGATTTAGTGGTAATACTGATGTGATTTTAAGGGTTTCTCAAATCTTTCTACAAGCAAGTTTTTCTGAGTAGATGTTGTTAACCATTTGATCCCTAAGAGTGACTAGCATCTAATTTCCCCTTACAAGATTGCCCTTCTCCCCCCTCCATCACACATTTAGGTCACAAGAATGAAGGAAATGATCAATTAAAGAAGCTCTTAATTGTTGTAAATTCTCCTTGTCAGCACATTAGGAAATGTATAGAGAGCAGTAAAGAGAATGTGCATACTGATGTTAGGGTGTAAAGGGCTAACTTAACCATCAGTTTTGTAGCTAACATTGAGACTCCCATAATGTCATTACAATGAAGTCTGTTATGGATACCTATCAACCAAATAGCTCTATGTGCTTGTATAGCACAGTGCAAGTTAACATGGAAGCCATATAATCATCCTCATCATTGGAATGATTATTTTAAAATTTAAAAAATATTTTTTTTCATCTAACTCACAAATAGTTAATTATACAATACTATGGATACTAGATATATGAAAATACAGAGAGGAGAAAGTAGAAAACAATGGAACACTTTAGAAAGCAAGGTGACCTTTTGGAAACTCTCAGGCATTTTGTGGAGGCCAACCAATTTGTCTTAATTTATTCTACAGATTGACAATTTTAGAATTGATTTGTTGATATCTTCAGTTGTTTCACAATAAATTTTTCAAAATAAACTTTGATAATGACATGATGTGATGATGATGATGATGATGATGATGACTGAGTTAAATCCTCAATCTCCAAAGTTTGTCATCTGATATTTAAATTTCCTGGTGACAAGTGTGAAGTAATTGTAGCAATAATCCTGTGTTCTGTTTCAGTGGTTGTGGATGAATCAGTGCATGTTCTTGATCTTGCTGCCAAATTGGATCAAACTGCAGAGTTTATATGCAAAACCCAATGGGGAGAAATTGACTTCCCACCTCCTTTTGGCAGAGAGGCATATCCTGAGGTGAGACTAGTTTGTCCAGAAAATATTTATAATTTTGTGCCAAAGTAGTGGGGAATTGACTAGAACTTTCACTCGTCCCCCTCAACCAATCGGGTACAAAACCAACTATGAATTGGTCTCTCTAAGTTTCCTTTGCTTCAGACTGTCTACTCAATTCACTTGGACTTCTCTTTTTTCCCCTGTGATATTTTCTTTTGCTCTGATTGTGTATTGATTTATTTGGGTTTGGTGTTACACAATGCAACCAAAAAGTGCTTTAAAATGCCTGATTGACAAAGGGATGTTAAATGGTCATATTTTGTAATTACTCAATCTACAAGATGGCAAAACAATTAGGAAATAAATCGATAAAGAAAGAGGAAAAGTGTCCATGCTTAGCAGCAGTAAACAGTGCTACTTAAATACTTAATTTTCAATTTGATTGAAAAAGTTGCTTTTCTTTCATGACTATTGTTTTCTCTGCATTGAATATAATGGATAAGATGAAAGCAGATCAGTCTTCATCTGCAAGAAATATGCCAGCTTGCTTGGAAGTGTGCTTGGTTCTTCAAAATAACATGTACACACCATCCTAAAATGTGATATGTAGTTAATTTACAAGAAACCTGAACTCGTTTTGTTTTTTTTTACTAGGAAGCACACATCGCTGAGTTAGATGCCAAAAGTGGAGCTTCTCTTAAATTAACCATTTTGAACAGTAAAGGTCGCATTTGGACCATGGTGGCTGGAGGTGGAGCCTCTGTGGTGTACAGGTAGGAAAGTGCATTCGTTGTAGATTAAAATGGAACTGAGGCTGAATTTTTTTCCAACGAGGTTGATTGGTAATTGTTTATGCTTAATGCTCACATTCACTAGCTGTAACAAAATAAAATGGTGATAAAACAAGTTTTAAAAAAATCTGTGTGATCTTTGTTCATTTGCAATAAAAGAATTTTCTCCTTCAAGACCCCAGGGAGGCAACTTCACTATTCCTTGAAATCAGTTTTGGCTGGTTGATAATGTGATTGGTACAATATATAGTGAATACCGCAATAGCTTTGCTCCTATCATGAATCCATGCCAAATTACGCTTCTGGGATTGAATTTTCTCTTCGGTCTCGAAAATAAGACCAATTTTCACGGTTCTTCTTAGCTCAAAGATGCAAACGGCGCTGCAAAGAGTCTCTAGAATTTGCGGCAAACTTTCTAATCGACAGCAAGGAACAAAACTCGTCCATTTCGCTATCATTACTTTTGTACAATACTGAAATACAAGATTTGTTGAGGGAAAGATCTATTCTTGAAATGTTGGGAGAGGAACTGAACATGTCTCATGCATGCAACGTTAAAACTTTGAAAACAAATTAATGTAGCACTGCCATGATAGTGATTATGTCTCTGCTCTTGTTTATGTTAATCTAGTGACACTGTTTGTGATTTGGGTGGTGCGTCAGAGTTGGCAAATTACGGTGAATATTCAGGTGCGCCATCAGAATCACAGACATATGAATATGCTAAGACGATTATCAAGCTTATGACCGTTGGTACACCAAGGCCTGATGGTAAGATGTCTGAAATTCCCATTCTTTTCTACATGATGCAAATATCCTGATATTTAAAATAAGAAAGATGGGCTCGATATTGAAATAAAGAGGGTTGTCTATCAGGATTAAGATAGACCAAGCATTTTGTATCATGAGCCCCGTCTTTATCTCCCTCTTATCTTGACTTTTGCAACTTGGGCCGTGTCGCTTTTACGCCCCGCTCGCGCTATCGAGTATAGCTCAATACGGGGATTTTGTTGATGACGTTTTTCATTGAAAGCGCGCGCGGGGCGGCACAAGTCAAACTAGTAGTCTGGCCGGACGGAAGAAGTTCTCCTAGTCGCTATAGAAACCAGTCCAAGATCTGGAAACTACGCGAGTCCATCTAATATGCTGTCAAACTTTACTGTACGGTACAATGTACTAATATTTACGTCGTGTAATTTCCTTCGCAGGCAAGATTCTTATCATTGGTGGAGGTATTGCTAACTTCACAAATGTGTCGGCAACATTCAAGGTAGTTTAATCCACGTAAAACGTTATGTGACCAAAGTTGATATTAACGTGTCAACTGAAAGTAGAGAAAATGCTTTAAGTGAGGCCAGGGCCATGAAGCCACATATTTTTATGGTAAAATTTTAACAATTTTTTTCTTCGTGAAAAATGTTGTGGTTATTCATCGTGGTGAATAACGATCAAAAAACACAACAACAGGAGAGCCGTACGACAGCGGACTGCCGAGGGAGCAAATCACTGAGTGAAACAGCAAGAATTGAAATGTACCGATCAAAGCTGGTGAAAAACAACTAACCACAGCAGAGCATCATGCTTTATAAGATCACGCATGACCAGTTGACCTCATCGCCTGAAGAAGACTAGCAGTATGCAGTCGAAACGTCGCGATCTACATCACACTTGACTACATCGTGAGAGAAACGAAAAACTTAGCTTTTAATTTTTTCCTTCGTTCTACGAGAATTAAATTTACCTGTCATTTCGTCATTTTTGTTGCTGTATTTTTTCGATATGCTATTATAAGAGCTGGATGTACACTTTTAAGGTGTTGTCCATCATTTATCGTCACAGCAATGTTGACCATATAACTTTCAAAATAATTTGTAAACTTCTCTCTTGTTCTCTGTTTTGTTTCTAGGGAATAGTCAAAGCTCTCCAAGAGTATCAGAAAAAACTTATAGAGCACAAGGTGGAGATATATGTGCGAAGAGGAGGGCCAAACTATCAAGAGGGTCTTCGTGTTATGAGGGAAGTAGGTAAGTATAAAACAGCCAACATTTTTCCAAGGGAGGAGGATGGGGTACACAGTTGCGAATTTCCCTGCATCTTATATGATCTGGCTCATTCCGCTGTTCAACCTTTGGTATCAGCATAGGGGTATGTATGTATGTATGTATGTATGTATGTATGTATGTATGTATGCAGACATCGATCAGCCCCACCTTTTCGGTAAAATCCGTCGTACGAGACAAAAAAATCAGCGGAAAAAACATTGATGTTGGCGCACCACGTGAAACTCAGCGAGTGAGGTGCGCGAAATCTCTCCCAGAATTCTGCGCAGGACGTTAACATCATTTTTATTTTTCGCTTTCTTATATTTGTCTCGCGCGACCGACTTCGCCGGAAAGGGGAGACTGATCGTAGTCTAGTATGAGTGAGGCGAGTAAGACCGACAGATAGATTGTCTAGAAGTGGAAAGACACGACCCTGACTTGAAATGAACCACAGTTACCACATCGGCTAATCCAAACAAAGGATTAGTAGCAGTTGATGGAACTAAAAAAAAAATAAAAACCGGCAAAATGTGAAGCAGCGATTTTTTTCAGTTTTGCTTATGATTGGTTAAGAAGATAGCGCGTGGTTCTTTAACAAATCACGAAGCGACTTAGACCGAAGTCATTGCATCCTTCATGCTTAATTAAGATATTCATATTTTACAGGTTCCAGTTTAGATTTGCCCATGTACGTATTTGGAACAGAGACACACATGACCGCCATTGTAGGCATGGCCTTAAGAAAGAGAGAGATTCCTAAGGAAGTTGGCTTCGACTCAAATGCAGCAGCAAACATGTTCTTCAATGCTCAGAACAAAGTAAAAATTTCCTCTCTATTGCTAGTATGAGGTATCCTTATGGTATCAGATGAGGCTATGTCAACTCGGTAGTCATCAATTGCTTTTATAAGATATTTCTCTAATAATACGCGAAAATGGAAAACATTGCAACAGTGTTGTCATGTCATCCCAGGGGTCCGTAACCAGTGGAAAACACGCACTGTTGATGTCGAATGGCAAGGGAAAAACAGCTGACGAGAAGCCTTCACCAGAACAAGGGCGCAAAGCTTCAGGCGGCAAGAAAGCTCCTTTGTTTACTAGTGAGACCAGAGCAATCATCTGGGGAGTGCAAGCACGAGCAGTACAGGTATACTTAAATATCATTTTACTGTCTCTTCTCTGCCCTCATTTCGCAATGCGGGCGCGTTGTTGAGGGAATGGTAACGTTTCAAGCTCCGCGGCGATCTTTCAATGAGTTGCTATGTCTTATGTAAGGTTAGATTACCGAGACGGGTAGAGTAGGGGGTTGCCTATCATCCATCCCCTCGGTACAAGTTTTTTTTTTCTCTCCTCAACGTTTTTCGGCTTAAAAAAAGATGGTGGGCTCACTCACCGAAAATACGCCGGCAACGCAGGCTACGCTCCTAAGTGGAAACTCAATCTCCTGATTGAAAGATAGAATCTGGGACTGACTCCCGCTTACGTGCAAGGCTCTCAAGTCCTATTAGCAATTATGAAAGGCTGGTACCTTCAGAAAAGTACCGAAAAACAGCTTATTTGTGGTTACATGATCAATAATGGTCGAGATCATATCTTGCGGGAATTTGAAGAATCGTGGTGACTTCTGATAGGTTGTTTCATAAATTTTAATTTCGACGCCTTTTCCTCTGTTTTCAGGGCATGCTTGATTTTGATTATGTTTGTGAGAGAAAGAGACCATCTGTGGCAGCTATGGTGTATCCTTTCAGGTGAGAAATTGCTATTAAATGAATATTTAGAAGTTTAACATTTGGCCCTGTTTTGAATCAACATCTATTACAGAGTCATTCGTTGTTCTTTTCTTACCTTTTAAGTTATCGAGGTTTAATTCAAAACTTCTCGTTTCTTTTATTTCAGTGGAAATCACCGACAGAAGTTCTACTATGGACACAAAGAAATTATGATTCCAGGTTGGTTGGAATGATTCAATATTATTTCAGTTGTGACGGGATTCTGTGATTCTATTTTACTGTGGAGATCACTGGAGTGATTTTTTTAGTTGGTGCGCTGAAGTCCAGATGAAGTGGTCGATTTTCGAAATCTAAATCGGAATACTTTTGTTTTACCGCTGCCTGGTTATCTCAGGTTGTAGAGCGCCGGACTTCCGCGGTGTGGGGTCAGGGGTTCAGGGACAACCTGTTTTTTGCTTACATCCCAACCAGCGGGAGTATAACATCGCAAAATGTTTTTGATTTCTAATTTCCTCGTTTATTTGTAATTCCAGTTTATAAAGAGATGTCCGAGGCTATGAACAAACATCCTGATGCTGATGTAATGGTTAATTTTGCGTCGCTTAGATCCGCTTACGATGCCACTCTAGAAGCCCTGCAGTTTCCACAAGTAAGCTTATAAAGTGATTTTTCAGTGGGTGCACAATTTTTTCAAACAGTTTTTGCGTTGGCGAGAATTTTTATATATATTAGCATCACGCAAGACACGTTTAACGCTGGAGCTGAGAACACGGGGTTGCTCATGGCAAGTTTCTTTTATTGAAATGGAAGCCTAGAGCATTTGATGGGTTTGTGGAATGTTATTGGTTTGTCCCTTGTGTGGGTTTAGCAGCTTTTTCTTCCCATCTCAAATTTCGCACACACTGAATTTAAGTTTTTTTTTTCAATTGTCGTTGACAGATTCGCACGATTGCTATCATCGCTGAGGGAATCCCTGAGGCAAAGACCAGGCAACTGAATCAGAAAGCTAAGGAACTTGGAGTGACAATTATCGGTCCAGCAACAGTAAGTATAATTTGAAAAAGTTGTTCCTTTGTTCTCGTAAACCCAACGGAAGACAACTTTTCAGAGCACCAAATAGTTTAGTTGTGAAACGGTAGGCTAGAGATCCTGTGGCATCCTGCTCGGGGTATGGTTTCGAGTATAATGAGCGGAAGTTGATCCAGGTTCCATAGTCTCGGGGGTCTGGAAACCCCACCCCATCAGCGCAGTGGGTTTTTTTACCACTGGTCTGACACCAGAATTCTTGGGACGACATATTCGCACATTACCACTTGATATCAAGTATTTTAAATAAACTTGTCTTGAAATAATTCTTATCTTATTTAGGCTCTAGTGTTTAATTAAAAAAATCTGTCTTTTCTAAACCAAAGTTTGATCCCCTCTCTCCCCTCCCCCTCCCGATTCTGAGTCAGTCACGTGGATTGAAGTAACCCCTTTTTTTACGTAACCGCGTCCGTCTTGGTTTTTCTAGGTTGGTGGCATCAAACCTGGGTGTTTCAAGATCGGTAACACCGGTGGTATGTTGGATAACATTTTGGCATCAAAGCTGTATAGGCCGGGAAGGTAAGCTAAACGAAACAGTGATGTGGTTACGTCGCTGGTGCTTCACATCAAGGCTGTTAAATAAATTAACTTCAGATAGGCCAAAAACCAATTATTCAAGCCGCTTCAAAATTTTCGAAAACGGTGGTACCTTATCCTCTGCTTAAAACTCAGTAAATCAAAGCGTAATCAAATATGCAAAATCTATTTTCATGGAAAGGTTTCCGGTAGAGAGAAATGTTACGTGTAAGGTACATCCACTCAAGTAAACCTGTTTTGAAACTAACCGATGATAATGATCAAGAAAAATGCGTGTTTCTTATTTAACTTATGAAAAAACTTTGTCAACCAATAAGAATGCCTGATCTATTTTCACTTGTGAGAATACTTGTTTTAATCTAGCCAATAAGAATGCATGTTTTAAACCAATCAAGGGAAATGCTTGTTTAATCTTATTAACCCATTGACCCTTAAGAGTGATTAGAATTTGATTTCTCCCTAAAGTATCACCACTGAATCTTACATCAAGGTGACGAGAAAAACGGAAATGATCACCAACCAAAGAATCTCTTGAAGCTCTTGTCAGCACCTTAGGCAATGTCTAGGGACCAGAATGGAGAATATTCGTACTGATCTTAGAGTGTTAATGGTTCATGAGAACGCCTGTGTTAATCTGATCATTGCAAGGAAATGTTCTTTTTCGAATCTACAGCGTTGCCTACGTGTCTCGATCAGGTGGAATGTCTAACGAACTCAACAACATCATCTCACGAACCACCGACGGCGTCTACGAAGGCGTGGCCATCGGAGGTGACAGGTATCCGGGAACGACATTTATGGATCACGTGATGAGGTATCAAGAAAACCCGGATGTGAAGATGCTCGTTGTCCTTGGAGAGGTGCGTGTCTGTTCATTGTTTGAAAGTAGTTAAGTTACGGAATTATGATTCTTTTTTTGGCGTTGTGCTCAACTATCTTGAGCTCTAAAGGAGATCATCCGCAAAAAAATATACAAAAAGGAGGAAGTAAGGGTAGTCAATGATGCGGAAGATTTAAAAGGATTGTAAATGACTGACCCACCTGGTTAGCTCAGGCTGTAGAGCGCCGGATTGCCGTACGGGAGGGGAAGGGTTCAAACCCAAGATAGAACCAACACTTTGGGTCTTTAAATAACGGAGGAGAATGTTCTGCCTTTGCTACGCCATCTGCAAATGGTTAGACTTTCTAGTCTTCTTTGATAAGTAAGTCGCCCGAAGGCCTCGTCTCTTGAATCTTCTGAGTACTGGTTATCAGGGGACCTTAAAGAATCTACACTTTTCTCCCAAAGAATAGGGAACGTAGTTTCCGGTTTTGTGATCTGGCCGTATTTCCAAAAATTCCTTAATTGGGGGCACCTGCAAACTTTTCTTTGAACAACTGTAAACTTCTCAATGCAGTCTGGTCAAAGAACTCCGCAAAGTTTTTGAAAGCGCAATGGTTCATATTGATGTGGGAAATGTGCTATGGAAATGCATCACTATCAGATGCATCGTTGTTAATATCTATTAATATAGTTAGATAAAAAATACGAGAGAAGTTAGGATAAACCAAGAATAACTCAGGATGAAAAAAGTTTAAATTGGACTAAAATATTTCTTTCAATATGCTTAGGTCGAAATGTCGTATTCAGTTGCCTTTCAATTCTCTTGTAAATCCTAGGTTGGTGGAACCGAGGAATACGAGATCTGTGAGGCCATTAAGGACGGCACGGTAACCAAGCCCATCGTGGTTTGGTGCATTGGAACATGCGCATCAATGTTCACGTCAGAGGTGCGTAAATTGGGCACCAGTACTTTCGCGAACGTGCAGAAGACTTTAGAAACAATTCTCGTTAGTATTTGGGTACTAATAACTTGTATTTTATTGACCTGATTAGGTGCAGTTTGGCCATGCCGGAGCCAGCGCTCATGGAGACAACGAAACAGCGGTTGCCAAAAACAAAGTAAGGATTTAATCAAATTTACTGACCAAGCTCGAAAAGAAATATTAAGTAATGTACAGGGTATGAGGTGTACAGCAACTTTAAAATGTTTTTAGAAGGAGTATTATACTTCAGAAACCATTTGATTTTATTTTCGTCATTTAAAATTTATATGCAGTCAGGAGGTCTTCCCAACGTGATAGAATTGTCTTCAAAAGTGAGAAAAACTCACTTCGGAAGACGGCATTTTGAATATTGCTCAGCAAACTAGGCTCTTTTCTGTCATGTGAGTCCTAATCCACTACTTTCCATCTCTTGGTGATCTGTTTGAACAATTAGGAGTTTAAAAAAAAAGCCCTATTGACTGAAATAACGGGTTTTTGCGGCAACCAAAGCAGGGGCTGTTTGTGATCGATGTAGAGTGGTTTCTGCCGCTCGGGTTAAACTCTGCAACGTTAAACTCTGGTTAACAGGGTTTTCAACTGTTTTTGTAAAACGTCATGTGCACCGGACGTGGTTAGGTTAGTGGTGAGCGCCGTAGTAAAAAAGTTGGTTTTGATAAAGTACCGGACGTGGAATGTCCAGTCAAATGAAAATTTTTAGGAGTTTTTTGGTTATGTAGTGTCTAGTATCAATTTTTTAGGACATTTTTCGGTTATGTACCAAGTATTTTGACTCTCAAACTGCTTTGAGGAGTAAATTTATTATATATTCTTTTAGGGCGGAGATAAGATTGATTTGGTTCTTGGAGCATAATTCATATTGTTACATCGATTTATATACCTGAAAGTCACAAGGGACTTAGCAATTAACAGAAAACTTGAAATAGTTTTTCGTGTCTCTTTTTAATTAAATATATTCACAGGCTTTGAAAGATGCTGGAGCGTATGTACCAGACAGTTTTGATTCTCTGTTTGAAATGATCAAGTAGGTGACCTTGCAGTTTTTTTCATTCCTTCCTTTCTCTTTTATTTTCCCTTCTTTCTCTTTTTTTTTTTTTTTTTTTTTTTTTTGACATAACATACCGATAAGTTGGCATTTAACTTAAGACACTTTGAAACGCTTTCGGTCAATTAAAATTTAGTATATTTTCAACGCATTTTCCATTCGTCAGATGGATGATTGAAAGAGGTAAAATACCCCTCAACGTAATATTGAAAAATTTTTTTATATATATGACTTGAATACCTAGCGAATTTAAAAAAGACACCAGAAAATTGCAAGACGTTCGTCAAGAGGATATAATGCAACATCTAGGAAACAAATAAATAATGGCTCCCTGGCGAAGAAGACACGTGCACAAGACACATCACAATCGAACTTCACTTTCTTAAGCTATTGTTTTCATTGTTTTCCTCGTTCTTGTGTCTTTTTGCTTTCAACTGTTTAAATCAACTGTGTCTTCCATACCAAGTTTGAGCTCGATTGATCAAAAGGTTCAGATTTTTTATAATGATATCATCATTATGTTGTATTCTGATCTTCATGAAGTTTTTCCATCTTCACAGCCAATCAGATGCGACTACAAAATCAGTTGTCTTATGATTCCTTCCATTTCAATTGGAGCGAGAATTTCTACCAAACTGTAGTCATCACTGCAAACAAAAGAAAGTATCCTAACTTTGCAATTTTGCTCTTATTTCTACAGGGAAGTTTATGACGTGCTCGTTAGGGACGGGACAATCGTTCCTAAACCCGAGAAAGTTCCTCCAACAGTCCCTATGGATTACTCTTGGGCACAGGTTAGTAAAAATGCAGTGGAGGATCCGGATTCCCTTAAGTAAGACTTGCGGCATTACTTTTACTCTTTATCTGACACCGAAAGACTGTCAGTTCAAACATCATGAGGTATTCAAAATGATCTTGTCTTAAAATGTTCCTTAGCGTTTTTGGGGTATGGTGCTAAAGAAATTCGGTGTTTTTTAATTAATTTTTGGGTTCCCCCCCTTTCCCCTTACCAATCAAAAATTCCTAGATCCCGTAATGTTATGCTGGGAATTGAGTGCAAGTATAATCAGTCTAGAAATTACAGACTCAGATTTAGGTGGAGTGGTGTAGTAAAGCGGTGTAGGGAGAAACAGAAATTATCCATTCTATTAAGAAAAAACTAAGCTGAAGTCACTGGTAGATCACTTTGTCCTGCCGGGTAGGTGTGTGAGCCCTAGAATTTTTAGCAATCAAGGCGGGAGATTGCATTTAAACTTGTCATCTTTAATATCTAATTAGATATTCTACACACCGTTTGTCACTCACCCCTTATCATTTTTTATCTAAGAATTTGGTAGTCAATCAAATACTATGATTTTTCTACTTCTCATAACCTTTCTACTTGAAAATGTAATGATATTGTGAGGTGAAATTCATGTTTGGTCACTCTTGGGGGTGAAAGGGTAAAAGAACGGGATTATAACCTACAGCTGTAGGTAGTGTTACGTGTTCCACTAGCTATACTCTCACGGCTAACTCAAATCATTACTGCACTGTAACAGCTGAAAGAATGTTTGTATGAAGGATTTTCTTTTTACATCTTCACTTTTCTTCATACTTGATGTGGTTGTATTTTATAGGAGCTTGGTTTGATCCGCAAACCCTCCTCATTCATGTCAAGTATCTGTGATGAGAGAGGAGCAGAGCTCCTGTACGCTGGCATGCCAATCACAGAGGTGTTCAAGGTATGAACGCTTATTTTTAATATGTAGAATTCTTCATGGGGCGAAACAAAAACTCGGCATCTTTTTCAGTCTACTGTTATTTTCAAATCCCTCGTTACGCTTCGGAATCGGTCAAGGGAAGAAAAAAGCCGCAAGAATCTCCGGTAGATTGCATTATCAGGCCTTTTAACGGAATTTTGGCCGCCTAACTCATAACGACCTACCTTCAGCATATAGGTACTCAGTCGAAACTCCCTTAGCCAAACGGCACGCAACGTCATTATATGTACCTCGTTTTCATGGGAGTCTCCCTCTGGGAACGAGGCAGTCACTTAACTTATTTGACATATTAATAATTGCCTTCAACTTAACTCTCGCAGGAAGACATGGGTGTTGGAGGAGTCCTGGGTTTGTTATGGTTTCAAAGAAAGTACGTTTACCAAGTTCTATAAACTTCTTCCTTTGTTAGCGGTTTTTGCTACATGTGAATAGATAAAGACTGACGCTATTTCATAAATGACCTGACTAAGGTATCTTTCTGTCTGTTTTTAGGTTACCTCCTTATGCAAATGAATTTATTGAAATGTGCCTCATGATAACCGCTGACCATGGACCAGGTAGGTGTCATACTAGACTGGTCACATAAAAATGATTGTCGTTCAGAAAGTGTCACGTTTTGCTGCACGTCACAAACCTAAAAATCTTTGGCACAATAACTGAAGTTTAGATAGCATGACTGTGCATGTGCAGCTAGTGATTTTGTCTAGTTAAAGCCCAACTATATGTAAAATGTTTATCCAATAAAATCGACACACTAAGGAAATCTGCTAGTATCAATACTGCTGGTTTTATTGTCACACAAATGACCTTTTTTTGTCACGCACAGCCGTTTCAGGTGCACACAACACTATCGTGACAGCCAGAGCTGGCAAGGACCTCATATCATCACTGGTGTCTGGTCTTCTCACAATTGTAAGTAGAAAGAAACTCAAAGCCGTAAACTGCATTCGTATGTAAGTTTTCCACAAAATGGATGTAAACCGCGAATGATGATGTCGCGAAGCTTTTGGGACCAAGGATTATAACACAAGTGAAACACTAACACAAAGAGCACATGTGTGATAGTGGTTTGGACTTTCGTTTGGACATAGTGGGACTTAGATGCATTTTGCTTATGCTTTCTCTAATGCCTTGCTTCCGGCGAATGTGATAATCAAGCTTGAATTGGACGACAGGCGAGACATTTGAGGGAAAATCATTAAAATTAACAAAGCTGCTGGGAATATTCAAGGTGCCTTCTCGATATGAGATGCTTTTTGGCGGTTTTCGGCTAAATTACAAACTGACAACGAAAAATAAAATGGTTCTTCTGTCGACGAGGCCATCTTGCAAACGATTCAAGTTGTCACTACGCCATTCATTTTTGAAAATATTGTTTTTTTTTTTCAGGGTGACAGATTCGGCGGAGCTTTAGACGGAGCAGCTCGAATGTTCTCTCATGGTCTTGACAGTGGAATGGCGCCCATGGAATTCGTGAATGACATGCGAAAGAAAGGAGAACTAATTATGGGAATTGGACACAGAGTCAAATCTGTAAGGAACCTGTGGCATTAGTTTGTGTTATTGAAAGTTATCTTTTGGATAAACCGTCCGCTATATGAATCTCTTAAAAACGACTAGAGTACTTAATACACGATTTTTTTTAACTAGCTGAACAATCCCGACATGCGAGTTGTGATTCTTAAAGACTTTGTGAACAAACATTTTCCCACCCACCCAGTGATGGACTATGCCATTGCAGTCGAAAAGATCACCACTTCAAAGGTAAGTTTTCGATACGGAAATGACTGAGAGCTTAGGGTTGACACTCCTTTCGGGAACATACTGGGATACTTAGGAATGCAGCAAAATCGCCCACACTCCCAAAGTCGTATCTTTCCCTGTGTTCTTCTTCTTAAAGGCTTGCGCATTTTTCTTTCTTGTCTTGTCTCCAGGTCCTCATGGGTAACATTTTCCGCATTACTTGGTCAAATTCCAAGGGACATCCCCCCTTGGGGCTGATTCTCTTTTCTCTCTCTGACTAAACACAGTGAGAGCTCATAAGGCAATCTCCAGTCGAGTGTCTAATAATCGATAGCGTTTCGGTTTTCTTCTATTTCTCCAAGTGATTGGTCCAGAAAACTCATACCACTTTCTTAACCAATCAAATTCGAACTAAAACTAATCATCACTTGGACGCCTGCTTTTTCCCGCGTCTGAGTCAGTTAACTTGTTTATTAACCTCGAATTCTGATTGTCCTCCTCTTGATGTTGTGCTTTGTTCTGATTGGTTACTGTGATTACTTTGGTTTTGGTTTTTCGGTTTCGAGATTCGGTCCAATTGATGAGAACTGTTTACACAGGTACAGGAAATGAAAGCAAAGTGAAACGACGACATGATCTCAATTAATTGCTGTTTTTTACCCATAAATTTATGTTTTGGGTACAGAGCTTTGCAAATAACGTCTATCCAGCCTCATAAGTAATGCACTTAATATTGAATTTTGCTTCTAATCTTAACAGAAGCCGAATCTTATCCTCAATGTAGACGGTTGTATCGGTGCTGCCTTCGTAGATCTGCTTCGTCATTGTGGAGCATTCACCAGGTATATATTTTCGTTTCATTATGCGAAAAGAACGCTAAACGTTATGGTGAAAGGAAGTGTTGAGGCGCGCTGCGAGTTTTGTTGCAAGCGAAACAAAAAAAAGGCTATTAATAATTTAAAATGTTTTTATCGTGGGTCGCTTGAGTTTGTTTCGGTTTTTGCAGAAATTTAACTCCTTTGTTTTCCTCGAATCCAATTTCATCATCACATAAGTTGTTTTACTTCCTGTTATTATGAATATATTCTGTTCTTCTTCGTGGCAGCGAAAGCAGGAGATTTTCTCTCTCGCAATATTTTCTCAATCTTTTGTATGTAGAAGCAATAGGTTATTGCGTCATAAAGTTTTCTTTTCTTTTGATCATGTCTCATTTCAGGGAGGAATCTGATGAATTTGTGGAGATTGGAGCGCTAAATGGATTGTTTGTTTTGGGAAGATCGATTGGATTCATTGGTAAGTGAGTTTTTGTGGTAAATTAAAAAGATTGTGACGCATCAAAATTCATAGAGAAAGAAGTGGGCCAAAGAAGAAGGGTGGGGGGGAATGGATCGACAGACTTGTCAGCGGGCTGTTTGGAAGTTTCACCCATTCCAAGTACGCCCCCTACTATTTCTCCCCACCTCGACGAGTTCGTCTCATCAAAAAAGAATATGTTTGCTAAGATTGTTTTTGGATTCGTTTGTAGGTCATTATTTGGACCAGAAACGCCTAAAGATGGGTCTGTACAGACATCCTTGGGACGACATCACGTACATCATGCCTGATCATCTCACAGACCTTCGCCCAGCAAGTTTTGAATAAGCACGTGACAGTCACGTAGTAGAAGCCGTAAGAATTGCAAATTTGGGTTTTCCTCTATAAACCCAATCGAGCGGAACATTTAACTGAAGAATTTTTGGAAGAAAGAAATTTTAGTCGTGTGTTGAGGCCGTAATTTAATTCAGGGATAGTTTTTGCCTTTTTTGTAATTCTCGTGTTAGTAGTTTTGACTGCTTAGCGCTATACGAAAATTTTGTTGCACCTGTCAAGCCCGTGTGGATTGCGTGACAGACCAAAGAGAGTTTTTGCTCTCTTTGAAAATCGGGAATATGTTGTACAATAATATGGAAGTAATGCTGTAATTTTAACTCCCATTTGAGTTATTCATTTGGATTTGAAATTAATTTAGAGCAACTTGCTTCAAAGAAAATGTAACTTCAAAAATGTTACGAACTTTATGATCGACTGGAGTAGTCGATGGTCGCGAGAGACTGGCACAAGCACGACATTACGTGAATTATCCCTAGCAAGGAGTTAGAGGTGGTCGCATGTCGCGCAACACCCTTACTTCCCCACCAACTGCTTAACTTGGTTTTGTTTGTTTGTTTCTGCGTTCTCCTATACATTTTGGAATGTCCTTTTGCTTATTTCAAAATTATATGTTCCGTTAGTCCCTTAGCCAAAGAGCGCGAAATTCAAGGTCCAAAAATTTGACCGTTAACAAGAGATCACTCATAATCTCTTGTCGTCAAACGTTTAGGGTGAAGTTCAGCTGGACCTTTACTCCTTTCCTTTTGTTTTGAGTGTGGGGATTTTGAGGGTTTGCACTTATCTTACGTCGTCCTTTGCTCGTCAGAGCAGTTTTCAATTGACTGTCAAAAAACCAAAAGCTATAGTAATCACATAACAAAGGTTTACATCATCATCAGCCAAAGAGCACTCGAAGTCAAAACAAGCAAACCATCAAAAACGCGGGAAAACGCAGGCGATCAAGTCGCGATTGGTTTTTGTTTTGCGTGTGATTTGTTAGGAGGATGGCGTGAGTTATATTAACCAATTACAGACCCAATTAATGCAAAAACCAAAAAAATCTCGAATTGTCTCTGTCATTCATTTGTAAATCGCTCAAACAACCCTCTTTGTATGACTATAATCCTGCGAAATATTCCCCATAATGCAGCTAGAATAACCTCAAATTGCCTTATTTGTTCGTTGGTTACTCTTGCCAAAATTCAGACGTACAAAGTGATTGAATTTAGCCTTCGAAATTAAACTAAAACCAAGTTTCTATGATTCCGTGTAGTAAATCAGTAGAGTTTATTTTTCACGGACGCAAATATGTCTTGGGGCCCGACTCAGAGTCATTTTAGCCGCTGAGCGAGGGTTAAACAGGCTCTTAGAAGGATCCGAAACATATTTCTGCTTTAGCAACATGATTATCAGTTCAAAGGTCACCGGGAAAATAAAAACTGAAACAAATAACAAAAGTAGTCTGAAAAATTGCGCGAGCCTTCGTAGGATGGGCTGATAGTTTCCGGAGTTAGAGCTTTGGTTCCTAACCAGATTTCCTGCCCAGGTTTTTCCCAACGGGTTTTTCGGGCAGGTTTTTTTCCGGCCTCTGTTTTAATCGCTCCGATCCTCCATTGTTAACGGTTTTTCAGCTCCGTCTTCCACACGAATCCAACATTTTTCGTTTTCTGTTTTTTACATGTGTCTCTAACTTAGGCTGTTTTAAATAAGTTGCGCTTTCAGCGTTTCGACTTCATGATTCGTAGCTAGATCGGCTCCGGTGCTCTTAGCTATAGACTGCTCGAATATTGTTATTTGCTCTAGCTTGTTAACCTTTATTGGCAGTTTTTTTTTAGCCTAATTGATAGGGGCATTGGGGTCTATTAGAAACCGCAGAAAAACAACATCCAAACCCGCCAAACCACAGAACCGACTGACCGCATGCAATTTTTTCTATTATTGCAAAAAATCTGAGTGGATTCCGAGTGAAGAAATCTCGAATGGATAGTAAATTTGGCCTGGCTTCTGTGTGCCTATTTATAGAAATTTATACTGGGGGTTGTTTCGTTAGCCGTCGGCCGGCCCTACCCAGGGTGTTCATGTTTGGACAACTTGGTATTTCAGTTTCAACAATTAAGTTAATAATCTATCGAGCCAAAAATAAGTCGTTTCCGTTGACTTACGTTCTCTTTTCGTCCTCTTTTGTTAATTTTCGTGTTAAGTGCGGCTTTGACTAACGTCAGGAGCTCATTATGGAATCGTATTAAATATATGCATTAAAGAAATTTTCATATCCAAACCGACTCCCAATCAACAATTGTACACAAAAACTACGTCTTTCCTACGTCTTTCATTTCCCATGCATCATTTTATCTTTAACGCTCTTTAAGTTTGGAGACAGTATTGCTACAAATGGCAGCCCCGCGCAACAGTGCTTCAGCACTGAGCAAGTAATCTCTAGCTAAATAATTAACTCCCAGAAGTGATTAACATGAAACTTCTCTCAATAATATGTATACATTATAAAGCAAACACTATCTACAACATCTTTGCAATATCCCGCAAACAGGTAATGAGAATACTCAAACTTATCAGGCAGTAGCTGTTATCTTGATCTAACACCAAATTCTTATAACTAATCGGAATGTAGGAAGGTAAGGAGCTTAAGTGGACGTGGTAATCTGGACTTTTCCTAACTCTCCGCTGAGAAATATAACGAGAGAGCTCAATCACAACCACAACTCAGATCAGAATCGACGCTGTTATTCTTTCCAGAGCGTGAACGAATCTTTGAAACTACCGAAGAAAAATTGGGGCGGTGTTTCTGTTTTCCTATTGTTTCTTCCGGTCATAAAGCGAATGACGTACTCCGGAAGCTATTCAGTAGGTTCATAAGGAAAACTAGAGAATATAGATTACAAAAAGATTCGAAAAAAAAAAAAAGATCGCTGGAATAGGGGAATGTAAGGGAGATAAGTAAGTTCTCTCAGTCTGGTGTGTAAGGGAGATAAGTTCTCTCAGTTTATGTCCTCTTGGGTAAAGATATTGAGTAAAAAAAAAAAACAAAACAAAATTGAAAACACTCGACTTGATTGCCTTGCTTAATCAAAACTACTGCCATAAGCCATAAAATTACTCGCCGAGTGCCCGCTCATACCGTCAGAGAAAGGTAAAAACTCCCTTCCCCACCCACCCCATCCTACCAAAATTACCTTGCACGAACAGTGATCACGACTCGAGAGCCATGTACTTACAGGGAAATGCAATGCAGCATTCCACTGAAAAAAAGAAAAAAAACGGTATGTTGATTGAGCACTGGTAACGTGGGACACAAATATCCATCATGAAAATTTACTTCATTTAAGAGAAAGCGAAAGAGTTCGCAATGAAACGTGCTCTTTCATTAATTGTTTAGCGTCAACTTCAACTCGTGAGGTTAACGCTTGTTCAGCACGGAATTTCCCTGTGAGAATTTTTCGTTCGAGGAAAGGGAGAAAATGGAGAGTATTTTGTTGGGGAACAATAACGAACAAGCTAGTGTTTTTCTTTTATGCAAAATCACTTGATTTGCGAGTGAGGCTTCGGCATTCTCTGATCATCATTGCGTGAAATATTGTGAGATCTCGACAAGGAAGTCTGCGGTTTACGATCGTGTGCAGTCTTCATTAATCTAATTCAAATATTCCTGCAGAGCAAACCCGGCCTAAAATCGTCTTTCCTTCTGGCCGAAAGATCAATGGAACGAGACGATTTTGAAAGTCTTTTTTTTTTCCCGTGTCTTGACCAGGTATATATTTTGATCCGATAGTTTGTAAGACGTGTTATTTTCATTTTGATTTCATGTTGGCTACTTCCGGCTTAAGTAAGACTTCCGTTGATATCAACGCTTGTTGAAAGTGAGTAAGCAAATGAAAATGATGAGGGTTATAGAAAATGGAAGTTAAAGCTTGCAGTTCTTACCGAAGAAGGTGACAAAAACAATTCATTTTGAAATGTTTACAAAAACCGGAAATACGTCTCTTTGTTTTATTCCGTCGAGACCATGTATTTCCGGTTAAAAGTTGCATTGCGCGCGCACTAATTGAACGTGATCAGCTTTTGACAACATTGTTGGACAATTCTTCCGAGCCATCTCGTGCCTGTGACGGCGGAATGATCGGGCCGATCCGCGAAAACTTTACTGATGCAGTGGGCTTGACATGCCGTCAAACGACGTGATACTTTTGGGGTACCGACCACGCAGCGACATACAAGCATCGGCGAATATACGACGGGCAGTTAGTGAAGATTGTCTTCTCGAATCCCGAGGAGACGGTGGAAGACCTGGTTTTTCAATGCTTAAATTAAGTAAGACAAGGATTTCTGTTGGAGACAGTGTCACTGTGTATTGGGATATCAGAGAGCAGTGTGGAGCTAATGACTGGATCGGTCTCTTTGATTTAGGTAAGCTCTATTTTCATCTGCTTCACGGGATTCATATCACGTTGCACCATTGCATACACCCGGTTTTATCGATCAAAAATACAGTGTTTATGAGCAAATGTTTTTTTTCTTTTCGTTGCACCCTAGCTTTTGCTTCATCAAACGTGCTTCAGTATAAAGAGATAGGGGTCGCCTTTGGACAGGCGTTGAATTATAAAATCTATCGTTACATCTCGAAAGTTAATTTCTTCAGCACACAATTAAACACAGGGGCGATCGATCGATCGATCGATCGATTCCTCACAAATAATATTGTTGCTAGCTAAAGATGCGTTATCATCGAGGGAATACTCTGTCAGCTGAAAGGAGATTGTGTACCGTGTTATGTCGACCCGACAGTTCTACAGTGTGGTTTCGTTCCGGGTGTAAGTACAGATAAGGCATTACGAGACAGAAAGTACAGTTGCACTATATGGAAATTCTTTTATAATTGGTTTGAAACTTACATCTTGTTTACGTCTTGGCAGTTGTAGCATTGTGAAAACTAACCACACTATTCTGGTAGAGGGATTACTTTGTCAGAAAGTGCTAAAATGTAATGCGTGTCGATAAGTTCTGTTGCGTCCAACGATCTTAAATAGGCGAAATTCTGAAGGCAGGTGGGTAGAAAATCACAATAACCATTTTAAATGAGAAAGCGGTAGCAATACCTTGTGATAATATGCTAATCGAGTTTCACCATTAAAGTTATATTGTATACATTCTCGTGTCAAAATTATTTTGCAATAGTCTAAGTTAATGTGCTGTTTCATTTATACTTCACTGTAATGCTAGACTTCAAAGTGCGAACTGTAAGTTACGTGCAATTTACGATTACTTGTAATATTCTATTTTCATTTGAAACGCATTTTATTGGCTTACTTCTCCTCGAGGTTGGTGGCTTTCATATTAAACTTATAGCCGCGAAGTTTGAAGTAAATGCACATCTGGTCAAATTATCACACCGGGTAGAAGTTATTTGAGAGGAAGCCTTGAAATTTTCGCCGAACTTAGTAGTCGAAGTACTTTTGGAGAAGCCTTATTTTTATCACAGCTGGAACAAAATGTAATGTGTGCAGAGTTCTGAAACTATGTGTGGCAGATTGTTCATTAATTTTGTGGATATAATGAGTGGCAGGTTACCTATTCACAAGAGCAAATATAGGGAATTGCTTTGATCTTAAAGAATAATTAAACACATGGAAATAGTGTAACCATTAATATTGTTTACTTTGTTTATAAGAAGTCACTTGATGATGCCATTGTGCTAAAAAGCGCGCTTTTCAATTACAGATGCCTCATTTGCTATGTTTTTGTCAACAGCGAATTTTTTAGGAGTGCTTTGAATTGAGAACAAGAATGTTGTCGTTGATAATTAGGCCTACTTACGCCAAAAGGTATCTGATTGAAGAAAGCTGATTTAGTGAAAGGTGAACAGTTAAACATTTAAAAACCACATCCTCTAAAAAGCAAAACAATTAATTTATCGTTTTAATTCAGGAAAAATACTAACATTTCTAAAGGTGTTTGACAAGCACTGTTTCTGAAGAGTTCTTCATTGTGTTGACTATTATTTAAAAACTGGTCAAAATGGATTTTTTTTGTAGAAGAGAAAAGTAATCCTTCTGTTTTGTAATCTTGTTTATTGTTCCTAGATTTGTAGATATGTGAAAGTTCAGCAATTTACTTCTGATTCTTCCCTTATCAATGGCCATTCATTGTACAGTTGGCCATGTGTTCTTTGGATTTTAATAGATTATGGGGATATAATTCCTGCACAAAGAAAATTTAAGCACAAAGTGAACATAAATATATACATAGTTGACAATTATTGTCCTCAAAGTCATTAAAATAGGTAACTTCAGCTCGTAAGATATTTATTCCTGAATAAAAATTTTAGCAATTGAACGTTCCAGGTGTTAGGTTTTAATGAATGTTTGTGTTTCAACATTTATCTAGTTCTTGAATGTATACCTGTGTCATAACATGCTATAACTTGATTTTTTTTAATTTTCTGCATATCGCAAGGAAAAAAATCTTTCCCTATGAAACTTTAAAATTTTACATGCGAGTATAGAACATTATGTTTTTTGTCAAATATCATTAAATTTTTGAACAATTGTTTTGAATTAATTTAGGTCAGCTGGATATGTTTCAAAAGGCATCTTTGATTGCATTATAATTTTAGGGTTTCAGACTAGTGTCTAAACAATGGCCTATGGTCTAAATGAAAAAGGAGAATACTCCATAAACAGTTTGAATTCCCTCAAGAGATTTTTTTCCACAAATTGATTTAAAATCAAATGTCTTACCTTATTAAAATTGTAATACTGTTTCTATACATCTAAGAATAACTCATACAGCAAATTCTCTGTTATTGAAAGGTGATTCAACACAACATGTACCTTGAGAGAATGCTTGTAATTTGGTTTGACTTATTGTTTAGACACATTTTCATTTATCAAGAAAGCATATAAAGTGTATAATAATCAAATGGATAGATGTAAAAATCTGTAAGAAGCTCCTTCTAAATTTCTTTTTAAGATGTTTATTAAAACAAAAAATAGATTGAGCCAGATTAAGTAATAAAAATAACTCCCATGAAATCTGAGGAAGTTTCATTTTATTCTTGTGACAAAGTGACATTGTTTGACTATCTGAGTGCAAGAAATCACTATTTAAAATCTTCACCCTCTTAAAGTGAATTAATTATTTCCAAATTTCAATAAACATCTAAAAATTTTGCCAATATATCTTTGAGTGCTTTCCCTACTGTTGTGGTAATGAATTGATGATATTTTTTCACCCACAAAAGAAAAAAAAGTTAATTGGCGGCAGATTGTGCATGTTCATAAATTTATTGTGTTTTGGAGGTTAACAAAAGATATTTTAGTAGTAATAAACATAAAAATGAACCTTGATTGCTTCTATTTTTATGGGTCACGCAAAAAAATCAACGAATCTCATTGAAAGAAATCAAGATTGTATGATTAACTCTCACCAGGTTGGTAGATTTTTGTGAATGGATTTGATGAAATCAATGAAATGATAAAGTGCTTAATGGACAGTTCTTCTTACATAAGTTTGTAACTATGTTTGGCTTTCATGACATCAAACTTTGTTATTTTTAAACCTTCCAAGGACAATGATATGCACGGTCACGTTAGTAAAATAAAAGAACTGTGAATTTCAAAAATATGTGTGGAATGTTTATTGTGTTATAACCAACCATACTGAGAATAAAAAAAACACAAAACCACAGAAGCCTCTTGAGCCACTCTGGCTAGTCATGCAATCAAGGAATACCACTGGCTGTTTTTGATACACAGTTCATCCTATCGCACAATCACAGACCTTGTGTTCTTTAACTGTACAAGAAGAAATTGAGCTTTGTCAAATTGATTAGTAAAGTGGCTTGAAAATCACTCACCTATTTTCTTACAATTGAGTTACTGTAGTGAATATAGCAAGCTAATTAAATCTGCATGTTCGTCCATTAAATATTGGTTTTTATAATAACAGACAAGTGATGAATTTTGTATGATATCCATGAGGATGCTTAATTCTGCCATGTACGTGATTTCTGTGTGACTGTGTAGTGATGCATTTTTTATCATATTGATCACTGACTGTTTTGTGTGGACTGAGGTAAAATATATTTTTGTTTTGGGCCTGCAGGGCAATTTGCATACAAGTGGCTTCTTAATCCATGTGAAACCTTCACAGAAGCTTTTAAGAAATGTTTTTAGAATTCTTAAGAGGATCTGTTTGCTTGAGAGGGTCTTGACTTGGAAGGAAATGTAGCTTTTTCAGTTCCTGAAATAAGGAAAATACTTTCTGAATCACCAACAGAACTTTCCTTACTTCTTTTCCAACTGGAAACTATCTGATTAATTCGAGCACAACACACTATCACACTGGGATATCAAAATATTTGTCTAAAACTCCTTAATTAATTGCACACATTCTATTCATTTACTTTTTGGCGCATAAGCCTTCACATTGTTGCTTGAAAAATAAAACCAAAAACTACAGAAAAGTGCTTTTTTAATGACTAGACTGTTCTTTTCTTTCTTTTCCTTCAGTTTCTTTATTTTCCAACGAAAATCTGTTGGAAATTGGGGATTTTTTAATGAATCATTAAGTCCCCAAAGTCTCGTTCCCTTCAAGGAGATGTGTGCCGGGGAAACCAAACACCTCTTACTCCTTTACTCCTTCTCCACTATTAAGCCCCTTGGGCTCCTGTTAAATGTATGGACTACGAGAATGGGTACTTATTCAAGGCCGGGTGCATATTAAGTTCCACCATTTTTAACAATCGTTACATCTATTTTGCAACAAAAGAGTAATTACTAATGATGAAACATGAAGATCTACCATAAATGGTGAATTTAGAGATTGCATGGAAGCCAGAAAAGAAATGATAATCAATACTTGTCTTAATTACTTCATTTTTTTAAGGGGGGGGAGGTCCAGAATGCTATTTCTGTAGCTCCTGACTTTTTCAAACAGATAGCTATGAGCTCAGCTGTTATGTCAAATGGCCAGGTTGCTAAGCAAGAGTTCAAATTTTGACATCATAATTGAATTTTAAGCACATTTGAAGACATATTTGGCCTCTGGCAGATCATGCATGTAGCTCTGACCATCCAGACCTTTTAACTATTAAATTCATTGTCAGCTTTGTGAGGTATAAAAAAAAATTATTGTCTCATTGAATTTCAGATGGCCCCACATCACTGTCAAACTATTTGGACTCTAAGCAAAGAGGAGTAACTGGAGCCAAGAGAGGAGCTATAAAATGGGCCATAAACAGAGATGTAACACTTGGAGAAGGTACATTGCATTATACATGAACAAAACATGAATGTGCAATTTAACATTTTGTGTAATGATTACTGTTTCATCTCCTCATTACTGTTCTTATGAGCTCTTTATATTATATGTACTTATTGACTAAATAGGGAGACTGAATAGGAAAATATTTTTCTTGAGGCCATGATGTGCAGGCCAATTGCAGCAATGTGTGGGTGCCAAGAACAATTATTTTTCTGTCCAGCCTGAACTAATTCAGGCAATAAGCATTTTTTTGTATGACTGCTGCTTTGGCTTTTTCTTTCTTTCTACTTTTGGCAAGGCTGTATGGCTTTTTCTGGCCCTACTCATACCATTGCACCCATGGGGATTTTTTCAGTATGCATGCAATGTGCAATATGCATGCAATAATACAGATATTGACTATGACTATGTGACCCAGCACCACAAACTACATGACTGTATGTTAATTTGTGAAGTTTACTTTAATCTGTTACTTACAGCTGCATATTATCTTGTGTCAAGGTTAATGATTACTACACTTTATCTTTATTCCCCAGTGGAAAACAAGTGCATTTTCAAGTACATACAAGGCAGCACTAGCTCAGTGAAGGCCATCAGTCCTACAATTTATATTTTCAACCCTTATGCTGCAGTAAGTGACAAGGAAAATTTTCAGTTTGAAATCATGGGTGAAATGTACAAGAAACTAAACATGACTAGCTATAATTCTGGTGTTATGTTTTTTTCCAAAGCTTACTTCACCTCATGGCAGGCCACGCCTTGGGTCTTTAGTACCAGAAGAGACCCTCTTGGAATTTTCTATTGCAGGTAAATACAATAAATTATGTATTTGTGATACTTGATAAGAAATATGCAATTAGTTATTTGCTATCAAATATTCAAACCCTGTATTTGCAAAGTTTTTAGGTTCAAGATCTGAGCTTTCTCTAAGAACAATGCCAATCTTTACTTTTGTTATCTTAACCCGAAAAAATATAATAATGAAGGATTTAGTTCAGTATTAGGCTTCACCTCAGGAGACTTTTTCTTTTGTGGATTAAAGCAAGCACTCCTGAGCTGGAAAAATTCCGTGGGTCCACCTTCAGAGGTGGCAGAGTGTTGGGAAATGCTGAAGGGGGCTAGTCCAGCACCAAGCCAAGCTTATGCTGCCTATAAAATTTCCTTAAACAATGTCTGTGTGGTTCGCTGGCACAAGAATACCTATTTGCAAAGTTTCCAGTGTCCAGAGCTTCTGCTATCCATTTGAGCCTCGATTCTGGATCCAAGATTCTCAATAGTTTCAAGATCGAGTTTCTACATAAGACTGTCAATTGTCATCATATGGTATTCATTTCATAATTTTTGCTCATGGAGCCAGCCCTGTAAATGTTACAGTGTCGTTGGTTATTGATGCATAATAGTGGACATTAACATGTATCAGCGTATCAACTCCAAAGAACTGGATGAGCATGAGGGCATTCAAAAATATGTGAACTTTATAGAAACATTGCATATGAGCTTCCATGATTTATGCTGGTTGGAATTAAACATTCCCTGGTTTTTCCAAAAGGTTTACAGGCAAATGGCTTGAAGAAAAACATCTTTGGTAGGCCCAGCCCATACGTCAAGCTGTCAATCATGCCGTCAAGAAGACATCTCAGGTCATGGAAACAACATCACGGACAGATTGCCAAGACATCATCAGAAACAAACACCATTAGTCCAAGATGGACAAACGAGGTTGGTATGCAGTTTGCAAGTTTGCACTTGCAATTCAAAGGTGGTTCTTGAGTTTGAAATACCGTTGTAAACCACCATCCTAAAAGTTTTACAGCTACTACTGCCGGTTGTAGACATAAAGTTCGGTATGTCTTCATTTTTTGCCACCTTGTTGAGGAAGCTCAAAGAAACCATGAGGTGTATAAAGTACGGACTTCCTTGACTGGAAATACATATATATGTTGGCAACAAAAATGGAGCGTCAGTAGCAAATAGGTAACATGATGTAATGAAAATAACAAAGCAAACAAAAACAGAACAAAGGAAAAACGAAAGAAGGGAAAAAGGAGAGTGGAGGGAAAGAAGGATATAAGAAAGAGGGTCCTTTTTCAACTTGCTTTTTCAAAGTTTTCAAAGTTTTTAATTTTGAATGTCTGAGCTGAGATTATTGATAAACAGAGGACCTTGGTACTGAAATGAAAAGAGCCTCAAGGTTCTTTACTGGGGGACGAAAAAAGAACTTGCTTATCTAATATTATAGCTATGAATCTGGTTCCTCTATAGTTTTTCTCCGTGTACTGTACCATAATTTTTGTATCCTTTTCAGGAGTTTGTATTCTTGGGTGGTGCAGACGACCTGTTAGAAGTCGAAGTACGGAATAAGTTTTCTGGGACGCGGCCTGCCTTTAGCCGCTTCTTGGGGAAACTAACTGTTCCTCTGGTGGATCTTTTTGAATGCCAAAGAAATAGGTCTGTACTGCTATCTGTTACTACTGTTATTCATTTTGTTACCATTAAAGTTATGATTGGGCTAAATTGGTCGACTAACACAATATTCTCCAGCTCTATTCTAAGTTGATTTATGCATTAAAATTCAGATTGTAGTAAAAACGCGAAAGCTTTAAGAAGTTTCTACTCCTTAGATAAGCAGAAGTGAATGAGTGAAAGGAGCATTTGTTAGCAAACAATCGTGTGTTGAAATGACCCTCTACAACTAATTCCTAAATACTTGACGACTTTTATAGACTCGACAATCGTTACCGATCGAATGATTTTATTTCCCATCCGAATCAAATCGAAAATTTTGCAACTCGAAACTCTTTACTCGCAAGTCAACTTAACTGAACTATACCTTTCGGAAATATCACAAATATATACAGGTAATTTGATAATGGTATAAAACCGTTAATCCAAGTTAAAATCAATAACGTTCTTGTACAAACAAAACTTATTAGTGGCAAAATGATACGTAACGTGACCGTTCGGGACGCGATTCTACATGGACTGGCCAAGGCTTCGTTCCCAACAAATCGTTCACATCGTCCCAATCGTCCCAGTCGTCTACTCAACCTAGATAATTCGGCGATGATAGGAAAGCAATCGTTAAGCGCAAACACAATTTTGTTCGGACGATTATGGTTGCTCCGATCGCTCCAGTTCGAGACAGTTTTACCAGGTTTGTCTTTAATTATATAGTCTATTGAACATTAGTTGGCACGATCGGAAAGTACGTTTGGATTTTTTTTACTTTACACATGTAGGTCAAGTTATATATCTATGCTTTTTGACCCTTGACAGGCCAGAAGAGGTCACTAAATCACTTGGTAGAAGGACACCTGCAGACAGAGTACAGGGCACAATTACACTCACCATCACTATTATTGAACCATCTAATAATTCAGGTAATTACTCTGAAATGGCATGGACACAAATGTTTGTATCCTCATGTTTGAAAATTCCTATTCGAAATTTTTTTACCCCAGAATCTCACGGTGGGTGAATTTTCATAATAATGGAATGGAAACGGCATTTATGAAACGACAGGCTGACTTCCAATTAAAGAACGTTGTGTTGAATTATCATGATAGAAACATGCAAACGAAACTTTGACTGAAAACTCGATGACGTATAGTAGGTCCCTCGGTGGGTTTTGTCCTTGTATTACTGAATCCTGGGCCAACAGGGGCCCAAGATCATATAGGTATATAGGCCCCCGATCAGGACCCCTCTGAATAACAGCCATTTAGCCGAGAGAGCCACCCTGGCTTAATAAAGTTTACCTTACAGTTACATGTTTTCTTTTCATGGAGTGATTATTTAGCCGACCTTAACTCTTTTTTTTTTCTTTTTTCTTTTATTTTATCTAGATGCTGTTTCTGCTGAACAGGAAAATGTTCCACCAAACGCAGCCTCTAACGGTGAATCCAATGGAAGCCTTCAGCAAAATAACTTAAGATGCACGTTATCAAACCCATCTCTCACGTCGTCCGCACCTAACATTCTACAGCCTCTTACTTTGAACTCCAGCAATGGTCTGCTGGAGACTATCTTCCCCGTGGACCAAGCAGCATCTCCTGTTTCTCCTCGGGGTGCTGTTGAACAGGAGAATAACTTTGGTGATGCTGCTCGAAGGAGATTGGCACTACAGTCGAGACCATTCTCCGAGATGTACGCTGAGGAGTTTGTTCCCTTAGATGATAGTGACGTCACAAGAAGCCCTCAAGGAACAACCAGTGAGGGTGCCTCTAGTGGGAGTGACTTGGCGGAGGCAGAAACTCTAGATGCCAACAGGGCTTCTGGTGGCTTAGGTAATTCTGATGAAGTGGTATCTCCGGATGATACGATTGATCAAGGTCAAGTTTCTCGTGATGGACCAGATGACGTGGATGCTGCGTCAGGCCAGGAGGGTGCAACAGAACTAACCTCACTAGAGAGTAGTCAAGGTGTGGAGCACCAGCCTATGGAAATCCCAGAAGAAGGTAATGAAGCCAACACATCTGAGGTGGAGATGGCTTTCTCTGCTGCAGGACAAAGACCCAGTATTGGAGGTAGTATCGGAAGTATTGAGTTGACAGACGACTCGCCACTGAGGATCTTGGAAGAGAGTGAGAGAGTTCGCGAGGAGAGTATCGCTCTTTCAACTGAAAATCTTCTACAAGATGCAACTATTGAATCAGATGACGAACTTGAACAAATGGATACTACCGACGAGACCGTTGTTGTTGGAACAGAACAGGACAGTTCACATAATTCAGACTTTTCTATGGAAGATGTGTTGACAAGTGGGAACACAACAGAGTCAGCTTTGATTGAAAATAGCTCTTTAGAAAATCAAATGGCTGTTCGAGAAACTGATTTGCTAGAAGATGCCAATAGTGTTCTCATAGATGAGGAGATAGATGATCACGTATTGTCACCACCGCAGGACATTGAAGGGTCCAGCGCATCATCACGTGTGGCTGAGTGCTCGCCCGGCCCTTCAGTAACCGCGGTGTTGAATGAAGTAGAGTCAGCTGCTTCTGAAGAAAACCTTCAGCTGCAGGCAGAAGGCTCCGATATCAACCGCGAATCAACATCTTCACCTTTGAGGCAACGGGATCGTAGCCAAAGGGACGTGCCCATGTCTCTTCTCGAGTACGTAGAAGAAATATTTTCAAATGAAGCCGAAGAAGAGAGTAATGACAGTGCAATGATAATTGAGACTGCTGGGGAAAGTAGGCAAATTAGCCCGTCACTGACCTCTTCGGCTTCCGAGTCAACTCAGCCATCTGTTGAGGACACGGTATCTTCTGGTTCAGAGTCTTCTACCTCAGCGATATCGTCAGTAACCCTTCCGGTGGAGGCTTCCGAACCTGTGTGCTTGAATGCCACCTCACTAGAGTCTGCGTCAGCTTCGGAAATGTTAGTGGATTCACCCCCGGAGGCGCTGATGCTCAACAATGAAGGGTCTGACAGGGATAGCGCTGTCCCACAAAGGCCCCCTCGGAGTAAGAGACTGTCGCGATCCAGTAGCGATCCAAGAAGTGCGCACTCAAGACAGGTTGCAGAGAGGGCACGCCTCGCTGCAAGAGCCAACCAAGGAGAGAATTCTCTGAGGCCTTCTCGACCGTCATTGGTTCGACGAGTCACAGAGCCAACTGCACTTTCAAGTGTGGTTGTTAATACTGAAGTTGAGCAGACAAACACAAGTGTATTGTCACTATCTAATACAACAACAGTAGTCACTCCAGTGTTAGAAGCGACCTCAGGTGTCGAGGTATCTCCCAGTGTGTCACCCCCAGTCGTAGTGGCGGTGCCATTATCTCTACCTCCATTGCGCAGTTCGTCGTCCTCTTCAAACAACGGAACCTCCCCTGTCGTTGTAGCAGATGTTGTTGCTGAAACCCCAGCTTTGGTTACTCCGTTATCGTCTCCAGATTCAGTCTTGGAGGGAAATACGGCGACCACTGTTGTTGCAGTTAGTTCTAACACAAGAGATGGAGTGGAATCTTCAACATCTAGAGAGTTATCAAGCGAGCGCGTCCTCTCTCTAATGAACGAAAGCAGGCAGCCTTCATCTGCTCCATCAACATTACAAAGGGGCAGCGTTTCTGCTGTTGCCTCCATATTGCCTGATGAACCACAAGCTCATCGCAGAACGAATTCATCCTCGGTAGTTTACGCAACACCAGTTACAGAGCAAAGTAGAAATTTGCCTAGTGAGTCTAGCGCAAGCTTTCCCAGGCAGAGTAGTTCGGCAAGAGTCACACCACTTTCAGGAAATCGAAGACGCAGCAGCGGTAGTGGAGGTGGGTATACCGTAACGAGGGACATCTCCGAAGAGTCGCAGTCTTTACCGCGTAGCTACGGTCATAGTGTTTCAGATTCAGTTTCTTCTGTTGTAGCCACCGCTAGTGCCTCATCAAACTCAGAACAGCCCAGGTCTCGTGCAACTGAGAGAGTGAATCCTGAGACCACTGTTAGTGCCATGTCTTCACTTGAGTCCAGTAGCAGATCTACCAGTGCTGTGAGTCAGTCCAGGGAAACCATACAATCCATTCTCGCAGTTTATATTGCTAATTCAGCGCAGATTTCACAGGGGAGACCACCTGCTGTAAGCCAACCTGCGGCATTCACATCTTCTGTTACAGACGTAGACTTGGGTGAGAGGCCGACGCAAGCCAATCGTCACAGCAGTAATCGCCGAAGTTCTGGCAGGAGACAACAAGGAAATTCGGTGCATGTGTCTATACAGGACCAACAGCAAACAAGGGAGCAGCAGGGTCGGACTGGGCAGCAAGCCCCTGATGAGGAGGAACCTCTTCCTTCAAGTAAGACACTCGAGCTAAGTGGCCCATACAGCTACAGATTAGATTTTATTTTACCTTCTGTGTGGACCGTTGAACTAAGACAATTTTTGTTTGTTAGATTGGGAGAGAGGTGTGGATTCTCATGGAAGAGTTTATTACATTGACCACGTTAACAGAACAACTACTTGGAACAGACCACGAAGAAGTGAGTGTTCTTTACATATATTTCTTTGGGTATTCGAGCAATTATTGTTGAGAGTTGAAAGTGATTCAAAATTACATTGGTTTTGCGTTGCATCACTTTGTGATTGGTCCAGAAGAATTGCACCGCTTTCTCAACCAATCAGATGCAAAACTTAAACCAAGTCTGAATTGGTCAGACATGTTTTCCGCGCTTCGCGAAACTTGTTTGCCTCAACAATTAGTTCTCATTAGCTCTTAGTAATATTGTCCTTTCTTGCGACTGGCTGTTCTGATAACCATTGTTTTGGTTTTGTATTTTTATTATTCGAAAACCGCTCTGTTAATGTCCAAATCCATCCAAAGCGTTTTGCGAAGAAATATAGTTGTTTGTATTTTATACGCGGGCATTCGAAGTTTACTGAGCAAAGGAGGGAGGAGGAGAGAGGGGGAGGGAGGGGGAGGGAGGGGGGTAATCTGTTCCGTTCAGGAGAACTGACAGTTTTCTTATTGGCGTTATCCTGCAAAACCTTGGCCGGGATAAGGTTGTGTAAGATACATGTAATTATTGGCCTAAAAATCTTTTTTTATTATTATTTTTTAGATTCACCAAGAAGTGAATCAAACATGAATGACATGAACACGCATTGGCAAAGCTTGGATAGAAGGTGAAATTCACTGGTTTTCTTGGTGTGCTGAATTCAAGGTTCCCTCAGTTGTTGTTGTCAATCATGTGATTCATTTACACATGAAAAGAACTTTGAACTGTTGTCGAATTATTCGAATATTAAACTTTTTTAAATTCAATTCAGCCTGTTGTATCAAGCGGAAACGGAATAAATTCCTTACACCTCCGGTTGCCTTGATAAACATTCAGCTAATCTTATCGAAAGGTGGTGTTTGACTTTAAATTGCTCTCCTTTCTGTCAGATATCAAAGCTTTCGCCGCACGCTTCGTGGTCGTAGCAGCCGTCATTCACGGCCACCTTTACCTATAGATAACAACAGAGCGAGTCAAACAACAGGTGAGTCGAGCGCCAATACCAGCTCGGAAACTGGTGCAGCTTCCACGAGACCTGCACAGCCACCTGCAACGCCGTCCCCTTCGTCACCAATGCCTTCTTCCTCGACAGAATCACCTTCCTCCACGCCGCCCTCTTCGTCTGCTAGCTCCTCCACCCCTTTACCGTCGACCTCATCCACTCCAAATTCGACACCGTCTACTTCCACGCCGTCGACGTCTTCTGCGCCGTCTAGTTCGTCGGCGTCTTCAAGAAGCACTAATTATGTTCAAATTCCTGCGGTGAAGTTCCTCACGAGACATGATTTGATAGACTTTCTCAAGAGTAAAGGAGTATGTACATGTATTTAGTATGCTGAGTTGTGTTACCGGTTCTTTTAAGAAGCCATAATATACCGTAATAGTTATATCAGGTGTAGAACCCGCGATGCACCATACTATTTCATGTGTATTACGATGGAGACGAGACAAATGGTGAGCAACTTCCTTCGTCGCTCGACACGGGCGCGCTGGGCCTCACACTTTCACGCCAATCGTGACGATTTTGTTTTAAAAATTTTCTCAGATCACATCCAGCTATCAAAAGTGTTTAAATCCTCCCTACTTTAGCCAGCAAAGAGGCGAGATAAATCGGGCCTTGTCGTGATCTTAGTGATGGGTGTCTGAAATCGCCCTAAGAGGAATGTTAGCGTAGATAATCGTCGATTTCTCTCATATCCGCGAGATGGCCTATCGTATGAATTCGCCCTCGAGTGCTGTTTTACTGTCTCTGTATAAACTCTTTGTGTGATAGGAAGTGTTAAATTAGAATTTCTAGTATCGTTTGCGGTGAACGTAATGAAATAGCATCTCACAACAGAAATAGAGCATTTATATGGACATTAGTACGGTAGAAATATCCAGTTATCGTCATGTGAGATTTGCGTCTTTGTTTTTCAGCTTGCGGGCCATTACTATTTCCAGAGCCAGATGTTAAAGCTAATAGTTTCAAAGATCAGAAGCGAACCAAGTCAGTTTGAGAGGTAATTAATTTACCAAAATTTATATAATTATAAATGTTTAGCCAAATTTGTATCCTCCCAGTCACTTTTGTATATTTGATTTTCATTCCAAAACAATTGTGTTTCTTTCTTTCAAGATATCGTCACCAAGTCGAGCTTGTCAGGTTTTTGAATCAGTTTGCTGATCCTCAGATGGACATGCCTCCCGGCTGGGATAAAAAAGTCGATCAGGCTGGACGGGTATGTGTAAGGAGAGTATTTTTAACGCTTAAATCGAATGGGAGATACGGTAGCGTAGTGGTTATCGCGCAGGATTCTGGATCGAAGGGTTTGGGTTCCAGTCCTCGGGTCACTGTATTATATTCTTTACAACATTTTGCCTCTTTCCACCGAGGGCCTATTTGTTTCAGAGAAGGATAAATCGCTACCCATTGGATAAGTGTTAACAAAGCGTATTTCACTGTCCGACGGATAGAAACGTGTCCTGTGGATAGCGTTATCCTCCCTTTGAAAACCCGGGCCGTACATGGATACAAAAAGAACCTGATAGGGAAAATTAATTCATTTCAGGGGAAGTTACGTATGATTGATTAGACATCCATCCAGGAAAATAACAACTGCGGCGTCCGTTTCATGCTCAGAAATGCTGATAATTTGTAGTGGGGATGAAAATCTAGACTCGTTAAACGTGATCTCTTGTGAACACGTATTTGGAAGTCAGAAAATTGTAAACACTTTCCATTTCCTTTTGATAAGTCAAGTATGGTCAGTTAGAAAGAGGTTCACGCATTGTGAAAAAAGAAACAAAAACTCAAACCAAACATAGTTTGTCAATGCCATTTGCAGTTTATTTTTCTTGTGCTCAGTAACCTTTTTTGGCGAGTCACAATAACATTCTCAAAAAATTCTGATAATTGAGTTTTCTTAATTTCACAATAGAGAAGTGACATGAATGTAGAAAGTATATTTTCAATTCGAAGTCGCCAATTATGATACATTGATATTAACGCTAGTGATAATAAAAATATTGACAATACTGCTTAAGATAAGGATGATAGTAACATTAATTCTAGCGTGGCCTTTGCTGTAAATTATCATAAAATTGTAAAGCTGATGAAACTAAAGATTTTGAAAGTTTTTTTGAGCATTTTGTTTCTCCTGTATTCAGCTTTATTTTATTGACCACAATTCACGGACTACAACTTTTATTGATCCGCGACTTCCCGTGGAAGAAACCCTGCCCAGGAGAAACCGCTCTGAAACTGAGGTATGCTGCTTTGTTGATGACATATTTAACCTTTCCTGTGGTATTTCGTTGGAGAAATATTAGCCATGGTTGTTACTGGTCTGGAAAGAGCCCGGGAATAACTAATTTTTTCATAAACAGGAAGTAGTCAGGAAATTTCACTTTGAACCAGGGAAAATTTATGACTTAGAAAGAAGTCAGGGAAAGTGTAATTTTTTATGAGTAAATATGAAGTCCTCCCCTTGTCTTGACTCAGGTGGTGACACTTTCCCTTGGTCACTTTTGTACATTGTTTAGTACAGTCGATGGATTCCTAACCAGCGAATCCTTTCTCTTTGTAATGCAAGTTCAAGTTGGTTTGCGAATGAAATCATACATTTTCTTTTTCTTCTATTTTCGTTTTTCTTTAACATTATAAATCATTCGGTGTAATTCACGGACATGAAAGGTGCTGGATTGGTAGAATATCGGTAAATGAAACCGAACGACGGGCTGATTTTGGGTTTCCAAGAAAAGCAATCTTTTTTTCTAAGTCATCTTTGAGGAACTATCAGTTCTTGTACACTGAAAGTGTGTTGCTTAAAGCATACATTTATAAGTGGGAAAGATAGCTGTGAGAGCAGTTTGGAGGCCATTATCGGGACTCGTTTTCTGAAATTCAGTTTGCCCGGAAAATTTTACGATTGTCAGGAAAAAGTAAGGGAATTTTAAAACCATGTCAGCTTAAATCACGAAAAGAAATCGGGATCCTATTTTGACAACGTAATTGTTAGTTTATCACAGTCAATCAACAACCGCTCTCACAAATTTATGATCGAAGACACTTCACCAACTACCTCACGTTAACGTTGTGTTCCGTCTTCTTACAGCCTCGACGCGCGCGCGTTCCTCCACCCAGGCCTCCGCCACCAATAGCGCCAGCACGACAAAGCAGCCTTTCAACGCCAATGAGTAAGTAGTCACGTTGTTAAAGATCACGTGGTAAAATCACGTTATAAAAGTAGAATTTGGTGTCTGATCAAGACAAAAACTTCTACTTGATAAATTTGAGTATTCTCATTACCTGTTTGCGGGACATTGTAAAGATATTTTAGGGAGAAGTTACTTGTTGATCCTGTGTGGGAGTGCAAATATTTGACCTTTTTTATCTGCAGTCATACCTGGTGACTTTATTTTGTTTTTCATTTACGTAGCTTACAACCAACAAGTTGTTGCATTCTTGTCCCAACCAAACATCGATGATATTCTCAAAACCAAGTACCAGGGATATGCTAGAAGCCCCACTCTAAAGTGAGTACTTTATGTAGGATGTCTCAATCATTCTTTGCCTTAATGGCTGTTTGGTCATAACTTAATGATATTTTTTTTTTTTCAGAGCTAATGTAAGAAAAGTACAGTCTGAGGGAGAGAGGGCCTTGACACGACTTTCCAACAATCTCGACTTCATAATGTTGCTTAGGTAATTTGATTTGAAAGTACACAGCAAATGATGAGGACATTAAGGTATTCCAAGAGATGGAGTCTGAAAATTATGTCGAGCGCAAAATATTTCTTATATAGATGAATGTTTATTTCCGACCGGATCGGAAAAATAGTACAAACTAATGGAGATATAAGCAAACACAGATAAAGATAATGAAAAGAGAAATAGATTCGAGCCCAGGTGAATAAAGGGTGGATAACGCTATCCAACCCTTGAATAACTGGGACCTGGTCAAAAAGGTACAAAATTATTCCCAAAAACGTCCTCTATATTCATTGGAATTTAAAGAGCGATGCAGAACGTTAAGATACGCGCAGTGAAAGTTGTTTCGATGTTTGTGTCTTTTTTTCCCGTGGTACTCTACTTTTTCTAACCTTTGAAATTGGCTACATGGAGTTTCATCGATGCAGAGGACCAGCTTATAGCTTGCGTGGGGGTCTCTGGGTGGCTTGGTTCGGTTTTGTATCGTAACTGGGCCATTATATAAGGACCTTTCCACACCAAGGGGGTTTAAAGAGGTACTATGAAACTGTTAAAGCAACATAATGAAATGCAGATGACAGTTAGTTTAGCCTCTCAGCTTGTGTTTAGACTATTTCTTTGTTTATTAAATTACATGCCTTCTTAGAATTTTCCACTTACGTTATAGTGTGATGGAAGAGAGCATTGTCGCGTATGTCCCCCCAGATGTCGAACAAACATCTGAACCTACCCCCCAGCCTTCGTCTTCGCGTCACGTGCCTAGTCAGGCCACTCCCGGAACTCGGTCAAGAGCCAACACGGACAGTTCACTAAAAGGAGCAATCAGTGATTCCACTGCCAGTTCCAGTCCCGCTCCGTACAAACGTGACTTTGAGGCTAAAGTTCGCTCGTTTCATCGTCAGCTCTACCACAAGGGTTTTGGACAAGGACCCAATAAAGTCAAGTAAGTTATTTGGACAAGACTGGTACACCATTTGCTGAAAATGATTTGAACTCGGTAAACCCTTCTGAACAACATAAAGAGGAAAAAACATAGCAAATTTAATTGAACTCAATTCTCAATATTCAAACCCTTGGAGCCCTAATATTAGGATGCATTTTCCCCATACTGATTTCTAAAAATCCCCTATGGTATTCACAAGGATATTTATTTGCAAGGAAAAGCTTCTTAAGTGATCGATCATTTCCTTTATTAATCCTTCTTAATTCGAAATGCGCCAAGAGCTGCTTTGTGGGCTTGCCATGCCCTAAATCCAATTTACGGTCTAATTTTAAGAATTAAGTTAATTTACTAGTTTTAAGAATTGATATGTCCCCTTTTTTCCATGCAGATTAAGTATACGAAGGGACCATATTTTAGAGGACGCTTATGATCAAATCATGAAAGAGCCTGCCAGAGCGCTCCATAGGAACCGCTTGGAGATCCAGTTCGCTGGAGAGGAAGGGTAAGAACTTATCCTCACATTGTTTGCGGTGCAAACAACTGGAGTTGTACTTGTTTTATTGCGATTTTTTTGGTTTGCTTTGGTAGTTGTTACCAAGCAGTAGGTGTGGTAAGCTAATATGGAAAGTGTTAGTTGCTAAATCACGGGAGAAACTTGCAGCCAAAGTATTGAAGAAAGGACTAACAAGTAATGAGCTTTTCTGGTTGAATTTTCGAGTATACACAAAGATTCCATGCCAGCTATTTTAGGGCAACTGAGCAACGTGATGCTGACAAAACTACGATGGACTTGTGTATTAGCTTTCCATCTGGTTTTTAAGAAATCGCTTCTAAGTGCAACATGTTAGACAGCTAAAGCAAAGTAATCAATTATTATTATTATTATTGTTGTTATTAATATGATTTTTTGTTACCATTTACTTAGCGGTTGAGTGTCGGTTATTCACTGTATTTTTTAATTATCTATCTCTTGTGGAACAGAGTTTCCTAAGTTTGTGGGATGTGGCAAGTTTTCTGTTTTGCATTCGAGACAAATCTTCTGCTACGCTGCCTCATCAACATACAACCCCTGGTTATTTTCAATGCTATAATAAAAAGAAATTGTGCTATATCAGTAGCAATATGCAGTCTTAACTGCCTATTTTCTTTATTTTCCTATTCAGCTTGGATTATGGTGGACCAGCGAGGGAATTCTTTTTTCTTTTGTCCCGTCAAGTATTTAACCCATATTATGGTCTGTTTGAGTACTCTGCTAACGACACGTACACTGTTCAAGTTAGCCCAGTATCACAATATGTGGACAACTCACACGAATGGTGAGTAGCGTTGATTTTTTTTTCTGTGATTGTGCATACGCGAGTTTTGAAGGGGCATTTCGCTTTAGTTCAACTCGTTTCGAGTTTTTCTTCTTCTTGTAAATTCTCGTCAATTAGACAGGAGCCTGTAAATAGTTGTTGGCCAGAGGAGACGCAAAGGCGGTGCAATAGGGTGGGGCAGCCCTTCCAAACGAAAATTTGGACCGGGAAGTCCCCCGCACGCCTCCGCACTTTTCAGAGCGGAAATATCGCTTACTCAGCGTATAAAATTGACGGGGCAAAATATTCGGTCTCTTGATCTATTCACAAATCGTTTCTGTAGCAACACGCTTGGAGAAACAATGCATTGTAGGACTGTTTCTGCCTTGTCACAAATTGATTGTGGACACACCAAAGATTATTCAGATTGCAAAGAGGCCTTGCGTGCACAAGTGGGGCCATGCAATAGGCTTCGTGTTAAGTGAGACCCCCACCCTCCTGTCGACATGCCCGTAACCTCGGGGATTAAAGGGTTATCTCAACCAAATTGCGCGAACATTGTTTTATAGTCATAGGACTTTGTTTGATTTCGAGAAACGAAGTGCCTTGCTTTTCTCCTTTATAATATGTGGTGATAATACAAGGCCTTTTGAGGGCACACGCACAAACTTTCAGATACATGCCTCCGAATACCGTTAACTACAAAACTCATCAATAAGGTATTACTCTAGCATCTGAGGTAAAAGAGCCTTTGTTTTTAGGTACCGTTTCTGTGGGCGAATTATTGCTCTTGTCATCATACATCAGCACCTGTTGGATGCATTTTTCACCAGACCCTTTTACAAGGCCTTGCTGAGAAGGTTAGTAATGATAGTATCTTTAACATTGGCTTGATAGCCGGGATTGGCCAGGTATTGGGAACGCTGTTTGAAGAAATTCTGCTCGGTTACCGTGATGGACTAGGCACAGCCTTGCATTCTCGTCTCGCCACACAAAGGAAATTTTCCATCCCGGTCACCGAAATCAGGATTGCAAAATCCAAGATCTTTTAACCTCTTTACCCCTCCTGATCATACAATTACGTCGTGAATTTTACCAGGAAAGATCTTGGAATGAATGGACACCTGTTTCCGTGTGTCTGTCATTTACTGATTGATCTATAGTGGGTTTCTTTAGAGAGGATTTGTTAAAGATTGAATGGGTTCAATTATTTCCAATAAGAGAATATGCGGTGAATTAGTTGGTGGTTCGAGCGACTCTGGAAAGCGAGGTGTGGTTCGGTAAGGTCATGCTGTTGTGTTCTCGGGTGAATTGATACAATGGTAAACCACCAAGAAAATGTGAAAATTCGAGGAGGGGGTGGGGACTATCTTAATTTACTCATAGTCGCGTCTTACCACAGAAACTTGGATAAACTCCGTTTTGCTGTGCCACGAGTAGATTAAACTCGACAAAATCTCCTTGCCGAGTCGAGGTGAAATTGTTTTATTTATCACGCTCTTCACTTCTGTGAAAGTGTTCCCACTGTATTTAATTGTGTTTTTTTAGCCCGTGTGATCTCAGTGACGTCGAAGCGATGGACTCGCTCTTCCATCAGAGCATGACATGGGTGATGGAGAATGATATCAGTGGAGCTCTGGATTTGTCGTTCACTGTCAGTGAGGAGATTTTTGGGCAGGTAAAGACAAACTCAATTTCCTTCCGGAAGTTTTCAACTCTATGAAGCGAATCAAAAGCGACTTTTTTTGCTTAATTAGAGAGAGAGAGTGGCCTGGTGTTTCGCGCGGTAGATTTCAAATAGAGTGGTCTGGATTGGAGTCACCGTAACTCTGCGGACTTGTTATAGTGATGATCGTAACTGAAAAAGTAACACATCCGTTTCGTCGTCTGATATAGTAGGCTTTTTGCCTGAGTATCAAAACTATTGGTATCTTAATCTTAAACGTAAACAAAAGCAAACGTAAAGCAGCCGTTAGGGACGAATTAATTCCGGAAGTTCGAGAAACGGGTGGTTGTTCGACCATATTTTCACGTCTGATGGAGGCTTTTTTTAAGGCGTTCTACGCGTTTTATCCTTCTAAGAATTTGTTTGTGTGTATGTTTTTTCAGGTAACCGAACGAGAACTTGTTCCAGATGGTAAGAACATTGAAGTGACAGAAAGCAATAAACACGAATACGTGGAGCAGATGGTCAGGTGGCGGGTGGAACGTGGAGTTGCGGAACAAACAGAAAGCATTGTGAACGGATTTAATGAGGTATGGAACCGCGATATTTAGAGCACAGCGGAATCATGATTTCTCGAACTTTCGGTTTCTTGAAACACTCCATATTTGCTTTTGATGATTCAAACCAATTCCCTATTCCCCGGGAGGTTCGTTTTACTGGTTTTCTGTGGTCGCACTTTCTAAATTGGTGTGCTGAACAAAAAGAATTGAGTGCGTTTAAGTTTTTTTCCAGGGAAATTTTAGCTATCTACAAGGGCAGAAAATCTCCCCTTAAGGCATAAAAACTCGCCAATCAGCGACATGTTATTTGTACTTTAGATCATATACACTATGATTATCGCATGTTTGATTACCCTTTTTTCCGGATGAATCATGACATGCCGTCATTTTTTCCCGAAGGTGTTGGATGCTAACTTGGTCAATCTCTTCGATGCGCGGGAACTGGAACTAGTTATCTCAGGGACGGCTGATATCGACATTGAAGACTGGAGAAAGAACACTGAATATCGCTCAGGTAAATAAAAGAGTCAAATCACCATCACCACCCAGAGACCAGTTACCGAATTGTCTACTTGATGAGGAAAAATGTCAATCCCTCCCCAATGTCAATTAGTTGTAAAAATTATCACCCTGATTTTAGTTTTTGATGAAAACTCTACATTCATCGGGTGCTTACTTCAAAATTAGGCTAAGACGGTGGGCAGTTACTGGAGGGAAGGCGCTCAGTCGAGAAATGAACATGATGGCACTATAATGGCAGAGGTTTCAATAACTTTTTCCGTAAACGGCAGTTGATGTTGTAATAGACGGCTGTACCGTAAGACGAAACCCAAACACGAGTGTCTGCTCGCAAACTGAACAGACGGCGGTAATGCGTCGATCAATTCCACGCTTCAGTACCGAAACTCGTCGGGAAGTTGAACTTTTTAAGTTTGGTTCGTCCAAATTGTCGCCCCCTCGGGTCATAATTGTGTTTAAATGCCCCACCCAAGGGTACGGATTTGATGGCCACTGTTTTTGTAAAAAGGCTAAGTTCAGCGATCTTGATTTTCTTGTAAAACTTTTCTTCTGAGTCATCTGCTTGCTAAGGTGATCTCCTTACTTTTTAACACCTCCATATTAAAAGATAAAACGTGTATTCCGCTCGTAAGACTTGACAGTTCCGGTTCTAATTCCCCATTTCACCCAAGTAAATTCACGCCCAAAAATCACACCCTCCCTGGGACAGTCAATTGCCTATGGGTTGCCGGGGGGTTGTTGAAGCTTCGAATTGGTCGGCGCAGTCGATAACTGGCTTTTGATGAAACTCCTGATAATGATTGGTATGAAATGATTACGGGCTGTTGTCAAACATAATTAAAAAAAGATTAGTGATCATAAAGTGTTGTTAATGCTACATAAGTTAATCATTCTTTACACAACTGCTTTCGACGAAAATATGGTTTTTTTTTTTTCCGGATGTCTTGCATGGATCACACCTGATTGTTCACATTTAGATGTTACTTATTTACGTTTCAGGTTACCATGGTAATCACAAGGTGGTAAAATGGTTCTGGAAGGTAGTTCGATCTTTTGATAATGAACAGAGGTTAAGGCTCTTACAGGTTGGTACAAAAAATTAAGTTTTGTTATATGATTTGAAACTCATTCTTTTACGAGTCGCTTAATTACTTCATTTGATGTTCGTTATCGCCATACTGTGCTGGCATAAATCTAACTTTCTCCTCAGGCTGAGGGTTAGGGTTAGAGTTAGATCAGGGATCAGTTCCCGACGACTCTAGATTTTTTCTATCTACGTGATTTTCAAAATCGTTATAATGGCCAACCGTCACTGATGATCGAGAAACATCGGAAGTTTTTCTGCCTCCCTGACATGTTGCTCTTTTTAACGATGGTAGGCAAATATTTTAAATTTTTCATGTCTTTACTGTCGAGAAAATTCTAAATTATGTGAGATTTTTTCGATGTACGACGCAGAAACCAAAAATAACAGTCTGTAATCCGCGCTAAAACTCTAAGCACTTCTGTCAAATCCATTAATCTATTTTATGTAGGACTTTTGTTACCAGGAATTTCTGTCGCGACCGTTTTTTTGTTTCAGTTTTTTGTTTTTCTACAATGTAATATTTGTTCCTCAGGGAGGAGCTAATAGACTAAGACTGAGCCGTTGATCTGTCCTAACTGAGCTCTTTCTTAGTTTTATCTGTCTTTAACTGTTTTATATGCTTTCCTAGGGCATGGTAGCAGATAAACTCAGACATCTGAATGACCCTTCAAAAAAAAATGTCAAGGGTTGTTGCAAGATTTTACATATTTGATGATTATACGCTAATATTCTTACACTTGAAGCTTACCAGACTATTTGGCGCTACGGTTAAGCTTTTGTCGGCACTCCGACTAACGAGACAAAAGAAAAATTTGAGAAAAATTCTTGAAGTAATTTCTGCGTCTGCTGGCAGCTCCGTTCTAAGGGTCTTCATATCGTATTATGTTCTTACTAAGAGGTGTATTCTTTTCGTACTGCAGTTTGTAACAGGTACCTCTAGTATCCCCTACGAGGGTTTTGCTGCTCTGAGAGGTAGCACAGGACCAAGGAAGTTTTGCATTGAGAGATGGGGAGATTATACAAAACTACCAAGGTACGTTCAAACTTGGTATATTTTTAATGAATGAGTCTTGAAAAATAAGGGCTTAGTTTTTGCAGTCACTCATTTGAAATCCCGTCCAATCTTTTCCTTCCTTACCCATTCTCGTTCCATTTGATTTTTATGTTCCTATTGTGGTATTTTTCCCTCTTGCCACATTAATATTTCATGATATCTATTAAGTTTTTTTCTCCTTCCCCACCCATATCAGGCAGGTTGGGCATGCACAAGGCTAACGTTAAGGGTGAATCGTGCGCGTAGCCCGCCCCTCGCGCTCGCTTCGTGCGTGTGTTTGTGTGACTGAAAAACGCGAAAAATGAATCGTAATGATTTCAGAGTAACGCCCGTTCTGTAGGGCACCGGTCTTACTGCCATTACTTATCTACTATTTTGTTCTTTTCTGACAGGGCTCATACCTGTTTTAACCGGTTGGATCTCCCACTGTATCGAACGTATGAAGAACTCCATGAGAAGCTCACTTTCGCTGTAGAGGAATCGGAAACCTTTTCAATGCAGTGATCTGTCAGTCAAACTTGTTTTAAGACAAAAAGTCTGATTGGACATGTTAAAACTGGCAAGTCGTAGCGACAATTCCCCATGTGTATCATGTAGAATGTTTGTGAAAAGCTTTGTTCCTGCTGTGGTGAGAAAATTGTCCCGGAAATAAGTTACACAAAATCCAAATTGGTCTGAAAATGATTCTCAACGTCTGGCTACAGAAGCATTTTACGCAAAGTGAATTGTCGCCTTATGACTGTCGAGAAATGAACGACGCTCTTTAAGTGATGATAGAAAATATAGAACAAATTCTGTTCTCACAGCAAGTTAGAGCACTGTCGTCGGGGAGGGTAGAAAGAGGACTTAGGAGGCAAAATTCATCTTTGCGTCAATTTACGACGGAGAATTTTTGAATGGTAGTTGGGCTCCAATTTCCGGTGTATTAGAGACTCCAAAGAGAAACAGGCGAAAATTCGTACATGAATTTACAAAATTTTGGTTAAATTTGTATGTTAGGGTAAATTTGCTTGTATTGGTGAATTACTGTTCTTCCTAAATTTTTTCCCCGGTTTTCTATGATCATTTTTGCTTGCTTTTGCACAGAGACAGGGATGAAAAAGAACACATAAAGGGAAAAAACAAGTAGAGTTTTAAGGACAATTTCTTGCTTTCGAGGGAGGAACGTGACTCAACATGATGGGATATAAAATTTAGACATTTAATGGCTCTTCTCTAAAAGGGAAAAATGCTGAAAAGCCTTACTTTGGTCGTCATCTTGTGTCCATTTTCGCTCATACGCATAGCGAAGTGCTGCTGATTTGCAAATTTCCAAATGTACTAAAAGAGATGACACTTAAAGTTAGTAGATTAAAAGAGTATAAAGAATTGAGAATTGAATTTTTCTACGCGAGGTGGTATTGATTAATACTTATCCAATAGTCTTAGTGATATTATGGAAGCTTTTAATCCCGTAATGTTACGTGGAAAATTAGGGAGTGACTCCAAAATAGATTAATACTCCTGCGTGTAGGAAGTACTTTGTGTAAGCCTGGCTATTCAAAGAGCCATTTCCGGCCAAGCTCGCATCTTTCTTCTTGCGCAGCTTATGATCGGCGTTTATCGATCGGATTATTCGCTATTTATGGCGACAAAATTTCCTCACCGGTTGTGGCCGCCTTACCAAGTGGATTAAGCTACCAGAGCTTATCACTTTATTAGACAACATTCTTGCAATAGTTTTGTTTTGTGAATTCAGATCTGGCGAGTGCTCATATCTGCATTGATGAGGAGGGTAACGAGTATATTTGTGTTTCGAAGGGGGAAGAGGCGGGGCTTGGAGGAATAGTATTAATTCGATAATTATTATCCACAGGTTAATGCTGAAAATTGTTTTTGTACAGGAATTATCTAATAATACTTCGAAATATGTTCTTTCGTATGACCAGACGTTTTAACTGTAGGTTTGTTGTGTCGCCCCAATAATTGTGTTAGTTTGGGCCACGACAATTTGAACGACAAAAGAGAAAATTGGAAAAGGAAAAGTTTACTTGAGTTGCGCATGTAGACATATGATAATTCGAAAAAGATTTTCAAAATTGTGAATTGCTGAATTAACTGTAATGCAAAGATAAATTATCAAAGCTGATGCAGATATAGAATATTTCCTCCTTACGAGGAATGCATAGATCGTGTGAGTCACGCAACAAGAAGAGGTTTAAGTGATGACGATGTTTCTAAGTGAGTTCTGATGTGATATTTGTGAAGTAGGCCTTCAGCCTAATAGGGTATTTATTATTATTTTTTACACTTCCAAAGTTTCCGTTTGCAGCCTAATTTGTATGTATGAGGCAATTGAAAAATAGTGCTTGTTTTATTGTGCAGTTTTATAATAAAAGTTCCTAGCTTTCATAGTGCCTTTGTTTGGTCAGTTTTGTCAGTAAATCGAGCATAAATAACATTTTTGATGGCAACAGTACTTTACTGTTGAGAGGGTTGAATTATACTACGGAAAAGAATTGATCAGAGCATTTTGCGTTACTCTTACTGTCACGCAACGCCGAAAAGGGATAACTCTTGCCGAGACTGCTAGCGAACTTCAAATGTGGGATTTTCAGGGTTTTCTAATTTTCTCATTTATTAGCCCGTTTCTCGGTTGGTCCATTTTCATGACATTAGAGGCGAGCGTGATTTGAGGAGACCTTAAAAAGGCCACGCTGTTGAGTGAAGTTTTGATATCAGAGGGGCTAAAAATTGACACTCATTAGACAGATCTCTTCTAAAGGAGAAATACAAGGTTACTCTTTTTCGGGTTGGAATTGTCGGTATGACTTGGAAGAAAGATTAAGGCATGGTTATCATGTTTTTGGTATTGACACAGAAATTAGCACATGAGATTCTGATCTTTCCGCGATAACCTGAGGGAAGCTACCATTTTTAGCTGTACGACAAAATCGACTGTTTAGAAGGAAAGTACGTCACAAATAGAAGGGCAGGATTGAGTCATGGAAACCGGCGAAATGGCAAATATTTCCTCAAAGACTTCTTGTGGTCCTGTACCGAGATAGCACCTAAATTGTTTTATCTCTGGGACGTAACTTTGAAAAAAAGTAACATGCCTTAGCATAGCTTAGATAGGTGCCACTTTACAAACCTGCCAAATCCTTAAATTCGACTTAAATCAAACTGGAAATATTTCTTCTTATTTGTTCTTACATAGGAACGTTGTAATTTTAAGGGGAATTTCCTCATCAAGGTGTCGTTTGGTAAGGGAAATTTTATTCCACTTTCATCGATGGCGCGCGAATGGGCCCGTGTCAACTTACTAATTTTTTTTTATGAGGGTGAATTTTCAAATAAGCTGAAAATTAACCTCAATAACTTTTTAAAGCGCCTGGTTTCATAAAGGTACCTTTATTTTTTTCCTCTTATCAATATTATTCCAATTTTATTGACATGTCAACCCATTTTATCTCTCATAGATGTCTGCAAGCTATGGCTAAAAACAGATTTTATTTCCTCATATCACATTAAGAGATCAGATGTTATGGATGTGAACATAATTTGTATGACAGCTCAGCATTTTCCAGTCAGACGACAGTCATACGGGGACCTGTTAATCAAGTGGGCGGAAGTGACGACAAAGAGGAGGTGGAGTTTGACGGCATTCGACAATTCTGATTGGTCGATTGATCAGGCAAATGCGCGGCAAGGACGCAAAGGAGTTTCAAGTATTTTCATAGAGCGATCTGGTGTGACAGGTCAAGCAAATAGTTTTACAGTGTCGGCCGGCTAGATTTCAGAAAGGTGACTTTAATTTTGGAACTCTTCGACTTGACTTACAGATTTGTGATAAGGCGTAAAACTTTGTGAACGCTCATCATGGCGTTCACGCCGCGTACAGAACCGATCGAGAATTACTTCGACATTTACGATGAAATCGGAAGGTAAAACTGTTGTCTTTTTACGTAAAAATGTACACCGTTCTTCTGTTTCTTCACTTGGGTAGAATCTGATGGCGTAAATATTTCATTTTCAGAGGGCAGTATGCAGTCGTAAAACGGTGCAGGGAAAAGGCATCTCAAAAGGAATACGCTGCTAAGTTTGTTCGTAAACGAAGGAAAGGCAAGGATTGTCGAGCTGAAGTTTGGCATGAAGTTGAAATCCTGAGCGCGACGAATTACCCTAACCAACATCCACAAATTATCACTTTGTACGATGTCTTCGAGACGAGAAGCGAAATCATACTCATCTTAGAACTGTGAGTTTTTCGCTTTTGTGCGGAAAATTTTATTTAATTTGATATTCTCATGATGTTGATGGTATGTTCGAAAATTCTTCCACAGCGCTCTTGGGGGAGATTTGCATCGGCACTGCATTGCGTACGATAGCGACGAACCAGCTTCGAGTAGAAGCGAAAGAGAGGTTGTTTTCCTCCTCAGGCAGATTCTGGAAGGTGTCAAACATATGCATGAACAAGACTATGTTCATCTAGACATCAAGGTGGGAATCTTTTTTATGCTGATATTGTGTTTGAATTCGTACATGTTTCTTAATGTTTGTTTGGCCCCAATTTTCGTGAGAGTGTCGTTACTCATCAAGCACTGAATAAACATTCAACAGTCAAAATCTTTGTCAATGACAAATTCAGTCAATTTACCGAGGGAAGATTGCTGTTTGCTTAGTAGCACAGTAGTATAAGAACCTATTTCCAGTGATTAGTTTTGCATATTTTCCTCAGAATTACACTGTAACATCAGAAATATTTTACGCTCTTTCCAGTGCTCAGCAGATGCGGCGTGCGGTGTGTGTTGCTCATCAAAAAATCATTCTCGACATTTCAATATTTCATGTCTGCAGATCGACGCTTTTCTTGCCTTCTTAGACATTTCTAAACTCATTATTAATGAAAACCACGCTGGCTTAGCGATCAAAATTTAATGGGAATCTCATAAATGAAATGTCTGGCTTAATTTTCGAATGTCTTGGTTTTTGAAATGCGGCAGATGACACAGAGCTAAGTAAATGCGTTGGGGAATTAGTTGCTTTGATTTTAGATGTTCCCTTTCTTACCCCTTCAGCTAAGTTTCGAATATGCTTAGGTGTTAACTATGGGAGGCAAATGTCATGCTGTGAATATAGCTCTTTTGTTGTCTTTTTTAGCCTCATAAAAGACATGTCAGACGATTGTTAAGGAAAGGAAACGGTTTCTAAGTGTTTCCCGACTTGTCTATTTATAAGAACTCCACGCGAAAATAACGGTGAAACGACACCTTTCTTGAGTAACTAGGCGCAATTTTTGTTGTTGGTAAACGCAAACGATTCAGTCCGTAGTTATTGAATGTAAAATAATTACTGTTTGGATGATTTCCTTATTGTGTAGGAAATCATTTCATTGTCATATTAATCATGTATGACACATTTTTTGCAAGGCTTAACGTAATTGTTTTGCAATAGCTTCATTTCAAAAATATGTTTGTAATTTTGTTTTTCTGCGTAGGAAACATTGTAAATATGTTGACCTAATTTGTTCCTTGTGATCCTAGAGGAAATGTGTTAAGTTACATCGTTAAAAAGCTATTGCGAAGTATGATGAATTAAGATACTTTACAGAAATGAAAAGTTTCTTCAATTATGAGGCAATTTGATCGTAATGCACACATTTTTTTTACTTTTCAAATTTATTTCAACACTCTGTGAAAGGAAAGGTTTACCAAAGTCCTTCAAGAAATCTTAACCTGTCATTCAACATTCCCTAATATGGTGTTTATTGAAATAACCTAATCAAAGACCTCTTAGTTATCAAATAAACTAGAGTGTGAGGGTCACCTAAGAATTTATTTAAATCAACAGCATTCTGTTTATATCACACTCTAGAAAAATTCCAATTTCATTACCATTTTGCCGGTACCATTCCTCACATGCCTCACATACGCCTAAACTTGTTGTTTTTCTATAAAATGTAGGATATCCTTAGTCAAAATACACTCTAAATACTTTTGACCCCAAAAAGTACTTGAACAAACTATTCTAATAACTGATTTCTGTCTGATCAAGCTACAAGCACAGCACAGTGTTATGATTTCTTACAACTGTGCCCATTTTTTCAGCATCATAGGCATTCAAGAAGGTTTTCCTTTGACTGGGAGCTGTATTGTGCTTTGAGAGGTCTTCAGACTCCAGCTATTGTCTTTCTTGTATCCATTGTTTAAATTGGCAAGAAAAATTACTAACAGTTTATCTTTAAATGGATGCAGAAGAAAAGGTTCATGTCATGGTTTGAAAAGGGGTTAAGTATGTCTTTGTTAGTGTCAGTGAATTTTACACAAGCCTTATGTAGGTGCTGTGAGAACATACAAGCTCATGATGGCAGTACTTTTGTTATGATTATTCATCAGATTCTGCTGCAAATTTGAAATTGTAAATAATTATTGATAATGTTATTGTTAGATTTTGGATTTTCTCTTTCCTCATAGGAATTGACAAAAACTCCAAATTAGTAGGATCGATTTTTTTGTCAGATTTTTTTCTTGTGAGTTCAAAATCTAGTAATGACCCAATAGTCTCAGACCTGGTTAGCAGGAAAAAATGTTCAAGTTGAGATTTCAGCCTGGATAGTGACTTTAGAGACTTAGGGTATTTATCAAGGTGGACAAGGTGCAGCCTCCTAAGAATTTCTCCAGCAACTAGGCTGGCTTTTCAAGATGGGTAATTTTTTCGTATGTTTACTGACCCATTAGCTGGTCTATCCTCTGTTCTGATATGAACAAAATAAAATGTGAACAAAGATATAGAGCATTTTAGGGTGGGTGTCTGGAACCAAGCAAGCTTTTATGATGGGGTCCCAAATCTATAAAATGGTCACCAAATCAGATTTGTTTCTTATCACAGCATAAAAGATGTATCTATACAGTGATGGAAGTTAATGTGTTATGTCTACGAGGAGGCCCAATTAATATAAAATAAATAATGTTTTATTTTCCCACCTCCTGAAAACACAGTATATTGATCAGGACAGAAGGTGAACCTGGGGCATTATTCATTATACCTTATAATCAACACAGAGTGGTTGCTACATTCAACAACAACAAGATTCTGGCAACAAAATGTTAATGTGTTGTAGTTCATGTGATCACAGTTTATCTTGCTTAACTTTGCAGTATAATCCAGTGCAATTGCTTGAGACTTTAAATATGGAAGAGTCTGCTTTAAAAATTTCTTTTTCATCTCAATATTTAATGATACACTGATTTTGCTAGTTCTTAATTCCTTTAATATGTTAGAAAACATGGCAAATTATCTCAAGTTTAATGGAATGGAAGTTGAACCCAGGCTAGTATTCAACTGCAAGGCTGCTCACAGCTTCACTTAGAATCCATCTCAACCTGGATACTAAACTCCTTCAAAATATTTATCAATGGATAGTAAAATTGCTTACTTCTGCCTGCAATATTACTTTTTACCCCCAAGTGAGAAATTTATATCTGACCTTTGAATGATAGATTCAAAGCATATTTATATTGTGAAGTTCTTCTGATTTAATATGAGATTCTTAAGTGAAAAGTGCCCATTGTTTGCAGATTAAGATCTTCAAGTAGGTTTTTTTCATTTTGAAGGATGAAGCAGCTACCTTATCTGAGTGTTCCCAAAGATATTTTACATTATCAATAACCAGTACACCCCCCAAGAAAGACAATTTAGCACCAAAATGCTCAGACATTAACGACACTCACCACAGGTTCAATACAAACACACTTAATAATATTTCTGCATTTTTTTCTTCTGTCAGCCAAACAATATTCTTCTAATGACAGAACATGCTTACCCTGAAATCAAGATCATTGATTTTGGATTGGCAAGGCAGATAAAGGATGGCGAACAGATTTGTTTGATAGTTGGAACACCAGAGTATGTTGGTAAGTTCAATTTCAATTTACCCCTAAGTGAAATTCTCTTTTGTCAATAATATTCACACCTGTACCTACAGATCTTTCTGGTCAGGCCTGCAAACCTGACCATTTTTTTTAATATACTTTTAATTAGATTTTTTGGAATTTGCAAATATTTGTACATCTCTAAACCCAGTGAGAAAATTATTTTATCCAGAGTATTTTTTAAATATATTTTAAGGTTTTTTGATTTAACATCAGGCAGCTTTCTGGTATTATTTACAGACATTAAATTGAGTCTTTCTGTTTGATCATAAACAATAAGAAAATATTACACATTGTGTTAAATCATCAACAAAAGATAAGTGTATCAAACAAATATAGCGTGTGAAAAAAATCAAATCCCACATCAATAAAGGAAAGAAGAAAATACAAAATAATTGTTGTGTATTATAAGTTAGCCTGTAATGGAGCCAAGGAAGTAATATGTGTATCTGAGTAACAAAATAATTGTTGTGTATTATAAGTTAGCCTGTAATGGAGCCAAGGAAGTAATATGTGTATCTGAGTAAGACTAGTAACCATGGCAATGCTGTGAGTGACAGCTACCTCTGCCATCATTCTCATGATTGATGTAAAGCAAAATTTATGAACCAAATAGTTTATCTGAGTATTGGCAGGAAAAGGGAGTCACAACTTTGAGAGGATGTGTAACAGGGACACCACAACCTCACTACTTTTACACAGTATTGCTCATCCCTTACTTATTGAAGAGAAACTGCCTGCTTGCATAATGCCAGACTTTTACATGTTTACGCTTAAAATAATAGAGAAAAATGGTGACATCTTTTCAGTCTGTCCAACTGATGAAGGGCTGATTACCTAAGATTTCTGCAATGAACCACTTCTGGAAAAAATTCATAACAAGTGGGTACATATTTATTTTTCTTACATTGCAGCACCTGAAATACTTGAATTTGAGCCTGTTGGAAAACCAAGTGACATTTGGTAATTTTTTACTACATGTATGTTTTTTGGTTTGAAAATTTGAGCACTAATTTATTTCTTTCAAATTTGTTTCTCTAATTAAACCTGATTTCTTTTTTAGGAGTATTGGAGTTGTTGCCTATGTCATGTAAGTCTCTTTGTAATTTCTCGTCAGTGAGCAATTGTCCTTTTCGATTTCAGAAATGTTTTCCTTAGTTATAACTTTGAAAATTAACTAGGAAAGGTTATTGGCTTGATATTAGTAATGACACTTGAACAATAGCAGTTACCAGGCCTTTGGCTTTTTCAAAATACAATCACACCGTGATTATCCAGACCTCAATTTTCTGGATTTGTTTGTTATCTAGGATTGCTTCTCAGGTCCCACTTTTTTCTTAATATTCGTAAATCACATTTAAGATCTGTGACCCCTTTTTTTCTACCAAACAAAGGAACTCTAGTTGAAATTTTTCAAGGATGGAAAAGGGTTTAAGTGTGCATGGTGAGATTGGATCAAAAATCCTGAACCTGGGAGTTTCTTATGCCATCTTTAGCATCAGATTATGCAAGTTCAAAAGAATCATTCTGACCCTCGTTTAATTACTTTCTCTCCTTTTGCAATTAGGCTGACTGGGCTGTCGCCATTTGCTGGAGATGACAAACAAGAAACATGTTACAATGTGTCCCTTGCTGCTGTAGAATTTCCAGAGGAATATTTTAAGAACATTTCACACACAGCACAAGATTTCATTAAGAGGCTTCTTCAAAGAGATGCAGAGTGAGTAAACTTTTATATCATAAAACAGAAGTGAAATGAAATATGGCTATTGCACTTGACTCCAGATTGAGAGGAGTGGGCTCAACACTTTGCTGTGTCATTGTGTTGTGCTGTGTCATTGTGTTGTGCTGTGTCATTGTGTTGTGCTGTGTCATTGTGTTGTGCTGTGTCATTGTGTTGTGCTGTGTCATTGTGTTGTGCTGTGTCATTGTGTTGTGCTGTGTCATTGTGTTGTGTTCTTGTGTAGCGCCTCCCTGTAGCAAGGAGTATAACAGGGTACCAGCAATATGTCAGGGAAGCCTGATGAAGTACTGATGAAAAAGTCAGGCTGGATGGCCCCTTTGGCTGGAAAAGTCTTTGTAGATCGTTGTGCTTTAAGACCCTGAACATTTGATTTTAGTAAAGAGAATGCTTTAAAGGAGGCACTGGCATAGAAACACCATCAGGTTTTTCCTGAAAATCTTCAGAAATCATCAACAACAAAAAAAATCTCACTCATTTGACCCAAGGAGAAATTGGCAGGTTTAAAGATGGGTCATTTCTCATGACTGTTAAGACAAGAAAATCCTTCCAGGAGTTTAATGGGTACCAGCAAACAGTCAGGAAACTTGACAGTTGGTCAGGTTTGTGTGCAGTGGACTATTGTCTATCAAGGGGGAGTGGAAATACTCCTAGTAGCTTCATGTTGAGGAAACCAGAATGTTAGCTCTGAGAGTAGTATTAACCCTTCATGCCCAAACGTCAAAATACATATTCTCCATACTGTTCTCTATACATTTCCAACATTACTAACCATGTGAATTTGTTTAACAATCAAGAGCTTCAATGGTTGGCAATCATTTCCTGTATTCTCATGATCTTAATGTGTTTGATTCAGTGGTGAAACTGTTAGGAGAAGTTGGCCATCAATCACTCTTAGGGTATATGGGGGTTAAAGGCTGTACAACAAAATACATGTACACATAACCCTGTTTCATAGCAGCACTTGACACTGAATCAGAGTTTGTTAGCAAATTGGATTTAACCTGTGGTCTTGTTTACTCTACAGTGAAAGGCTCTCAGTTCAAGAATGTTTAAATCACCCCTGGCTAAATACAGAGGAACTTTTTCAGCGAAGTCCTATACGGAAGAGTAGACGGTCATACAGTTCAGACCAAAATAAAAAGAGAAAAAAGCTTAAAAAAATGCAGCAGCAAAATGGAGTCACTGATGGTGAGTATTAAAGAAAATTGATGCCAGAAGTGATCTCCCCATAATATCCATAAATCATCTGGCAAACAGGTACTAAGAGCTCAAACTTATCAAGTAGAAGTTGTTAACTTGATCTAACACCAAATTTTGGTGATCAAATTCTCAATTGAATTACAGGCTTCTCAATAAGTCAGGGAGTAGATGGCTGTTGGTGTCGAATAGATAGCTGACAGTTTGAGAGCTCCTTCCAGGGGTCTCCTATTATTATAATATTATTTTTGAAAATTAGAGGCTCTGAGATGTAATTATACACATTTTTGGAAGGTATATTCAAAGCAATATGGCAACTGATTGGCTAGTTGGACACATATGTAGAGATTGGAAGAGTGGCATGCTCAACCAGTTAGAAATGGTAAAAGCATTTGTTATGTGGATGTGAAAAAGGCTTTAGAGAAAGCTGTCTGTTCATGAAACTTTTTGTAGCAGTGACTAACTTTTATTTGAGTTTAATCCTCACAACTAACACACTTTATGTTAAGAAAATTAGTGTGTTTAGAAATTGAGGTCAGCTCTGAATGAGAACCCTGGATTGATTGCTAGGGAGAGTGAGTGTTTGGAGTGTCCATTAATATTAATATTATTTCATTCAAAATAAATAATATTTTAAATAATAATGTTTCAATTTCTTTACAGATAAATCACTGGCTGTTGTAAATGGTGATGGTTCAAGATGAGACAACATCACAAGCACCGCATTAATGATCTGCATTGTCGCAGCATTAGTGCAATAGTGGCCTGAATGCTGATCGAACAAATCAATCCTGCAGTGTTGTAAATGCAAAAGACTTTATTTAGTTTTAGGAACTATTAATAATATTTTATTAGAAATTATGCAAATTACAGGCATGTTTCAATGTAAAAGGTTGTCAGAAATGTTATATTTGAAGAGATATGTTCCTAGATGGTCAGTGAAATGCAGTTGCATTGGCTAACCAAGGTGAAATCCAACCATGACACATACAGCTACCTGTGAAATCAGGGGCCTACTTAACAACTAAACTTCAAGATAGCACTAGCTACCCTCTGTTTTCAGGCAAACTGTCCAAGGATTAACATTAGAATAGTTTTTCTGAGGCTCTGACTGGTTTGAAGACTGGAAACAACAATTTTGTTGCCATTTTGTTACTTTTATTGTAGAAATGCCTTTTTAGGCAATACATTTAGCTTTTTCAGTTGCTTTGAATATTACTAGCCTTGTCAATTGCTGTAAAGTATACCAAGGTACAGTATGTTATATATTTTATGATGTAATCTTTAAGGAATGACACCCATTATTCCAAATTTATAAATTATTGGTGCTAAATGTTCTTGTGTACAGATAATGGTGTCACCATCTCAATTCTGATTGGTTAGAACCATGCAGCTAAATTCTAGCCACAGTTGTTTCTGTTCTTGCATTTCTGCTGACAGTAGTTTTTATAGTCATGTAAAAGTGACATCATACTGACGGAATATATTTTTATACATGTAGAAGTATCATCATAGACAGGTTATAGTTTTAAACAAGTATGAGACAGTCAATGGAGTTGATGCATGCATGATAGCAGGAATGTTGAAGGCCCCAATTCAGCCATGCCAGATGACACGAGCCTTAGCTTTGATAAATCTTGCTGTCATGGTAGCCTCAGCCAATAATTGGAATTTACTGAAACAAGTGAGGCGTGGGGTTTTAACCCTTTAACTCCCAGAAGTGATTAACAGGTAATTTTTCCTTGTAATATCCATACATTTTCCAGCAAACTGGTAATGAGAATACTCAAACTTATCAGGTTGATGTTTCAATCTAACACCAAATTCTTATAACCAATTACAACCAGAATTAACGATCAGATCTTGGGAGTTACTGGTTAAATGCCTATAGCATTGCCTTCAACATGGCATCTTTTCAGTTGGTAAAAAGGACAAACAGTATTGAAAATTGTGGACTGTATTTGACGAGCTGTATAGTGCAGGAAATAATTTATTAAAGCTTATTTTTTGGTTGATCTTCAAGTGTAACTGTTCAGGAGAGGGTTGGTGAAAGTTGAAAAATGAATCCCCAGGTCCTCGTATTTGCTTGTAAGTCGTTTCGTACCAGCGGATGTTTTGTACTTAGTCGATTCGTACACAATTACATACACGTCCGTTCGCACTCGGCCAGTTTAGTTGTTGCGTACCCATACAAAACGCAAAGTCTGGGACGGGATTTTTAAGGGTAGTGAGTTGTAGAAAAGAAAGAAAAGCATATTTCCACTTTTTAAGTAATACTCACCGAAGTGGAGGTGGCTAGGGGTGGATATTTACCGAGCTGCAAAGTGCAGGCCACCGACTCTGAGGTGAAGAGCTGCAGTCAGATAATAAAGCACGAAAAGATGAGTTCAACTCATTTAATCCTGCAACAATTAAAGTATTTCTAGGCGCAAATCCCGCTCGAGTCGAGCGCGGTAAAGACATAGAGAACTACGTCTTTTCGTCTCGTCACGAGCGTGAGACAAAGAAAGTATTCTGAGTACCCATGAGGCCTTGCTCACCATAGAGTCTGAGGTTCAGTGGTAGGGCTTTGGAGTGTGAAATGGATTCCTCATAGGGACTCGGGATTTTTCCCATGTACCACGCCTGTGACAAGACCAAGGAGTGATCAGAGTAAAATTTCTCCATACAGTATCAGTACATACTCAAGAAGAAAGAAAAGGGTCAACTTGGGGAAACTGTTTCATGTAAATACCAAATTCTCATAACTAAAAGTTGAAAGAAATAGTTAGGAGACAAGAAGGAGAGTTGATATAAGGATCTTGGGATTGAAAAAGGTTTTTGCAATAGTAAATACAGCTTGTTGGCCGAGCGTCAGTCTTTCATCAAGCTAACCGAAGTCGGGTCGGAAGTACCTCCCCGCTTGACCACATGCTCTTTAAGTCAAGGTGCGACGATCTCACATGGACTAAGAGTCCAGAGGTTTCTTTATTTACTTCTGGCCAATTTTGCTGCAAGCAGGTACACTTTTTTCTGCACACCACAGTGGTGTACTTCCTGCGTTCCTAGCCATGTAGCTTTTCTATGTCCCAAATAGCAGTCTACTTTATACGTTTCCAAGAGGGAATTTAATATACTATCATAGGAGTTTCTTACTAACACGTTCCAAAGGGAGTGTGTTTCATCCACTTCCTTTGGGTTAAAACTTTCTCCAGTAGAAGTATCCTCCACACATTCAAAGAAAGCAGTCTTCAGATGTGAGCAAGAGAGTACAATCCAATTTCATTAAGACGCTACATTTAGATTCTTTGGGAAAAAAATTCCGTTCGCTCCCCAAGTGAACATTCTTTAAAGGGGGGGACAGGGGAAATTTCCCCAAGGAATTAGAGGTTCGCATGGTCCAAAAGTCTGAAATTCTCTGGGAAGTAAATTGAACACGAATTTCATTCGTGGCAGAGAATGTCGATTACAATTAAATACCAACAAACACTCTCCAAAAATAAATATTTTATTTCTTGTTAAAAAAAATAAGTCTTTCAATACGTCAAAAAGAACATGTGAAATAATAAATGATCATATAATTGAAAAAGATAATCCATTTACAAATCATTTTTTTACCTGATTTTAAATAACATTATATATTTGAATAATTCTAAGATCGTTTGCTGTTCACATCCTGGTAGCTTGGTGACAAACTTTTTTCTGTCCCACAATTCCATTCAGCTCAATGCCTGCATGTTTACAACTTAAATCAAACCGTAACACAGCCGATTGACGATAATTGAAAGCCCGACCTGATCCAATGTTTTTAGATTAGAGTACGACGAGTCCCGAACAGTTCCGAATGCAAGTCAAAGTTGCAAGTCACATTATTTCCAGGAGAGAGACTCGAATTTGCACCTTCCTTAAAGGAGGTCGGAAAGGGCTCACAGCGTTCAAGCTTTAAAAATAACGAACCTGAAGTTAGGTCGTTATTGTGGTAACAAGTCATTTTGCAGTTTAACTTTAAAACGCCACTTTCTACTTCCACAATCTTGCTGACCCAGACAAATAAATTTAACAAAATATGTAACCCTCATCAGTGTGTGACAGAAACACCAAATACACGAGTGACTTAAGTGTAAATGCAGTTTATGCGTCAATTCGAATCTTCAACATCCTTTCGAGCAGCTTGTGTTTAAATGCCACACCCAAATGCTGGATTTGAAGGTCAAACTTTAATCTAAAAGGAAGATCAGACCTTGCAGACCTTTTCTTCTGAGCCACTCGATTGCCAAAGTGTACATTTTACCTTGAACACTTCCACGTTTAATGATAAAACACGTGTATTCAGCCAAAAAAACTTGACAATTTCAGTTCACAATTCCCCACCTCTCCCAGGCAAGATCCAAATTCGTTATTTCCAAGTACGGATGACAGTCAAATGCATGTTGATTGCCCGCGGTAAGATGTTGAAGCTTCGCTTTGATCAGGGCATTAACGACCAAACAATGCCAATTTGTTACAGCATAACCAAATAATTCATTTCAACACATTTTACTTTTTAAACAGGCCTAAACTAGTTTTTAATGACGATCTAAAGACAAGTCTATGTATACCCTCACTTACCCTCTCTCACTCGCTTTAAGAGAATTCGACCTCTCCCCACCCCCCAGCCACACAGAAGCCATCATCAACGTAACCTGGTCACCAGGATCTCTCCCTGTCTCCCAATGTTATCCGATAGGAATGAAGAGAGGGGTTGGGATAAGTGAGACGAGAAGAGATCCCGAAAACGAACTTGCGGTAATTTTCCTTCATAACAACTGTAGTAACTGCTCTACCGACTCTACACCTGTACATATTATATTGACGTTGTATGTTTACATATAAAATAAACAAAATTTACATCAACCTCTTCTAAACTCCACCCCACCCCTCTGAAAACAGAGATGTTGTTTTCGCAGTGATAATCATTTAGGTGCCGACTGATTGAACTGATGTGACGTATTTCACTCCTCCATAATTTTCAGACGCAAAGCTGCATATGTTGAATAAAAAACCTCTAACTTACTTGTAGGAGTGACTTCTTCTAAATGTAAATTCGCTGCATAAATTGCTGCAAACATTGCATGAAAAATCGTTGATGCAAAGAAGAATATTGAATTTTCTTTGTAACACCTTATTTACCTGCGTCGCCAATGCGGCGAAACTACGATCACGTCATAAACGTTTACCGAAGCTGTTCCTCAACTTGGTCAAACAGCCTTTAAAACACAATAAATAAAACTAACTACCACTTAAATCACCGACTTTGGCTGTAACTCGGCCGCCGATCCTCGGACTTCGTCCCACGTCCACGTCAACTTTTCGCGTGCTAGTTACGCTATCACCAGATCCTAATCTTTCACTCGAAGGAGGGTTTACCCACGATCGCCCTCCCTTCTCGTGTGACAGCGGAGGTAACCGAACACCCGAGCCTTTTCGAGCACCCTCCGTGGTAAAGTTCGTCTCTGTAGATGCTACCGAAGACACCGACCGTCGTTGTTTGTCGATGGTTGAATTTGTTGAGTCTGTACGATCACGTGGCTTGTCATGTGTGTCCGGTGAATCATTAGCGCATCTGACCCGCACTGTAACGCTGGATTGTTGGTTAGAAATTCTTCGAATGTTCTGCTTCTCTTTCTCCCTAACACCGCGTAGTGTGTACTCCCTCAGAAACGCTTTCGTTGCTCTTCTACCAGACTAGAGAAAGATGTAAAAAGTTAGATAAGTCACTCAATTAAGCAGAGCCAGCAAGGCAAAGCAAAGTGTGCAAACCCCACATTCTATAGATGAAATAGCTGCATTGACTCGGTTTCAATGTTGATTTTGCCACATAGCAATTTTAACTAAGTGTCAGAAAAGAAAAATCGACTTAATCACAACTACCAATCGGAACAAAGGTTAACATCATCATTAACCGATGAGAACTCATGGTAAAAACAGGCAACCTGCCTAAAGCGCGGGAAAACGCGAGTGACCAAGTTGGGATTGGTTTATCAGCCTTCGATTTGATTGGTTGAGAAAATGGCGAGAGTTTTCTACACTCAATCGAAAAGTTGCTATGACAAAAATAGATTTGTTTTAAAGAAAAAAGGACGAATATCTGTTCCAAGAACGAAATAGGATTGATGCCTTACTTCGATGAGGAACCATTTGTCAGCTTGTTCTAGGTTAAAGTCGTTCGTCTCGATGTAGTCCGTGTCGATACCAATAGTTCTTTCCACGTCTTTTTTCTGAAAGACAAAGGAAGAAACACAAAATATAAACGTGTTTTCAATTCAAAATTATAAAAATACTGTCAAAATGATCTACGTAGCGATTAAAAATGATCGTCGCTCACCTCTACATAGACTCTTTTCACATTCACTGATAACGCAGTCTGAAGAGCAGAATAAGGAAAATTTATTAAGTAAGATTTTGGTAAAATCAGAATCAAAGTATAAAATAAAAACCTAGTGGCAGTGGACGAGGATGTACGAGGGGTGCGCAATTAAAAAACAATCACTTTCTTACCTGCAACGTCTGTATAAACTCTCCTAAGTGTTTGATATCCTTTCTAGCATAACCCAAGAATCTTGTTTGTAGATTTACTCCCTTTTTTTCGATAAATGCCATTAATTCTTGAAACGTTATCTGCAAAAAAGTTAACCATACTGAGTCCACTGATTGTGAATTATATGCCTAGCAAAACACATCGGAAGTAAAAGCGACTACGATTTAGTACTACCGTGTATTTCGCTTAAAACGACAACTACTACTGTAACACTTTCCATTAATTCCACAAAAGCACGTCCAAAGTCAGTCTATGCCCATCTAGAAACCATGCAATGGAAAAAAAACAGCCAATCACATTGCAAAAAAAAACTGTCGTGTACCTAGCGGTATTTCGTTACACCTAACCTTCCCACAGTGTGTTGCGATCTTATCCCCGCCGAGACTAGGATCGCTGACATTTCCAGCTTCTTACGAACGTTTTTATGCTTTTATACCTTTATTTACAGTCTTTTTCATGAATTTTAACTCATCGACACTTCAAAATTGTTTTGAAAACGTTATCAAGATCGTAGACCACAAAAAGCTTATTAAAAGCCAATTGAAATGAAGTCTCATGTATCGCACTGATTGTGTTTGCCATTGAAATCTCTATGGCATGGTAAAAATTCTGGGTTCGAGACCCCTGGCCGGGTCATTGTGTTGTATTCGTAGCCAATAAACCTTACTTTCCAAGTGTCTCTCTCCACTCAGAAGTATAATTGGGTACCGAGAAATTGCCAGGGAGGCTTGATGAAATGCTGTTTGGTAACGTATTTACTAGTTTCGTACTTGTATGTCTCAGTTGTTAGAGACGTAAATACAAGCGACCTCTCACCAAGTTGTTTAATTCGCAAATTAATCCTTTGACTCCTGAGAGAGACTGGGACCCAATTTCTCCTTACATTATCACCGCTGAATCAAACATTAATTAAGGTCACGACAATAGAGCAACTAAAGAACCTCTTGATTGTCCAACAAATTCTCCTTGTCAGTACCACGAGAAATGTAAAGCGAACAGCATGGAGAAAATGAATATCAACGTTATGGTGAAAAAGGTTAAGATTTCTGCAAGGCACATGAAACAGAAAGCATTTCTAACCTCGCCGTCTTCGTCCGTGTCCAGTTCTTCAAAGGCGGCTTTGTAATCGGCGTTTGGTCCAAATAACATCTCTGCATCTTCTTTGGTGAAATCCGAAGTCTGCATTTAAAGAAAAAATGCGTTTGAAACCGTTAACGAGCTTGCGCGGATGAGTTTTTGCATAAAATAATTAAACCCAGCAGTAATTTACTAGTTTATCAGTTTCTAAATACACTACTGTGCTGCATCAGAGGGTAAGAGAGGTTGGTTATCTTACCTATATCAACCAACCAGGTGATTTACTAGCTCATTTTTTAAGTAAACAGCGCCATTTGGCGAAAAAGAAGAGGTGTCGGTGCATCGATGGCGATTTTCGTCGACCTCACTGATTTCCGCAGTTGCCGATATCGGCGACGGATTTCGACAGTATTCGTTGGCTAGTATGCCCTTCTTTGCTCCAGGAATAGGTTCCTACTCGAAACATCAACATTTCCAAAATTCAAAATGCCATTTTTGTTAATAGTAACACAGTAGCAGTAACAGTACTGCAGTTTCCTTTGGAATTATAATTGGTCGAGTTACAGAAATGTATCCGGAAAATGCAAAGGAAACCTTAGTGGATGTAGAATTTCTTATTACATGTAACTTACGTTCTTGAAGACTCCTCTCAGTTCCTTTAAATTGATAATGCTGTCTTCGTCTAAATTGTTTCTTTGTAATTCCTGTAATATAAGAATCGCATGAAAATTATTTCTACACGCAGTAGATATACAGAGGTTGCGACGAGGAATATTCGATTTATTTCAAATTACAATTTGGAAAAGATACGCACCGCCATGAATCTGCCAACAGCTTTGACCATTGTGGCGTGTTCCTGGTGCATAATGGCCTGTTGATGCTGTAATTTCAGCCTTTGCCTGCAAAAAAAAAAAAGTTGGCAGGTCGTGTATCACTTATGAGTTCTCTAATCAGTTTACTTGTTTCTCAGCCTAAAGCAAAGAATTCTTCCATGAATGTATACAGGATTTTATGAACAAAAGTTTAGCCACATGTAACCGCAGGGAAGTGTTGTAACGTCAAAACAAAGTTAACACATCTGTAGAATACGAGTAAGTTCTCAATATCTGCAGAACGTGCGTTTCTCCGCCCACGGGAAGAGTTGAGACGAGTCGACAAGTTTTTTGCCGGGGATCTGGCTTTATTTTCAGTGCTAGATTCCCAGCAGGCCTCCCATCGACTCGCGTTGCTAAAAGCCTCATACTTCCCTTCGGGCGAAGAAACACTCGTCCCCAAGCGCGAAGAATGAGGGCCTGCTCGCAAGTAAACACTACCGAAGATCAGATGAAAGACATATGCAAAAGAAGACGAAGAAAAAACAAAAAAAAAGAAAAAACAAAACAAATATATTCATTAAAAAGCAACAAAATGGTCTTCACAGGTGAACCGTAATTTAACAAAATTACTGAAAGGAAAGCTTGAAAACTTCAGGGTTCAACGGGATTCGAACCGACGCCTACTAGATGTGCGCGACTTCTAGGCTTAGCTACGAAGCAGCAGGTTGAGCTCAGAAATTGGTAGATGGTTGTGACTAAATTGCTGAGAAGACGGCACAAGATTTTTTCGTTAAGTGTAAGTTGTAGAAAAGAAAAGCTACATGATTGTGTAGTTAGCTTACTTCGCAAGTTTGGTGACAGGTGGTTTCGGAGGCTTGTTTCCTTCTCGCTCTGTGAGCAATGTCTTCATCAACTCGGTCTCTGTATGAGAATACTGAAAAACAAATTGATAAAAGGCAAATTTTAAGATGTAAGACAAGATACATTTAAGAATGTATTTTGATAGAGTGTGTTTAAGGAGGCTCTAAAGGGTTTTTGCCCAACGTTGGCGCGCGCGCTAGCGTAATGTTTTTAAAGAAAATGTTTGTTTCCTCTTTCTAAGGTCACTAAAAACCGTCAAAAGGCAATGAGCAGGGTTCGGACTATTGTTTGCTGTAGTAAATATTACCAAAATGATTATCGTTATCAAGCTAAGGCTCCACGAAAGGAGGCGCTCGCCAGTGATAACTTGGCTTTGCCTTTGATTTTCTTCAATTTTCTCGGTGGAATCTTCAAAAGTTTTCACAATTTGTGAAAATTGTCCAGCCGATCATTTAAAAGCAGAAAATAATAGGGGTCTCAAAGGCAGTTTCATCACCATTTTCAATTTTGTGTTTTCTTCCTCTATCTCAAATTTGGTCTCATGAATTGCTATTATCAACGGGCACCAGGAAGGGCACAAATCAGAAATGCCTATTACTTCAAAATTCAATTGAAAATTGCCCTGTAGTGTGAACATAATGTAAATATAGATCTGCCGTTAGGTTTCGCAAATTTGCGAAGTTTCCTGTTCACTTACCAGGACTATTCCTAATGTTTTCTGGTTCCAACTCCCAAACCTCTCGGACTTTTCAAAGAGTTTTGCAAAATCCTCCAGAGGTTGAAGCTTCTTGAAAAAAGTGTCTTTAGGGTCCATGGAAAGCCACCAACCTGAGCACGAAGGGAGAGGGGAAATTTTAACATTATTGAGAACGAATAGCAATAGAAATGTTTAAAAGAAAAGGTCGAGCAATTACTAGGTAGTACTCCAGGTTAAAAAGAGGTAAAGGCTTTCCTCTATCCAATCCAGTCAGAGGATTGGGTATGAGCCTTAACCAGTCCCAGTGCTTCTCTACTCCCAGGGATTACTGGTAAATTGTATATAGGAAATATGACGTTTGAGGGGGAGGGGGGTTGAGGTGTGGTTGGGGGTTTGTGGGGGTATTCCAAGACCTCCTAAAAATCCTTCAAAGAGAAAAAAAGGAGGGGGGGGAGAGAGGATCTAATCATGGGTACCAAGTAAACTAGTGGAGCCTGATGAAATGCTGAAGGGTGACTTACAATGGATTAGAATCCCATCTGGTGGAGTAACAATACTCCTTGTTACTTCATACATGTACAAGGGGTATTGGGATATTCTGGCTGGATGGGCCACTTGATACAAGGGCAGGCAAAGTCTCAGACATACATGTTGACTAATATACATGCTGCTATTATCTGGGTGATAAAACCTACCACCCTCCTCTAATACATACCATCAAATGCATGGATTGGGTAGTTACACAGAAGTCCTCCATCAACATAGACGTCTTCATAATCATTGTTTATTTCACGAACACACTGGAACACTCCTACAATGCAAGCAAAAAGCTTTAAGACATGTTGCAACCTCAACTTCAATCATTAGTAATTAACTTCATCTTGTGACCATTTTGCTCAGACAAAGCAGAACAAGGGAAAAACTTTCAGTTGTTCCTTTTGGAAGGACAAATCCTTAACACATCTAAGGATGGGTGCTGTCACATTTGTGTGATAAGTTATGACTGATCCAAAACCATGACATATGCATGTGATGCACTGTAAATAAAATTTCTAGAAGGCAGCAAAGATATTATGAGTGACATTTGATTAAGCCCTAAATTAATATACAACACATGAATGCTACAGAAAGGCAGGGTAAGGTGAGATTCGAAGTTTTCCCTTTTAAATTTGTGACGCATGAAATAATTTTTTGAGGTTACTTCCAGATCCGAAAAAATCGTTTTTTCTTTTATTGGATTAAACTGAATTCAAACATTTTACCTTACGTTTTCGTAAAAAAAATTCAGAAATCTTTAAAACACCCGAGTTAATTAGAAAAACGTATTTTCAAACGAGAGTTAATAAATCAGGAAGGTGTCGTAGTCTCGTTCATGAGCGAATCCCCTGGGGGGGGCTCATCTTGGGCCTCGTTTTTCATGCTATTTGCATATTTTGTTTACATCGCGCATTTGACAAAATTCACACGTAGAAGCTCTTTGCTTTTAGGAAAATATTTGCCCACGGAAAAATCAAAAGCGGAAGAAAGTCCTTGGTAAAAAAAGAAAAAAAGGGCCCAAAGGAGAAGGAAAGAGAACCATTCCGTCAAGAAAAGGAAAACAATCCTGTATGAAAGCGACTGGTACTGGCGGAGCTCCGTGCTGGCGTTCAGATTTCGAACAAAGAAGTCGCCGTCAAACCAAAATCTGTCATACATAAAGTTAAAAACCAGATTTCCTTTTATTTTTACAAGTACCAGCCATGATACAAAATCATTGACAATCGCCTCAAACTGTAATTGTGAAGGCTGAGTGACGATTCTTTGTCTTGCTTCTCAGCACATTTTCCGTTTTTTCCATTTTTTCCGCGGGGTTTTCCTTTGCCATTAGCAACTTTCCATTATTGTGTCATCCTTTTCAACGCTCTACTGAACGATCAAGATTAAAAAACGTGTCTGAAATGGGCTACTTTCCCAGGAAATCTTGATCCACCGTCATTGACGCCAGAAGGTCCAGTTGTCCCATAAGTTTGCGGTTTCAGGAGGCCACATAATCTCCTGGCGTGGCGTGAGTTGTCTACTAACCTTTGTGAGCTAAAATCTCGTATATGATTCTGAGAGGAATACATCCACTTTGAGTGAATTTGTAGGGTAAAGAGATATGACCGATTTTCGTCAGATTTCGTCAAAACATTCCCAGGCATAATGACAAACGAAAGTGTGTCGGGAAATTTTGATATTCGAAATACTTGTCTTGTGGCGTCCATTTACGCAACACGCCTCGCATATTTTTGGCTACTCCAGATTTAGATGCAGCCATTTTGCATGTGCTGCGGCATCCGATACCCGATAAATTCAATAGATGAACCCTCGGTCGTTTCACGCCTTACCGGCTCCTGACACTTCCTTAAAGGAAAACTCGGTTAAATTACATTTCTATCGTTAACTGCATTTATTGAGCTTTCTTCTGATATATAGTTTGCTAGGATTTAAGTGAAACTAGCGCGCGTACAAATTTTTTCCCGAAGGACACCCGCGAAGGTAGGAAGTAACCTTGAGTACACTCAACATATTAATTTTCTAAAACTTGTACATGAAACAGTACGAGGCCCCCCCTTCGCTATCCTCTTTCTAGTCTCACCCGGAAGTGCAACTGACATTCTGACAGCTCTTCTGATTGGTGTATTTGGTGTGGTCTTTGGGTGAAAATATTCCACTGACATCTGATTTAGATTCGTAACAACTATGCAAAGCTCCTTGCCAAATCTTTCCCACACCTAGAAGAATAATGAAGATTAATTAATTAAATGCAAAGCTTCCCTTCAAAACTTTCTCATACATGAACTCTAAATGTGATAAATCAAAAGAAAGAAAATCACCTTTCCTCCCGAAAATAAATACATAAGTACACACAACTCATTTAAGTTTCCATAAATTACACTTTTGAAATAATTGTCCAGCTTTTGCTGTAAATCAAAGATCATTTACAGAGCAAAATAAACCTAAACATCTTGATTTGCAAATTGTTGCTGCAACTTACTTCCTTAAAAGTGATGTCCCCATCGCCAGTTCTCTCTTTAAGTTGTTCACCAAACCATCGTAACATTCTCTTGCCAGGATTCCAACCAAAACCTTTCAGCAAGTTTGGAAGAAGACTGCAATATCCACAAGTGTGATCTGTTGGCAGAAAAAATTACATTCATTAAAATATAGTTGAAAACCAAGGTTGAAGGATAAAAATATCTCCTCTCTTTTGCTGGAAATTTTGTTAGAGTCCTTCATTGTCACTGAATTGTTATAAGCAACTTTTGTTTCAGTATCAGAACATGGTAGAGAATTTTCAATTCAATGGCTTGCACTTTGCTTAAAAAAAAAAAGTTGTTGCAATAAATTAAAAAACTTCATATACACATATTTTTACCACAAACATGCATCAGTTTGAAGCATGATTGAAAAACAAAAGGTTTCTCCTCTTTCTGATAAATGAAAGAAATTGTGAAGACCATCATCAGGGGAGAGGACTCCAAATTTATACAATCCCAAGTGTACTGCCAGGTGAGTGTTCTAATCACTGCAATATCAATACTCTTGCTAGTTCTGAACTACATGATCAAATGAAAATGGACTCTGAAGCTCACCAACTAAGATCCTGCGAAGATCTTGTTCCAGAAATTCCCTTAACTCACTGGAGTCATAGCCAAGAGCTATAAGAGTTGCAATGATTGCCCCAGCACTTGCTCCAGCTACACGTTTAATATTCTTCATGATTCCGGCATTTTCTAGCACCTGTTAATTAGTAACAATCCATTGTTAAACATGACAGTTTTTCTGGTCTCAGAATAGTACACTATTTCACATTTTTTATGCCTTCTAATGAGCAATGATCACAACTAGCCCCCTGAGAGGGAAAACTCCCATTTATAAGTGAAAAGGCTATCTACAGGACAGTACTGTACGAGCTGCTAGGAAAGGTGACTCTGTTAACAGTTTAATCTGGATAAGAGTGCGAGACACAAAGGCTGGATGTTTAACATGGAAGACTCTAGACTGAGGGGTTAAAGGTTGAGCTCTTTCCAAGTCATTGTGTTATGTTTTCTACCATAGGAGACAACTTTTACACCCACAAAGCCTCACTCTGTCCAGGACTGGGTATCTGCAACCTGTCATGGAAACCTGACAAAATGCAGGAGGTAATCTGTGATTGACAAGTGTCCCATCTGTGAGGAACAGACTTACTCCTTACCACTTGCTGCAACAGAACTAAGGAGAAGCAATAGGCGTTACATGCCCCTTGAAATTGCCTGTATGACCCAACCATACAGCATAGAAATCTTAAGGTTTTGGCCTACAATAGGTTTTAATTTATTCTAAACCTGAACAAAGTTTTGAAGCATTTATGGTAACTGATTTTATGCAAAATGTAGCTTTAACTAATCAATAATTCAAAAATTATTAAAAAATGTCAACCCTTTTCAACCCTTCTAGAATTGCTTAAACCATGAAAACAACTATGATTGACTTTCTGGAAAAAAAAAAGATTCTAAGACGATATCTGAGATTAGAGAGCAGAAAGAATTTTCTTTCTGCAAACCTGTAGAAGAGGAAGAAGGTTAGACTAGGATTTAAGTGAAAGAGGAACTTCTAGTTCAAAACACACAATTGGATTAGAATCAAACCGTCAGTGTTCTTAACTATAAAAGAGAAACTGAAACAATGATAAAATCAAGGAAAAATCCGAAAAGCTATGTTAGAGACTAGTCCTAAATCTGTATCCACTATTCTTGTATAGAGCAATCATTGCAAAACTCTCACCAGTCATTTCTGATTAATGCTGTGCACCCAATGACACATGATGCTTAGCACAGAAATTATAGCACAAAGGAGCAGGAAATAATTAAAGGAAAGGAAATGGCCATGTTAGAATATAAAGCAAAGAATTTCAAACCATGAACACCCACATGTTAGAGAGAAAAGTGTCAAATTAAAAAAATAGAGAAAAAAAATTGAAAGAATGTATGCAGCGTTTAAAATTCTTCAAAATTCAACTGGTAAAAGGATTACTGTACTGGTCTGAAAATTTATCATGCCTATCATGGTTGAAATAAGGGAGAACGCTGAGTATTGTGCATTAAATGCAATATGCAGACAAATTTGCAAGTGGCACCAGACATCTCAAACACCTGTATTTCAAAAGCACATTGGTGATGCATAACTTGATTTTTGGCTTTTTCAACTTTGACAACAAAAGGAATAGATCCCAAAGGCAATTGATTCATTTGATGTAACTCATTTCCGACTAACTAAAAGATTTGCTGCGAAATATATTCCATATCGTGCCAACCTACACGTAACTAATAAGATAACAAACATCTCACTAGGAGACTGAATCTCAATAATATGCATTTTCAATGAGTCGCGCTGAAAAACATTTCAAATGAAATCGAAAATAATGTAGTATTTATAAAAATTACCACAAAAAAGTTACTTCAAGTACCATTACACAAAATGTCTAGATATATCAAATCCTGACCCGTATTTTTAAGTAAATTTCACGCTTATATTGGTATGTTAAGAAACTTGTTCAATATTTTCACGAATAATACATTTTAAAAATACAAAAAAAAAATCCCTGATAAGCCATTAAATAGTTAATGATCTTTAAAACATGTTATTGTGTCGGTCCGATTTAAGGAAAATATTAACACTAAACCATAACAAGTTCAGATTATCTCTTTCGTCAAGTAAAAATGTTCGCCCTCGCGCACAATCCCATCGTTAAATATTTATGTTAAACAAAGAACAGTTTGACTGCGTGTAAAATTTACGCGTGGGCATCTTCAACTACCTCGATCTTTTGCATTACAGACTAGTTTCTCTTCGACGGAATTAACATTACGCATCCAGATTGCTGATTATTTTTGGAGCAGTTTGATTTTCTTAAAACGTCACAGAATATCAATGTACTTTCTGCGGAAGAGTAAATATCACTGTAATATATTACGCCTGAAGAATAAGATTACGTCAAATCTCACCGCGAAATTTCAAGAACTTCCATCTAGAAGTCACAACTTGAAATCGTTAGCTTCACTCTGTTAATCGACGTGTTCTTCAATACCAAAGCCTTAGTTTGAGAGTGTAATTTGAACAGGAAGGGTGTTTAGAGGGCCAAAGAGAATCTAACATTGGCCTGACATATGCAAAGGAATTCACAATCACTTACGTACACAAGTCAGTGAAGATTTTGACTGTAGAAAACTTGTGCCTAACAAACACAAACTAACAATAAATATCGGAATAACACAACCCCGGAAGCGAAAGCTCAGTAACTTGGTGAAAAGAAAACAGTTGAGAAATGTGCTGATCAAAACACGGTAGCGAAGGAATCCGTGATCATCACAAGTCAAAACAAAGAGCAGAACGACAAAATTTAAGCCTAAAAAATTTTTTAAAAAAAATACCTGCAGAGCCCCAACATAAGCCATTCCTTTATTTCCACCGCCTTCAAACACCAAATTCTCAAACGGGAAAGGGTGGCCTTTGTACACATCCTCTTCGTACGATGTGCTCCCTCGCCGAACTCTTTCAGTTGTCTCAGCTGCCTTGAGAGACCCCACACTACCGAGCAACGTCGCGGCTTCGACGAAACTATGTGGGTCCAAAGAAGTTGTAGATCTTTTCTGCACCTGGCCGTTCAGCATGTTATGTTTGGCGTTCCCATTAAGATGCCTGTTCGCCATTCGAGGGTTATCCGTTGGCTCGATCTTACGACTCTCGTGAAATTTTCTGGACGCGGATATTTTCCTCACTCCTCCCTGTGTCACCCCATTAGCGTTCTGATCTCTGCTTCTTAGCATAGCCGGGAAAAACTATCCCACAATGCGTTGCTGAGCATCTAGTGACATCTGTAAGTAGACAGCAAAATGGCAGTTTGTTAAGACTAATTTAATTCTGAAAATTTCAAGTAATAATTAGCAATTTTTACTGCAAATCCAACAATAGTCTACAAGAACAACAATCCATTCTACATGTGATCTGTACATAGCGATCGAAATGAACTGATATCCCAAGTTCTGACTTCTCCGTTGAAATCTTTGAAATGGGTAAATTTCTATCGCTGCAAATTAGAGCAATCCATTACGAATCATATCGCTGTAGGAAGAGGCGTAACAAAACATAATCGTTATGGGTGCAATGATTCTATATACCCATTTCCTTAAAATTGGGCATTCAGGGTGGAATTTAGAGCTCAATTTAGATGATTTAATTTTCGTCGTAATCTTTGCTCATGAGTAACGAAGGTCAAACTAAAGTTGGCTGCAGGTCCGATTACAGACACGACTTAGACTGTGTATTGTTTCTTAGAGGTGAGAATCTGAGCGTCATAGTTGAATCGATTAGTTCTAGAGAGCTAAAAACACTTTAAGGCCTCCCATGAGCAATGAGAGAGCTGTTGTTGACATTAATAGTAACGCGCTGATGAAATAAAAAAGTAATTGTCACCTGGTTTGAACCTGATCCAAATTGATCTTCTGGTGAATTGATAGCTTCATCAACGAGAGCCAACATCTTAGTGGCGCTTATAAGGCTTCTAAGCCGACGCAAGACTACATTGTAAAAATATCTGCAGGGGCGAATTATTCACGGTGAAGTGAGAGCCGTCGAAAAGCCGAGTACCTGTTGTGAGTTGTAGTGCGCGAGCTGATTTCCCTCCAACAGACCGCAGAAAATTGACAGGCTGCTAATTTGAATGACAACAAATGAGGTCACAGACAAAAGATAACCTATCAATCAGCTAATATTTCACGTGAAATACCCCCGTAGGTAAACAAATCGCCATGGTAACACACGAATGAACAAATGCTACGTAACCAAAGTTTACAAACACATGCTCAGAAAGCTTCAGTTCATTTTGTTTTCCATGAAAAGCACAATATGTGTAATTACGTTTATTTCAAAGCGTTACCACAACAATAGATTCTGGTATGCAGTGCGATTTTTTTCATCCTTTCAGATCACAAAATTGCTTCATTACGTAACTTCTCGAGTGGCATAAAAATTTAATAATTAATCAATCTTGTTTTTGAGACTGTTTTGCTGTTTACCTTTCGAGTTAGAATGCTTCAAATACTTTTGTTTGTTGAAATGTCTGTCTGATTTGCATGCGTTGTGAATACGATTGAAAAATGAATGTACGTATCCCTTACACATTATACCCTTGGGTTTAAGGTAATCTGGTGAGAGGCTAATTTGCGAGTCGATTGACATTTGTTTTCAAAGTTACACGACAAAAGCGCAACTCCTGATAAAGGTTGCTATGACTTTCAAAATAACAAGACCTAAAGATTCTGAACAAAGATAGCCTGGCATTGAATTTTTTCAAGAAAGTTTTGATCAATAGCCATCATTTTGGTTATTGAATCAATTTACAGAATCTTAAGAAGCTTCTTCAAATAATAGGCTAACATGACGTCACACGAAAAAGATTTCATGGAATCTGTTATGGCTCACATTAACTCCTCGTTTCTTTTCTTTCTTTTTTTTTTTTCGCGATGGTTTTGGAATCTCCTGATCGCTCAGTCCTCTGCTGTCAGGAGTCAACCCAAAGAATTCTCGAAGTCTCGTCAGCTGAATGTTCTCTACAGCGTAGGACAAGCCAATACAAGCCAATGTGTTGGGGGCAAGTTTCTTGAAAGTCCTGATAACCGCACGGTTCAAACTTTCCAGAAACCGGAACCCCAAGGCATTTCTCTTCAGGAGCTCCTATTGCTCAAAGTTGAAAACAATGGAATTCTTGTAGGTAATTTGAATCTTAAAACCTGTGATTATTTCTTGAGGTCGCTCAATGATTTATCACTGTCTGGGTTAAAACTGTCAGAAATAATGATCTTGCATGATATTGCCCCTCTTTGTACAAAATAATGGTTATCTTTTAGAGTTCTTGAGCTTTCTTTAATGGGCCGCTGTAGGTATCCGGTCATTTGTTTTACAAAGCGGTGACTTTGAAATTAAGAAAAAAAAAATAGATCGCTTTCTATAAATATCTAATTTCCTATGAAAGGGAAAAGGACTGACTTCCGGATTTGAGCTGACATTCGACTAAAGTCGGATTATTTGATCTACTTGATCACAATAATGATTAAACAAAGCACTATCAGAAATCAGGAAAAGACGCCTAATTAATTGCAAGATAATATTGCAGTTTTAATCAATTGATTTACACCATGCATTTTAAGAGTTGGAAAACACTTGTTTGTCGAATATGAAATCTATAACATAATCAAATTTCTGTCACTTCTAGAGTCAAGCCATCAGTTAGATCTGTGGGGGTCTTTCATTTTACTTTTGCTAAGTTTTGATGAAACAATTAAGTCTGACTGAAATACAAGCATATTAGCACTTTTAAGCGCCTCTAATCTCAACTTTCTTAGAAGTCTCCAGGCCATCTGGTGTGTTACAGCACCAGGAGCTTCCTTCCGTCCCTGAATTCGAACAATTGTGTACAAAAACCACAACGTGACCCAACACAGTCTTCGCCTTGAATTCTTCACACAAATTATGCGGTTAGAAGGGCTACATAATGATTTGGACTCCGTGTAAAATTAGCAGCAAATTTTTTAAGTTCGCCATCCTCTGTATCTTAGTTTTCCTTTTTCACAGATAATTATTTCTGGATAGATATAGCCAGAAGATAAATAATCCCGGGAGCCCATCATGGGCTCCTCATAATCCTGAAATCCTGAATACTTCAGCTTGCTTCATACTCATTGACTTCTGAGGCGCTATATCCGTAATTTCTTCAGGTGTAAAATAATTTTGCCATGGCAACGTGACGTAATACTTAAGCACTCTAATAATTGTTGGTGAGAAATGGATTTAGATCGAGTTGGAAAGCACTGTTATATTTAGTGCGACCCGAAGAGAAATAAGGAATTTTTTATGAACCTGTTTTTAAAAACGAGACATAGTGAAGTTAACACCTCTTTGCTTTACGACATGTTCACAAAGTGTACTACATGAACGTACTTGTAAGCAGTTTGTCCTTGAGAAATCAAACCCTGTAGACTTCCTTGTGGCGTGAAATGATTGCACCCTTATCACACAGTAACCTTTAAGAGTTTTATTTTGGCACGTCTAAAATCATCCTCACCGCGAAGCTGGATGTACAAAGGAGGAAGTTCTCTATCTTTGGGTACTCCACTTGGCTGCCACGTGTCAAGGGTCATAACGTTTTGCGCGACCGATTGAAACAGAACTTAAAAACTTATTCATAAACTTTATCTAAAGAAAAATGGTTTGATCCGTTTACAACGCAGAAGTACGTATGGACCAAATAAAGAGCTGCTTAGTAGCAGCAACATGTATGCGAGCAGACGTGTAAATTGAACAGTCTACAATAAAAAGTACAATACTTCAATAACTATGAAAAGGAAAAATCGACCTCCACCTGAATGGAGTCCACCCAAGCGCCATTTTTAACCCTTAAAAAAGCTTTAAACCACCGATGCACAAGAACAGACCAGAGCAATTCAGAACTGCTCTCTAAAAAGGAAATTACACTAATGTTTACATCAGAAAGAAAGACCGCTTTTCAAAATTTTGAACAAATGTGATAACTCTTTTGAAAGCTTTCTGCTAAAGGACATTCTTCAAATATCAAATTGCGTTTCTATTGTTCTTTCAATAGTCGGAAATCATTGTGAATGGCAAAAGGATGCTCATGTAGTTTTAATGATAAATCTGATCGATTCACTAAGCTCACTCTTTGCAACCGGAACTAGGTGTGCCCTGCGTGTGTAATTTAAGGGTTTTGCTCGAAAATAGCTAGTGACGCGACAAAAAAGCAAACAAAAGATAACTAATTATCTTTCCATGTGATACTCTGTTTTTTACCGTTCAAACCGTTTCTTCGTGTGTTTTTGTGGCTTGTGAAAATCAGTATTTGTAAACGTTTATTTCTTCAGTCTGAGAGTTGCACATCCAGATAGGAATTTCTTAGTGCAACCGTAGTTTTGATAATAATTTGCACCAACATGTGACGGTAGGAATATACTTCTACTTCGATTTACAATTATATGATAAGCTAAACTATGAACGCAATTTGATTGGTTCTTACGTATGATTTATTGGAGGACCTTGGAGGACTGACGCATAGATAACGTTAACACTGACAACATTAACGCTTTTCTCATAATACAGAACAAATAATGACTCCAACCGCGCCTCGTGTGCCTCTTTTCTGTTCTTAGCACATTTTGAAGTCATCTGACCTATTATCGAACAGACACGCGGCAACATGAAATGATATTGTTAATTAGCGTGTCAAAGAGACAACCCTTATGTATCGATTAAGAACATACTAAATTGAAATAAAAAACAAAAACAACAAAAATTAAAAACCAACTAGGTTTTTAGATGATAAGAGCTTATCATTACCCCTCAGTATCGAAATGGTATTATAGTAGGCTGATAGCGTAAGAGGCGCTAATCCAATAAGATTTTAGCATTACTTGGTATTAAAGGAACTTGTACAGTGAGATTTAATATCCTTGTTAAGCCCTCAGGTGGAGCGGGGGGAACACTTCTCAGTGTGTGCTATACAAGTATGTATCCCTCTAAAAGGTATGGTTTGAGCTGTTTCGGTACAAAATAGGAAGTTTAGATTTTAAACATTGCGTTCTAAAGTCGTGCGTGGTTTTCGAGAAAACTATCTGTCTTTTCCAACCCCAAATAGATGAGGGAACCATTCCAGCTGAATTTTCGGTGTTAATTTACAGATTTGAGAGTTCAGCGTCGAAGATTTACCAAAAAAAAAACAAAGCGCAATGGATTCGCAGACCAAGTACAATTTTCCAAGGCAAGCTCTGAAAAGAAGTGTGAAAAATGGCCTGTTTAAGATACGGTCAGCATTTGGATGACACTTTCAGTAGGTAGTATTATTCCTCGTCTTGCTCCGGAAAAAAAGGTCTCCGTTGTCTCTGAAAAATCTCGCAATTATTTCAGCCGTTCTACTTACTGAGACCGTTCAGTCCAGTAGACGTAAATATTGTTTATTGGATTTTCAGTTAAATAGCTGCCGACAATACATCTGTACAAAAGAAATCTTCTTTCAGATTTCTAAACGTCTTTTAGAAGATTTAAAGACATTAATTGGAGATTGTTGTGTTAGCAAAAGGAATTCCTAAAATTTATTAGCAGGTCACTGCCGGCTGTAAGGAATAAATGATGACGTTCCATACACCCTGAAACGTGCTTGAATTACACTTAAAAATACAGAACGCAAAAATAGGTTTCTAAAGCCAAATAAGTCGTTCCGTTAAAGGAGAACTGAAGTCCAAATTCATGTAATTTTTTTCACCGTGTATCGTACATTTATGTATGATGGAACAAATTTCCGTCATTTTTTTTCCCTCGAACGACAGTTTTCATCCAGAAAACGAAGGGTTTTTAGTGATAATTGGCTCGACATTTGACTGTGGTACGTCGGCTCAGAACACGAATGTCAGCGGTTCTTTTTGTAGTGTGTGACGTAGGTTATGGGGATGAAGGTAAACACAGCAAGAAACAGGCAAGTTGAATTCAGGACTGCGGCTTGCTCGCGGGAAAGAATTTGTGGTTTTTCAGGAGTAAAGATTGTGCAAGGTGAAGCAAAAAAAAATGATTCAAGCGCCTCTCATATAAGAAAATTGGTCTTCTGTCCAGGGATTGTATAA